AAACAAAATTTTCGGAATTTTCAAAATTCTGTGGTCATATGATAAAATGCCGATCGTTTGAGTTTGGTCGGGAAAATGGTCAGCGCTCGGTCATGACGCACAGAGGCCGGTGCACTCGGTCCGTACGTCATGACCTCGAACCAAATATTTTTCTGTCCGGCCCTCCCACTCAGTCAATAAGTACATATCTTCACATCAACTTGAGTTTAAAAAAATTAAGAAAAAGATCTGAGTAAACTGCATTTTTGCAACCAAACTAATTAGAAAGTTTTTTAACAATGTATTAGTACATCTTAGGGGGTTATGGAGGTTTCGCTTCATTGCCAGTTCGCCCTTACAGCCTTTGCAGGCTCGCCCCAACCTGTGCCTGATCGCCCCCAAATCTTCGAACTCGTTTCCTCAAGGCAGAACATATTCCTTTTCTGAGGCAAAGTCACGCGTGACAAAAACACACACGCTATTTTGAAACGCTAGGCTCAACGTTGCACGGGTGCAAATATCAAACTAAGAAATAAGTACGTTGGTCACTGCATCTGAATATGTGTAGTTCCTATAGAGAGGCCGTTTTACCAGTGTTATGCGGTGGCTGTGAATCACTCGTGCAGTAGTCGTGCGTGCATAATAACGATCACTCTTTATTTAAAGAAGAAATATATGGTTTACAAAACTTCATGTCCTACAAATAGCTACAATGCTAATCTAGGCAGGACAAGACTTTAACTAAAGGCGTTATTAAATTACATAAGAAAAAAGAAAAGAAGAAATACAAAAACATACAGAAAGAAACACCTTACATATAAATTCAAGTACAAGGGATTTTGTTATTTGAAAAAGACTAAAATTACAACTAGAGGTATATACAATATATCAGGTTAACTTCACAAAATATTCTATTAAAAAATTAACATTCAAATAATTATCTTCATTACCTAGAACATTAAGGAGTAGTGATTTAATTTTTTTACGAAAATTAGAAACGTTGAGAGTCTTAACAGAAAGTGGGATAGAATTCCAAATAGACACACCGATTCTAGTAAAAGATTTTTTCATTTTTTCAGTTCTAGAGAATTTGACAGAGAAGCATTCTTTTGCAGATAATCGCGTATTATAAGGATGTTCTGTATTGATTTTCGCAAACTTATCGAGAAGACTTTTAGGAGCTGTCTTAGCATGAACGTCATACATTAAATAGCTTAACTGTTGAAAGAACAGAAGGAAGGCAGTTTGATTCAATAAAAAAAGGGATTGCATGGTCTCTGGGTTTAGAAAAATAAATCAAACGCAGAGCACGTTTTTGCAGAACAAGTATCTTATTAAGGTAGGTCTGTGGACAGTTGCCCCATGCACAGATACCATAATTTAAATAAGGAGAAATAAGTGCATGATATAAATTCAAAAGAAGGCGCCGTGGAATGTAATGCCTCATTTTAGCAATTATTCCAACCGATCTACTAATTTTGTGACAGATAAAGTCAATATGATGCTTCCATGATAGTTCAGAATCAATCATTATACCCAAATATTTAACAAAGTCCTTCATCTCTAGAGTTACTCTAGTATTTAAAGTTGGATTAAAAATCTTAATTTGAGGAATGAAAGGCATTCTTTTTTGGTGGGGAAGAAAAATGACATAATTAGACTTTTTGACGTTGAGCGTTAGTTTGTTAGCATTAAGCCATTCGCTTACTTTCTCAAGTTCATTATTGACAGTTAGTTCAAGAGTACGTAAGTTGTCATTTGCATAAGTTAGACTTGTATCGTCTGCGAAAAGATAAAAAGTAAATTCCTTGGAAGATTTATGGATGTCATTAATATATAACAAAAATAACAAGGGTCCAAGTACAGAGCCTTGAGGTACTCCACATACGATCGTTTCAGTTTCAGATATGCATTTGTCTATTTCAATAGACTGTCGGCGATCTGAAAGATATGATCTAAACCAAGAATTTATAACTCCTCTTATTCCATAGTGTTCAAGTTTTGTCAAAAGAATCTCATGGTTAACAGTATCAAATGCTTTCTTAAGATCTATAAAAATTCCACATGAGTACTTTCCATTGTCCATATTAGAATGTATGGTGTTCACAATATCAAGAATCGCGTGCTGGGTACTATGTTTATTGCGAAAGCCATATTGTAAATCATAAAGAATATCATTCTTGTCTATAAACTTTATCAGTCTACGATATAAAATTTTCTCAAATAAACGATTATAAATTGATAACAAAGAAATTTGCTGATAGTTTTCAGGTAACGTCTCGTCTTCACCCTTATAAACTGGAATTACTTTTGCATATTTAAGTTTTGCAGGGTAAACCCCAGTTAGTACAGAGTGGTTAAAAATTTTGGTTAATGGTATGGATATGACTCATTTGGCAAGTTTTAACAGTTTAACAGGGGTAGAATAAAGCCCCAGGGCTTTATTGTATGGCAACAAGCTAATTTCTGTTTCAATTTCTTGCGGTGTAATTGGATCAAAATAAAAACTGTTCTGCAAAGGCGGATCAAGATATTCAGAAAAAATAGTGTTAACTTCAGGAATATTGGTTGCAAGTTGATGCCCTATTGACGAGAAGTATTTGTTGAGTATGTTACCAATCGTTTTAGGATCATCCGATAAAACGCTATGCTCGTTAGAACGAATGAAGTTAATTTTTTTTTATTTTTTCCTTTTCTTCGCATCTCCTAATATTTCGTTAATACCTTTCCATGTCGATCGCGTATTTTTTATGTTAGAGTCAAAAAACCTTTGATAGTGACGTTGTTTACTCAATCGAATAAGGGTTGTTAACTTATTTCTATATATTTTATATTTCGGCCAGTTTGATTCAAAGAACAATTTATTCTTCACCTTTATAGATTTCCTTAGTCCAGCAGTTAGCCAAGGTTTAGTTAGCATTTTTAGTTTTCTCACTGAAGCATCCCTGAGCGGTGCATGTTTATTAACTACATGATTTATAGTTTTATAAAGGTGAGAGAACGACTTGTTTACGTCGCAATCACCAGAAACCTCTTCCCAATTAATTGCACTTAGGTCATTCATGAATTCATTAGCATGAAAGCTGGAATAATCCCTAAATTTAGTCTTTTTTGTATGTGGTAATTTTTGCTTGTTTACGTTGACAATACAGACTTGCGAAAAATGATCGGTTGATTAAAGTTCACACGGCAACCAGGTGGACAATCAGACATAGTTTGAAGCTACACTGGTTTGCAGATTTAATGAATGTAACCGAAGAAGTTACAATTCATAGACCCAACGTTTCGACACTCCTGTCTAGTGCCTTCATCAGGGGTGATCTAAACGCTGCAACAAGAGGTCCTTTTATATGATCACTAATTAGCGGCCTTTTTTTCTGACGAGGTGTAAATAGGCGTCAGGAAGCAGACCGCCATCGTCACGATTTAAAGTTGCTCAAAAATTTAATTTAAAATTTAAAGTTGCTCAAAAACCTTTTCAGACTTTGGGGCATATTTTCGCCAAACCTAAGGATCCTGTCACGAAAGAACAACGAACCGACGCCATTTATTCTATTCCTTGCAATGACTGTGATAACGAATACATCGGACAGACCAAACGCCAGTTTGGTACACGGTTAAAAGAGCACCAAAAAGCGGTTTTTCTTTGCAAAAAGGAAAATTCAGCTTTATCGGAGCATACTTGCCTAACCAACCATACAATTGGGTGGGATAATTCTAAAATTATCACCACCAACCGGCGTTACCACCAGCGCCTTTGTTTGGAGGCTTGGCACATTAACTCCGCCCACGCTCCTTTAAATCGTGACGATGGCGGTCTGCTTCCTGACGCCTATTTACACCTCGTCAGAAAAAAAGGCCGCTAATTAGTGATCATATAAAAGGACCTCTTGTTGCAGCGTTTAGATCACCCCTGATGAAGGCACTAGACAGGAGTGTTGAAACGTTGGGTCTATGAATTGTAACTTCTTCGGTTACATTCATTAAATCTGCAAACCAGTGTAGCTTCAAACTATGTCTGAATGATCGGTTGAGTCGGTGACGATATTGCCACTAGAAATATTATTCGTCAGGTTATTTGTGAAGATATTGTCAATTAAAGTCGCTGAGGACCCATACACTCGCGTTGGTTTATCAATTGCAGGAAGCATAGAAAAACTTTGCATACACTGAAGCAGTATCTGGCTGTATTTACAGTTTTCATATTTTAGCAAGTCTATATTGAAATCTCCCATGAGATATATATTATTATTGTGATTACTGAAATACTCGAGGGAATCCGAAAGATAGTCAAGAAATTGATCTGCATTATTATGTTGTCGGTAAACAATGCCGCAGATATTTTTCTTGTGATTTGGTAGTGAAATTTCAATCCTCAAGGCTTGATAAGAGGAATTAGTAGAGCGTTCTAAGACTCGATATTTATAGTTTTCATTAATAAAAAGACCAACACCACCGGCAGACAACGGGGTCTTAACAAATTCAAAGCAATAGCCAGGTAGTTGTGGTATAAAATCAATAGATTCGCCTACGCACAGTCGCGTTTCTGTAACACTTAATACCGTGAAATTATGTTTTACCTCACTGAGTACGTGACACTCACTATTGAAAATGTTCAATATTTTTTCTTAAGCTTCTTATATTAGTGTGAAGAATAGAGAAATCGGATACGACATCTCTATTTCTGTTATTTTCAAACTTCACGGAGAAGCTATGAGGCGAATAGTAGCTCGAACGAATTTTACTCGTTCTCATTAAGTTAGCATCAGGATCAATCGTTTTGTCTACGGAATCGTTCTGAAAGAGACCAAGATCATATAAGCTATTAAATGAATAGTCCAGTAAAGCGTTATACTGCGGGTGGGCATTTTTCAGATCTTTACAGTTATAATATGGCAATTCCATCAACAGAAATTTGTTTTCTTTAGCGAGATTTTTCATCTCTTTGTGCGAAGCCATTTCCAAGAACTGTATCACATCATTAAGATTATGAACGAATAACAATTAACACACTTATCTCCTTAATCCTGAGTTGGATTACTGACCAAGCTTTGTTTCAGATTGTCAAGATCGGCCATGCGTTTTAATTTGAAGACCTGAGAACTACTAGATTTACGAGCCAGAATCTCAGAGTTCTTCACCCAGACGTACTGGAATTGATGTGTTGATTTAAATTTGTTTGTCTCGCTAAGAAGTTGCTGTAATTTCGGGATCAGGTGTTCATGAATTCGGATATTTCTCGTATGAAAATCAGCAGATAAATCCAGATCATCAGGGTTTAAGTTGGAAGTTTCATTACGATGAGCCGTGACTTCTTCTTTGGCCAGTCGTCTTATAAACTTGCACACAATAGGTCTTGGGTAATGGCGGTCAGCCCTTCGGCTATTCACTCTATGAGCGATATCAATGTCGTTTTTCGTCACTCCCTCGGCTCCGATAGCATGGAAAAGCTTTAAACACAACTGCGTGGTGGTTTCAGAAGACTCGTGTTCATCCTGTTCAGGAAAGCCAATAATTTTGACGTTATACTGAAAGCTGTACTTCAGTAAGTCATCAATGGCGGCATCCAAACTGTCAACTCTTGTAGAAATCGCTTCAAGCTTACGGCTTAGATTGTCAAGTTCTTTCGACATTTCCTCTCGAAAGTTTTTCGTCATATGATGGTCCTCACATAAGAAATCAACACTCTTTTGGACACTGTTTCCATATCTTGTTGCAGCGTCTCCAACCTGCTCGATGTCCGCTTGAAGTCGTTGTTGCACGATGATCGATTTCAGCTTCTGGAGTTCGCTATTTACAGCTGAAATCTCTCCCTTTAGTTTAAGGTTTTCCTTCTGTAGATTTTTAATACTGCTAGTAATTTGCATGTTGATCGAAGTTGTTATGGTTTCGCTATAAAATTGCATTTCAATCGAAATATATCGTGATTTCGACAGAGAAGGAACGCGTTATGCCATGAGGAAACAAGTTAAAAGACTGAAGAACGAACTGGTAAATGAAGGTTCGAATTTATTTTACTGCAGGGGGCGAACTTTAAAAGGTGGTCCCTCTCCACCACAGAGCACAAGTGTACTTAAGATGGAGAATAACAACAATGCCCCAATGTTTCTTCTGTATTCTAATGAAGCACACCGTCCTAACCAATCAGAGGGAGCGTTATATTGAAGCTTCGAGCGTCATGCATGCGTAGACCCGGTTTGCAGAAAACGTGATCAAAGTTAAAGATAAGACTTGATTCGTCAATCAAATTTCGACCCTGGCGTAATGTTATTATCGGAAGATTAACCCCTGGGGGACGAACTACGGCCACAGCCGTAGAAAATTACATCACCCTATTTTTGTTGCTATTTAAAGCAAGCCCGTGGGGAACTGAGGCTATTTATGCATTAAACCGCTGGATAACAAAATGAGGCTCATTTTCAGCGAAAAGAGCTCTTCGAATCATCGAAATACGAATTTTCCTGAATTTTTTACTCCAGTTGTTGCCGATATCGCGTCTGCCATTTAAATATGGCGTCGCCAAAACATTAGTAAGACATCTGTTAGCGAAAAAGATCGAAATGGCGGCTGCAGAATCGATGGGATTAACTTTTGTGGACGAAGATGACTTGCCTGTAGCATTTCTGCGAATCGCCCACGTGGATTCTGACCATGAAGCGCCTTCCGATGTCGATAGCAGCGATGAAGAGGAAAATAGCGATGAAGAGGAAGGGGAAAGTGATGGAGAAATTGAAAACAGCGATGACGAGGAGCAAAACTACTCCAATATGAGATGGACATCTACTATACAACCCCCAGAAGGCATAAATTTTCGCGAAGAGGTTGGTATGAGGGTAGAAATGGACAATGACAGTAATTGTTTAGATTACTTCTAACTTCTGTTTACTGACGATGTTTATCAGCTGATTATTCGCGAGACCAAACGGTTTGAGCATCAAAAACGGCAGCTTGAGGACAATTCCCTGGGTGATCTCCACGATTTTACCCTTCCAGAGCTGAAGGCTTGGCTTGGGCTCACATTGGCAATGGGTTTTGTCAAAAAAAGCAATTTGAAAGCTTACTGGTCAACTGATTCGGTCACCAAAACTCCACTGTTTTCTAGCACCATGTCAAGAGACCGTTACCTTCACATTCTGAGATATCTCCACTTTGTAAATAATTGCAATGCCCCAGACCAGACAGATCCCAACAGGGATAAACTGTGGAAAATTAGACCATTTTAAGATGCTCTTGTGCCCAGATTTACAGCTGTATATGCGCCTTCTCAGAATTTATCTCTTGATGAGACACTGATCAAATTCAAGGGCCGTGTTCACTTCAGACAATTTTTGCCTTTGAAGAGAAGCAGATTTGGGATCAAAGGTTTTGTTATAGCAGATTCAGCATCTGGCTATGTACTTGATACTTCTATTTACACTGGAAAAGAGGGTCCAGCAGCAAGCAAGGATTTGGCTAAGCGAGTTGTTCTAAAGCTAACAGAGCCTTATTTCAACAAAGGTTACAAATTGTTTGTTGACAACTGGTATACCAGTGTACCTCTCTTTCTAGAACTGGAAAAAAAGGGAATTAGAGCCTGTGGAACAGTGAGGGGAAATAGAAAGTACCTACCTCAGGACATTGTTGACCAGCAATGCGAGCAGGTCAAAAGCCTTGTCAGGGGAGAATCACTTTTCCGTCAAAGTGGCAACCTCATCTGTGTGACATGGAAGGACCGAAAGCTGGTACATTTACTCTCAACTCTCCCTGAGGGTTTGGGAATTGGTCAGATAGAGAGAAGGGTGAAAACACGAGGACAATGGCAAAGGCAGAACATTGCACAGCCACAGTTGATTAAACTGTACAACTCCCATATGGGAGGAGTTGATTTGGGTGATCAACGCATAGCAACTTGCTGCAGGCTTATGAAAGGAAATATTTGGTACTACAAAATTTTCTTTCATATGCTTGAAGTTGCTGTGTTGAATGCCCACATCATGTATAGAAGAGCTGGCCATCCTAGAGTCACCCTTGTCAAATTCAAAGAGAATCTTGTGCGGGAACTGATAGGAGGAAATTCTTTTCGACGGAACAACTTTTCTGGAGGCAATGTAGCAGTACAGGATGTCCGCTTTGACCGCCAGCAGTTTCACCATCCTGTGGCAACTGATACTCACAGAAACTGTAAAATACATATTCAACGAGTGGAAACAGTCTATGAGTGCTCAGTTTGCCAAGTGCGTATGTGTCCAGCACCTTGCTTTGAGCGCTACCACACACTGCAGAGTTATCTTTTTGATGACCCCAGTAGAAATGGTCCCAAGAGACTCAAAGACAGTCATGGCAGACCAAGAAATGGTCCAGGCAGACCACTTCAAAGGAGATCAAGATGATTTTATGTTTCCTTTGATCAAAACATTAATTTACTTATCGAGGTTTAAGGTTGATTCAAGTGAACACTAAAATGATTTTGAGACTACTGACTGACATCAAGTTTGCAACTAAATATGGTTAAAAGAAGAACAGTAGTGTTTTATTTTGTGCTAGGAAAAGTGTTCTGTGTATATAGAATTTGATATTGTGTACAGTTATGGTGTTGACAAAATTTTCACTTCAGTTCTGTTCTCTAATTTGAGGACGGTTGGGGAAAAAATCTGTTTTATTACCTTTCTGGATTTTTCATATTTTTTCTGTAAGACACATGTATTAGTTCATTGCACCAAATGAAAGTGCAAAATCTCTTCTTTCTAAAAATGTTAGTTTTATTGTTTTCTGCCATATTAAAAAAATTTGGTGGCCTAATTAGTAATGTCATGTCACCAATTGAGTCAAAAAACCCCCACCCCCTCAGTCCCCTAGGGGTTAAGAAATGGCTTTATTTGCATACAGAACGCATGTTTGTAGTTCACGCAATTTATTTGCCCGACTTAATTTAGTAACTCGAGTGGGTTCTCTTAACGAAACCTCAGGAAAATCTAACTCAAATGGTTGGAGAAAAAGACATCGAAAATGCTTTTGAAAAGCTAAAGCGTTTCTTTAGTGGTAAAAGGTTCCAAGATAGCTCGTGGTCATGGATCGTCTGTATTTCAGCGGCCGTGTGTAATGCAATCAATCTTGGTTTTACACTCAGTTTTGGAGTTTTGTTCCCGGAGTTGATGAGGCACTTTAATGCCACAAGAGAAAGGACAGGTATGCTGATGATAAATCTGTTTCAGTAACGGAAAGTTATTTGCTAAACGCTGATTTTGTCGTTAATTCTTATCAGAACACTGGCTTAGGCTTGAAGGCGCATTATGAGATAATCATGTAAATAACCAGTATGAATAAAACGAACAAGCTTCGGCGGAAGCGACAGGACATTGCTTCTTTCTTTTTTCTTTCTCTCTCTTTTTTTTTATTTTAAGAGTTACTGGAGTTGTGGCAATGCAAACCCTTTTTCTAGTAAACCATGTTCAATAAAACCAAGCGCTTCATCAATAAAAACATTGATTTTTGCAAACTGTCGAAGAAGACCTGTCGTATACGATGAAGACGATTGTTCCTTTTAGAAAATAAATTTTGTGATCCACTGTTTGCCTATGACTGCGGCCTTCGACAGCTTTCGTTTAAATAACCGGCCTTAAGTTATTTTTAAAAGCCTGAAGAGTCCTCCCCCCGCAGAGTACCAAAGAGGGAGTCTTTCATATAAAGCATAGGCTTGTGGCTTTGTGCTGATAACGAAAGATCAAGCGAAATTAATTTCTGCTGTACGAGCTGCGGATCGAAAAAAATAATATGTAAAAAAACTTTTGCATCAGTTTAGTAAAGTGATACTGGAAAACCAGGAATGGAGTGAGCAAATCAACTGAAATGATCCGTTCAGGTTTTCTAAACATTTATTATGGAATGTCCACCAAAGCGACCTTGCTTGACCAAGTGGTAAAGCCGCAGATGTTTAGTATTGGGTCATAACGCAGATAAGATGCGGAATCGCGACATTAGACTTAGCCAGTTTTTTAAAAAGAAACCACGTACCGCGCTGAGATGACTTATTTTTTATCGATGCGATGCAAGTTGGAATTAATGAAGTACTATAACACCATGGCTGGTTATCTCAGATGGCATGGTTGTTGTTGAATCCTGTCTGAAGAGGAACATGATTATTTTCTCTTGAAATGTCAACAACCGTTATAGTACGTTTTTCCTAAAGATATCCAGCTGGTTTTGTATTGATATTTATACAAATGAAATGAAAGGAACTAATATCACTGAAAATCATCTTTTTAATAGCTTGGGTTGGTTCCATCAGCCTGGCCATGGTTTGGTTTGCCAGTTTGCCGGCCGGATACCTGTGCGATCACTTTGGATGTCGTAAAACGTGTTTTTTAGGAGGATTGCTATGCGTGACAGGTCTGGTAGCAACTTCCTTCGCCAATAGCCTGAGTCTAATGTATTCTACCTATGGTTTGGTGTACGGCTTGGGAGCGTGCTTCATATATAACTCTAACTACTTGGTAGTTGGAAAATATTTCAATGAAAAACTCTCATTAGCTGTTGGTATAACAGCTTTGGGGTCGAGTGTGGGTGTCCTTTACACAAGCCCGTTACTTCAGGTTCTTTTGGATGCGTTTGGATGGAGAAACACCTTTAGAATAATGACGGTAACCTTCGCTCTTGTTTGCATTTTGAGTTTGAATTTCAATCCAAACGTAGTTGAAACAACGATGGTGAAGGAGGTGAAAGCAGAAGCGCTGAACATGGGGCAAAAAGCAGGAATTAAAGGCAGCATCTCCTCTTATTGCAGCGTGTGGACATTTCCTGTTTTCACTTTCGTCGTCATTTCTTTGATGGTGGGATCTTTTGGAATGTACACTCCTTACATCAATCTGGTTAGAATACAACTGTCTATAATATAGCTCATACCAATAATCTAGATATTCTCTATTGCTAATACTTCTGACGCTGAAAAAAGATGAAAAAAGATTTTTTTTGTGTTTCATAACTGTTTTAAAACTGCACCATATGTGAGGTCTTGAGAATGGTTTGAGTCTCGTAACGATTGGCTCTGCCAAAAACGTTGAGCTGGCCAGGAACGTGAGATCAGTCAATCAATTGCAAAGATTTATAATTCTATCTGGTTGAGATGCTTCAAATACGACAGAACTACCAAATTAAGCCAAATCCGGGTCGATTCCGAAAAATCATATATCAGACGTCACCTTCACAATCTTTGAGAAGAGACAACTTGAAACCACTTTGGGTTTTTGTACCAAAATTACCCCATTATTATGGCAGCCGTATCCTCAAAATTGAACAACAAATAATGCCACCATGCAGTTGCTTCAAAGATCTTCAAATTTAGATGTGATGATATGACTAACTCCTGTGTTGCCTCATTTTCATGCTGTGTCCTTCATTAGCGATTTTATAACAAGGCACATATCTTAACTTTAACCAGGTCAAGTACTGTGATGATCTTGGTATCACGGCGCAAAGTGCCTCTCGACTGTTCATCTTCAACGGCCTTACCTCATCTCTTGCGCGGATTCTGTCCGGAAAACTGTGTAACAATCCAAAGATCAACCCAGTATTTGTTTATCAGTCATCGCTGTTTATCGGCGGTGTATGTGTGCTCCTGTTACCTATGGCAACTAAATACTGGGCCTTGGTTGTATTTAGCTGTGCTTTTGGAATAAGTGATGGAATTTTCATAACCACGCAATGTTACATCTTGCTTAGCTGTGTGGATAAAGAGAGAGCCACAGCTTCATTTTGTATCCTTAGCGTGCTTTGTTCATTTTCGGTGGCTACCGGTGGACCTATTGCTGGTAAGATAGTCCCTACATGACAAAAAAATTCCGTCACATCGTTATGAAAGGGGCTTATCCTTTTAGAGCTTTGTTTTGAAATGCGTTATCTTGATTTCTCTTGTGATATTTTCCACAGGTTTGATGGCAGACCAAGATGGGAACTATGTAAATTCGTTTTACATGACCGGCGGGGTTCTGATGTTTGCATTTGTTATTCCTTTCGGATTGATTTTTATCAAGCGGAGAAGGTTTCTAGTCAGTCCAATAGTATCACCAGAAATGACTGACTTGGAAGCAAGGAAAAACTATTCCAAGCCTTAAAGCAAATGTGACAAAAGGACTTCCCTGTTAGTTAATTGATTTGAAAACAAAAAAAAAATATCATGGCGTCAGAGATTAACTGTTTTGGTAAACTCAAATGGAATTTGGTAAACTCAAATCGTTATAGTTGTGAATAATTTGTAACGAAAGCTTTCGTTGAATTCAATCATAAACAAGGACCATAGTTTTAGCAAAACTGGAAAAATCAGCCGAAATTTTATCTACAAGGCCTATTGCTTCGTACAATTGCTCTCAGGTTTCCCAAAGAACACCGAGCGTAAAATGACGACTTCTTCGAAATGTCGCTTGAAAAAGAATCCAAATTGAAAATAATTAACGAAAAAAAGAAAACGTTCTGACAATAGGGGTCTCTTTCAGAGAATTTCAAAATTCTTGTCACTCGATTAAAAATATGAAAAAAATTGATCACCACTTCACGTGGTTCTGAAGCAGAAGTCTTTGCGGATGTAATCTTATGAAATAAGATAGTACGAACTCACCTTTACCGGTGTAATAACCGACTTCGATTTTGGGAGAACACTCGAAAGCCCAGAGAAGTCTATAAAGGGCCATAGGTATGAAACTTGACACTTATGCTGCGCTGTTTCCATCTCTGTTTGTTGTTGACTTTTATATCAACTTGAACTTGTTATTTTTGATGAAGCAAATTTTTTATTAATTGTGAATGGAAAAAGAGGAAAAAGAGGGGAAACTGACCCAAATATCACAGATCCAGATAACACAGTTTCAAATAAAGCGACAAATAGTTAAATTTATTCGATGTACATGCCTCTTGTATGAATGTCGGCCATCAATTTGTGCTTGTCCTGACGAGTTACCCTTCAAAATGTACTTAAGTTTGTGATGAATGATTATCGGTAGTTGCTTTAATTCCTTTGTTCAACTTCGTCAATAAAATAAAGATAAAAACTTTTTCATTCGTTGCGCATGTAAAACAATTCATGCTATTTTTTAACAAGTTTTTAAGTAGTCTGAATCAGCTCGTTGGGGAATGGCTGTTTTATAAACAGGATGCACTTTACATGGCTGATCTAAGGAACTCCGTCACTGATTATTATAAGGTACTCTGTCACTGATATAAGGTACTGCGTCACTGATAAATGGTACTCCGTCACTGATCATTATAAGGTACTCCGTCACTGATCATTATAAGGTACTCCGTCACTGATCTAAGGTACTCCGTTACTGATCTAGGGTACTCCGTCATTGATATAAGGTACTCCGTCACTGATAAAAACAGATAAATCACGCGACGAGGTGCAAAGATCGCAATTTGATAATGCCACGTGTGTTTATTTTTTCAGCCTGCATTTTTTATTACGACAACCTGATTTCCAAAGAAAATTTAATGCAAGCATAACATTGTATGTGCATTTTAAAGCAACTTGAGGCGAAAGAGAACATTTCTTGTTGAACACAATGTACATAAGGCAAGTTTCATGCCGTCTACGATCTTCTCTTTAGCAAGGACACTAGATGGCCCTTAACTGATCTGTAAAGGCTATCATAATATGCTGTAACTTTTTTATTACACCTGTTTTAGTGTTTAGTAAAGGGAAAATTAATTATAATGAGGTCTGATAGGTTCTTCAGCTTTTCTCAAGATTGGAGCTACAAATTTCTCTTTTATTCTTAATGCTCCTGTTTTAGTATTAAGTAATGGGAAAATTAATAAACATGACCTGTACTAAGAGCTGGGTGTTTCACATATTTTCTAAACTTCGCCGCCAGATATTTTCACAAGAATGAGTTCTTCAGCTTCTCTCAAGAGTGGGGCTGCAACTTTTCCTTTCATCCTTAGTTTTTTGTTTGGCTCGGTTTTTTCACATTAACGTCTTGTCTCAGAAAAGATGTTCCCACCTTCTTCTCTTTCTCGAGAATATAGTTACCTAGAACAAACCTCCTGTCGCAAGCACTTCCTGAGAAAAGTTTCAGCGGTGCCACTCCTGATCTCATTGGGCTTTTAGTAATCGATCATTGCTTTACTAGTTCATTTTATGACTTTTGGTATATCACCAGAAAAAACGGTTCGACATGTAAAGTTGACTTGTGACATTTACAATTTCTCGAGCTGCGCATTGACCATCTTATTACAGAACTGTGTAAGGAATAATGGTAAAGACGTTTTTTCGTCTTACCATGAGCGTGAGACAAAGGAAAAATTCTGAGTCCCCATGAGGAATCGTCAGAACGTCAGGACTTCAGGTTCCACGCTCCAATGCTCTACCAAAGAGACTCTATGCCGTCAGTGAAGCCATTACGAGTTTCATATCTAACACGCGTCCTGCATACTACGAGGATTTGCAATGTCAAAGGCATTATGTGCGTATACAGCGTAAGAAAAATAGTGAATTTTAAGCTTGATGATGAGATGGAGAAGGATGTTTTTTCGTCTCTTCACAGGTATGGCACAGAGTTATAAGTTTTCTTGGAAGAAAAACATTTTCGAATTCACAAGCTACCCGGTATCTATTTACGATCATCACCTCTCCGAAGGCTATTTCGAAGCTTTTTTCGGCATGAAAATTTTTAATTTCGGTTCGGATTTGTGCATTTTTTAAAGGTGCATTTCACGTCACCATTTTGTGTGTAAATATCAAAGTTTTTTTTAGCAGATGCGAACTCAATTTCTGTTTTCTATTTGAAGTGGTACATAATCTCGCAAAAAAGGTTGTGGTTATTCATCGTGGTGAATAACAACAAAAGCTAAGTTTTTCCGTTTGTCTCACGACGTAGTCACGTGTGATGTAGATCACGACGTTTAGACTGCATACTGCTAGTCTTCTTCAGGCGATGAGGTCGACTGGTCATGCGTGATCTTATAAAGCATAATGCTCTGCTGTCATTAGTTGTTTTTACAACAGCTCTGATTGGTGCATTTCGATCCTGGCTGTTTCACTCAGTGATTTGCTCCCTCGGCGGTCCACTGTCGCACAGCTCTCCTGTTGTGTTTTTTTGTTTTTTTTTTTTATCGTGGGCATCCACGCTTCTGGAATTTCTATTCCACTATCCCTGTTGATTTTGTTACGGTGAAGTCTTATATGATTGCCTCTTTGACCCTGCGCGTGTAGTAATAAGGGTCACGATCAATAAACTTTACTTCGTTCCAGACTGGCTTGTGTCCGGTGTTGTGGGCATGCTTTGAAACGGCGGAGGTCTCGGTAGGGGTGAGTCGGATGTCTCGATCGTGCTCCTTAATTCTGTCTTGCATACGTCTTCCAGTCTCTCCGATGTACACCTTGCCCATTCAGAGGGAATCCTGTAAACTACGCCATCTTGTCTAGCCGGGTCAACAGCGTCTTTTGGTCATACTAACTGAGATCTTAGCGTCGTCTCCGACTTGAAAACAGCGCGCACGCCTTGTTGTTGTAGGCAACGGCGGAGCTGTTCAGACAGACCTTTGACATAAGCTAAAACCGCGGTAGCTTTGAACTCGTTGGCGGGTTCAGCACTGTTGTTTGGTTTTCCGGTCTTGGTAAGTTTTGGCAAGAAAGAAAAAGGATAACCATTAGAAACCAGAACAGATGACAGATGTTATTTCTCCTCGGAGATGACGGAAGGTTTTGTTACGAGACGTTTGGCGCGCTCGTAAAGGCACTTAACAATACCGCGTTTTGCTGATTAAAGAGTGTGAATCATACGCTAAGTACTGACCGGTGTGCGTGGGCTTCCTGTATACGCTAGTGGTGAGGCGGCCGTCAGGTTCTCTTAAAACTGCGGTGTGTGGGAAGGCGAGTTTGTTGTCTTTCTCTGTCTCCATGGTGAAGCGGATGGAAGGCTGCTGGTTGTTTAGATACTGTAAGAAGTCATCCACGTTTTCGCGATCCAGGATGGTAAAGGTATCGTCCACGTAGCGTTTCCAGATCCTAGGCTCGTAGGATGATGTAGTTATCGCCTGTTCTTCGAAACTCTCCATGTAGAGGTTAGCAATAACAGCGGAAACCGGACTCCCCATGGCGGCTCCGTCTTTTTGCTCGTAAATCGATCCGTTATACTGGAAGTATTTGGATCTCTTTTGACCTTCGTATTGAGATCAAAACGACAATGCTGTTAATTATTTTGAACCACCCAAATGCAACTCTATTGGCTGATATGACAATGACGAAAAATACAATGTTACTAGAGTTTTCACTCCAACTTTACATTTAAGGATTTTTCAGCGCTACCTAAATCCTGCAGCGACTGGTGGACCATATATTATTGATACTGACGGAGGACTTCAGCCATTTAACGTCACCTGTGACATGAGTGATAAAAACGAAATTGGCGTGACTGTCATAAGTCACGGTAGCGAAGACAAGACATTGGTGGATGGATATGAAGTAGGGGGATCTTACTCTCGTGACATACATTACAACGGAGCGAACATGCCTCAACTGGTGAGTCTTGTCAACGTTTCCCTATTTTGTGAGCAGCTCATCAAGTACGAGTGCTTCAGTTCCAATATGGAATTTGCCTTCTGGGTGTCACGTGATTCAGTGGAAAGGACTTACTGGGGTAGAGCAGCTCCTGATAGTAGTAAGTGCGCATGCGGAATGAACAACACCTGCGCAAGTAAAGACGAAGTTTATAACTGTAATACGTATGACAAACTGGCAGGAGGACAGTGGTCTCCTCACTGAAAACACACATCTACTAGTTAAACAGCTGAGGTTTGGTGATACAGGAGCAAACATGGAGCAGGGCTACTATGCTCTAAGGAAGTTTAAGTGTTATGGAATCCAATGACTTTGAAAGGTAACACGAACAAGCTGTTCTGCCAATCTCAATGCTAGCTTTCCTTAAACCACTCTGTCATACATAACAAACGTAACTGATTTGATCGATCAACTGATTTATTAGCTCATTCATATAGTTTTAAATAATTTGGCATGAAAGCTCGCCAGAGCTTAAGGTAGTCATGATTTAGTAAGCAAGTGACACATTGTGCCCTTTTCTTTTTCTAATTTCAAAGAAAATGTAAACCTCTTATAAAAGCGAGGTGAAAAAACTTTGGCAGGGTAATTGTCTTTTATTTTGCTAAATCAATGACGCAAAGTGTGACAAATGTGAACCTACACATTCTACCTTTTTTGTTTCTAATTTCAAAGAAAATGCAAACTTCTCATAAAAGCGAGGTGAAAAAACTTGGACAGGGTAATAATGTTTTATTTTGCTTAATCAATGACACAAAGTGTGGCAAATGTGAGCCTACATTTTGAATAAACGAATGGACGAACGAAAGAGTTATTAACTATAAATTTTGAATAATAATTTTACACAATTAACCACTGATTCACATCGATGAAAGCTGTGCAAATTTCGTGCGATATTAAGTCAAGTAAAGCAAGTGAAATATTCACAATATGTCAAAACGTTCTGATTTAATCACAGAAGAAGTGGATTGAAAAATGAGTAATCGTTCTGCATGTAAAGTACTAAAAAATACACGCCAATATTCCTGGCAAAATTCTAGGTGTTCTTAATTGAGAGATTGTTATTTGATTTCGCGGCTGATTGTAACTAGATTGTGATGGAATTCTGGCTTGGAAATCTGCAAGTTACGGATTCCGCCTGCGAGGTTTATAGCTATGATTTTGGGAACTAACTGAAAATTTTTTGTTATGATAGGGAGAGGAGTTTACTGAAAATTGATTTCGGCGATTCTTTTGATAGGTAATGTATTGTAAGTAGTGGATTGGAATTAATGTATCGTACGCGAATTTAGTGCAGATAATGAAAAATAACACTGCATTGCAATAAAAAAGTATTCACAACTGTTGTGTAACTGCCAGGTTTTCAAACTTTGAACGGTAACTGCAATAAGAGACTTCCATATTTTTAATGCATGAGAATACACGAGTTGCCAGCAGCACTTTTTTATACTTAAGTTTCACTTCGCGAGTCAGCTTCTCAGCTTTCCATCCTGGTCTATGCAATAAGCCACTTTGATTACAGCATGAACGACGTTTCTTTTGACATTCGTGGTAATGAAGTCAGAAAAAAATTACAAGTGAAACGCATTGTTGTATAGTATGAAGTTCGATCGTATTTAGAGTCATGTGAGAACATTCGCACAGTTAAGTGTCCATTGTAAATAACACTGTATGAAGATACTTCTTAAATATTTTCTATTAGGACCTAAAGAAGTCTAGTGTTTTTGAATGTAAATCCAAAATAGTAACGTATTGGATAATTGAATATTTCTCGTTGAATACACAGCTCCCTTATAATTTTAGGGTGGATAATGAAAACAATTGCTTTCCAAAGTTAGGGGGGTCTCAAAAGGGTTATTACGGCAAAAAAAATTAATTGTTAAGGGTAAAAAGTGATAAATTTAACCATTAGTCATAAAAAAAAGTTAACCGCAAAAATTCCATCTTTTAATTGCAACGGACAGAAATTAACCGCTGGACCTAAAATGGGCAAAATTTTTAACCGTTAACCGTGAGAATCAATGCCCCGTAGAGACCCTTAAGTTAAATTTACCTTGTAACTTAAATAAACGTAGTAAGCATCCATGATTTAAGAAGAATGATGCAACCTTATTGTTAATGGTGACTATGCTATGCGTTGGGTAAGTACGTAATCTAATCGTGAATAGCGTAATTCATAGTATCCCGCGTGTAACAGTTTTATAAGTACGCCACAAAATTTCCAATGTAAGAAAAAACCACAATAACCCCGTCCTTCTTGATAAAACGAAGGTGATTCATTTGGTTTTGGTTTCGCGACAAATACGTACTATCTACATAACATTGGTATTGTGAGTGATGTCGCAAATCTTATTAAAAATATTATAAATAGTAGATAGCATGTAGAATATAAATTAACGAATGAAATAAAAAAATTAATTAAACATAAAAGTTGGTTCTTCTTCAAACTTCATCAATCAACATCATTTACGACAACACATTACAACTACCTTTATTATGATCAAATCAAGTTTCAGCCAAATGTCGTCACCAGTTCCAACCCGTTAATACTATTTCAAATCTTATTTCGGTTGCAGTGGCGGTTGCTCGAAAACCATAATCAATAACGATGGAAAGCAAATGAAAAGAAATCCACAAGGAAAAAAAACAGAGGGAATAAAACCTACAAGACAAAGATACGTACGAAGGTTTTGTGACTTTGTCAAAATGGATGGCAAATGGTGGAAATCAGAAACCGTAACTAATGTTAATCTTGCACGAATGGCAAAAAATCAACGATGAAGCTTTTTTTAAATGATCCTAAACAAAGAGAAATTTTTTTTCTAAAAAAACCCTATCAGATTTTATATCAGGGTGAGCGATAGAATACGAAAACAATAAGGGAAAAATGGCATTCAAAACATAAATGCAACTGGGAAAACAGGTGAGTTTTTAATTGGGAATGCCTCGGCAATACATAGTATTGATGTTCTGGGTTTATTTGGTGACAATTACTCGGTGTAAAGTCTACAGCTATATTTCCATGGGGATCCAATATAATCAGCGATAATGAGAACAAAATCAAAAGAGTTCAGGATAGGATTGTATATGTTTTTCCTTGATAACTCTGGGAAATGAAAGCTTGCGATAAAGATGGCTTTAACCTTGGGAAAATTAAAAAGGCAGCGATATCAAGGACATTTTAATGGCAAACAGAAGTATACAACCTAAGTTATATGCTCAGTTACATGCTTGTGTGAAAAATAATTAATTAAATAGAACAATGAACCTAAAGGTCCGTTTTTTGATGCATTTGAATATTTCCTAGCCATCATTTTCGTTAGGGACCTTAGTAGCTCTTAGCCTCTCTGGTTTGTTTCCCGAGCGCTTTTCGCATTTTTCTCTCAAATAAGAAAAGAAGGGAAAATCCTCCTCGATTTTAGTTATAAGGGAGGAGATGATAGAATTTCAGACCTGGTTGACAAGGAAGTAAGGGAGCACTTACAAGAACGAGAACTGGGTATGAGTTTTTCAGGCTCCTCACGCCTTCCTCGGCCAATATGGCGGCTAAAATTTATGTCTTTTGTATGGTAAGACGGCAATATACAAGATGTGATTTTTCAATGACCCAGCTCGACTTGCCTTGTTCCCTTTTCCCAGGTTCTCCCTATGAAGCTTAAAAGAGAGTGGACGGTAGCCATCTCGAAATCTATTGAGAAGGGGTTGTGGGGAATGGCGCCCAAAGATCATCCAAGTATTTTACACAAATAACTGCTAGTTTCCAGAAGAAATTATTGTAACTAGCATTCACTTGAATCCTGCTCAAAATTTTGAAGCAAAAAAATACAACATTGTAGACCAGCAGGAAATTATCTCAACCACTGAAACTTCAAATACAAAGACGAGCACTGTAAAATATAATTTAAAGAAAAAACGCAAAGCAGAAAGAACTTGACCAATTTCCAGTCAACTAATCAGTCAGCGTTCGGCTAATAACGCTTATATCGTGTCCTGTGCGTTAAGAATATCTGGTACGCTACCCGTTAATGAAATATGAAAATTCCAAAAGTAACTTCGATTATCTGAAAATCGAACTATGATAATAATGTGCACAAACAGGAAGCACAAACCGTGTGAGTGAACATCGATCGCTTTGAAGGAAGAGACGAACACGAACAAGTTTTTAACACTTTGTTTCCATTAAATAGTTCAGTCATATTACACAATATGAATTCTACTTAATATATACATGTTTTTCTCAGTTCATTTACCCTCCACTTTTTCGTTTCCTCCAACAAAATTTAAGGCTGGGTTTTGAGATTTTCTTTAAAGGTTAAGTTAAGGGAAAATACTCTGGCGCAATATAACTCTGGAGGGGGGCATGCAACTATCCAAGATTTCACCTAAGGCAGAAATGTTTCGCCGCCTTCGATTGCCTCGTGCAACGAAATCAATGAGAAAGAGACTTGTGTCTTGTGGTTCAGAGATCTTGTTTCGGTGATTAAGATCATGATATCCGTGCAAACTTAGCTTAAACGTTTTCGTGACTAATAACTGAATGATACTCGCTACTTCAGTCCTGAACTTTGGCGTTTCATCAATAGTAATGAGCGACTAAAGAGCAACCTTCAAGGCAATCAAATCATAAATTGAAGGGTGCTATCTATCAAACACTCTACTGAACTGGGTAAAAGGGCTGTCATCTGTGTAATAACAATTGTTGGACTCCACAATACGAGTGGTCAAAGCTATTTAACATGTATGTAGATATTGATCAATGTTTAGGTGTTCCTTGTTCGAGGAAGCCGGGATCTCTTTCTATGATAAACAGTTCGTCGTAAACAAGATGCTGGTGTTGAAAATCCTATCACTTTTAAGGCTCGACTTTTTTCACACCGGTAAAGGTTCCTCTAAATTGTCCCCACCAGAGAACAAGGCCTGCTTGTGCAATGTCACAGTTTGCCTTCTGAGTTGCAATTTCATCCCCTGAAAGGACTCTGCTCCAAAGATTGACTTCTGTTACCTCACCCGGACCAAAGCTCTGTGCGCTATTAAAGCCCCCTCCGACTCTATCTTGATCTTGTCCAATGACAACTGTTCCGCCGGCTGGTATCTGATGATTTTTCTTCTGTTCTGTTCCATTGCTTTGAAGTTGTCCATCCATATAAAACTGCCAATTGCCTTTGGTGTTTTCCCAGGTAACACAAATGTGATGCCACATGGTATCATAAATTTTGTTTCTGGTGTCTGTTTCACTAAGAAAATGAACATAAACAATTAAAACTATGTTAGAAACTCTCGTTTCTTGACTGACTGCGGTCCAATTGTGGAATCAAGATATATATATATATATATATATATATATATATATATATATATATATATGTATGTATATACATATAGTGCTACATATAGAATAGGAATGCATGTTAACAATGTCGTGTGAGCTGCTGGAATGGGAGATAAATTAAGTTATTTTAATGTCACTTAACTTTTTTAAATTCCATTGCTATTTATTTCATTCGATCTCCAACACGCCATAGCTTTTAATTTTGTCACTAACAACGATTTAATCACTAGACACCTTTAATTATTTATTTAAAGTCGCTTGGGAGCAAAAACAAGAGAACGTGATTGTTAACAACGCCAAATACAATCAGAAGCCTCGATAATACTCCGCTGGGAGCACTTTAGCCCATTGCGGAAACAGGCATATCATTTTTTTGAAGCTGAGCCAAGGACCCTAGTATTAATACTCCTACGAGTCGCTTTATTTTAAGAAAACCGGGATACGGTTTGGCTGGATGGCCGACTTGACTCGAGTACAGACTTTATCTATCGTGTTTGTCATATTACTTACTCATTTGCCGAGGCTATGGCGATCCTAATTCCTGGGTTAAACAGACGAACGCAGAAGGCATTCCCAGCAGGTGCTCCAGTAGTCGCATAACTGTAGAGGTACTGTTCTCCAATCACATTTGTATCCTTCATTTTGACAAAAAGGCACATAGTAAATTCCGAGAGACTAGACGAGGTGGCGTTTGTTATGCTGGCGTAACTCTTTGTGCTAGGCTGTCCAAAGACCATTCGGTAAGCTGTAGGAAACAACAAAACACAATGTTCTTTACTCCAGTTTCACTGAAATGACAAAGCAACTCTTAAATTGGATGAATCTCACTGCGAAATTTCCGGATTAGTCTTGTTTCAGAAATTATTTTATATCTCGTGTCCGCTACCGGATCACGTACGTAACTGATAAACACTAAGTGCAAAGGGTTCTGTCTAAAAAGGACAACTCTTTACGAAATAAATAGGCCAGAGAATTCGGAATGAGAGGATTATTCAGCCGGGAGGGGACATACAAAAGTAATCCTAACGGTTATTGCAACAGATACCCAGAGTAAAGATTGTCTTTGTTTTTTGAAAAATCTTGCTTTGGCTTCCGCATGGCTAACACGCACGCCAGAAAGAAAGATAGAAGAAAAAGTACCTTGAGCGCTCTGAGATGTCAAAGGTAGCTTGTGGTGTTCTCCTAAATAGGTGAGCTCGTTTGAAAGTATTCTGACTTCTAAAGCCAAAAAAACCTTGAGGTATAAACTTTTCACACAATTTAAAATCCAATAGTTACTTTCTAGTTCTTGAACTACTTAACCCCTAAGAGTGACTAGCACCTAATTTCTCCATACAACATCAGCGCTGAATCAAACATCAAGGTCATGAGAATAAAGGAAATGATCACCAACAAAAGAAGCTTTTGATCGGTAAACAAACTCTCCTCGTCAGCACCTTAGGAAATGTATAGAGAACAGTATGGAGAATAGGCATACTGATGTTATGGTGTGAAGAGTTAAAAAGCGATGGATTGGATTAATATAAGTATGTGAGCAATTGCGCACTTACCCCTCCCCCAACATTAACCTTAACTTGTTATCAATTGACGATTGTTGGGTTAAGGGAGAGGTAGGAGCGTAGTTGTTCAGATACCGTTTACAGCTTCCTGTTGCTGATGATTATTAGTTAACGAAAATTTTTATGAGAAATCGTTATCAAAATAAAACATCTGCGTATTCTGTCTTCAAGAACCTTAATTAATGTTCCATCTAGAACTTTCTAAAATGTTGAATTGTCATCCACATCTCCACGAGAACTTCTCTTTGTAGAAGGAAGCTTGCGCTCTCAGAATATGTCATCAAAATACGATACACGTCGTCTACAAACCTGATGAGCAAGACAGGCCTTCAATCTTTTCACACTGTGTCCCGTAAAATCCTGGTGCACAGCTGCAGTTATATTCGTTGACTTCGTCTGTGCAAGTTCCATTGTTTTTGCAGGGATGGCTGTCACAGGTAACTTTTTGCGATTACAAGATAACATTTCAAAAGAGTTGTTGTCAGTAAAAAGAAGCTACGTCATATGGCGTCTGACCTACCGATCTTCAAACCATATATGATTAAGGTGGTCTAGCTAATAACGCTGAATCGAATTAAATCTCTTAAAGCATGAGCGTTACAAAAGAAAAACAATGCGAAAACTTTTAAGGAAAAGATCTCATTAAGATAGCGTTCGAACGCGGTTTATTTGCTTGTTTGCAGAAAACCGTCTCGCTACATTTTTTCAATTGTCGCACATAAACGTAACAGGAAAACTGCTCTCAAGCTTTTCTCGACAGGCAGCACTTTACAACTTCTTTCTACTTTACAAATTTGTTTCTTACACAGATCAGCACAAGTTTCTCCGGTCCAAGGGGGCTTGCATTCGCATGAATAAGTTTGCTTTTTCTCGTCATAAAAACACACACCACCATTTAAACAGGTGCTGGCTGCTAGTCGGCAATCCTAAATAGAAAGAGTAGCCGATGGAATAATGAGAAGAATATAAATAAACATAAATATGCTTCAAAATAAGTTCACTTTCCTTCATGACGGATTAAAAACAATTGGCTGGAAAATAGTCACGCTCTCAACTACGGTTTTTTCGTTATCTCCTAGATCCAGCTCCAACAACCGGGTGGGTATCAAGCCTACCCTATCGCCAAATTTAACGAAACATTTTATCTGTCCTTGCCAATTCTTCAACAAACTTCTGAATTATGATTTACAAGGTGGTAATGCGTTTATAGGCAAAAACAACAAAAAAAAAAACACTGGCTGTCTAAAAGTTTTGCTTTTAACTACGCATTTAGTCAACATCTACAAGTACCTGTATTGACTTCTGCCAAACGAAGTCAAGGCATGTTATTTTATTAATGGTCTAGCTTCTATAAACTTCAGTTAAAAACTACTATATATTCAAACACAGTAACATGCGATTCGCTGCAACCCCAAGCTTTTACTTACGGTGGAGTTATTGCACTTTTTTGTGATGCAAATGAGAAACAAACAAGAGCCCACCAGCCGTTTGGGGACGGCATATAATTTCAAATATCTCGATCAAAACATGGTGTTTCTAAATTCCTACATTTGCTGGAAAAGGATTTCATTTAAAAGGGAATAAAAGAAAGTGTATGTGCCATTTCCAAAACTTGCTTCTGCTGGCAAGCATCAGTTCTAGTTTTTTTGTTCTTTACAAAAATTTGCATAATTAGTGAATGGTTTCTTTAAGGTGCATAACATTTGCAGTTGATTTTACCTATCACCAAACGCCCGATGGAATATTTTTCTTCATCTCTTCTTGTTATTATTGTCCTTAGTTAGTTAAAGGAGAAGTATTTTTCCGTTTTCATGAAAAAGAACTTCTAACTTTCATGCTAAACCGGTAATCGATGAATGCTATCACCAAAGGTCTCAAACGTCGGCGGGGAAACAAAATATTTGTTTGGTGCAACCAGCTTGTTTTTGCGGCTCACGAACTGCATGAGGTGGGTGGATCTTTTCACAGAAAAGGGCGTTAACGAACAACTAAAACAAAGGGTTGAAAATTATGGGTATAGAAATGAAAACGATTATTCTTACTAGTTCTCTTTGGTCGTTATGCAGGTTGTGTGTCTGGTACTACAACTCGGCGTAAAAATTCAGTTTTCAATCATCTTTGGATTTTAGTTTTTTTTATTCATAATTTTTATTGAATTCTGGAGCTCTCCGAAAAAAAAGATCGCACTGAAGACCTCTGCCTAATTAAGGGTTTATTTTCCTGAAGTAAAGGAAGAGTTAAACTGTAAAAATGAAAACTTGCTTAATTACAAGACTTTTCAAAATAGACGAATTGGTGACTAACCTGCAGATGATTAAACTTGGTATCACTGAATACATTGAAAACGATCGAAACATTGCAATTATTTACCTTAATAAGTGTTGAGAAAATGACTTCCGCCTCGAACTGTAAATGTGTGTTTTCTTTGATAACGTCGTGCTTGTTTAGTTCACAAGTTCCTTTGCCATCAGACTTGGAAGTTTGAGGAGTAAGTTTGAAGTTTGTTGAAGTACACCAGGCGTTTTTCAAACAAGACTGACTACACCAAATTTGACTGGTCGACTTAAACCGTTTCACGACAAAACCTTTAAGCCGCTTATTTGTCAATGTTGTGAAATATGTTGAACGAGAAAGGGCAGACGATTCTACTCCTGCGTGGAAAATTGCGAAGAGTAATATAACTCCTCGAAAGAAGACAAAGAGGGAAGTGTTTTCAAGTCCCATCGCGAAAAATGTCATTACAGAATAAGTCTGTTTACTGTCTTTGCCGATGTCTTTAAAGATGTACCCACGCAATCCCAATTTTGATTAGTCAACTTCAACGTAATTTAAGTGCTTATTTGTACAAATTGCACGAGAAACCATTTTGTTACTTATTAATAATTTATATAAAAAAACGCATAACAGACAGTCAAAACGGACAAAACTTTGCATTTGAAATTTGCATTCGTGCCATAACTTTGCGCTCGTGTTACATGAAAAAATACACTCGTTTTCGACCAATCGGACGCGCGTGACTTTTTGATGTATATTAATACATATTAAATTCAAAATGAAATGATTCAGTTGCGTGAATCACTAGAATTGTAAGGTCAAGTCTGGAAGCCTAAACAATACTAAATCATTTAAAGCTCTGACAAATTTTTGTTGGAACTATTTTCAAATTATCGACTGACATTAAAAATCGGCTTCATGAAAACCTGAATTATTCAGATTATTTACCTAGCGTCAAACGTTTATGAGATAAAAAGCACGAAAATACATGCTAAGATCAAAATTAGAAAAGGACTTGCTTAAAGTGGGCTCGTATTGCATAGGCTACACCTTCCATGACAAATACACCACTTTGACCGACACTGAAATTGGTAGTTTTGAGGAATACGCCACGCTTCGTAACAAGCAAACAAAAAGAAAACAGAATTTCTGACAATATGACATCTTCTAAACGGAAACTAGGTGAATTCATCACCAAGCGCAACAAGCGCATACTACATAAATTCACGACAGAACTTTACCATCTTCATTCTACTGTTCAAAATTGTTCTTACCCTGCTTAGCACAAGTTTCTCCGGTCCAAGACGGCTTGCACTTGCATGAATAATTTTGTTTTTTCTCGTCGTACACGCAAGCACCTCCATTTTTACAACTGTTGGTTATTTGGCAGCCCTAACAAGAAGCAGTAACAGACAATACGTCGTAAAAAAACCGTTCAGAACACGAATATGAATGTACTTTGGAATTATTACCAAGATGTGCTCAGCTAGCTTTCGAGCTCGATGTAAAATTTCGGACCTAAAATTAATTGCCGTATCAATGAAAATGTAATAGTCGATTTCTGCCGTTATTTGGCCTGTAACAAAGAATAATGCATTTAAAATTATATAAAGAGGGTAAGTTTCTAAAGAAATTCGATAGACAACCGGAAAGTTAAGTATTTTTTAAGTATTTTCTTTGAAACATCCATTCCTTCATGTAATGGGTCACTTCTGATCCATCCAATCACCAATCTACACCTCTATCTATTTCATATCAGTAGAGATCAATGAAATCAAATTAGAGAAGATCTCCATAATGCACTGATATCAGTTTCAAAAGGAAAATTGAGCTCGCCTTTCATTGAATAGCTGTTTCGATGCCGGAAGCCTAATGTGCCAAAATTTATCATCTGTTTTGGCAGAACTTAGACAAAAAGACGAAACAAACAAAAACAACAAACCCGTTCGCTTACCATGTCGCCTGCACAGATTACAATTTTGTTAAACTACATTTCTCTAGAAAAAACAGCTTCTGAGGCCTGCACAGTATATGTTACCTTCATTCCGAAAGATTTTGCCATTAAAATTCAAAATGCTAGCACATAGGCTGAATAGTAGGCGATAAGACCACATATTTTGTCAAACACATTTTACACGCCAGAAAAATATTTTGTTAAGACCGACAGAAGCAAGTCAATGTCTTCTTTCTTCGGCTTATGCTGAAATTAATCAGTCTTTGCGGCGTCTGATAGCTTTAGATTCTCGGTGTTTTAATTCCTGAGCGAAATATTTGGCATGTTTCCAGAAGTAAGAAAAAAGCTGTGGTTCTGGTCATGGTGAATGAAGTTTATGAACAGACATATTTGCATAAATAATGATTCATATAAGCCGGCATTACCTTATTCAAGATGAGGTTTGCCCTTCATCGAAGAAATGGTCAATAATTTTTGTTCTCCTGTGTTTTCCTCGTTGTTTGTCAATTCATGCCATTATTCAAGGCATACATCCATTTCGCTTTCAAAAAAAAAACAGCTCTGATTAAAACCTCAAAACAGAAAAATAAGTGGAAAGGTAGGTTTTTATTGCTTGCATTTCGACTGTATTAAGATCGTGGCATACACGAAATCAAGGATTAAATTTTGTCTCATGCCAGCTGCTCGTAACTCAGAATACTCAAGAATAATGCAGAAATCTAGCGTAAATAGTTTCTCTGTAAAGGAGATTCATTGTTAGCAAATCAAAACGAAAAAAAGCGTTGAGAAGGGTAGTAGTCTTAAAAATGTATGCTAATTTTTTCTAACACACTTTGCCGTGAAGAGCACCTGTTGGCTATTTAGCAATAAATCGAGCCTTTTATCATTTTAGCGACGATATCGCACACGGGATATGTTAGCACAACAATCCCTTTTGACTCATGATTTACAGTAATACTCGTGTTCTCCCAACACCTCATACTAGTTATTAGGCTGGTAAATCGATAGAAAGTGCCGACTAGCGCTTTTTTAAAATAGCTATGCTCTTGGTTTTCTTGTGCAATAACAGTAATTTTTTCCAATCATATACACCCATAATTTGAGGAAATTCAAGACATCTATTTTTCACATCGAAGTTAGGTTTTTGCTCAACTTCAATTATAATGCTGTGGTCATGAATTTTCACTTTCCAGCCTTAAAATTCTAAAAACTGCTAAAAAGAAATGTGGCACTGAAGACTTTAGTTCAAATGAGTCAATTAGCGATATAAAGACACACTAGTTAATTTCAAAATTAATCTCCAATTAACAATTTAAATGTTAATTAAACTGCAGTTGCATCAACTTAATCTTGCGGAGCCTTTTAAAGCCAAATGATTGGCATTTTAGGCTGTTCGTTACCTTAAGAGGCATTGAGAAAGTGGCACCTTCCTCCAACTGCAAATGCATGTTTTCTTTAACAACAGAGCCATCGTGCTTGTTTAGTTCGCAAGTTCCTTTGCCATCAGACTTCGAAATATGAGGAGCAAGTTTGAAGTTTGTTGAAGTACACCAGGCGTTTTTCAAACAAGACTGACTGCACCAAATTTGACCAGGAGACTCAAACCGTTTTACCACAAAGCCTTTAAGCTGCTTATTTGTCAACGTTGTGAAGTATGCTGATCCAGAAACAGTGGATGACTCTAATGCGGTGATGAAAACTGCGTAGAGGAGCAACAATCCTCGAAAAAGAACAAATGGAGGAGCGTTTACAGGTTCCATCACCTCAACCTTCAATGTTTGTTGAAGGCTTCAGTCAAGAGTTTACACACGACCACTTACCACGATTTTTTTCATCGTTCGATTTACGTAGGGAAAATTTGCGGAGACGTTCATTTATACTCGCCCACGCAATTAACTCTTTGCAATGTAAATTTATGCTTGATTGCCAGGCGGTGTGTGCACTCTGATTGCGTTGCATCATGGTCGTAAAATGAAAAATAAGTCATTTGCATCCTGTCGTGGTCAAGTGAACATCTCTGGTAGCAGCAAGATAGCGTGAATAAACGTGGAATTTAATGAAAATTCACTGTCTGTTGCAGTTCCTTCGAAAGTTAAAAAGTGTTCGCGGGCCTGTCCGACTCCTGTTATTCCTCCGTGACAAATTCGTTGTTAGGAGGTAATTGAAGACATTCAGAAAGAATCGAAACTGCAGTCTTGCCTGATAATCTATTCGTTTGGCAGCAGTTTCACACATAGCTGATAGCTGTGTGAATAATATCAAATCCGCGAGTAATTTAACGGAGAATCGTTCCTTGACATGCAAATGCATTCCAAAGAGGCAGCGACCTTCTAATACACGAATTATTTTCCATGTCATACACTTAAGGGCGTGAATACGGAATTCGCGAAAGGAGAAGCCTTACACCTCCTAACACCAAATTCGTCACGTTCAACGTTTATTAAAAAATGTACAGAGTTTCAAATATGCTTAAAGAATATAAAATACCTAGAATAAGGTTTTGACAAACGTATCTTTGGAGTTATATTCTGCGGGAGAGACTGATACTTAAAAAAAAAAAGCGCGCTCACATGAAAATATTACCTTTTGTAACACAATCTCGTCATCTCTTCTTAAAACTAACCCTTAACACCACATCGTAAATGGAATTCATTAAAGGATATCGTTATAACAGCTAAGCCCTTCAGGTTAGAAGATTTAAAAGTGCAAGCGAATGGCAGAAGTCGCTCTAGCAATCAACACCGTTTAACGATCGACTACCTTTTGCTTTCCGGCTTACCCGGTGTGTCACCGTGCTCATTGTAGAGTTATTCATTGGTCAAGTGATTCCGTTAATGGCTCAAATTCAACTGTCCTTCATTTAATGATCAAGACAGTAGATTTACCATACAACACTCGCGATAAGTTAATTTCCTTTTACTTAGGAAAGTAGATTTACAACACAATTGACTATATAATAGTAACGCTGTGTAACGCAACAATAAGCCTTTTCTCGGCCATAATCGGTCTCAAACACCCGCACTTAAAATGCGAGAAACGCATGTGCCGTTGGAGAGCATTTGAGAGCGTTTGGTCAGGGCTCTTAAAGAAGGATCAAAGCGGCCATCCAAATCTTTGAAAGGCTCCAAACTACGACGTACATCAAATTTGACCTTCTTGAAATCCGGTCTCAAATTACATACAAAAAAACAGTGATCGCGTTTGTCCTTGAGAACCATAGAATAGGGGACAAATACGAACAAAAAATACTTTTACACATTCAGAATAAATCAAATAACATTTACCTATGGTGAAAGGAAAAAGGAACGGCCTAACTTTTACGGAATGTTCAGTCAAAATCTGCCGAATTCTGCTGCTTTCACCGCTATATTGAAAATGAAGCTACCACAATGCAACGTAATCGGAGTGCGCACACCGCCTGCTTGATTGCCAATTCTACAGTGAGGAATGAAAAACATGCTGATTTTCAATTAACCAAAAAGTGTCGATTGGTCGAGAGAACATTAATTAAACTCCAACAAAGCGAAATTGGAATTAAGAATACAAGGTTGCACACTCCCAGAAATCTTTTAAGCTGATTTATTGTTCCCTTAAGAAGAAACAAGCACTCCTCGATTTCATGACATCTTTACACGCATCGTAAGGGTTTGCGCAATGTTTTGAAAAAAAAAAAACTACCCATGCTTGCATACTTATTCCAAATTGCACGGTTGGTTATAAACTTATTACCTACCTATGATCATCACCTCGTGGTGGAAAAGCAAACCTTTCCCATCAAATTGCCTGTCATCTTGCAGAAAACGTCCGAGACGTTTGGGCAAGTGTATGCAGTCTAATCGTGATTCATAGTAGCCCTGTGTATTAGCAGCATTTTAATGTGTATTTTGAGTCAACTTGAAGAGAAAGGTATCTTGTATCGTGATTACAGCATGAACGACGTTTCTTTTGACATTCGTGGTAATGAAGTCAGAAAACATTTACCAGCGAAACGCATTGTTGTATAGTATGAAGTTCGATCGTATTTAGAGTCGTGCGACAACATTCGCACCGTTTAGTGTCCATTGTAAATAACACTGTATGGAGATACTTCCTAAATATTTTCTATTAGGACTTAAAGAAGTCTAGTGTTTTTTAACGTAAATCCAAAATACACAGCTCCCTCATAATTTTAGTGTAGATAATCGAAACAATTGCTTTCCAAAGGTAAGGGGTCTCAGTCGGGTTAGCTGTTAGCCGTGAAACGGCGAAAAAAATAATTTTTAGGGATAAAAAGTGATAAATTTAACCATTAGTCGTAAAAAAAAGTTAACCCCCAAAATTTTATCTTTTAATTGCAACGGAAAGAAATTAATCGCTCGACGTAAAATGACTAAAATTTTTAACTGTTAACCGTAAGAATCAATGCCCTGTAGAGACCCTCAAGTTAAATTTACCTTGTAACTTAAGTAAACATAGTTATTATTTATGACTTAAGAAGAATAAATGCAACCTTATTGTTAATAGTGACTGTACTATATATTGGGTAAGTACGCAATCTAATCGTGAATAGAGTAATTCATAGTATCCCGCGTGTAACAATTTTATAAGTACGCCGCAAAATTTCCAATGTAAGAAAAAAATACAACAAGAAACCCCCCTCCCCCCCCCCCCCCCCACCCCTTTCTTCTTGATAACACGAAGGTGATTAATTTGGTTTTGGTTTTGCGGCACCCAGTTGAAATACGTATTTGTATTATTTATGTAACATTGGTATTGTGATTGATGTCGCAAATCTTATTAAAAATATTGTAAATAGTAAATAGTACGTAGAATATAAATGAACATATGAAATTAAAAAAAAGAAATTAAACATAAAACTTTAAGTTGGTTCTTCTTCAAACTTCATCAATTAACATCCTTTACGACAGCACATTACAACTACCTTTATTATGAACAAATCAACTTTCAGCTGAATGTCGTTATCAGTTCCAACCCGTTGATATTATTTCAAATATTACTTTGGTTGCACTTGCGGTTACTTAAAAACATAATCAATTACGATTACAAATGAAAAGACAAGACAAAGGTACGTAGGAAGGTTTTGTGACTTAGACACAATTTATGGAAAACGGTGGAAATCAAAAGTAATGTTAATCCTTTACAACTTAAACACGAATGGCAAAAAATCAACGATGACTCTCTTTTAAATGATCCTAAAAATAGAGAATTTTTTGCTCAGTTACATGCTTGTGTGAAAATTGATTAGCTAAATATAACAATGGCCTTCAAGGTGCGTTTTTTGATGCATTTGAATATTTCCTGGCCGTCACTTCCGTTAGGGACCTTAGTAGCTCTCAGCCTCTCTGGTTTGTTTCCCGAGCGCTTTTCGCATTTTTCTCTAAAAAAAAAAAAAAAAGAAGAAAAATCCTCCTCGGTTTTAGTCATAGGGAGCAGATGACACAATTTCAGACCTGGTTGACGAGGAACTAAGGGAGCACTTACAAGAACAAGAACTGGGTATGACTTTTTCAGGCTCCTCACGCCTTCCTCGGCCAATATGGCGGCTAAAATTTATGTCTTTTGTAAAGTAGGACGACCGTGTCCAGGATGAGATTTTCCAATGACCCAGCTCAACTTGCCTTGTTCCCTTTTTCCCAGGTTCTCCCTATGAAGCTCAAAAGAGAGTGGGCGGCAGCCATCTCGAAACCTATTGGGAAGGGGTTTGTGGGTAATGGCGCCCAAAGATCATCCAAGTAATATGCTCACATAATTGCTCGTTTCTAGGAGAACTTATAGTAACTAGCATCCATGTGAATCCTGCTCAAAATTTTGAAGCCAAATAATACAACATTGTAGACCAGCAGGAAATTATTGCAGCCATTGAAACTTCAAATACAAAGACGAGCACTGTATAATATAATTTAAAGAAAAACGCAATGCAGAAAGAACTTGACCAATTTCCAGCCAACTAATCAGTCAGCGTTTGGCCAATAACGCTTACGTCGTGTCCTGTGCGTTAAGAATATCCGGTACGCTATTCATTAACTAAGTATGAAAATTCCAAAAGTAACTTTGATTATCTGAAAATTGAACTATGATAGTAATGTGCACAAATAGGAAGCGCAAACCGTGTGAGTGAACATCGATCGCTTTGAAAGAAGAGACGAACACAAACAGGTCTTATGACGCTTTGTTTTCCTTAAATAGTTCAGTCATATTACACAATATTAATTCTACTTAATATATACGTGTTTCGCTCAGTTCATTTACCCCCCACTTTTTCGTTTCCTCCAACAAAATTTAAAGCTGGGTTTTGAGCTTTTCTTTAAAGGTTAAGTTAAGGGAAAATACTCTGGCACAATATAACTCTGGAGGGGGGCATGCAACTATCCAAGATTTCACCTAAGCCAGAAATGTTTTTCATCCTCTCTTTTACCGCCTTCGATTGCCTCGTGCAACGAAATCAATGAGAAAGGGACACAACTTGTGTCCTGTGGTTCAGAGATCTTGTTTTGGTGATTAACATCATGATATTCGTGCAAGCTTAGCTTAAACGTTTCCGTGACTAATAACTGAATGATACTCGCCACTTCAGTCCTGAACTTTGGCGTTTTATTAACAGTAGCGAGCGACTACAGAGCAACCTTAAGGCTATCAAATCATAAATACAAGGACGCAATCTATAAAACAGTCTACTGAACTGGGTAAAAGGGCTGTCATCTGTGTAATATCAATAATAATACTAGTGGTCAAAGCTATTTAACATGTACGTAGATATTGATCAGTGTTTAAGGTGTTCCTTCCTCGAGGAAGCCGGGATCTCCTTCTGTGATAAACAGTTCGTCGTAAACAAGATGGTGGTGTTCAAAATCCTATCACTTTTAGGGCTCGACTATTACCACACTAGTAACGTTTCCTTTGAACTGTAACCACCAGAGGACAAGGCCTGCTTTTGCGATGTCACAGTTTGCCGTCTGAGCTGCAATTTCATCCCCCGAAAGGACCCTGCTCCAAAGATTGACTTCAGTTACCTCACCCGGCCCAAAGCTATCTTTGATATTAAAGCCCCCTCCGACTTTATCTTGGTCTTGTCCAATGACAACTGTTCCGCCAGCTGGTATCTGATGATTTTTTTTGAAGTCAGTTCCATTGCTTTTAAGTTGTCCATCCAGATAAAGCTGCCAGTCGCCTTTGGTGTTTTTCCAGGCAACACAAACGTGATGCCACATGGTATCATTAATTTTGACTCCGCTGTCTATATCACTTAGAAAATGAACATAACAATTAAAACTATGTTAGAAACTCGTTTCTTGACTGATTGCGGTGATATTCAATGTGGCATCAAGATTGGTTGTTCACCTTTATTTGTACTGTTTCGGCCTTCTGGGCCTCATCACTGCTATGAACTATACATATATATATATACATATACATAGTGCTACATATAGAATTGGAATGCGTGTTGACAACGTTGTGTGAGCTGCTGGAATGGGAGATATATTTTAAGAGCGTCACTTATTTATTTTATTCGAAAAGAGAAAGACTCCGTTTTTGCGGGAATTCACTGTGCATTTTTTCTTGCTCACGGAAATTCTCAAACTCCATGCACTCAATTTTCAACACGCCATAGCACTTAATTTTGTCACAATGATTAAACCACTAGACTCGTTTAATTATTTATTTTTAAGTCGATTGGGAACAAAAACAAGAGAACGTGGTTGTTAACAATGCCAAATACCATCGTAAGCCTCGATAATACTCCGCTGGGAGCACTTTAACCTATTGCGGGAACAGGCATATTATTTTTTTGAGGTGAGCCAAGGTAAGTGTGAATCTCGCGTGAAGCTCAAAAAATTCATCTTCATGTCCCTTTCTCGCGCGTAATTCGCCATTCATTCCGGTATATTTTTTACTTCTCTTCTATCTTGTTCTATTGCGTTATTGTGTTGTGTTCTTGGGTGAAAGAGTTTATTCTCGCAGTGCTTCACTCCACCCAGGAGTATTACGGCACATTGTCGGGGAAACCGAATAAAATGCTGAGATTGCAATAGATTAGCATCCCATACAGGGGTAAACCGGTATACGGTTTGGCTGGATGGGCCACTTGACTCGAGTACAGACTCTTTCTATTGTGTTTGTCATATCACTTACCCATCTCCCCAGGTGTCTATAGAAATCCTAATTCTTGGGGAAAGCAGACAAACGTAGAAGGCATTCCCATAAGGTGCTCCAATAGTCGCATAACTGTAGAGGCACTGTTCATTACTCAAATTTGTATCCTTCATTTTGGCAAAAAGGCACATAGTAAATTCCGAGAGACTAGACGAGGTGGCGTTTGTTATGCTGGCGTAACTCTTGTTGGTAGGCTGTCCAAAGACCATTCGGTAAGCTGTAGGAAACAGCAAAACACAATTTTCTTAACTCCAGTTTCACTGAAATAGCAAAGCAACTCTTAAATTAGATGCATCTTACGGCGAAATTTCCGGATTAATCTTGTTTCAGGGATGACTTTCTATTTCATGTCTGCTACCGGATCACGTACGTAATTAATAAACATTAAGTGCAAAGGGTTCTGTCTAAAAGAAAAACTCTTTACGAAATAAATAGGCCAGAGATTTCCAAATGAGAGGATTATTTAGCCTGGAGGGGACATACAAAAATAATCCTTACGGTTGTTGCAACAGATACATAGAGTTAAGATTGTCTTTGTTTTCGAAAAATCTTGCCTTGGCTTCCGCATGGCTACCATACACGCCAGAGAGAAAAATACAAATATATACCTTGAGCGCTCTGAGATGTCAAAGGTAGCTTGTGGTGTTCTCCTAAATAGGTGAGCTCGTTTGAAGTTATTCTGACTTCTAAAGCCAAATAAACCTTGAGGTATAAACTTTTCACACAATTTAAAATCCAATAGTTACTTTCTACTTCTTTTACCCTTTAACCCCTAAGAATGACTAGCACCTAATTTCTCCATACAACATCAGCGCTGAATCAAACATTAGGGTCATGAGAATAAAGGAAATGATCACCAACCAAAGAAGCTTTTGATCGGTAAACAAACTCTCCTCGTCAGCACCTTAGGAAATGTATAAAGAACAGTATGGAGAATATGCATACTGATGTTATGGTGTAAAGAGTTAAAAAGCGATAGATTAGATCAATATAAGTATGCGAGCAACTGCACACTTACCCCTCCCCTAGCCCAACATTAACCTTAACTTGTTATCAATTGACGATTGTTGGGTTAGGTGAGGGGTAGGAGCGCAGTTGTTCAGATACCGTTTACAGCTTCCTGTTGCTGATGATTATTAGTTAACGAAAATTTTTATGAGAAATCGTTATCAAAATAAAACATCGGCGTATTCTGTCTTCCAGAACCTTAATTAATGTTCCATCAAGAACTTTCTAAAATGTTGAATTGTGAACCACATCTCCACGAGAACTTGTCTTTGTAGAAGGAAGCTTGCGCTCTCAGAATATGTCATCAAAATACGATACACGTCTCTACAAACCTGATGAGCAAGACAGGCCTTCAATCTTTTCACACTGTGTCCCGTAAAATCCTGGTGCACAGCTGCAGTTATATTCGTTGACTTCGTCTGTGCAAGTTCCATTGTTTTTGCAGGGATGGCTGTCACAGGTAACTTTTTGCGATTACAAGACAACATTTCAAAAGAGTTGTTGTCAGTAAAAAGAAGTTACATCATATGGCGACTGACCTACCGATCTTCAAACCATATATGATTAAAGCGGTCTAGCTAATAACGCTTTTGAATCGAATTAAATCTCATGAAGCATGAGCGTAACAAAAGAAAAAAAACAATGCGAAAACTTTTAAGGAGAAGATCTCATCAAAATAGCGTTCGAACGAAGTTTGTTTGCTTGTTTGCAGAAAACCGTCTCGCTACATTTTTTCAATTGTCGCACATAAACGAAACAGGAAAACTGCTCTCAAGCTTTTCTCGACAGGCAGCATATTACAACTTCATTCTAATTTATAAAATTGTTTCTTACACAGATCAGCACAAGTTTCTCCGGTCCAAGGGGGCTTGCATTGGCATGAATAAGTTTGCTTTTTTTTCTCGTCATAAAACACACACCACCATTTAAACAGGTGTTGGCTGCTAGTCGGCAATCCTAAAAGAAGGAGTAGCCGATGGAATAATGAGAAGAATATAAATAAACATAAATATGCTTCAAAATTATTTCACTTTCCTACTGACGGATTAAAAACAATTGGCTGGAAAATAGTCACGCTCTCAACTACGGTTTTTTTGTTATCTCCTAGATCCAGCTCCAACAACCGGGTGGGTATCAAGCCTACCCTATCGCCAAATTTAACGAAACAATTTATCTGTCCTTGCCAATTCTTCAACAAACTTCTGAAATATGATTTACAAGGTGGTAATGCGTTTATAGGCAAAAACAACGGAAAAAAAAACACTGGCTGCCTAAAAGTTTTGCTTTTAACTACGCATTTAGTCAACATCTACAAGTACATGTATTGACTTCTGCCAAACGAAGTCAAGGCATGTTATTTTATTAATGGTCTAGCTTCTATAAACTTCAGTTAAAAACTACTACATATTCAAACACAGTAACATGCGATTCGCTGCAACCCCAAGCTTTTACTCACGGTGGAGTTATTGCAATTTTTTTGTGATGCAAATGAGAAACAAACAAGAGCCCACCAGCCGTTTGGGGACGGCATATAATTTCAAATATCTCGATCAAAACATGGTGTTTCTAAATTCCTACATTTGCTGGAAAAGGATTTCATTTAAAAGGGAATAAAAGAAAGTGTATGTGCCATTTCCAAAACTTGCTTCTGCTGGCAAGCATCAGTTCTAGTTTTTTGTTCTTTACAAAAATTTGCATAATTAGTGAATGGTTTCTTTAAGGTGCATAACATTTGCAGTTGATTTTACCTATCACCAAACGCCCGATGGAATATTTTTCTTCATCTCTTCTTGTTATTATTGTCCTTAGTTAGTTAAAGGAGAAGTATTTTTCCGTTTTCATGAAAAAGAACTTCTAACTTTCATGCTAAACCGGTAATCGATGAATGCTATCACCAAAGGTCTCAAACGTCGGCGGGGAAACAAAATATTTGTTTGGTGCAACCAGCTTGTTTTTGCGGCTCACGAACTGCATGAGGTGGGTGGATCTTTTCACAGAAAAGGGGGTTAAGGAACAACCAAAACAAAGGCTTGAAAATTATGGGTATAGAAATGACAACGATTATTCTTACTAATTTTCTTTGGTCGTTATGCAGGTTGTGTGTCTGGTACTACAGCTCGGCGTAAAAATTCAGTTTTCAATCATCTTTGGATTTTAGGTTTTTTTTATTCATAATTTTATTGAATTCTGGAGCTCTCCGAAAAAAAAGATCGCACTGAAGACCTCTGCCTAATTAAGGGTTTATTTTCCTGAAGTAAGGGAAGAGTTAGACTGTAAAAATGAAAACTTGCTTAATTACAAGACTTTTAAAAATAAACGAATTGGTGACTAACCTGCAGATGATTAAACTTGGTATCACTGAATACATTGAAAACGATCAAAACATTGCAATTATTTACCTTAATAAGTGTTGAGAAAATGACTTCCGCCTCGAACTGTAAATGTGCGTTTTCTTTGATAACGTCGTGCTTGTTTAGTTCACAAGTTCCTTTGCCGTCAGACTTGGAAGTTTGAGGAGTAAGTTTGAAGTTTGTTGAAGTACACCAGGCGTTTTTCAAACAAGACTGACTACACCAAATTTGACTGGTCGACTTAAACCGTTTCACGACAAAACCTTTAAGCCGCTTATTTGTCAACGTTGTGAAATATGTTGATCGAGAAAGGGCAGACGATTCTACTCCTGCGTGGAAAACTGCGTAGAGTAATATAACTCCTCGAAAGAAGACAAAGAGGGAAGTGTTTTCAAGTCCCATCGCGAAAAATGTCATTACAGAATAAGTCTGTTTACTGTCTTTCCCGATGTCCTTAAAGATGTACCCCACGCAATCCGAATCTTGATTGGTCAACTTCAGCGTAATTTAGGCAATAATACTCGGATGCCTAACAGAAAAGATTATACATGATAACCAGCTGAATGACAGGCCGCATAACAGAAAGTCAAAATGGACAAAACTTTGCATTTGAAATTTGCATTCGTGCTATAACTTTGCGCTCGTGTTACATGAAAAATACACTCGTTTTCGACCAATCGGACGCACGTGACTTTTTGATGTATATCAATACATATTAAATTCAAAATGAAATGATTCAGTCGCGTGAATCACTAAAATTGTAAAGTCAAGTCTGGAAGCCTAAACAACACTAAATCATTTAAAGCTCTGACAAATTTTTGTTGGAACTATTTTCAAATTATCGACTGACATTACAAATCGGCTTCATGAAAACCTGAATATTAATATGATCATCCAGTTATTCAAATTATTTACCTAGCGAGACCAAAATTAGAGAAAGGACTTGCTTAAAGTGAGCTCGTATTCCATAGGCCACACCTCCCATGACAAATGCACCACTTTAACCGACACTGAAATTGGTAATTTTAAGGAATACGCCACACTTCGTGACAAGCAAACAAAAAGAAAACAGAATTTCTGACAACATGCCATCTTCTAAACGGAAACTAGACAGGTGAATTCATCATCATGCGGTAAAATAGTAAAGTATTGGATAATTGATCATGAATATTTTTCGTTGAATACACAGCTCCCTCATAATTTTAGTGCAAATAATGCAAAAAAATTGCTATCCAAAGGTAGGGGGTCTCAACTGTCAGTCGTGAAAGAATAGAACTTGGCCGGGGGCGATAAAGATGCTTTTAAACTTGAGAAAATTAAAAGGTGGCGGTATCGAGGATCTGTCAATGGCAAACAGAAGCATATAACTTAAGTTATATGCTAAGTTATATGCTAAGTTATATGCCTGTGTGAAAAATGATTAACTTGGTAAAACAACAGCGCTAAAGAAGCCTTTTTTGATGCATTTGAATGTTTCCTTGCCATCATTTTCGTTAGGGACCTTAGTAGCTCTCAGCCTCTCTAATTTGTTTCCCAAGCTCTTTTCGCATTTTTTCTCTAAAAATAAGAAAAAAGAAAATCCTCATCGATTTTAGTCACAAGGGAGGAGATGATACATTTTTTAGACCTGGTCGACAAGGAAGTAAGGGAGCACTTACAAGAACGAGAACTGGGTATTAGTTTTTCAGGCTCCTCACACCTTCCTCGGCCAATGTGGCGGCTAAAATTTATGTCTTTTGTAAAGGAGGACGGCCATGTCCAATGACTTAGGTCAACTCGTCTTGTTCCCTTTTTCCCAGGTTCTCCCTATGAGTGGACGGTAGCCATCTCGAAACCTACTGAGAAGGGGTTTGCGGGGAATGGTGCCCAAGGATCATCCAAGTATTTTACACAATAGTTCGGTCATATTACACAATATAAATATAACTGCTCGCTTCCAGGAGAACCTATAGTAACTAGCATCCACGTCACGTTCTTGCTCAAAATTTTGAAGCCAAAAAAAAAGATTGTAGATCGGCAGGAAATTATTGCAACCACTGAAACTTCAAATACAAAGAAGAGCTCTGTAAAATTATAATTTAAAGAAAAAACGCAAAGCAGAAAGAATTCGGCCAATTTCCAGCCAACTAATTAGTCAGAGTTCGGCTAATAACGCTTATATCGTGTTCTGTGCGTTAAGAATATCCGGTACGCTATCCGTTAATGAAGTGTAAAAATTCCTAAAGTAACTTTGATTATCTGAACATCGAACTATTATAATAGTGTGTACAAACAGGAAGCACAAGCCGTAAGAGTGAACATCGATCGCTTTGAAGGAAGAGACGAACACGAACAGGTCTTATGACGCTTTGTTTTCATTAAATAGTTCGGTCATATTACACAATATAAATTCTACTTGATATTTACATATTTCGCTCAGTTCATTTACCCTCCACTTTTTCGTTTCCTCCAACAAAATTTAAGGCTGGGTTTTGAGCTTCTCTTTAAAGGTTAAGTTAAGGGAAAATACTCTGGCGCAATATGACTCTGGAGGGGGGAATGCGACTATCCAAGATTTCACCCAAAGCAGCAATTTTTTTATCCTCTCTTTTTCTGCCGCCTTCGATTGCCTCGTGCAACAAAATCAACGAGAAAGGGACACAACTTGTGTCCTGTGGTTCAGAGATCTTGTTTTGGTGATTAAGATCATGATATTCGTGAAAACTTAGCTTGGACGTTTTGTGACTAATAACTGAATGATACTCGCTACTTCAGTCCTGAACTTTGGCGTTTTATCACAGTAACGAGCGACTACACAGCAACCTTAAGGTTATCAAATCATAAACAGAAGAGCACAATCTATCAAACACTCTACTGAACAGGGTAAAAGGGCTATTATCTGTGTAATAACAATTGTTGAACTCCATAATACGAGTGGCCAAAGCTATTTAGCATGTATGTGGATACTGATCAGTGTTTAGGTGTTCCTTGCTCGAGGAAGGATTTCCTTCTGTGATAAACATTTCGTCGTAAACAAGATGGGGGTGATGAAAATCCTATCACTTTTAAGGCTCGACTATTTTCACACCAGTAACGTTTCCTTTAAATTGTCCCCACCAGAGAACAAGGCCTGCTTGTGCGATGTCACAGTTTGCCTTCTGAGTTGCAATTTCATCCCCTGAAAGGACTCTGCTCCAAAGATTGACTTCTGCTACCTCACCCGGCCCAAAGCTATCTTCGATACCAAAGCCCCCTCCGACTTTATCTTGGTCTTGTCCAATGACAACTGTTCCGCCGGCTGGTATCTGATGATCTTTTTTCAAGTCTGTTCCAGAGATTTGAAGTTGTCCATCCAGATAAAGCTGCCAGTAGCCTTTGGTGTTTTTCCAGGTAACGCAAATGTGATGCCACGTGGTATCATTAATTTTGACTCTGGCGTCTGTATCACTTAGAAAACGAACATAAACAATTAAAACTATGTTAGAAACTCGTTTCTTGACTGACTGGGCCTCATCAGTGCAATGCTAATGTTAGGTAGGAGGTGTAAACATTTAGTTACCCCGAATAATTCCACAATTGTGGTATCATCCAACCCATGTTAGAGGACTTGTGAGAATGCACAATGGCGAGACATGACTCCCCCTAAATAGAGTGCTCAATTTGGACATAAAATAAATAAATGACACTCTTGATATATCTCCCATTCCAGCAGCTCACACGACGTTGTAAACATGCATTCCAATTCTATATGTAGCACTATATGCATGTTTACAACTTCGTGTGAGCTGCTGGAATGGGAGATATATTAAGAGTGTCATTTATTTATTTTATTCGAAAAGAGAAAGACTCCGTTTTTGCGGGAATTCACTGTGCGATTTTTCTTGCTCACGGAAATTCTCAAACTCCATACACTCAACTTTCAACACGCCATAGCACTTAATTTTGTCATTAACAATGATTTAACCACTAGACTCATTTAATTATTTATTTTTAAGTCGCTTGTTAACGTGGTTGCTAACAATGCCAAAACCATCAGAAGCCTCGCTAATACTCCACTGGGAGCACTTCAGCCCATTGCGGGAACAGGCATATTATTTTTTTAACGTGAGCCAAAGTAAGTGTGAAACTCCCGTGAAGGAAGGAGCTCAAAGAATTCATCTTCACTTCCCTATCTCGCGCGTAATTCGCCGTTCATTCCAGTATATTTTTAATTCTCCTCTATCTTGTTCTAGTGCGTTATTGTGTTGTGTTCTTGGGCGACAGACTTTATTCTTACAGTGCTTCACTCCACCCAGGAGTATTACGGCACACTGTCGGGGAAATCGAATGAAATGCTGAAATTGCAACAGATAAGCATCCCATCCAAGGGGAAGTATTAATACTCCTATTGGTCGCTTTCTTTAAAAAAAAACCGGTTTACGGTTTGGTTGGATGGGCCATTTGACTCGAGTACAGACTATTTCTATCGTGTTTGTCACATCACTTACTCATTTCCCGAGGCGTCTATAGAGATCCTAATTCCTGGGAAAAACAGACAAACGTAGAAGGCATTCCCATAACGTGCTCCAATAGTCGCATAACTGTAGAGGCACTGGCTACCAATCAAATTTGTATCCTTCATTTTGACAAAAAGGCACATAGTAAATTCCGAGAGACTAGACGAGGTGGCGTTTGTTATGCTGGCGTAACTCTTTATGTTAGGCTGTCCAAAGACCATTCGGTAAGCTGTAGGAAACAACAAAACACAATCTTCTTTACTCCAGTTTCACTGAAATGACAAAGCAACTCTTAAATTTGATGAATCTCACTGCGAAATTTCCAGATCAGTCTTGTTTCAGAAATTATTTTATATCTCATTTCCGCTACCGGAACACGTACGTAACTAATGAACACTAAATGCAAAGGGTTCTGTGTAAAAAAACAACTCTTTACGAAATAAATAGGCTAGAGAATTCCGAATGAGAGGATTATACAGCCGGGAGGGACATGCAAAAGTAATCCTAACGGTTATTGCAACAGATACCCAGAGTAAAGATTGTCTTTTTTTTTTGGCTTCCACATGGCTACCACGCACACCAGAGGGAAAGATACAAAAAAAAGTACTTTGAGCGCTCTGAGATGTCAAAGGTAGCTTGTGGTGTTCTCCTAAATAGGTGTCTGAGCTGGTTTGAAATTATTCTAACCGCTTGAGCCAAGTAAAGTAAAGTGAAGCAAGTGAAATATTCACAATATGTCAAAACGTTCAAGTAAAGTAAAGCAAGTGAAATATTCACAATATGTCAAAACGTTGTGATTTAATCACAGAAGAAGTGGATTGAAAAATGAGTAATCGTTCTGCATGTAAAGTACTAAAAAATACACGCCAATATTCCTGGCAAAATTCTAGGTGTTCTTAATTGAGAGATTGTTATTTGATTTCGCGGCTGATTGTAACTAGATTGTGATGGAATTCTGGCTTGGAAATCTGTAAGTTACGGATTCCGCCTGCGGGGGTTATAGCTATGATTTTGGGAACTAACTGAAAATTTTTTGTTATGATAGGGAGAGGAGTTTACTGAAAATTGATCTCGGCGATTCTTTTGATAGGTAATGTATTGTAAGTAGTGGATTGGAATTAATGTATCGTACGCGAATTTAGTGCAGATAAATATATGTTATTTGCCGGCTGGGAGGTCCGTATGGTGAAAAACTGTGACCGAGGTCTTGAAAATACTGCCCGAGGCCGTAGGCCGAGGGCAGCATTTTCAAGACCTCGGTCACAGTTTTTCACCATACGGACCGACCCTTAGCCGGTAAATAACATATATTTATTGTTTTTAAACTTGACGAAATTCTTTCCGAAAGAACCCGAATGATTTATGGCCGTAAATACGGCAAGATCTTCCATAAACTGAACAATTTTTGAGTGGGTAAATGGTAGTTAAAATAGAGGTGATGCAAATTTAAGAGAGATGCCTCAGCGAAACATTTTCATTTCCGTAAAAGGCTTCCAAACAAACTTTGAAACATTATTTTTACAAGTATCTGTCACAATCTGACACCTGTCAATTAGAGAGCGCGCAAGAAAAAGAAAATCGAAGGAACATTTGAAAACCAACAGAACTAGTATGGCAAGGACTGTCACGACAATGTTTTCTTCAAAATCAGTTAATGATCTAACGGAAAGTATTATTCACTCTCATCGACGATTCATTCATGTACGAAGATTTACCTCTGTTCATTAAGTAAACGGCGAGGAAATTAATTGTGAGTAAATTCAATCTTTTTATTTTGAAGTTGTGAGAGTTTGCTCGTTTGTTTGCTGTAATGGCGTGTTTAACTCTGATCTTTCCTTCACCAAAACTAAATTCGAATGGCACACTCCAACGAGACACAAGGGAATGTAATGCGGCCTTTTCTCAAAAAATTCCTTCAATTTCTGTTGTGCAATTTAAGGTACAAATGTCCAAATTGAACGGAATTGGAAAGACTCACCAGGAGCGTATATTTGTTGTAGAACTTAAATTAAAACTTCGCTCGCTCTTTCACTATGAACAAATTGCTCGAGAAAATTCAGATATTAAATGAATGAAAGTTCCATCGTTCAGTTTAACTGTAACCAAATACCTCACGTTCCAACTTTCTGAGTACTTTTTGTGAACGATTAAAATTAATTGCAGAAGGTTTTTAGGCCGCTTGTCAACCAACGTAATGACACTATTGTTTATACAAATTCATTCTGAAACCAATATTTTTCTGTCAACCAAAGTGATTTGATAGAGAGAAAAGAGAGGATTCATAAGTTATTTATCGGCTTGAGGTAGTGACCGACGTGTTTGCTTAAAAATACTGCCCAGCCGGAAAACGAGGTATATTTATGAAAAATGACAACGAAAGTTGGGATGTACTCGGCGACTCACGAAAGCGTTACCGTGGCCCGTGGGCAGAGATAGGAAAATACTGACCGGGTAAAGAACCAATCAGATTGCAAGATTCGTTACCGTGCCCTCTAAAAAAACAATAATGAAAAATACACTGCATTGCAATAAAAAAGTATTCACAACTGTTGTGTAACTGCCAGGTTTTCAAACTTTGAACGGTAACTGCAACAAGAGACTTCCATATTTTTAATGCATGAGAATACACAAGTTGCCAGCAGCACTTTTTTATACTTAAGTTTCACTTCGCGAGTCAGCTTCTCAGCTTTCCATCCTGGTCTATGCAATAAGCCACTTTGATTACAGCATGAACGACGTTTCTTTTGACATTCGTGGTAATGAAGTCAGAAAAAATGTACCAGCGAAACGCATTGTTGTATAATATGAAGTTCGATCGTATTTAGAGTCATGTGAGAACATTCGCACAGTTAAGTGTCCATTGTAAATAACACTGTGTGGAGATACTTCTTAAATATTTTCTATTAGGACCTAAAGAGGTCTAATGTTTTTTAACGTAAATCCAAAATAGTAACGTATTGGATAATTGAATATTTCTCGTTGAATACACAGCTCCCTTATAATTTTAGGGTAGATAATGAAAACAATTGCTTTCCAAAGGTAGGGGGGTCTCAAAAGGGTTATCTGTTAGCCATGAAACGGCCAAAAAATTAATTGTTAAGGGTAAAAAGTGATAAATTTAACCATTAGTCATAAAAAAAAAGTTAACCGCAAAAATTCCATCTTTTAATTGCAACGGACAGAAATTAACCGCTGGACCTAAAATGGGCAAAATTTTTAACTGTTAACCGTGAGAATCAATGCCCCGTAGAGACCCTTAAGTTAAATTTACCTTGTAACTTAAATAAACGTAGTAAGCATCCATGATTTAAGAAGAATGATGCAACCTTATTGTTAATGGTGACTATGCTACACGTTGGGTAAGTACGTAATCTAATCGTGAATAGCGTAATTCATAGTATCCCGCGTGCAACAGTTTTATAAGTTCGCCACAAAATTTCCAATGTAAGAAAAAACCACAATAACCCCGTCCTTCTTGATAAAACGAAGGTGATTCATTTGGTTTTGGTTTCGCGACAAATACGTACTATCTACATAATATTGGTATTGTGAGTGATGTCGCAAATCTTATTAAAAATATTGTAAATAGTAGATAGCATGTAGAATATAAATGAACGAATGAAATAAAAAAAATTAATTAAACATAAAAGTTGGTTCTTCTTCAAACTTCATCAATCAACATCATTTACGACAACACATTACAACTACCTTTATTATGAACAAATCAAGTTTTAGCCAAATTTCGTCACCAGTTCCAACCCGTTAATACTATTTCAAATATTATTTCAGTTGCAGTGGCGGTTGCTTAAAAACCATAATCAATTAGGATGGAAAGCAAATGAAAAGAAATCCACAACGAAAAAAAAAACAGAGGGAATAAAACCTACAAGGCAAAGATACGTACGAAGGTTTTGTGACTTTGTCAAAATGGATGACAAATGGTGGAAATCAGAAACCGTAACTAATGTTAATCTTGCACGAATGGCAAAAAATCAACGATGAAGCTTTTTTTAAATGATCCTAAACAAAGAGAATTTTTTTTCTAAAAAACCCTATCAGATTTTATATCAGGGTGAGCGAAAGAATATGAAAACAATAGGGGAAAAATGGCATTCAAAACATAAATGCAACTGGGAAAACAGATGAGTTTTTAATTGGGAATGTCTTGGCAACACTAAAGAACTGATGTACTTGTGTTTATCTGGTGACAATTACTAGGTGTAAAGTCTACAGCTACATTTCCATCGGGATCCGATATAATCAGCAATAATGAGAACAAAATCAAAAGAGTTCAGGATAGGATTGCATATGTTTTTCCTTGATAACTAAGGGAAATGAAAGCTTGCGATAAAGACGGTTTTAAACTTAGGAGAATTAAAAAGGTAGCGGTATCGAGGACATTTTAATGGCAAACAGAAGCATATAACCTAAGTTATATGCTAAGTTACATGCTTGTGTGAAAAATGATTAACTGAATAGAACAATGAACTTAAAGGTGCCTTTTTTGATGCATTTGAATATTTCCAGGCCGTCATTTCGTTAGGGACCATAGAAGCTCTCAGCCTCTCTAATTTATTTGCCGAGCGCTTTTCGCATTTTTCTCTCAAATACGAAAAGAAGGGAAAATCCTCCTCGATTTTAGTCACAAGGGAGGAGATGATACAATTTCAGACCTGGTTGACAAGGAAGTAAGGGAGCACTTACAAGAACGAGAACTGGGTATGAGTTTTTCAGGCTCCTCACGCCTTCCTTGGCCAATATGGCGGCTAAAATTTATGTCTTTTGTATAGTAAGACGGCACTATACAAGATGAGATTTTTCAATGACCCAGCTCAACTTGCCTTGTTCCCTTTTCCCAGGTTCTCCCTATGAAGCTTAAAAGAGAGTGGACGGTAGCCATCTCGAAATCTATTGAGGGGTTTGTGGGGAATGGCGATCAAAGATCATCCAAGTATTTTACACACATAACTGCTAGTTTCCAGAAGAAATTATTGTAACTAGCATTCACGTGAATCCTGCTCAAAATTTTGAAGCAAAAAAAAATACAACATCGTAGACCAGCAGGAAATTATCTCAACCACTGAAACTTTAAATACAAAGACGAGCACTGTAAAATATAATTTAAAGAAAAAACGCAAAGCAGAAAGAACTTGACCAATTTCCAGTCAACTAATCAGTCAGCGTTCGGCTAATAACGCTTATATCGTGTCCTGTACGTTAAGAATATCTGGTACGCTACCCTTTAATGAAATATGAAAATTTCAAAAGTAACTTTGATTATCTGAACATCGAACTATGATAATAATGTGTACAAACAGGAAGCACAAATCGTGTGAGTGAACATCGATCGCTTTGAAGGAAGAGACGAACACCAACAAGTTTTTAACTCTTTGTTTCCATTAAATAGTTCAGTCATATTACACAATATAAATTCTACTTAATATATACATGTCTCGCTCAGTTCATTTACCCTCCACTTTTTCGTTTCCTCCAACAAAATTTAAGGCTGGGTTTTGAGATTTTCTTTAAAGGTTAAGTTAAGGGAAAATACTCTGGCGCAATATAACTCTGGAGGCGGGCATGCAACTATCTAAGATTTCACCTAAGGCAGAAATGTTTCGCCGCCTTCGAATGCCTCGTGCAACGAAATCAATGAGAAAGGGACACAACTTGTGTCTTTATATCCGTGCAAACTTAGCTTAAACGTTTTCGTGACTAATAACTGAATGATACTCGCTACTTCAGTCCTGAAATTTGGCGTTTCATCAAAAGTAACGAGCGACTAAAGAGCAACCTTCAAGGCTATCAAATCATAAATTGAAGGGCGCAATCTTTCAAACACTCTACTGAACTGGGTAAAAGGGCTGTCATCTGTGTAATAACAATTGTTGGACTCCACAATACGAGTGGTCAAAGCTATTTAACATGTATGTAGATATTGATCAGTGTTTAGGTGTTCCTTGTTCGAGGAAGCTGGGATCTCCTTCTGTGATAAACAGTTCGTCGTAAACAAGATGCTGGTGTTGAAAATCCTATCACTTTTAAGGCTCGACTATTTTCACACCAGTAACGTTTCCTTTAAATTGTCCCCACCAGAGAACAAGGCCTGCTTGTGCAATGTCACAGTATGCCTTCTGAGTTGCAATTTCATCCCCTGAAAGGACTCTGCTCCAAAGATTGACTTCTGTTACCTCACCCGGCCCAAAGCTCTGTTTGCTTTCAAAGCCCCCTCCAACGCTATCTTGATCTTGTCCAATGACAACTGTTCCGCCGGCTGGTATCTGATGATTTTTCTTCAGGTCTATTCCATTGCTTTGAAGTTGTCCATCCATATAAAACTGCCAGAAGCCTTCAGTGTTTTCCCAGGTAACACAAAGGTGATGCCACATGGTATCTTTAATTTTGTTTCTGGTGTCTTTTTCACTAAGAAAATTAACATAAACAATTAAAACTATGTTAGAAACTCTCGTTTCTTGACTGACTGCGGTCCAATTGTAGCATCAAGATATATGCATGTATATATATACATATAGTGCTACATATAGAATTGGAATGTATGTTAACAATGTCGTGTGAGCTCCTGGAATGGGAGATAAATTAAGATATTTGAATGTCACTTAACTTTTTTAAATTCCATTGCTATTTATTTCATTCGAAAAGAGGAAGACCCCATGCACTCGATCTCCAAAACGCTATAGCTTTTAATTTTTTCACTAACAATGATTTAATCACTAGACACATTTTATTATTTATTTAAAGTCGCTTGGGAGCAAAAACAAGAGAACGTGATTGTTAACAACGCCAAACACCATCAGAAGCCTCGATAATACTCCGCTGGAAGCACTTTAGCCCATTGCGGGAACAGGCATATCATGTTTTTGAAGCTGAGCAAAGGACCCTAAAAAAATTCATCTTCGCGTCTCTTTATCGCGCGTAATTCTCCATTCATTCCGGTATATTTTAACTTCTCTTCTATCCTATTCTATTGTGTTATTGTGCTGTGTTCTTGGGTGACAGACGTTATTCTCACAGTGCTTCACTCCACCCAGGAGTATTACGGCACATTGTCGGGGAAACCGAATGAAATGCTGAAATTGCATTAGCATCCAATCCAGGGGGAAGTATTAATACTCCTACGAGTCGCTATATTTTAAGAAAACCGGGATACGGTTTGGCTGGATGGGCCATTTGACTCCAGTACAGACTTTATCTATCGTGTTTGTCATATCACTTACTCTCCCGAGGCTATGGCGATCCTAATTCCTGGGCCAAACAGACAAACGTAGAAGGCATTCCCATCAAGTGCTCCAACAGTCGCATAACTGTAGAGGCACTGGCGACTAATCGACTTTGTATCCTTCATTTTGACAAAAAGGCACATAGTAAATTCCGAGAGACTAGACGAGGTGGCGTTTCTTATGCTGGCGTAGCTCTTTTCGCTAGGCTGTCCAAAGACCATTCGGTAAGCTGTAGGAAACAACAAAACACAATTTTCTTACCTCCAGCTTCACTGAAATGGCAAAGCAACTCTTAAATTGGATGAATCTCACTGCGAAATTTCCGGATTAATCTTGTTTCAGAAATTACTTTATATCTCATGTCCGCTACCGGATCACGTACGTAACTGATAAACACTAAGCGCAAAGGGTTCTGTCTAAAAAGAACAACTCTTTACGAAATAAATAGGTCAGAGAATTCGGGATGAGAGGATTATTCAGCCGGGAGGGGACATACAAAAGTAATCCTAACGGTTATTGCAACAGATACCCAGAGTAAAGATTGTCTTTGTTTTTTGAAAAATCTTGCTTTGGCTTCCGCATGGCTACCACGCACGCCAGAGAGAAAGATACAAGAAAAAGTATCTTAAGCGCTCTGAGATGTCAAAGGTAGCTTGTGGTGTTCTCCTAAATAGGTGAGCTCGTTTGAAGTTATTCTGACTTCTAAATCCAAAAAAACCTTGAGGTATAAACTTTTCACACAATTTAAAATCCAACAGTTACTTTCTACTTCTTTTACCCTTTAACCCCTAAGAATGACTAGCATCTAATTTCTCCCTACAATGTCAGCGCTGAATCAAACATTAAGGTCATGAGAATAAAGGAAATGATCACCAACAAAAGAAGCTTTTGATCGGTAAACAAACTCTCCTCGTCAGCCAGCACCTTAGGAAATGTATAGAGAACAGTATGGAGAATATGCATACTTATGTTATGGTGTAAAGAGTTAAAAAGCGATAGATTGGATCAATATAAGTATGCGAGCAACTGCACACTTACCCCTCCCCTAACCCAACATTAACCTTAACTTGTTATCAATTGACGATTGTTGGGTTAGGGGAGGGGTAGGAGCGCAGTTGTTCAGATACCGTTTACAGCTTCCTGTTGCTGATGATTATTAGTTAACGAAAATTTTTATGAGAAATCGTTATCAAAATAAAACATCGGCGTATTCTGTCTTCAAGAACCTTAATTAATGTTCCATCTAGAACTTTCTAAAATGTTGAATTGTCAACCACATCTCCACGAGAACTTGTCTTTGTAGAAGGAAGCTTGCGCTCTCAAAATATGTCATCAAAATACGATACACGTCTCTACAAACCTGATGAACAAGACAGGCCTTCAATCTTTTCACACTGTGTCCTGTTAAATCCTGGTGCACAGCTGCAGTTATATTCGTTGACTTCGTCTGTGCAAGTTCCATTTTTTTTGCAGGGATGGCTGCCACAGGTAACTTTTTGCGATTACAAGACAACATTTCAAAAGAGTTGTTGTCAGTAAAAAGAAGCTACATCATATGGCGACTGACCTACCGATCTTCAAACCATATATGATTAAGGTGGTCTAGCTAATAACGCTTTTGAATCGAATTAAATCTCATGAAGCATGAGCGTAACAAAAGAAAAACAATGCGAAAACTTTTAAGGAGAAGATCTCATCAAAATAGCGTTCGAACGAAGTTTGTTTGCTTGTTTGCAGAAAACCGTCTCGCTACATTTTTTCAATTGTCGCACATAAACGAAACAGGAAAACTGCTCTCAAGCTTTTCTCGACAGGCAGCATATTACAACTTCATTCTAATTTATAAAATTGTTTCTTACACAGATCAGCACAAGTTTCTCCGGTCCAAGGGGGCTTGCATTGGCATGAATAAGTTTGCTTTTTCTCGTCATAAAAACACACACCACCATTTAAACAGGTGCTGGCTGCTAGTCGGCAATCCTAAAGAGAAAGAGTAGCCGATGGAATAATGAGAAGAATATAAATAAACATAAATATGCTTCAAAATTAGTTCACTTTCCTACTGACGGATTAAAAACAATTGGCTGGAAAATAGTCACGCTCTCAACTACGGTTTTTTTGTTATCTCCTAGATCCAGCTCCAACAACCGGGTGGGTATCAAGCCTACCCTATCGCCAAATTTAACGAAGCAATTTATCTGTCCTTGCCAACAAACTTCTGAAATATGATTTACAAGGTGGTAATGCGTTTATAGGCAAAAACAAGGAAAAAAAAAACACTGGCTGCCTAAAAGTTTTGCTTTTAACTACGCATTTAGTCAACATCTACAAGTACATGTATTGACTTCTGCCAAACGAAGTCAAGGCATGTTATTTTATTAATGGTCTAGCTTCTATAAACTTCAGTTAAAAACTACTACATATTCAAACACAGTAACATGCGATTCGCTGCAACCCCAAGCTTCTACTTACGGTGGAGTTATTGCACTTTTTTGTGATGCAAATGAGAAACAAACAAGAGCCCACCAGCCGTTTGGGGACGGCATATAATTTCAAATATCTCGATCAAAACATGGTGTTTCTAAATTCCTACATTTTGCTGTAAAAGGATTTCATCTAAAAGGGAATAAAAGAAAGTGTATGTGCCATTTCCAAAACTTGCTTCTGCTGGCAAGCATCAGTTCTAGTTTTTTGTTCTTTAAAAAAATTTGCATAATTAGTGAATGGTTTCTTTAAGGTGCATAACATTTGCAGTTGATTTTACCTATCACCAAACTTCCGATGGAATATTTTTCTTCATCTCTTCTTGTTATTATTGTCCTTAGTTAGTTAAAGGAGAAGTATTTTTTCGTTTTCATGAAAAAGAACTTCTAACTTTCATGCTAAACCGGTAATCGATGAATGCTATCACCAAAGGTCTCAAACGTCGGCGGGGAAACAAAATATTTGTTTGGTGCAACCAGCTTGTTTTTGCGGCTCACGAACTGCATGAGGTGGGTGGATCTTTTCACAGAAAAGGGCGTTAACGAACAACTAAAACAAAGGGTTGAAAATTATGGGTATAGAAAGGACAACGATTATTCTTACTAGTTCTCTTTGGTCGTTATGCAGGTTGTGTGTCTGGTACTACAACTCGGCGTAAAAATTCAGTTTTCAATCATCTTTGGATTTTAGTTTTTTTTATTCATAATTTTTATTGAATTCTGGAGCTCTCCGAAAAAAAAGATCGCACTGAAGACCTCTGCCTAATTAAGGGTTTATTTTCCTGAAGTAAGGGAAGAGTTAAACTGTCAAAATGAAAACTTGCTTAATTACAAGACTCTTCAAAATAGACGAATTGGTGACTAACCTGCAGATGATTAAACTTGGTATCACTGAATACATTGAAAACGATCAAAACATTGCAATTATTTACCTTAATAAGTGTTGAGAAAATGACTTCCGCCTCGAACTGTAAATGTGTGTTTTCTTTGATAACGTCGTGCTTGTTTAGTTCACAAGTTCCTTTGCCACCAGACTTGGAAGTTTGAGGAGTAAGTTTGAAGTTTGTTGAAGTACACCAGGCGTTTTTCAAACAAGACTGACTACACCAAATTTGACTGGTCGACTTAAACCGTTTCACGACAAAACCTTTAAGCCGCTTATTTGTCAATGTTGTGAAATATGTTGATCGAGAAAGGGCAGACGATTCTACTCCTGCGTGGAAAATTGCGAAGAGTAATATAACTCCTCGAAAGAAGACAAAGAGGGAAGTGTTTTCAAGTCCCATCGCGAAAAATGTCATTACAGAATAAGTCTGTTTACTGTCTTTGCCGATGTCTTTAAAGATGTACCCACGCAATCCCAATTTTGATTAGTCAACTTCAGCGTAATTTAAGTGCTTATTTGTACAAATTGCACGAGAAATTATTTTGTTACTTATTAATAATTTACATAAAAAAACGCATAACAGACAGTCAAAACGGACAAAACTTTGCATTTGAAATTTACATTCGTGCCATAACTTTGCGCTCGTGTTACATGAAAAAATACACTCGTTTTCGACCAATCGGACGCGCGTGACTTTTTGATGTATATTAATACATATTAAATTCAAAATGAAATGATTCAGTTGCGTGAATCACTAGAATTGTAAGGTCAAGTCTGGAAGCCTAAACAATACTAAATCATTTAAAGCTCTGACAAATTTTTGTTGGAACTATTTTCAAATTATCGACTGACATTAAAAATCGGCTTCACGAAAACCTGAATTATTCAGATTATTTACCTAGCGTCAAACGTTTATGACATAACAAGCACGAAAATGCATGCTAAGATCAAATTCAAAGATAAATTCAAAATGAAATGATTCAGTTGCGTGAATCACTAGAATTGTAAGGTCAAGCCTGGAAGCCTAAACAATACTAAATCATTTAAAGCTCTGACAAATTTTTGTTGGAACTATTTTCAAATTATCGACTGACATTAAAAATCGGCTTCATGAAAACCTGAATTATTAAGATTATTTACCTAGCGTCAAACGTTTATGAGATAAAAAGCACGAAAATACATGCTAAGATCAAATTAGAAAAGGACTTGCTTAAAGTGAGCTCGTATTCCATAGGCCACACCTGCCATGACAAATACACCACTTTGACCGACACTGAAATTGGTAGTTTTGAGGAATACGCCACGCTTCGTAACAAGCAAACAAAAAGAAAACAGAATTTCTGACAATATGACATCTTCTAAACGGAAACTAGGTGAATTCATCACCAAGCGCAACAAGCGCATACTACATAAATTCACGACAGAACTTTACCATCTTCATTCTACTGTTCAAAATTGTTCTTACCCAGCTTAGCACAAGTTTCTCCGGTCCAAGGCGGCTTGCACTTGCATGAATAAGTTTGTTTTTTCTCGTCGTACACGCAAGCACCTCCATTTTTACAACTGTTGGTTATTTGGCAGCCCTAACAAGAAGCAGTAACAGACAATACGTCGTAAAAAAACTGTTCAGAACACGAATATGAATGTACTTTGGAATTATTACCAAGATGTGCTTAGCTAGCTTTCGAGCTCGGTTTAAAAATTTCGGACCAAAAATTAATTGCCGTATCAATGAAAATGTAATAGTCGATTTCTGCCGTTATTTGGCCTGTAACAAAGAATAATGCATTTAAAATTATATAAAGAGGGTAAGTTTCTAAAGAAATTCTAAAGACAACCGGAAAGTTAAGTATTTTTTAAGTATTTTCTTTGAAACATCCATTCCTTCATGTAATGGGTCACTTCTGATCCATCCAATCACCAATCTACACCTCTATCTATTTCATATCAGTAGAGATAAATGAAATGAAATTAGAGAAGATCTCCGTAATGCACTGATATCAGTTTCAAAAGGAAAATTGAGCTCGCCTTTCATTGAATAGCTGTTTCGATGCCGGAAGCCTAATGTGCCAAAATTTATCATCTGTTTTGGCAGAACTTAGACAAAAAGACGAAACAAACAAAAACAACAAACCCGTTCGCTTAACATGTCGCCTGCACAAATTACAATTTTGTTAAACTACATTTCTCTAGAAAAAACAGCTTCTGAGGCCTGCACAGTATATGTTACCTTCATTCCGAAAGATTTTGCCATTAAAATTCAAAATGCTAGCACATAGGCTGAATAGTAGGCGATAAGACCACATATTTTGTCAAACACATTTTACACGCCAGAAAAATATTTTGTTAAGACCGACAGAAGCAAGTCAATGTCTTCTTTCTTCGGCTTATGCTGAAATTAATCAGTCTTTGCGGCGTCTGATAGCTTTAGATTCTCGGTGTTTTAATTCCTGAGCGAAATATTTGGCATGTTTCCAGAAGTAAGAAAAAAGCTGTGGTTCTGGTCATGGTGAATGAAGTTTATGAAGAGACATATTTGCATAAATAATGATTCATATAAGCCGGCATTACCTTATTCAAGATGAGGTTTGCCCTTCATCGAAGAAATGGTCAATAATTTTTGTTCTCTTGTGTTTTCCTCGTTGTTTGTCAATTCATGCCATTATTCAAGGCATACATCCATTTCGCTTTCAAAAAAAAAAACAGCTCTGATTAAAACCTCAAAACAGAAAAATAAGTGGAAAGGTAGGTTTTTATTGCTTGCATTTCGACTGTATTAAGATCGTGGCATACACGAAATCAAGGATTAAATTTTGTCTCATGCCAGCTGCTCGTAACTCAGAATACTCAAGAATAATGCAGAAATCTAGCGTAAATAATTTCTCTGTAAAGGAGATTCATTGTTAGCAAATCAAAACGAAAAAAAGCGTTGAGAAGGGTAGTAGTCTTAAAAATGTATGCTAATTTTTTCTAACACACTTTGCCGTGAAGAGCACCTGTTGGCTATTTAGCAATAAATCGAGCCTTTTATTATTTTAGCGACGATATCGCACACGGGATATGTTAGCACAACAACCCCTTTTGACTCATGATTTACAGTAATACTCGTGTTCTCCTAACACCTCATACTAGTTATTAGGCTGGTAAATGGATAGAAAGTGCCGACTAGCGCTTTTTTAAAATAGCTATGCTCTTGGTTTTCTTGTGCAATAACAGTAATTTTTTCCAATCATATACACCCATAATTTGAGGAAATTCAAGACATCTATTTTTCACATCGAAGTTAGGTTTTTGCTCAACTTCAATTATAGTGCTGTGGTCATGAATTTTCACTTTCCAGCCTTAAAATTCTAAAAACTGCTAAAAAGAAATGTGGCAGTGAAGACTTTAGTTCAAATGAGTCAATTAGCGATATAAAGACACACTAGTTAATTTCAAAATTAATCTCCAATTAACAATTTAAATATTAATTAAACTGCAGTTGCATCAACTTAATCTTGCGGAGCCCTTTAAAGCCAAATGAGGCATTTTAGGCTGTTCGTTACCTTAAGAGGCATTGAGAAAGTGGCACCTTCCTCCAACTGCAAATGCATGTTTTCTTTAACAACAGAGCCATCGTGCTTGTTTAGTTCGCAAGTTCCTTTGCCATCAGACTTCGAAATATGAGGAGCAAGTTTGAAGTTTGTTGAAGTACACCAGGCGTTTTTCAAACAAGACTGACTGCACCAAATTTGACCAGGAGACTCAAACCGTTTTACCACAAAGCCTTTAAGCTGCTTATTTATCAACGTTGTGAAGTATGCTGATCGAGAAACAGTGGATGACTCTAATGCGGTGATGAAAACTGCGTAGAGGAGCAACAATCCTCGAAAAAGAACAAATGGAGGAGCGTTTACAGGTTCCATCACCTCAACCTTCAATGTTTGTTGAAGGCTTCAGCCAAGAGTTTACACACGACCACTTACCGCGATTTTTTCATCGGTCGATTTACGTAGGGAAAATTTGCGGAGACGTTCGTTTATACTCGCCCACGCAATTAACGCTTTGCAATGTAAATTCATGCTTGATTGCCAGGTGGTGTGTGCACTCTGATTGCGTTTTATCATGGTCGTAAAATGAAAAATAAGTCATTTGCATCCTGTCGTGGTCGAGTGAACATCTCTGGTAGCAGCAAGATAGCGTGAATAAACGTGGAATTTAATGAAAATTCACTGTCTGTTGCAGTTCCTTCGAAAGTTAAAAAGTGTTTGCGGGCCTGTGCGACTCCTGTTAGTTGTCAGTGACAAATTCGTTGTTAGGAGGTAATTGAAGACATTCAGAAAGAATCGAAACTGCAGTCTTGCCTGATAATCTATTCGTTTGGCAGCATTTTCACACATAGCTGATAGCTGTGTGAATAATATCAAATCCGCGAGTAATCTAACGGTGAATCGTTCCTTAACATGCAAATGCATTCCAAAGAGGCAGCGACCTTCTAATACACGAATTATTTTCCATGTCATACACTTAAGGGCGTGAATACGGAATTCGCGAAAGGAGAAGCCTTACACCTCCTAACACCAAATTCGTCACGTTCAACGTTTATTAAAAAACGTACAGAGTTTCAAATATGCTTAAAGAATATAAAATACCTAGAATAAGGTTTTGACAAACGTATCTTTGGAGTTATATTCTGCGGGAGAGACTGATACTTAAAAAAAAAAAAAAAAAAAAAGCGCGCTCACATGAAAATATTACCTTTTGTAACACAATCTCATCATCTCTTCTTAAAACTAACCCTTAACATCACATCGTAAATGGAATTCATTAAAGGATATCGTTATAACAGCTAAGCTCTTCAGGTTAGAAGATTTAAAAGTGCAAGCGAATGGCAGAAGTCGCTCTAGCAATCGACACCGTTTAACGATCGACTACCTTTTGCTTTCCGGCTTACCCGGTGTGTCACCGTGCGCATTGTAGAGTTATTCATTGGTCAAGTGATTGCGTTAATGGCTCAAATTCAACTGTCCTTCATTTAATGATCAAGATAGTAGATTTACCATACAACACTCGCGATAAGTTAATTTCCTTTTACTTAGGAAAGTAGATTTACAACACAATTGACTATATAATAGTAACGCTGTGTAACGCGACAATAAGCCTTTTCTCGGCCATAATCGGTCTCAAACACCCGCACTTAAAATGCGAGAAACGCATGTGCCGTTGGAGAGCATTTGAGAGCGTTTGATCAGGGCTGTTAAAGAAGGATCAAAGCGGCCATCCAAATCTTTGAAAGGCTCCAAACTACGACGTACATCAAATTTGACCTTCTTGAAATCCGGTCTCAAATTACATACAAAAAAACAGTAATCGCGTTTGTCCTTAAGAACCATAGAATACGCGACAAATACGAACAAAAAATACTTTTACACATTCAGAATAAATCAAATTACATTTACCTATGGTGAAAGGAAAAAGGAACGGCCTAACTTTTACGGAATGTTCAGTCAAAATCTGCCGAATTCTGCTGCTTTCACCGCCATATTGAAAATGAAGCTACCACAATGCAACGTAATCGGAGTACGCACACCGCCTGCTTGATTGCCAATTCTACAGTGTGGAACGAAAAACATGCCGATTTTCAATTAACCAAAAAGTGTCGATTGGTCGAGAGAACATTAATTAAACTCCAACAAAGCGAAATTGGAATTAAGAATACAAGGTTGCACACTCCCAGAAATCTTTTAAGCTGATTTATTGTTCCCTTAAGAAGAAACAAGCACTCCTCGATTTCATGACATTTACACGCATCGTAAGGGTTTGCGCAATGTTTTTGAAAAAAAACTACCCATGCTTGCATACTTATTCCAAATTGCACGGTTGGTTATAAACTTATTACCTACCTATGATCATCACCTCGTGGTGGAAAGCAAATCTTTCCCATCAAATTGCCTGTCATCTTCCAGAAAACGTCCGAGACGTTTGGGCAAGTGTATGCAGTCTAATCGTGATTCATAGTAGCCCTGTACATTAGCAGCATTTTAATGTGTATTTTGAGTCAACTTGAAGAGAAAGGTATCTTGTATCGTGATTAAAGTATAAACGACGTTTCTTTTGACATTGGTGGTAATGAAGTCAGAAAACATTTACCAGAAGTTCGATCGTATTTAGAGCCATGCGAGAACATTCGCACCGTTTAGTGTCCATTGTAAATAACACTGTATGGAGATACTTCCTAAATATTTTCTATTAGGACTTAAAGAAGTCTAATGTTTTTGAACGTAAATAAAAAAAAGTAACGTGTTGGATAATTGAATATTTCTCGTTGAATACACAGCTCCCTCATAATTTTAGTGTAGATAATCGAAACAATTGCTTTCCAAAGGTAAGGGGTCTCAGTAGGGTTAGCTGTTAGCCGTGAAACGGCGAAAAAATTAATTTTTAGGGATAAAAAGTGATAAATTTTACCATTAGTCGTAAAAAGAGTTAACCCCAAAAATTTTATCTTTTAATTGCAGCGGAAAGAATCAATGCCCTGTAGAGACCCTCGAGTTAAATTTACCTTGTAACTTAAATAAACGTAGGAAGTATTTATGACTTAAGAAGAATGATGCAACTTTATTGTTAATGGTGACTATGCTATGCGTTGGGTAAGTACGCAATCTAATCGTGAATAAAGTAATTCATAGTATCCCGCGTGGAACAATTTTATAAGTACGCCGCAAAATTTCCAATGTAAGAAAAAAATACAACAAGAAACCCCCCCCCTTTCTTCTTGATAAAACGAAGGTGATTAATTTGGTTTTGGTTTTGTGGCACCCAGTTGAAATACGTATTTGTACTATCTATGTAACATTGGTATTGTGATTGATGTCGCAAATCTTATTAAAAATATTGTAAATAGTAAATAGTATGTAGAATATAAATGAACATATGAAATAAAAAAAACAAATTAAACATAAAACTTCAAGTTGGTTCTTCTTCAAACTTCATCAATTGACCTCCTTTACGACAAAACATTATAACCGTGCCCTTTATTATGAACAAATCAAGTTTCAGCCAAATGTCGTCACCAGTTCCAACCCGTTAATATTATCTCAAATATTATTACGGTTGCACTTGGTGGTTACTTAAAACCATAGTCAATTACGATTACAATTGAAAAGAAATCCACAATGACAAATATTTAAAACCGAGGGAACAAACCTACAAGACAAAGGTACGTAGGAAGGTTTTGTGACTTAGACACAATGGATGGAAAACCGTGGAAATCAGAAGTAATGTTAATCCTTTAAAACTTGAACACAGGAATGACAACGATGACACTCTTTTAAATGATTCTAAAAAAGAGAATTTTTTTCTGAAAAATCCTATCAGATTTTATATCAGGGTGAGCGAAAGAATATGAAAACAAGAGGGGAAAAATGGCATTCAAAACATAAATGCAACTGGGAAAACAGGTGAGTTTTTAATTGGGAATGCCTTGGCAACACTAAAGTACTGATGTACTGGTGTTTATTTGGTGACAATTACTCGGTGTAAAGTCAACAGCTATATTTCCATCGGGATCCAATATAATCAGCAATAATGAGAACAAAATCAAAAGAGTTCAGGAGGGGATTGTATATGTTTTTTCTTGATAACTCTGGGAAATGAAAGCTCTCAGCCTCTCTAATTTGTTTGCCGAGCGCTTTTTGCATTTTTTTCTCTCAAATAAGGGAAGAAGGGAAAATCCTCCTCGATTTTAGTCATAAGGGAGGAGATGATACAATTTCAGACCTGGTTGACAAGGAAGTAAGGGAGCACTTACAAGAACGAGGATTGGGTATGAGTTTTTCAGGCTCTTCACGCCTTCCTCGGCCAATATGGCGGCTAAAATTAATGGCTTTTGTATAGTAAGACGGCAATATGCAAGATGAGATTTTTCAATGATTCAGCTCAACTCGCCTTGTTCTCTTTTCCCAGATTCTCCCTATGAAGCTTGAAAGAGAGTGGACGGTAGCCATCTCGAAATCTATTGAGAAGGGGTTTGTGGGGAATGGCGCCCAGAGATCATCCAAGTATTTTACACACATAACTGCTAGTTTCCAGAAGAAATTATTGTAACTAGCATTCACGTGAATCCTGCTCAAAATTTTGAAGCAAAAAAAAATACAACATTGTAGACCAGCAGGAAATTATCTCAACCACTGAAACTTCAAATACAAAGACGAGCACTGTAAAATATAATTTAAAGAAAAAACGCAAAGCAGAAAGAACTTGACCAATTTCCAGCTAAACAATCAGTCAGCGTTCGGCTAATAACGCTTATATCGTGTCCTGCGCGTTAAGAATATCTGGTACGCTACCCGTTAATGAAATATGATAATTCCAAAAGTAACTTCGATTATCTGAAAATCGAACTATGATAATAATGTGCACAAACAGGAAGCACAAACCGTGTGAGTGAACATCGATCGCTTTGAAGGAAGAGACGAACACGAACAAGTTTTTAACACTTTGTTTCCATTAAATAGTTCAGTCATATTACACAATATGAATTCTACTTAATATATACATGTTTCGCTCAGTTCATTTACCCTCCACTTTTTCGTTTCCTCCAACAAAATTTAAGGCTGGGTTTTGAGCTTTTCTTTAAAGGTTAAGTTAAGGGAAAATACTCTGGCGCAATATAACTCTGGAGGGGGCATGCAACTATCCAAGATTTCACCTAAGGCAGAAATGTTTCGCCGCCTTCGATTGCCTCGTGCAACGAAATTAATGAGAAAGGGACACAACTTGTGTCTTGTGGTTCAGAGATCTTTTTTCGGTGATTAAGATCATGATATCCGTGCAAACTTAGCTTAAACGTTTTCGTGACTAATAACTGAATGATACTCGCTACTTCAGTCCTGAACTTTGGCGTTTCATCAATAGTAACGAGCGACTAAAGTGCAACCTTCAAGGCTATCAAATCATAAATTGAAGGGTGCTATCTATCAAACACTCTACTGAAATGGGTAAAAGGGCTGTCATCTGTGTAATAACAATTGTTGGACTCCACAATACGAGTGGTCAAAGCTATTTAACATGTATGTAGATATTGATCAGTGTTTCGGTGTTCCTTGTTCGAGGAAGCCGGGATCTCTTTCTATGATAAACAGTTCGTCGTAAACAAGATGCTGGTGTTGAAAATCCTATCACTTTTAAGGCTCGACTATTTTCACACCAGTAACGTTTCCTTTAAATTGTCCCCACCAGAGAACAAGGCCTGCTTGTGCGATGTCACAGTTTGCCTTCTGAGTTGCAATTTCATCCCCTGAAAGGACTCTGCTCCAAAGATTGACTTCTGTTACCTCACCCGGACCAAAGCTCTCTGCGCTATCAAAGCCCCCTCCGACGCTATCTTGATCTTGTCCAATGACAACTGTTCCGCCGGCTGGTATCTGATGATTTTTCTTCAGGTCTGTTCCATTGCTTTGAAGTTGTCCATCCATATAAAACTGCCAGTCGCCTTTGGTTTTTTCCCAGGTAACACAAATGTGATGCCACATGGTATCATCAATTTTGACTCTGGTGTCCGTACTACCAAGAAAATGAACATAAACAATTAAAACTATGTTAGAAACTCTCGTTTCTTGACTGACCGGTCCAATTGTGGCATCAAGATATATATGTGTATATATATACATATAGTGCTACATATAGAATAGGAATGAATGTTAACAATGTCGTGTGAGCTGCTGGAATGGGAGATGAATTAAGTTATTTTAATGTCACTTAACTTTTTTAAATTCCATTGCTATTTATTTCATTCGATCTCCAACACGCCATAGCTTTTAATTTTATCACTAACAATTACTTAATCACTAGACATATTTAATTCTTTATTTAAAGTCGCTTGGGAGCAAAAACAAGAGAACGTAATTGTTAACAACGCCAAATACAATCAGAAGCCTCGATAATACTCCGCTGGGAGCACTTTAGCCCATTGCGGAAACAGGCATATCATTTTTTTGAAGCTGAGCGAAGGACCCTAAAAAAATTCATCTTCGTGCCCCTTTATCGCGCGTAATTCACCATTCATTCCGGTATATTTTTACTTCTCTTCTATCCTATTCTATTGTGTTATTGTGTTGTGTTCTTGGGCGACAGACGTTATTCTTACAGTGCTTCACTCCACCCAGGAGTATTACGGCACATTGTCGGGGAAACCGAATGAAATGCTGAAATTGCATTAGCATCCAATCCAGGGGGAAGTATTAATACTCCTACGGGTCGCTTTATTTTAAGAAAATCGGGATACGGTTTGGCTGGATGGCCCACTTGACTCGAGTACAGACTTTATCTATCGTGTTTGTCATATCACTTACTCTTTTCCCCAGGTGTCTATAGAGATCTTAATTCCTGGGTAAAACAGACAAACGTAGAAGGCATTCCACCAGGTGCTCCAATAGTCGCATAACTGTAGAGGCACTGTTCACCATTCAAAATTGTATCCTTCATTTTGACAAAAAGGCACATAGTAAATTCCGAGAGACTTGACGAGGTGGCGTTTGTTATGCTGGCGTAACTCTTTATGTTAGGCTGTCCAAAGACCATTCGGTAAGCTGTAGGAAACAACAAAACACAATCTTCTTTACTCCAGTTTCACTGAAATGACAAAGCAACTCTTAAATTGGATGAATCTCACTGCGAAATTTCCGGATTAGTCTTGTTTCAGAAATTATTTTATATCTCATGTCCGCTACCGGATCACGTACGTAACTGATAAACACTAAGTGCAAAGGGTTCTGTCTAAAAAGAACAACTCTTTACGAAATAAATAGGCCAGAGAATTCGGGATGAGAGGATTATTCAGCAGATAGGGGACATACAAAAGTAATCCTAACGGTTATTGCAACAGATACCCAGAGTAAAGATTGTCTTTTTTTTTTGGCTTCCGCATGGCTACCACGCACGCCAGAAAGAAAGATACAAGAAAAAGTATCTTGAGCGCTCTGAGATGTCAAAGGTAGCTTGTGGTGTTCTCCTAAATAGGTGAGCTCGTTTGAAGTTATTCTGACTTCTAAAGCCAAAAAAACCTTATATAAACTAAGGTATAAACTTTTCACACAATTTAAAATCCAATAGTTACTTTCTACTTCTTGAACTCTTTAACCCCTAAGAGTGATTAGCATCTAATTTCTCCATACAATATCAGCGCTGAATCAAACATTAAGGTCATGAGAATAAAGGAAATGATCACCAACCAAAGAAGCTTTTGATCGGTAAACAAACTCGCCTCGTCAGCACCTTAGGAAATGTATACAGAACAGTATGGAGAATATGCATACTGATGTTATGATATAAAGAGTTAAAAAGCGATAGATTGGATCAATATAAGTATGCGAGCAACTGCACTTACCCCTCCCCTAACCCAACATTAACCTTAACTTGTTATCAATTGACGATTGTTGGGTTAGGGCAGGGGTAGGAGCGCAGTTGTTCAGATACCGTTTACAGCTTCCTGTTGCTGATGATTATTAGTTAACGAAAATTTTTATGAGAAATCGTTATCAAAATAAAACATCGGCGTATTCTGTCTTCCAGAACCTTAATAAATGTTCCATCTAGAACTTTCTAAAATGTTAAATTGTCATTCACATCTCCACGAGAACCTCTCTTTGTAGAAGGAAGCTTGCGCTCTCAGAATATGTCATCAAAATGCGATACACGTCTCTACAAACCTGATGAGCAAGACAGGCCTTCAATCTTTTCACACTGTGTCCCGTAAAATCCTGGTGCACAGCTGCAGTTATATTCGTTGACTTCTGTGCAAGTTCCATGGTTTTGCAGGGATGGCTGTCACAGGTAACTTTTTGCGATTACAAGACAACATTTCAAAAGAGTTGTTGTCAGTAAAAAGAAGCTACGTCATATGGCGACTGACCTACCGATCTTCAAACCATATATGATTAAGGTGGTCTAGCTAATAACGCTTTTGAATCGAAGTAAATCTCTTAAAGCATGAGCGTTACAAAAGAAAAACAATGCGAAAACTTTTAAGGAGAAGATCTCATCAAAATAGCGTTCGAACGAAGTTTGTTTGCTTGTTTGCAGAAAACCGTCTCGCTACATTTTTTCAATTGACGCACATAAACGTAACAGGAAAACTGCTCTCAAGCTTTTCTCGACAGGCAGCACATTACAACTTCTTTCTACTCTACAAATTTGTTTCTTACACAGATCAGCACAAGTTTCTCCGGTCCAAGGGGGCTTGCATTCGCATGAATAAGTTTGCTTTTTCTCGTCATAAAAACACACACCACCATTTAAACAGGTGCTGGCTGCTAGTCGGCAATCCTAAATAGAAAGAGTAGCCGATGGAATAATGAGAAGAATATAAATCAACATAAATATGCTTCAAAATTATTTCACTTCCCTACTGACGGATTAAAAAAAGTTGGCTGGAAAATAGTCACGCTCTCAACTACGGTTTTTTTGTTATCTCCGAGATCCAGCTCCAACAACCGGGTGGGTATCAAGCCTACCCTATCGCCAAATTTAACGAAACAATTTATCTGTCCTTGCCAATTCTTCAATAAACTTCTGAAATATGATTTACAAGGTGGTAATGCGTTTATAGGCAAAAACAACGAAAAAAAAAACACTGGCTGCCTAAAAAGTTTGCTTTTAGCTACGCATTTAGTCAACATCTACAAGTACATGTATTGACTTCTGCCAAACGAAGTCAAGGCATGTTATTTTATTAATGGTCTAGCTTCTATAAACTTCAGTTAAAAACTATTACATATTCAAACACAGTAACATGAGATTCGAAGCAACCTCAAGCTTTTACTAATGGTGGAGTCACTGCACTTTTTTTTGTGATGCAAATGAGAAACAAATATGAACCCATCAGCCATAATGGCGGGGGATGGCATATAATTTCAAATATCTCGATCAAACAATGATGTTTCTAAATTCCTAGATTTGCTGGAAAAGGATTTCATTTAAAAGGGAATAAAAGAAAGTGTATGTGCCATTTCCAAAACTTGCTTCTGCTGGCAAGCATCAGTTCTAGTTTTTTTGTTCTTTACAAAAATTTGCATAATTAGTGAATGGTTTCTTTAAGGTGCATAACATTTGCAGTTGATTTTACCTATCACCAAACGCCCGATGGAATATTTTTCTTCATCTCTTCTTGTTATTATTGTCCTTAGTTAGTTAAAGGAGAAGTATTTTTCCGTTTTCATGAAAAAGAACTTCTAACTTTCATGCTAAACCGGTAATCGATGAATGCTATCACCAAAGGTCTCAAACGTCGGCGGGGAAACAAAATATTTGTTTGGTGCAGCCAGCTTGTTTTTTGCGGCTCACGAACTGCATGAGGTGGGTGGATCTTTTCGCAGAAAAGGGGGTTAACGAACAACTAAAACAAAGGGTTTAAAATTATGGGTATAGAAATAACAACGATTATTCTTACTAGTTCTCTTTGGTCGTTATGCAGGTTGTGTGTCTGGTACTACAGCTAGGCGTAAAAAATTCAGTTTTCAAAAAGACAAAACAAGCAAAAACAACAAACCCGTTCGCTTAACATGTCGCCTGCACAAATTACAATTTTGTTAAACTACATTCCTCTAGAAAAAACCGCTTCTGAGTCCTGCACAGTATTTGTCAATTCAATTGTTTGTCAATTCATGCCATTATTCGAGGCATACATCCATTTCGCTTTAAAAAAAAAACAGCTCTGATTAAAACCTCAAAACAGAAAAAAAAAGTGGAAAGGTAGGTTTTTATTGCTTGCATTTCGACTGTATTAAGATCGTGGCATACACGAAATCAAGGATTAAATTTTGTCTGATGCCAGCTGCTCGTAACTCAGAATACTCAAGAATAATATAGAAATCTAGCGTAAATAATTTCTCTGTAAAGGAGATTCATTGTTAGCAAATCAAAACGAAAAAAAGCGTTGAGAAGGGTAGTAGTCTTAAAAATGTATGCTAATTTTTTCTAACACACTTTGCCGTGAAGAGCACCTGTTGGCTATTTAGCAATAAATCGATCCTTTTATCATTTTAGCGACGATATCGCACACGGAATATGTTAGCACAACAATCCCTTTTGACTCATGATTTACAGTAATACTCGTGTTCTCCCAATACCTCATACTAGTTATTAGGCTGGTAAATCGATAGAAAGTGCCGACTAGCGCGTTTATAAAATAGCTATGCTCTTGGTTTTCTTGTGCAATAACAGTAATTTTTTCCAATCATATACACCCATAATTTGAGGAAGTTCAAGACATCTATTTTTCACATCGAAGTTAGGTTTTTGCTCAACTTCAATTATAATGCTGTGGTCATGAATTTCACTTTCCAGCCTTAAAATTTTAAAAACTGCTAAAGAGAAATGTGGCACTGAGGACTTTAGTTCAAATGAGTCAATTAGCGATATAAAGACACACTAGTTAATTTCAAAATTGATCTCCAATTAACAATTTAAATGTTAATTAAACTGCAGTTGCATGAACTTAATCTTGCGAAGCCCTTTAAGCCAAATGAGGCATTTTAGGTTGTTCCTTACCTTTAGAGGCATTGAGAAAGTGGCACCTTCCTCCAACTGCAAATGCATGTTTTCTTTAACAACAGAGCCATCGTGCTTGTTTAGTTCGCAAGTTCCTTTGCCATCAGACTTCGAAATATGAGGAGCAAGTTTGAAGTTTGTCGAAGTACACCAGGCGTTTTTCAAACAAGACTGACTGCACCAAATTTGACCAGGAGACTCAAACCGTTTTACCACAAAGCCTTTAAGCTGCTTATTTGTCAACGTTGTGAAGTATGCTGATCGAGAAACAGTGGATGACTCTAATGCGGTGATGAAAACTGCGTAGAGGAGCAACAATCCTCGAAAAAGAACAAATGGAGGAGCGTTTACAGGTTCCATCACCTCAACCTTCAATGTTTGTTGAAGGCTTCAGCCAAGAGTTTACACACGACCACTAACCACGATTATTTCATCGGTCGATTTACATAGGGAAAATTTGCGGAGACGTTCGTTTATACTCGCCCACGCAATTAACGCTTTGCAATGTAAATTCATGCTTGATTGCCAGGTGGTGTGTGCACTCTGATTGCGTTGCATCATGGTCGTAAAATGAAAAATAAGTCATTTGCATCCTGTCGTGGTCGAGTGAATATCTCTGGTAGCAGCAAGATAGCGTGAATAAACGTGGAATTTGATGAAAATTCACTGTCTGTTGTAGTTCCTTCGAAAGTTAAAAAGTGTTTGCGGGCCTGTGCGACTCCTGTTATTCCTCCGTGACAAATTCGTTGTTAGGAGGCAATTGAAGACATTCAGAAAGAATCGAAACTGCAGTCTTGCCCGAGAATCTATTCGTTTGGCAGCAGTTTCACACACAGCTGATGGCTGTGTGAATAATATCAAATCCGCGAGTAATTTAACGGAGAATCGTCCCTTGACATGCAAATGCATTCCAAAGAGGCAGCGACCTTCTAATACACGAATTATTTTCCATGTCATACACTTAAGGGCGTGAATACGGAATTCGCGAAAGGAGAAGCCTTACACCTCCCAACACCAAATTCGTCACGCTTAACGTTTATTAAAAAACGTACAGAGTTTCAAATGTGCTTAAAGAATATAGAATACCTAGAATAAGGTTTTGAAAAACTTATCTTTAGAGTTATATTCTGCGGGAGAGACTGATACTTAAAAAAAAAAAAAAATAGCGCATACACATGAAAATAATACCTTTTGTAACGTAATCTCATCCGGCCTTTCCAAACCTCAAGAACATACAGATGGGGAAATGACACCTTAAAACTAACCCTTAATATCACATCGTAAACGGAATTCATTAAAGGATATCCTAATAACAGCTAAGCTTTCAGGTTAGAAGATTCAAAAGCGCAAGCGAATGGCAGAAGTCGCTCTAGCAATCAACACCGTTTAACGATCGACTACCTTTTGCTTTCCGGCTCACCCGGTGTGTCACCGTGCGCATTGTAGAGTTATTCATTGGTCAAGTGATTCCGTTAATGGCTCAAAGTCAACTGTCGTTCATTTAATGATCAAGATAGTAGATTTACCATAAAACACTCGCGATAAGTTAATTTCCTTTTACTTAGGAAAGTCGATTTACAACACAATTGACTATATAATAGTAACGCTGTGTAACGCAACAATAAGCCTTTTCTCGGCCATAATCGGTTTCAAACACCCACACTTAAAATGCGAGAAACACATGTACCGTTGGAGAGCGTTTGAGAGCATTTAGTCAGAGCTGTTAAGGAAGGATTAAAGCAGCCATCCAAATCTTTGAAAGGCTCCAAACTACGACGTACATCAAATTTGACCTTCTTGAAATCCGGTCTCAAATTACAGTGATCACGTTTGTCTTTGAGAACCATAGAATACGCGACAAATACGAACAAAAAATACTTTTACACATTCAGAATAAATCAAATTACATTGACCTATGGTGAAAGGGAAAAGGAACGGCCTAACTTTTACGGAATGTTCAGTCAAAATCTGCCGAATTCTGCTGCTTTCACCGCCATATTGAAAATGAAGCTACCACAATGCAACGCAATCGGAGTGCGCACCCCGCCTGCTTGATTGTCAATTATACAGTGTGGAATGACAAACATGCCGATTTCCAATTAACCAAAAAGTGTCGATTGGTCGAGAGAACATTAATTAAACTCCAACAGTACGGAAATTGAAATTGAGAATACAAAGTTGCACACTCCCAGAAATCTTTTAAGCTGATTTCTTGTGCCCTTAAGAAGAAACAAGCCCTCCCCGATTTCACGACATTTACACGCACCGTAAGGGTTTGCGCAATGTTTTTGAAAAAAAACTACCCATGCTTGCATACTTATTCCAAATTGCACGGTTGGTTATAAACTTATTACTTACCTATGATCATCACCTCGTGGTGGAAAAGCAAATCTATCCCATCAAATTGCCTGTCATCTTGCAGAAAACGTCCGAGACGTTTGGGCAAGTGTATGCAGTCTAATCGTGATTCATAGTAGCCCTGTACATTAGCAGCATTTTAATGTGTATTTTGAGTCAACTTGAAGAGAAAGGTATCTTGTATCGTGATTACAGCATGAACGACGTTTCTTTTGACATTCGTGGTAATGAAGTCAGAAAACATTTACCAGCGAAACGCATTGTTGTATAGTATGAAGTTCGATCGCATTTAGAGTCATGCGAGAACATTCGCACCGTTTAGTGTCCATTGTAAATAACACTGTATGGAGATACTTCCTAAATATTTTCTATTAGGACTTAAAGAAGTCTAATGCTTTTGAACGTAAATAAAAAAAAAGTAACGTGTTAGATAATTGAATATTTCTGGTTGAATACACAGCTCCCTCATAATTTTAGTGTAGATAATCGAAACAACTGCTTTCCAAAGGTAAGGGGTCTCAGTAGGGTTAGCTGTTAGCCATGAAACGGCGAAAAAATTAATTTTTAGGGATAAAAAGTGATAAATTTAACCATTAGTCGTAAAAAAAGTTAACCCCCAAAATTTTATCTTTTAATTGCAACGGAAAGAATCAATGCCCTGTAGAGACCCTCGAGTTAAATTTACCTTGTAACTTAAATAAACGTAGTAAGTATTTATGACTTAAGAAGAATAATGCAATCTTATTGTTGATGGTGACTATACTATATGTTGGGTAAGTACGCAATCTAATCGTGAATAGAGTAATTCATAGTATCCCGCGTGGAACAATTTTATAAGTACGCCGCAAAATTTCCAATGTAAGAAAAAAATAAAACAAGAAACCCCCCCTTTCTTCTTGATAAAACGAAGGTGATTAATTTGGTTTTGGTTTTGTGGCACCCATTTGAAATACGTATTTGTACTATCTATGTAACATTGGTATTGTGATTGATGTCGCAAATCTTACTAAAAATATTGTAAATAGTAATTAGTATGTAGAATATAAATGAACGAATGAAATTAAAAAATAAATTAAATTAAACATAAAAGTTGGTTCTTCTTCAAACTTCATCAATTGACCTCCTTTACGACAACACATTACAACCGTGCCCTTTATTATGAACAAATCAAGTTTCAGCCAAATGTCGTCACCAGTTCCAACCCGTTAATAGTCAATTACGATTACAATTGAAAATAAATCCACAATGACAAATATTTAAAACCGAGGGAACAAACCTACAAGACAAAGGTACGTAGGAAGGTTTTGTGACTTAGACACAATGGATGGAAAACGGTGGAAATCAGAAGTAATGTTAATCCTTTAAAACTTGAACTAAGGAATGACAACGATGACACTCTTTTAAATGATTCTAAAAATGTGACTTTTTCTCTGAAAAACCCTATCAGATTTTATATTAGGGTGAGCGAAAGAATACGAAAACAATAGATGAAAAATGGCATTCAAAACTTAAATGCAACTGGGAAAACAAGTGAGTTTTTAATTGGGAATGCCTTGGCAACACTAAAGTACTGATGTACTGGTGTTTATTTGGTGACAATTACTCGGTGTAAAGTCAACAGCTATTTTTCCATCGGGATCCAATATAATCAGCAATAATGAGAACAAAATCAAAAGAGTTCAGGAGGGGATTGTATATGTTTTTTCTTGATAACTCAATAAAAGCTCTCAGCCTCTCTAATTTGTTTGCCGAGCGCTTTTCACATTGTTGTCTCAAATAAGGGAAGAAGGGAAAATCCTCCTCGATTTTAGTCATAAGGAAGGAGATGATACAATTTCAGACCTGGTTGACAAGGAAGTAAGGGAGCACTTACAAGAACAAGGATTGGGTATGAGTTTTTCAGGCTCATCACGCCTTCCTCGGCCAATATGGCGGCTAAAATTAATGGCTTTTGTATAGTAAGACGGCAATATGCAAGATGAGATTTTTCAATGACCCAGCTCAACTCGCCTTGTTCTCTTTTCCCAGATTCTCCCTATGAAGCTTGAAAGAGAGTAGACGGTAGCCATCTCGAAATCTATTGAGAAGGGTTTGTGGGGAATGCCGCCCAAAGATCATCCAAGTATTTTACACACATAACTGCTAGTTTCCAGAAGAAATTATTGTAACTAGCATTCACGTGAATCCTGCTCAAAATTTTGAAGCAAAAAAAATATAACATTGAAGACCAGCAGGAAATTATTTCAACCAATGAAACTTCAAATACAAAGACGAGCACTGTAAAATATAATTTAAAGAAAAAACGCAAAGCAGAAAGAACTTGACCAATTTCCAGTCAACTAATCAGTCAGCGTTCGGCTAATAACGATTATATCGTGTCCTGTGCGTTAAGAATATCTGGTACGCTACCCGTTAATGAAATATGAAAATTCTAAAAGTAACTTCGATTATCTGAAAATCGAACTATGATAATAATGTGCACAAACAGGAAGCACAAACCGTGTGAGTGAACATCGATCGCTTTGAAGGAAGAGACGAACATGAACAAGTTTTTAACACTTTGTTTCCATTAAATAGTTCAGTCATATTACACAATATGAATTCTACTTAATATATACATGTTTCGCTCAGTTCATTTACCCTCCACTTTTTCGTTTCCTCCAACAAAATTTAAGGCTGGGTTTTGAGCTTTTCTTTAAAGGTTAAGTTAAGGGAAAATACTCTGGCGCAATATAACTCTGGAGGGGGGCATGCAACTATCCAAGATTTCACTTAAGGCAGAAATGTTTCGCCGCCTTCGATTGCCTCGTGCAACGAATTCAATGAGAAAGTGACACAACTTGTGGTTATCATCCATATAAAACTGCCAGTAGCCTTCGGTGTTTTTCCAGGTAACACAAATGTGATGCCACATGGTATCATTAATTTTGACTCTGGTGTCCGTATTACTTAAAAAATAAACATAAACAATTAAAACTATGTTAGAAACTCTCGTTTCTTGACTGACTGCGGTCCAATTGTGGCATCAAGATATATATATGTATATATATACATATAGTGCTACATATAGAATAGGAATGCATGTTAACAATGTCGTGTGAGCTGCTGGAATGGGAGATAAATTAAGTTATTTTAATGTCACTTAACTTTTTTAAATTCCATTGCTATTTATTTCATTCGATCTCCAACACGCCATAGCTTTTAATTTTGTCACTAACAATGATTTAATCACTACACACATTTAATTATTTATTTAAAGTCACTTGGGAGCAAAAACAAGAGAACGTGATTGTTAACAACGCCAAATACAATCAAAAGCCTCGATAATACTCCGCTGGGAGCACTTTAGCCCATTGCGGAAACAGCATATCATTTTTTTGAAGCTGAGCCAAGGACCCTAAAAAAATTCATCTTCGCGCCCCTTTATCGCGCGTAATTCACCATTCATTCCGATATATTTTTACTTCTCTTCTATCCTATTCTATTGTGTTATTGTGTTGTGTTCTTAGGCGACAGACGTTATTGTTACAGTGCTTCACTCCACCCAGGAGTATTTCGGCACATTGTCGGGGAAACCGAATGAAATGCTGAAATTGCATTAGCATCCAATCCAGGGGGAAGTATTAATACTCCTACGAGTCGCTTTATTTTAAGAAAACCGGGATACAGTTTGGCTGGATGACCCACTTGTCTCGAGTACAGACTTTATCTATCGTGTTTGTCATATCACTTACTCATTTCCCGAGGCTATGGCGATCCTAATTCCTGGGTCAAACAGACAAACGTAGTAGGCATTCCCATTAAGTGCTCCAGTAGTTGCATAACTGTAGAGGAACTGTTAACCAGTCAAATTTGTGTCCTTCATTTTGACAAAAAGGCACATAGTAAACTCCGAGAGACTAGACGAGATGGCGTTTCTTATGCTGGCGTAACTCTTTATGCAAGGCTGTCCAAAGACCATCGGTAAGCTGTAGGAAACAACAAAACACAATCTTCTTTACTCCAGCTTCACTGAAATGGCAAAGCAACTCTTCAATTGGATGAATCTCACTGCGAAATTTCCGGATTAATCTTGTTTAAGAAATTACTTTATATCTCATGTCCGTTACCGGATCACGTACGTAACTGATAAACACTAAGTGCAAAGGGTTCTGTCTGAAAAGAACAACTCTTTACGTAATAAATAGGCCAAAGAATTCGGAATGAGAGGATTATTCAGCCGGGAGGGGACATACAAAAGTAATTCTAACGGTTATTGCAACAGATACCCAGAGTAAAGATTGTCTTTGTTTTTTGAAAAATCTTGCTTTGGCTTCCGCATGGCTAGCACGCACGCCAGAAAAAAAGTACCTTGAGCGCTCTGAGATGTCAAAGGTAGCTTGTGGTGTTCTCCTAAATAGGTGAGCTCGTTTGAAGTTATTCTGACTTCTAAAGCCAAAAAAACCTTGAGGTATAAACTTTTCACACAATTTAAAATCCAACAGTTACTTTCTACTTCTTGAACTCTTTAACCCCTAAGAGTGATTAGCACCTAATTTCTCCCTACAACATCAGCGCTGAATCAAACATCAAGGTCATGAGAATAAAGGAAATGATCACCAACAAAAGAAGCTTTTGATCGGTAAACAAACTCTCCTCGTCAGCCAGCACCTTAGGAAATGTATAAAGAACAGTAAGGAGAATATGCATACTGATGTTATGGTGTAAAGAGTTAAAAAGCGATAGATTGGATCAATATAAGTATGCGAGCAACTGCACACTTACCCCTCCCCTAACCCAACATTAACCTTAACTTGTTATCAATTGACGATTGTTGGGTTAGGTGAGGGGTAGGAGCGCAGTTGTTCAGATACCGTTTACAGCTTCCTGTTGCTGATGATTATTAGTTAACGAAAATTTTTATGAGAAATCGTTATCAAAATAAAGCATCGGCGTATTCTGTCTTCAAGAAGCTTAATTAATGTTCCATCTAGAACTTTTTAAAATGTTGAATTGTCAACCACATCTCCACGAGAACTTGTCTTTGTAGAAGGAAGCTTGCGCTCTCAGAATATGTCATCAAAATACGATACACGTCTCTACAAACCTGATGAACAAGACAGGCCTTCAATCTTTTCACACTGTGTCCCGTAAAATCCTGGTGCACAGCTGCAGTTATATTCGTTGACTTCGTCTGTGCAAGTTCCATTGTTTTTGCAGGGATGGCTGTCACAGGTAACTTTTTGCGATTACAAGACAACATTTCAAAAGAGTTGTTGTCAGTAAAAAGAAGTTACATCATATGGCGACTGACCTACCGATCTTCAAACCATATATAATTAAGGTGGTCTAGCTAATAACGCTTTTGAATCGAATTAAATCTCATGAAGCATGAGCGTTACAAAAGAAAAACAATGCGAAAACTTTTAAGGAGAAGATCTCATCAAAATAGCGTTCGAACGAAGTTTGTTTGCTTGTTTGCAGAAAACTGTCTCGCTATATTTTTTCAATTGTCGCACATAAACGTAACAGGAAAACTGCTCTCAAGCTTTTCTCGACAGGCAGCATCTAACAACTTCATTCTAATTTATAAAATTGTTTCTTACACAGATCAGCACAAGTTTCTCCGGTCCAAGGGGGCTTGCATTGGCATGAATAAGTTTGCTTTTTCTCGTCATAAAAACACACACCACCATTTAAACAGGTGCTGGCTGCTAGTCGGCAATCTTAAATAGAAAGAGTAGCCGATGGAATAATGAGAAAAATATAAATAAATACACATAAATATGCTTCAAAATAAGTTCACTTTCCTTCATGACGGATTAAAAACAATTGGCTGGAAAATAGTCACGCTCTCAACTACGGTTTTTTCGTTATCTCCTAGATCCAGCTCCAACAACCGGGTGGGTATCAAGCCTACCCTATCGCCAAATTTAACGAAACAATTTATCTGTCCTTGCCAATTCTTCAACAAACTTCTGAATTATGATTTACAAGGTGGTAATGCGTTTATAGGCAAAAACAACAAAAAAAAAAACACTGGCTGTCTAAAAGTTTTGCTTTTAACTACGCATTTAGTCAACATCTACAAGTACCTGTATTGACTTCTGCCAAACGAAGTCAAGGCATGTTATTTTATTAATGGTCTAGCTTCTATAAACTTCAGTTAAAAACTACTATATATTCAAACACAGTAACATGCGATTCGCTGCAACCCCAAGCTTTTACTTACGGTGGAGTTATTGCACTTTTTTGTGATGCAAATGAGAAACAAACAAGAGCCCACCAGCCGTTTGGGGACGGCATATAATTTCAAATATCTCGATCAAAACATGGTGTTTCTAAATTCCTACATTTGCTGGAAAAGGATTTCATTTAAAAGGGAATAAAAGAAAGTGTATGTGCCATTTCCAAAACTTGCTTCTGCTGGCAAGCATCAGTTCTAGTTTTTTGTTCTTTACAAAAATTTGCATAATTAGTGAATGGTTTCTTTAAGGTGCATAACATTTGCAGTTGATTTTACCTATCACCAAACGCCCGATGGAATATTTTTCTTCATCTCTTCTTGTTATTATTGTCCTTAGTTAGTTAAAGGAGAAGTATTTTTCCGTTTTCATGAAAAAGAACTTCTAACTTTCATGCTAAACCGGTAATCGATGAATGCTATCACCAAAGGTCTCAAACGTCGGCGGGGAAACAAAATATTTGTTTGGTGCAACCAGCTTGTTTTTGCGGCTCACGAACTGCATGAGGTGGGTGGATCTTTTCACAGAAAAGGGCGTTAACGAACAACTAAAACAAAGGGTTGAAAATTATGGGTATAGAAATGAAAACGATTATTCTTACTAGTTCTCTTTGGTCGTTATGCAGGTTGTGTGTCTGGTACTACAACTCGGCGTAAAAATTCAGTTTTCAATCATCTTTGGATTTTAGTTTTTTTTATTCATAATTTTTATTGAATTCTGGAGCTCTCCGAAAAAAAAGATCGCACTGAAGACCTCTGCCTAATTAAGGGTTTATTTTCCTGAAGTAAAGGAAGAGTTAAACTGTAAAAATGAAAACTTGCTTAATTACAAGACTTTTCAAAATAGACGAATTGGTGACTAACCTGCAGATGATTAAACTCGGTATCACTGATTACATTGAAAACGATCGAAACATTGCAATTATTTACCTTAATAAGTGTTGAGAAAATGACTTCCGCCTCGAACTGTAAATGTGTGTTTTCTTTGATAACGTCGTGCTTGTTTAGTTCACAAGTTCCTTTGCCATCAGACTTGGAAGTTTGAGGAGTAAGTTTGAAGTTTGTTGAAGTACACCAGGCGTTTTTCAAACAAGACTGACTACACCAAATTTGACTGGTCGACTTAAACCGTTTCACGACAAAACCTTTAAGCCGCTTATTTGTCAATGTTGTGAAATATGTTGAACGAGAAAGGGCAGACGATTCTACTCCTGCGTGGAAAATTGCGAAGAGTAATATAACTCCTCGAAAGAAGACAAAGAGGGAAGTGTTTTCAAGTCCCATCGCGAAAAATGTCATTACAGAATAAGTCTGTTTACTGTCTTTGCCGATGTCTTTAAAGATGTACCCACGCAATCCCAATTTTGATTAGTCAACTTCAACGTAATTTAAGTGCTTATTTGTACAAATTGCACGAGAAACCATTTTGTTACTTATTAATAATTTATATAAAAAAACGCATAACAGACAGTCAAAACGGACAAAACTTTGCATTTGAAATTTGCATTCGTGCCATAACTTTGCGCTCGTGTTACATGAAAAAATACACTCGTTTTCGACCAATCGGACGCGCGTGACTTTTTGATGTATATTAATACATATTAAATTCAAAATGAAATGATTCAGTTGCGTGAATCACTAGAATTGTAAGGTCAAGTCTGGAAGCCTAAACAATACTAAATCATTTAAAGCTCTGACAAATTTTTGTTGGAACTATTTTCAAATTATCGACTGACATTAAAAATCGGCTTCATGAAAACCTGAATTATTCAGATTATTTACCTAGCGTCAAACGTTTATGAGATAAAAAGCACGAAAATACATGCTAAGATCAAAATTAGAAAAGGACTTGCTTAAAGTGGGCTCGTATTGCATAGGCTACACCTTCCATGACAAATACACCACTTTGACCGACACTGAAATTGGTAGTTTTGAGGAATACGCCACGCTTCGTAACAAGCAAACAAAAAGAAAACAGAATTTCTGACAATATGACATCTTCTAAACGGAAACTAGGTGAATTCATCACCAAGCGCAACAAGCGCATACTACATAAATTCACGACAGAACTTTACCATCTTCATTCTACTGTTCAAAGTTGTTCTTACCCAGTTGAGCACAAGTTTCTCCGGTCCAAGGGGGATTGCACTTGCATGAATAAGTTTGTTTCTTCTCGTTATACACACAAGCACCTCCATTTTTACAACTGTCGGTTATTTGGCAGCCCTAACAGGAAGTAGTAACAGACAATACGTCGTAAAAAAAACTATTCAGAACACGAATATGAATGTACTTTGGAATTATTCCAAAGAAGTGCTCAGCTTTCTAAGTTTTTCTTGGACTCAATGATTCGAGCTAGATGTAAAATTTCGGACCAAAAATTAATTTCCGTATCAATTAAAATGTAATAGTCGATTTCTGCCGTTATTAAGCCTGTAACAAAGAATAATGCATTTAAAATTATATAAAGAGGGTAAGTTTCTAAAGAAATTCGATAGACAACCGGAAAGTTAAGTATTTTTTAAGTATTTTCTTTGAAACATCCATTCCTTCATGTAATGGGTCACTTCTGATCCATCCAATCACCAATCTACACCTCTATCTATTTCATATCAGTAGAGATCAATGAAATCAAATTTGAGAAGATCTCCATAATGCACTGATATCAGTTTCAAAAGGAAAATTGAGCTCGCCTTTCATTGAATAGCTGTTTCGATGCCGGAAGCCTAATGTGCCAAAATTTATCATCTGTTTTGGCAGAACTTAGACAAAAAGACGAAACAAACAAAAACAACAAACCCGTTCGCTTACCATGTCGCCTGCACAGATTACAATTTTGTTAAACTACATTTCTCTAGAAAAAACAGCTTCTGAGGCCTGCACAGTATATGTTACCTTCATTCCGAAAGATTTTGCCATTAAAATTCAAAATGCTAGCACATAGGCTGAATAGTAGGCGATAAGACCACATATTTTGTCAAACACATTTTACACGCCAGAAAAATATTTTGTTAAGACCGACAGAAGCAAGTCAATGTCTTCTTTCTTCGGCTTATGCTGAAATTAATCAGTCTTTGCGGCGTCTGATAGCTTTAGATTCTCGGTGTTTTAATTCCTGAGCGAAATATTTGGCATGTTTCCAGAAGTAAGAAAAAAGCTGTGGTTCTGGTCATGGTGAATGAAGTTTATGAACAGACATATTTGCATAAATAATGATTCATATAAGCCGGCATTACCTTATTCAAGATGAGGTTTGCCCTTCATCGAAGAAATGGTCAATAATTTTTGTTCTCCTGTGTTTTCCTCGTTGTTTGTCAATTCATGCCATTATTCAAGGCATACATCCATTTCGCTTTAAAAAAAAAACAGCTCTGATTAAAACCTCAAAACAGAAAAAAAAAGTGGAAAGGTAGGTTTTTATTGCTTGCATTTCGACTGTATTAAGATCGTGGCATACACGAAATCAAGGATTAAATTTTGTTTCATGCCAGCTGCTCGTAACTCAGAATACTCAAGAATAATGCAGAAATCTAGCGTAAATAGTTTCTCTGTAAAGGAGATTCATTGTTAGCAAATCAAAACGAAAAAAAAAGCGTTGAGAAGGGTAGTAGTCTTAAAAATGTATGCTAATTTTTTCTAACACACTTTGCCGTGAAGAGCACCTGTTGGCTATTTAGCAATAAATCGAGCCTTTTTTATCATTTTAGCGACGATATCGCACACGGGATATGTTAGCACAACAATCCCTTTTGACTCATGATTTACAGTAATACTCGTGTTCTCCCAACACCTCATACTAGTTATTAGGCTGGTAAATCGATAGAAAGTGCCGACTAGCGCTTTTTTAAAATAGCTATGCTCTTGGTTTTCTTGTGCAATAACAGTAATTTTTTCCAATCATATACACCCATAATTTGAGGAAATTCAAGACATCTATTTTTCACATCGAAGTTAGGTTTTTGCTCAACTTTAATTATAATGCTGTGGTCATGAATTTTCACTTTCCAGCCTTAAAATTCTAAAAACTGCTAAAAAGAAATGTGGCACTGAAGACTTTAGTTCAAATGAGTCAATTAGCGATATAAAGACACACTAGTTAATTTCAAAATTAATCTCCAATTAACAATTTAAATGTTAATTAAACTGCAGTTGCATCAACTTAATCTTGCGGAGCCCTTTAAAGCCAAATGATTGGCATTTTAGGCTGTTCGTTACCTTAAGAGGCATTGAGAAAGTGGCACCTTCCTCCAACTGCAAATGCATGTTTTCTTTAACAACAGAGCCATCGTGCTTGTTTAGTTCGCAAGTTCCTTTGCCATCAGACTTCGAAATATGAGGAGCAAGTTTGAAGTTTGTTGAAGTACACCAGGCGTTTTTCAAACAAGACTGACTGCACCAAATTTGACCAGGAGACTCAAACCGTTTTACCACAAAGCCTTTAAGCTGCTTATTTGTCAACGTTGTGAAGTATGCTGATCCAGAAACAGTGGATGACTCTAATGCGGTGATGAAAACTGCGTAGAGGAGCAACAATCCTCGAAAAAGAACAAATGGAGGAGCGTTTACAGGTTCCATCACCTCAACCTTCAATGTTTGTTGAAGGCTTCAGTCAAGAGTTTACACACGACCACTTACCACGATTTTTTCATCGTTCGATTTACGTAGGGAAAATTTGCGGAGACGTTCATTTATACTCGCCCACGCAATTAACTCTTTGCAATGTAAATTTATGCTTGATTGCCAGGCGGTGTGTGCACTCTGATTGCGTTGCATCATGGTCGTAAAATGAAAAATAAGTCATTTGCATCCTGTCGTGGTCAAGTGAACATCTCTGGTAGCAGCAAGATAGCGTGAATAAACGTGGAATTTAATGAAAATTCACTGTCTGTTGCAGTTCCTTCGAAAGTTAAAAAGTGTTCGCGGGCCTGTCCGACTCCTGTTATTCCTCCGTGACAAATTCGTTGTTAGGAGGTAATTGAAGACATTCAGAAAGAATCGAAACTGCAGTCTTGCCTGATAATCTATTCGTTTGGCAGCAGTTTCACACATAGCTGATAGCTGTGTGAATAATATCAAATCCGCGAGTAATTTAACGGAGAATCGTTCCTTGACATGCAAATGCATTCCAAAGAGGCAGCGACCTTCTAATACACGAATTATTTTCCATGTCATACACTTAAGGGCGTGAATACGGAATTCGCGAAAGGAGAAGCCTTACACCTCCTAACACCAAATTCGTCACGTTCAACGTTTATTAAAAAATGTACAGAGTTTCAAATATGCTTAAAGAATATAAAATACCTAGAATAAGGTTTTGACAAACGTATCTTTGGAGTTATATTCTGCGGGAGAGACTGATTAAAAAAAAAAAAAGCGCGCTCACATGAAAATATTACCTTTTGTAACACAATCTCGTCATCTCTTCTTAAAACTAACCCTTAACACCACATCGTAAATGGAATTCATTAAAGGATATCGTTATAACAGCTAAGCCCTTCAGGTTAGAAGATTTAAAAGTGCAAGCGAATGGCAGAAGTCGCTCTAGCAATCAACACCGTTTAACGATCGACTACCTTTTGCTTTCCGGCTTACCCGGTGTGTCACCGTGCTCATTGTAGAGTTATTCATTGGTCAAGTGATTCCGTTAATGGCTCAAATTCAACTGTCCTTCATTTAATGATCAAGACAGTAGATTTACCATACAACACTCGCGATAAGTTAATTTCCTTTTACTTAGGAAAGTAGATTTACAACACAATTGAGTATACAATAGTAACGCTGTGTAACGCAACAATATGCTTTTCCTCGGCCATAATCGGTCTCAAACAGTAGCACTTAAAATGCGAGAAATACAAGTACTGTTGGAGGACGTTTGAGAGCGTTTGGTCAAAGCTGTTAAAGAAGGATCAAAGCGGCCATCTAAATCTTTGAAAGGCTCCAAACTACGACGTACATCCAATTTGACCTTCTCGAAAATCGGGCTCAAATTACATACTAAAAGACCGTGATTACGTTTTTCCTTGAGAACCATAAAATACACGACAATACGTACAAAAATACTTTTACACATTAAGAATAATTCAAATTACATTTACCTATGGTAAAAGGAAAAGGGAATGGCCTAACTTTCACGGAATATTCAGTCAAAATCTGGCAATTTCTTGTGCTTTCACCGCCATATTGAAAATTAAGCTTCCACAATGCAACGCAATCGGAGTGCGCACACCGCCTGCTTGATTGCCAATTCTACAGTGAGGAATGAAAAACATGCTGATTTTCAATTAACCAAAAAGTGTCGATTGGTCGAGAGAACATTAATTAAACTCCAACAAAGCGAAATTGGAATTAAGAATACAAGGTTGCACACTCCCAGAAATCTTTTAAGCTGATTTATTGTTCCCTTAAGAAGAAACAAGCACTCCTCGATTTCATGACATCTTTACACGCATCGTAAGGGTTTGCGCAATGTTTTTGAAAAAAAAACTACCCATGCTTGCATACTTATTCCAAATTGCACGGTTGGTTATAAACTTATTACCTACCTATGATCATCACCTCGTGGTGGAAAAGCAAACCTTTCCCATCAAATTGCCTGTCATCTTGCAGAAAACGTCCGAGACGTTTGGGCAAGTGTATGCAGTCTAATCGTGATTCATAGTAGCCCTGTGTATTAGCAGCATTTTAATGTGTATTTTGAGTCAACTTGAAGAGAAAGGTATCTTGTATCGTGATTACAGCATGAACGACGTTTCTTTTGACATTCGTGGTAATGAAGTCAGAAAACATTTACCAGCGAAACGCATTGTTGTATAGTATGAAGTTCGATCGTATTTAGAGTCGTGCGACAACATTCGCACCGTTTAGTGTCCATTGTAAATAACACTGTATGGAGATACTTCCTAAATATTTTCTATTAGGACTTAAAGAAGTCTAGTGTTTTTTAACGTAAATCCAAAATACACAGCTCCCTCATAATTTTAGTGTAGATAATCGAAACAATTGCTTTCCAAAGGTAAGGGGTCTCAGTCGGGTTAGCTGTTAGCCGTGAAACGGCGAAAAAAATAATTTTTAGGGATAAAAAGTGATAAATTTAACCATTAGTCGTAAAAAAAAGTTAACCCCCAAAATTTTATCTTTTAATTGCAACGGAAAGAAATTAATCGCTCGACGTAAAATGACTAAAATTTTTAACTGTTAACCGTAAGAATCAATGCCCTGTAGAGACCCTCAAGTTAAATTTACCTTGTAACTTAAGTAAACATAGTTATTATTTATGACTTAAGAAGAATAATGCAACCTTATTGTTAATAGCGACTGTACCATATATTGGGTAAGTACGCAATCTAATCGTGAATAGAGTAATTCATAGTATCCCGCGTGTAACAATTTTATAAGTACGCCGCAAAATTTCCAATGTAAGAAAAAATACAACAAGAAACCCCCCCCCCCCCCCCCCTTTCTTCTTGATAACACGAAGGTGATTAATTTGGTTTTGGTTTTGCGGCACCCAGTTGAAATACGTATTTGTATTATTTATGTAACATTGGTATTGTGATTGATGTCGCAAATCTTATTAAAAATATTGTAAATAGTAAATAGTATGTAGAATATAAATGAACATATGAAATTAAAAAAAAGAAATTAAACATAAAACTTTAAGTTGGTTCTTCTTCAAACTTCATCAATTAACATCCTTTACGACAGCACATTACAACTACCTTTATTATGAACAAATCAACTTTCAGCTGAATGTCGTTATCAGTTCCAACCCGTTGATATTATTTCAAATATTACTTTGGTTGCACTTGCGGTTACTTAAAAACATAATCAATTACGATTACAAATGAAAAGACAAGACAAAGGTACGTAGGAAGGTTTTGTGACTTAGACACAATTTATGGAAAACGGTGGAAATCAAAAGTAATGTTAATCCTTTACAACTTAAACACGAATGGCAAAAAATCAACGATGACTCTCTTTTAAATGATCCTAAAAATAGAGAATTTTTTGCTCAGTTACATGCTTGTGTGAAAATTGATTAGCTAAATATAACAATGGCCTTCAAGGTGCGTTTTTTGATGCATTTGAATATTTCCTGGCCGTCACTTCCGTTAGGGACCTTAGTAGCTCTCAGCCTCTCTGGTTTGTTTCCCGAGCGCTTTTCGCATTTTTCTCTCTAAAAATAAAAAAAGAAGAAAAATCCTCCTCGGTTTTAGTCATAAGGGAGCAGATGACACAATTTCAGACCTGGTTGACGAGGAACTAAGGGAGCACTTACAAGAACAAGAACTGGGTATGACTTTTTCAGGCTCCTCACGCCTTCCTCGGCCAATATGGCGGCTAAAATTTATGTCTTTTGTAAAGTAGGACGACCGTGTCCAAGATGAGATTTTCCAATGACCCAGCTCAACTTGCCTTGTTCCCTTTTTCCCAGGTTCTCCCTATGAAGCTCAAAAGAGAGTGGGCGGCAGCCATCTCGAAACCTATTGGGAAGGGGTTTGTGGGTAATGGCGCCCAAAGATCATCCAAGTAATATGCTCACATAATTGCTCGTTTCTAGGAGAACTTATAGTAACTAGCATCCATGTGAATCCTGCTCAAAATTTTGAAGCCAAATAATACAACATTGTAGACCAGCAGGAAATTATTGCAGCCATTGAAACTTCAAATACAAAGACGAGCACTGTATAATATAATTTAAAGAAAAACGCAATGCAGAAAGAACTTGACCAATTTCCAGCCAACTAATCAGTCAGCGTTTGGCCAATAACGCTTACGTCGTGTCCTGTGCGTTAAGAATATCCGGTACGCTATTCATTAACTAAGTATGAAAATTCCAAAAGTAACTTTGATTATCTGAAAATTGAACTATGATAGTAATGTGCACAAATAGGAAGCGCAAACCGTGTGAGTGAACATCGATCGCTTTGAAAGAAGAGACGAACACAAACAGGTCTTATGACGCTTTGTTTTCCTTAAATAGTTCAGTCATATTACACAATATTAATTCTACTTAATATATACGTGTTTCGCTCAGTTCATTTACCCCCCACTTTTTCGTTTCCTCCAACAAAATTTAAAGCTGGGTTTTGAGCTTTTCTTTAAAGGTTAAGTTAAGGGAAAATACTCTGGCACAATATAACTCTGGAGGGGGGCATGCAACTATCCAAGATTTCACCTAAGCCAGAAATGTTTTTCATCCTCTCTTTTACCGCCTTCGATTGCCTCGTGCAACGAAATCACGAGAAAGGGACACAACTTGTGTCCTGTGGTTCAGAGATCTTGTTTTGGTGATTAACATCATGATATTCGTGCAAGCTTAGCTTAAACGTTTCCGTGACTAATAACTGAATAATACTCGCCACTTCAGTCCTGAACTTTGGCGTTTTATTAACAGTAGCGAGCGACTACAGAGCAACCTTAAGGCTATCAAATCATAAATACAAGGACGCAATCTATAAAACAGTCTACTGAACTGGGTAAAAGGGCTGTCATCTGTGTAATATCAATAATAATACTAGTGGTCAAAGCTATTTAACATGTACGTAGATATTGATCAGTGTTTAAGGTGTTCCTTCCTCGAGGAAGCCGGGATCTCCTTCTGTGATAAACAGTTCGTCGTAAACAAGATGGTGGTGTTCAAAATCCTATCACTTTTAGGGCTCGACTATTACCACACTAGTAACGTTTCCTTTGAACTGTAACCACCAGAGGACAAGGCCTGCTTTTGCGATGTCACAGTTTGCCGTCTGAGCTGCAATTTCATCCCCCGAAAGGACCCTGCTCCAAAGATTGACTTCAGTTACCTCACCCGGCCCAAAGCTATCTTTGATATTAAAGCCCCCTCCGACTTTATCTTGGTCTTGTCCAATGACAACTGTTCCGCCAGCTGGTATCTGATGATTTTTTTTGAAGTCAGTTCCATTGCTTTTAAGTTGTCCATCCAGATAAAGCTGCCAGTCGCCTTTGGTGTTTTTCCAGGCAACACAAACGTGATGCCACATGGTATCATTAATTTTGACTCCGCTGTCTATATCACTTAGAAAATGAACATAACAATTAAAACTATGCTAGAAACTCGTTTCTTGACTGATTGCGGTGATATTCAATGTGGCATCAAGATTGGTTGTTCACCTTTATTTGTACTGTTTCGGCCTTCTGGGCCTCATCACTGCTATGAACTATACATATATATATATACATATACATAGTGCTACATATAGAATTGGAATGCGTGTTGACAACGTTGTGTGAGCTGCTGGAATGGGAGATATATTTTAAGAGCGTCACTTATTTATTTTATTCGAAAAGAGAAAGACTCCGTTTTTTCGGGAATTCACTGTGCATTTTTTCTTGCTCACGGAAATTCTCAAACTCCATGCACTCAATTTTCAACACGCCATAGCACTTAATTTTGTCACAATGATTAAACCACTAGACTCGTTTAATTATTTATTTTTAAGTCGCTTGGGAACAAAAACAAGAGAACGTGGTTGTTAACAATGCCAAATACCATCGTAAGCCTCGATAATACTCCGCTGGGAGCACTTTAACCTATTGCGGGAACAGGCATATTATTTTTTTGAGGTGAGCCAAGGTAAGTGTGAATCTCGCGTGAAGCTCAAAAAATTCATCTTCATGTCCCTTTCTCGCGCGTAATTCGCCATTCATTCCGGTATACTTTTTACTTCTCTTCTATCTTGTTCTATTGCGTTATTGTGTTGTGTTCTTGGGTGAAAGAGTTTATTCTCGCAGTGCTTCACTCCACCCAGGAGTATTACGGCACATTGTCGGGGAAACCGAATAAAATGCTGAGATTGCAATAGATTAGCATCCCATACAGGGGTAAACCGGTATACGGTTTGGCTGGATGGGCCACTTGACTCGAGTACAGACTCTTTCTATTGTGTTTGTCATATCACTTACCCATCTCCCCAGGTGTCTATAGAAATCCTAATTCTTGGGAAAGCAGACAAACGTAGAAGGCATTCCCATAAGGTGCTCCAATAGTCGCATAACTGTAGAGGCACTGTTCATTACTCAAATTTGTATCCTTCATTTTGGCAAAAAGGCACATAGTAAATTCCGAGAGACTAGACGAGGTGGCGTTTGTTATGCTGGCGTAACTCTTGTTGGTAGGCTGTCCAAAGACCATTCGGTAAGCTGTAGGAAACAGCAAAACACAATTTTCTTAACTCCAGTTTCACTGAAATAGCAAAGCAACTCTTAAATTGGATGCATCTTACGGCGAAATTTCCGGATTAATCTTGTTTCAGGGATGACTTTCTATTTCATGTCTGCTACCGGATCACGTACGTAATTAATAAACATTAAGTGCAAAGGGTTCTGTCTAAAAGAAAAACTCTTTACGAAATAAATAGGCCAGAGATTTCCAAATGAGAGGATTATTTAGCCTGGAGGGGACATACAAAAATAATCCTTACGGTTGTTGCAACAGATACATAGAGTTAAGATTGTCTTTGTTTTCGAAAAATCTTGCCTTGGCTTCCGCATGGCTACCATACACGCCAGAGAGAAAGATACAAATATATACCTTGAGCGCTCTGAGATGTCAAAGGTAGCTTGTGGTGTTCTCCTAAATAGGTGAGCTCGTTTGAAGTTATTCTGACTTCTAAAGCCAAATAAACCTTGAGGTATAAACTTTTCACACAATTTAAAATCCAATAGTTACTTTCTACTTCTTTTACCCTTTAACCCCTAAGAATGACTAGCACCTAATTTCTCCATACAACATCAGCGCTGAATCAAACATTAGGGTCATGAGAATAAAGGAAATGATCACCAACCAAAGAAGCTTTTGATCGGTAAACAAACTCTCCTCGTCAGCACCTTAGGAAATGTATAAAGAACAGTATGGAGAATATGCATACTGATGTTATGGTGTAAAGAGTTAAAAAGCGATAGATTGGATCAATATAAGTATGCGAGCAACTGCACACTTACCCCTCCCCTAGCCCAACATTAACCTTAACTTGTTATCAATTGACGATTGTTGGGTTAGGTGAGGGGTAGGAGCGCAGTTGTTCAGATACCGTTTACAGCTTCCTGTTGCTGATGATTATTAGTTAACGAAAATTTTTATGAGAAATCGTTATCAAAATAAAACATCGGCGTATTCTGTCTTCCAGAACCTTAATTAATGTTCCATCAAGAACTTTCTAAAATGTTGAATTGTGAACCACATCTCCACGAGAACTTGTCTTTGTAGAAGGAAGCTTGCGCTCTCAGAATATGTCATCAAAATACGATACACGTCTCTACAAACCTGATGAGCAAGACAGGCCTTCAATCTTTTCACACTGTGTCCCGTAAAATCCTGGTGCACAGCTGCAGTTATATTCGTTGACTTCGTCTGTGCAAGTTCCATTGTTTTTGCAGGGATGGCTGTCACAGGTAACTTTTTGCGATTACAAGACAACATTTCAAAAGAGTTGTTGTCAGTAAAAAGAAGTTACATCATATGGCGACTGACCTACCGATCTTCAAACCATATATGATTAAAGCGGTCTAGCTAATAACGCTTTTGAATCGAATTAAATCTCATGAAGCATGAGCGTAACAAAAAAAAAAAAAACAATGCGAAAACTTTTTAAGGAGAAGATCTCATCAAAATAGCGTTCGAACGAAGTTTGTTTGCTTGTTTGCAGAAAACCGTCTCGCTACATTTTTTCAATTGTCGCACATAAACGAAACAGGAAAACTGCTCTCAAGCTTTTCTCGACAGGCAGCATATTACAACTTCATTCTAATTTATAAAATTGTTTCTTACACAGATCAGCACAAGTTTCTCCGGTCCAAGGGGGCTTGCATTGGCATGAATAAGTTTGCTTTTTCTCGTCATAAAAACACACACCACCATTTAAACAGGTGCTGGCTGCTAGTCGGCAATCCTAAAGAGGAGTAGCCGATGGAATAATGAGAAGAATATAAATAAACATAAATATGCTTCAAAATTATTTCACTTTCCTACTGACGGATTAAAAACAATTGGCTGGAAAATAGTCACGCTCTCAACTACGGTTTTTTTGTTATCTCCTAGATCCAGCTCCAACAACCGGGTGGGTATCAAGCCTACCCTATCGCCAAATTTAACGAAACAATTTATCTGTCCTTGCCAATTCTTCAACAAACTTCTGAAATATGATTTACAAGGTGGTAATGCGTTTATAGGCAAAAACAACGGAAAAAAAAACACTGGCTGCCTAAAAGTTTTGCTTTTAACTACGCATTTAGTCAACATCTACAAGTACATGTATTGACTTCTGCCAAACGAAGTCAAGGCATGTTATTTTATTAATGGTCTAGCTTCTATAAACTTCAGTTAAAAACTACTACATATTCAAACACAGTAACATGCGATTCGCTGCAACCCCAAGCTTTTACTCACGGTGGAGTTATTGCAATTTTTTTGTGATGCAAATGAGAAACAAACAAGAGCCCACCAGCCGTTTGGGGACGGCATATAATTTCAAATATCTCGATCAAAACATGGTGTTTCTAAATTCCTACATTTGCTGGAAAAGGATTTCATTTAAAAGGGAATAAAAGAAAGTGTATGTGCCATTTCCAAAACTTGCTTCTGCTGGCAAGCATCAGTTCTAGTTTTTGTTCTTTACAAAATTTGCATAATTAGTGAATGGTTTCTTTAAGGTGCATAACATTTGCAGTTGATTTTACCTATCACCAAACGCCCGATGGAATATTTTTCTTCATCTCTTCTTGTTATTATTGTCCTTAGTTAGTTAAAGGAGAAGTATTTTTCCGTTTTCATGAAAAAAAGAACTTCTAACTTTCATGCTAAACCGGTAATCGATGAATGCTATCACCAAAGGTCTCAAACGTCGGCGGGGAAACAAAATATTTGTTTGGTGCAACCAGCTTGTTTTTGCGGCTCACGAACTGCATGAGGTGGGTGGATCTTTTCACAGAAAAGGGGGTTAAGGAACAACCAAAACAAAGGCTTGAAAATTATGGGTATAGAAATGACAACGATTATTCTTACTAATTTTCTTTGGTCGTTATGCAGGTTGTGTGTCTGGTACTACAGCTCGGCGTAAAAATTCAGTTTTCAATCATCTTTGGATTTTAGGTTTTTTTTATTCATAATTTTATTGAATTCTGGAGCTCTCCGAAAAAAAAGATCGCACTGAAGACCTCTGCCTAATTAAGGGTTTATTTTCCTGAAGTAAGGGAAGAGTTAGACTGTAAAAATGAAAACTTGCTTAATTACAAGACTTTTAAAAATAAACGAATTGGTGACTAACCTGCAGATGATTAAACTTGGTATCACTGAATACATTGAAAACGATCAAAACATTGCAATTATTTACCTTAATAAGTGTTGAGAAAATGACTTCCGCCTCGAACTGTAAATGTGCGTTTTCTTTGATAACGTCGTGCTTGTTTAGTTCACAAGTTCCTTTGCCGTCAGACTTGGAAGTTTGAGGAGTAAGTTTGAAGTTTGTTGAAGTACACCAGGCGTTTTTCAAACAAGACTGACTACACCAAATTTGACTGGTCGACTTAAACCGTTTCACGACAAAACCTTTAAGCCTCTTATTTGTCAACGTTGTGAAATATGTTGATCGAGAAAGGGCAGACGATTCTACTCCTGCGTGGAAAACTGCGTAGAGTAATATAACTCCTCGAAAGAAGACAAAGAGGGAAGTGTTTTCAAGTCCCATCGCGAAAAATGTCATTACAGAATAAGTCTGTTTACTGTCTTTCCCGATGTCCTTAAAGATGTACCCCACGCAATCCGAATCTTGATTGGTCAACTTCAGCGTAATTTAGGCAATAATACTCGGATGCCTAACAGAAAAGATTATACATGATAACCAGCTGAATGACAGGCCGCATAACAGAAAGTCAAAATGGACAAAACTTTGCATTTGAAATTTGCATTCGTGCTATAACTTTGCGCTCGTGTTACATGAAAAAAAATACACTCGTTTTCGACCAATCGGACGCACGTGACTTTTTGATGTATATCAATACATATTAAATTCAAAATGAAATGATTCAGTCGCGTGAATCACTAAAATTGTAAAGTCAAGTCTGGAAGCCTAAACAACACTAAATCATTTAAAGCTCTGACAAATTTTTGTTGGAACTATTTTCAAATTATCGACTGACATTACAAATCGGCTTCATGAAAACCTGAATATTAATATGATCATCCAGTTATTCAAATTATTTACCTAGCGAGACCAAAATTAGAGAAAGGACTTGCTTAAAGTGAGCTCGTATTCCATAGGCCACACCTCCCATGACAAATGCACCACTTTAACCGACACTGAAATTGGTAATTTTAAGGAATACGCCACACTTCGTGACAAGCAAACAAAAAGAAAACAGAATTTCTGACAACATGCCATCTTCTAAACGGAAACTAGACAGGTGAATTCATCATCATGCGGTAAAATAGTAAAGTATTGGATAATTGATCATGAATATTTTTCGTTGAATACACAGCTCCCTCATAATTTTAGTGCAAATAATGTAAAAAAATTGCAATCCAAAGGTAGGGGGTCTCAACTGTCAGTCGTGAAAGAATAGAACTTGGCCGGGGGCGATAAAGATGCTTTTAAACTTGAGAAAATTAAAAGGTGGCGGTATCGAGGATCTGTCAATGGCAAACAGAAGCATATAACTTAAGTTATATGCTAAGTTATATGCTAAGTTATATGCCTGTGTGAAAAATGATTAACTTGGTAAAACAACAGCGCTAAAGAAGCCTTTTTTGATGCATTTGAATGTTTCCTTGCCATCATTTTCGTTAGGGACCTTAGTAGCTCTCAGCCTCTCTAATTTGTTTCCCAAGCTCTTTTCGCATTTTTCTCTCTAAAAATAAGAAAAAAAGAAAATCCTCATCGATTTTAGTCACAAGGGAGGAGATGATACATTTTTTAGACCTGGTCGACAAGGAAGTAAGGGAGCACTTACAAGAACGAGAACTGGGTATTAGTTTTTCAGGCTCCTCACACCTTCCTCGGCCAATGTGGCGGCTAAAATTTATGTCTTTTGTAAAGGAGGACGGCCATGTCCAATGACTTAGGTCAACTCGTCTTGTTCCCTTTTTCCCAGGTTCTCCCTATGAGTGGACGGTAGCCATCTCGAAACCTACTGAGAAGGGGTTTGCGGGGAATGGTGCCCAAGGATCATCCAAGTATTTTACACAATAGTTCGGTCATATTACACAATATAAATATAACTGCTCGCTTCCAGGAGAACCTATAGTAACTAGCATCCACGTCACGTTCTTGCTCAAAATTTTGAAAAAAAAAAAAAAAGATTGTAGATCGGCAGGAAATTATTGCAACCACTGAAACTTCAAATACAAAGAAGAGCTCTGTAAAATTATAATTTAAAGAAAAACGCAAAGCAGAAAGAATTCGGCCAATTTCCAGCCAACTAATTAGTCAGAGTTCGGCTAATAACGCTTATATCGTGTTCTGTGCGTTAAGAATATCCGGTACGCTATCCGTTAATGAAGTGTAAAAATTCCTAAAGTAACTTTGATTATCTGAACATCGAACTATTATAATAGTGTGTACAAACAGGAAGCACAAGCCGTAAGAGTGAACATCGATCGCTTTGAAGGAAGAGACGAACACGAACAGGTCTTATGACGCTTTGTTTTCATTAAATAGTTCGGTCATATTACACAATATAAATTCTACTTGATATTTACATATTTCGCTCAGTTCATTTACCCTCCACTTTTTCGTTTCCTCCAACAAAATTTAAGGCTGGGTTTTGAGCTTCTCTTTAAAGGTTAAGTTAAGGGAAAATACTCTGGCGCAATATGACTCTGGAGGGGGAATGCGACTATCCAAGATTTCACCCAAAGCAGCAATTTTTTATCCCTCTTTTTCTGCCGCCTTCGATTGCCTCGTGCAACAAAATCAACGAGAAAGGGACACAACTTGTGTCCTGTGGTTCAGAGATCTTGTTTTGGTGATTAAGATCATGATATTCGTGAAAACTTAGCTTGGACGTTTTGTGACTAATAACTGAATGATACTCGCTACTTCAGTCCTGAACTTTGGCGTTTTATCACAGTAACGAGCGACTACACAGCAACCTTAAGGTTATCAAATCATAAACAGAAGAGCACAATCTATCAAACACTCTACTGAACAGGGTAAAAGGGCTATTATCTGTGTAATAACAATTGTTGAACTCCATAATACGAGTGGCCAAAGCTATTTAGCATGTATGTGGATACTGATCAGTGTTTAGGTGTTCCTTGCTCGAGGAAGGATTTCCTTCTGTGATAAACATTTCGTCGTAAACAAGATGGGGGTGATGAAAATCCTATCACTTTTAAGGCTCGACTATTTTCACACCAGTAACGTTTCCTTTAAATTGTCCCCACCAGAGAACAAGGCCTGCTTGTGCGATGTCACAGTTTGCCTTCTGAGTTGCAATTTCATCCCCTGAAAGGACTCTGCTCCAAAGATTGACTTCTGCTACCTCACCCGGCCCAAAGCTATCTTCGATACCAAAGCCCCTCCGACTTTATCTTGGTCTTGTCCAATGACAACTGTTCCGCCGGCTGGTATCTGATGATCTTTTTCAAGTCTGTTCCAGAGATTTGAAGTTGTCCATCCAGATAAAGCTGCCAGTAGCCTTTGGTGTTTTTCCAGGTAACGCAAATGTGATGCCACGTGGTATCATTAATTTTGACTCTGGCGTCTGTATCACTTAGAAAACGAACATAAACAATTAAAACTATGTTAGAAACTCGTTTCTTGACTGACTGGGCCTCATCAGTGCAATGCTAATGTTAGGTAGGAGGTGTAAACATTTAGTTACCCCGAATAATTCCACAATTGTGGTATCATCCAACCCATGTTAGAGGACTTGTGAGAATGCACAATGGCGAGACATGACTCCCCTAAATAGAGTGCTCAATTTGGACATAAAATAAATAAATGACACTCTTGATATATCTCCCATTCAGCAGCTCACACGACGTTGTAAACATGCATTCCAATTCTATATGTAGCACTATATGCATGTTTACAACTTCGTGTGAGCTGCTGGAATGGGAGATATATTAAGAGTGTCATTTATTTATTTTATTCGAAAAGAGAAAGACTCCGTTTTTGCGGGAATTCACTGTGCGATTTTTCTTGCTCACGGAAATTCTCAAACTCCATACACTCAACTTTCAACACGCCATAGCACTTAATTTTGTCATTAACAATGATTTAACCACTAGACTCATTTAATTATTTATTTTTAAGTCGCTTGTTAACGTGGTTGCTAACAATGCCAAAACCATCAGAAGCCTCGCTAATACTCCACTGGGAGCACTTCAGCCCATTGCGGGAACAGGCATATTATTTTTTAACGTGAGCCAAAGTAAGTGTGAAACTCCCGTGAAGGAAGGAGCTCAAAGAATTCATCTTCACTTCCCTATCTCGCGCGTAATTCGCCGTTCATTCCAGTATATTTTTAATTCTCCTCTATCTTGTTCTAGTGCGTTATTGTGTTGTGTTCTTGGGCGACAGACTTTATTCTTACAGTGCTTCACTCCACCCAGGAGTATTACGGCACACTGTCGGGGAAATCGAATGAAATGCTGAAATTGCAACAGATAAGCATCCCATCCAGGGGAAGTATTAATACTCCTATTGGTCGCTTTCTTTAAAAAAAAACCGGTTTACGGTTTGGTTGGATGGGCCATTTGACTCGAGTACAGACTATTTCTATCGTGTTTGTCACATCACTTACTCATTTCCCGAGGCGTCTATAGAGATCCTAATTCCTGGGAAAAACAGACAAACGTAGAAGGCATTCCCATAACGTGCTCCAATAGTCGCATAACTGTAGAGGCACTGGCTACCAATCAAATTTGTATCCTTCATTTTGACAAAAAGGCACATAGTAAATTCCGAGAGACTAGACGAGGTGGCGTTTGTTATGCTGGCGTAACTCTTTATGTTAGGCTGTCCAAAGACCATTCGGTAAGCTGTAGGAAACAACAAAACACAATCTTCTTTACTCCAGTTTCACTGAAATGACAAAGCAACTCTTAAATTTGATGAATCTCACTGCGAAATTTCCAGATCAGTCTTGTTTCAGAAATTATTTTATATCTCATTTCCGCTACCGGAACACGTACGTAACTAATGAACACTAAATGCAAAGGGTTCTGTGTAAAAAAACAACTCTTTACGAAATAAATAGGCTAGAGAATTCCGAATGAGAGGATTATACAGCCGGGAGGGACATGCAAAAGTAATCCTAACGGTTATTGCAACAGATACCCAGAGTAAAGATTGTCTTTTTTTTTTGGCTTCCACATGGCTACCACGCACACCAGAGGGAAAGATACAAAAAAAAGTACTTTGAGCGCTCTGAGATGTCAAAGGTAGCTTGTGGTGTTCTCCTAAATAGGTGTCTGAGCTGGTTTGAAATTATTCTAACCGCTTGAGCCAAGTAAAGTAAAGTGAAGCAAGTGAAATATTCACAATATGTCAAAACGTTCAAGTAAAGTAAAGCAAGTGAAATATTCACAATATGTCAAAACGTTCTGATTTAATCACAGAAGAAGTGGATTGAAAAATGAGTAATCGTTCTGCATGTAAAGTACTAAAAAATACACGCCAATATTCCTGGCAAAATTCTAGGTGTTCTTAATTGAGAGATTATTTATTTTGATTTCTAGATTGTGATGGCTGGGCTGATTGTAAACTAGATTGTGATGGAATTCTGGCTTGGAAATGCAAGTTAAGTTACAATGGATTCAGTTCCTGTTTATAATTTTCATTCAATGAAAACCAGTTTAACAAAACATGGGGTTATAGCTATGATTTTGGGAACTAATTTTGGGAACTAACCAAAATTTTTTTTTTTTGTTATGATAGGGAGAGGTAAGTTTACTGAAAATTGATCTCGGCGATTATGTTTTTGATAGGTAATGTATTGAAAGTAGTGGATTGGAATTAATGTATCGTACGCGAATTTCCGAAAGAACCCGAATGATTTATGGCCGTAAATGCAGATAAATGAACAATTTTGAGTGGGTAAATTATTTGCCGGCAAATTTAAGAGAGGAGGAAACATTTTATTTGGTGCTTCCAAACAAACTTTGAGGTATTTTGAAAATCTGTCACAATCTGACCCTGTCAATTAGGCCGCGCAAAAAAAAAGAAAATCGAAGGAACATTTGAAAACCAACAGAACTAGTATGGCAAGGACTGTCACGACAATGTTTTCTTCAAAATCAGTTAATGATCTAACGGAAAGTATTATTCACTCTCATCGACGATTCATTCATGTACGAAGATTTACCTCTGTTCATTAAGTAAACGGCGAGGAAATTAATTGTGAGTAAATTCAATCTTTTATTTTGAAGTTGTGAGAGTTTGCTCGTTTGTTTGCTGTAATGGCGTGTTTAACTCTGATCTTTCCTTCACCAAAACTAAATTCGAATGGCACACTCCAACGAGACACAAGGGAATGTAATGCGGCCTTTTCTCAAAAAAAAAAACTTCAATTTTGTTTGCAATTTTTAAACAAATTGAACGAAAAATATATATTTGTTGTAGAACTTAAATTAAAACTTCGCTCGCTCTTTCACTATGAACAAATTGCTCGAGAAAATTCAGATATTAAATGAATGAAAGTTCCATCGTTCAGTTTAACTGTAACCAAATACCTCACGTTCCAACTTTCTGAGTACTTTTTGTGAACGATTAAAATTAATTGCAGAAGGTTTTTAGGCCGCTTGTCAACCAACGTAATGACACTATTGTTTATACAAATTCATTCTGAAACCAATATTTTTCTGTCAACCAAAGTGATTTGATAGAGAGAAAAGAGAGGATTCATAAGTTTTTATCGGCTTGAGGTAGTGACCGACGTGTTTGCTTAAAAATACTGCCCAGCCGGAAAACGAGGTATATTTATGAAAAATGACAACGAAAGTTGGGATGTACTCGGCGACTCACGAAAGCGTTACCGTGGCCCGTGGGCAGAGATAGGAAAATACTGACCGGGTAAAGAACCAATCAGATTGCAAGATTCGTTACCGTGCCCTCTAAAAAAACAATAATGAAAAATACACTGCATTGCAATAAAAAAGTATTCACAACTGTTGTGTAACTGCCAGGTTTTCAAACTTTGAACGGTAACTGCAACAAGAGACTTCCATATTTTTAATGCATGAGAATACACAAGTTGCCAGCAGCACTTTTTTATACTTAAGTTTCACTTCGCGAGTCAGCTTCTCAGCTTTCCATCCTGGTCTATGCAATAAGCCACTTTGATTACAGCATGAACGACGTTTCTTTTGACATTCGTGGTAATGAAGTCAGAAAACATTTACCAGCGAAACGCATTGTTGTATAATATGAAGTTCGATCGTATTTAGAGTCATGTGAGAACATTCGCACAGTTAAGTGTCCATTGTAAATAACACTGTATGAAGATACTTCCTAAATATTTTCTATCAGAACCTAAAGAAGTCTAGTGTTTTTGAAAGTAAATCCAAAATAGTAACGTATTGGATAATTGAATATTTCTCGTTGAATACACAGCTCCCTTATAATTTTAGGGTAGATAATGAAAACAATTGCTTTCCAAAGGTAGGGGGGTCTCAAAAGGGTTATCTCTTAGCCATGAAACGGCAAAAAAATTAATTGTTAAGGGTAAAAAGTGATAAATTTAATCATTAGTTATAAAAAAAAGTTAACCGCAAAAATTCCATCTTTTAATTGCAACGGACAGAAATTAACCGCTGGACCTAAAATGGCCAAAATTATTAACTGTTAACCGTGAGAATCAATACCCCGTAGAGACCGTTAAGTTAAATTTACCTTGTAACTTAAATAAACTTAGTAAGCATTCATGATTTAAGAAGAATGATGCAACCTTATTGTTAATGGTGACTATGCTTTACGTTGGGTAAGTACGTAATCTAATCGTGAATAGCGTAATTCATAGTATCCCGCGTGTAACAGTTTTATAAGTATGCCACAAAATTTCCAATGTAAGAAAAAACCACAACAACCCCGTCCTTCTTGATAAAACGAAGGTGATTCATTTGGTTTTGGTTTCGCGACAAATACGTACTATCTACATAACATTGGTATTGTGAGTGATGTCGCAAATCTTATTAAAAATATTGTAAATAGTAGATAGTATGTAGAATATAAATGAACGAATGAAATAAAAAAAATTAATTAAACATAAAAGTTGGTTCTTCTTCAAACTTCATCAATCAACATCATTTACGACAACACATTACAATTACCTTTATTATGAACAAATCAAGTTTTAGCCAAATTTCGTCACCAGTTCCAACCCGTTAATACTATTTCAAATATTATTTCAGTTGCAGTGGCGGTTGCTTAAAAACCATAATCAATTAGGATGGAAAGAAAATGAAAAGAAATCCACAAGGAAAAAAAAACAGAGGGAATAAAACCTACAAGACAAAGATACGTACGAAGGTTTTGTGACTTTGTCAAAATGGATGGCAAATGGTGGAAATCAGAAACCGTAACTAATGTTAATCTTGCACGAATGGCAAAAAATCAACGATGAAGCTTTTTTTAAATGATCCTAAACAAAGAGAAATTTTTTTCTAAAAAACCCTATCAGATATATATGAGGGTGAGCGAAAGGATATGAAAACAATAGGGGAAAAATGGCATTCAAAACGTAAATGCAACTGGGAAAACAGGTGAGTTTTTAATTGGGAATGCCTTGGCAACACATAGTACCGATGTTCTGGGTTTATTTGGTGACAATTACTCGGTGTAAAGTCTACAGCTATATTTCCATCGGGATCCAATATAATCAGCGATAATGAGAACAAAATCAAAAGAGTTCAGGATAGGATTGTATATGTTTTTTCTTGATAACTCTGGGAAATGAAAGCTTGCGATAAAGATGGTTTTAACCTTAGGAAAATTAAAAAGGCAGCGGTATCAAGGACATTTTAATGGCAAACAGAAGCATACAACCTAAGTTATATGCTCAGTTACATGCTTGTGTGAAAAATAATTAACTAAATAGAACAATGAACCTAAAGGTCCGTTTTTTGATGCATTTGAATATTTCCAGGCCGTCATTTCGTTAAGGACCATAGAAGCTCTCAGCCTCTCTAATTTGTTTCCCGAGCGCTTTTCGCATTTTTCTCTCAAATAAGAAAAGAAGGGAAAATCCTCCTCGATTTTAGTCATAAGGGAGGAGATGATACAATTTCAGACCTGGTTGACAAGGAAGTAAGGGAGCACTTACAAGAACGAGAACTGGGTATGAGTTTTTCAGGCTCCTCACGCCTTCCTCGGCCAATATGGCGGCTAAAATTTATGTCTTTTGTATAGTAAGACGGCAATATACAAGATGAAATTTTTCAATGACCCAGCTCGACTTGCCTTGTTCCCTTTTCCCAGGTTCTCCCTATGAAGCTTAAAAGAGAGTGGACGGTAGCCATCTCGAAATCTATTGAGAAGGGGTTGTGGGGAATGGCGCCCAAAGATCATCCAAGCATTTTACACACATAACTGCTAGTTTCCAGAAGAAATTATTGTAACTAGCATTCACGTGAATCCTGCTCAAAATTTTGAAGCAAAAAATACAACATTGTAGACCAGCAGGAAATAATATCAACCACTGAAACTTCAAATACAAAGACGAGCACTGTAAATATAATTTAAAGAAAAAACGCAAAGCAGAAAGAACTTGACCAATTTCCAGCCAACTAATCAGTTAGCGTTCGGCTAATAACGCTTATATCGTGTCCTGTGTGTTAAGAATATCTAGTACGCTACCTGTTAATGAAATATGAAAATTCCAAAAGTAACTTTGATTATCTGAACATCGAACTATTATAGTAGTGTGTACAAACAGGAAGTACAAGCCGTAAGAGTGAACATCGATCGCTTTGAAGGAAGGGACGAACACGAACAAGTCTTCAACACTTTGTTTTCATTAAATAGTTCAGTCATATTACACAATATAAATTCTACTCAATATTGACATATTTCGCTCAAGTCATTTACCCTCCACTTTTTCGCTTCTTCTGGCAGAATTTAAGGCTAGGTTTTGAGCTTTTCTTTAAAGGTTAAGTTAAGGGAAAATACTCTGGCGCAATATAACAATGAAGGGGGACATACAATTATCCAAGATTTCACCTAAGGCAGCAGTGTTTTTTATTCTCACTTTTTTCGCCGCCTTCGATAGAAATCAATAAGAAAGGGACACAACTTGTGCCATGTGGTTCAGAGATCTTGTTTTGGTGATTGAGATCATGACATTCGCGCACAATTATCTTAAACGTTTCGTGGCTAATAACTGAATGATACTCGCTACTTCAGTCCTCAACTTTGGCGTTTCATCAACAGTAACGAGCGACTAGAGAGCAACCTTCAAGGCTATCAAATCATAAATTGAAGGGTGCTATCTATCAAACACTCTACTGAACTGGATAAAAGAATTGTCATCTGTGTAATAACAATTGTTGGACTCTATAATACGAGTGGTCAAAACTATTTAACATGTGTGTAGATATTGATCAGTGTTTAGAATAAATAAATTCTTCGAAAACAAGATGATGGTGTTGAAAATTCCATCACTTTTAAGGCTCGACTATTTTCACACCAGTAACGTTTCCTTTAAATTGTTCCCACCAGAGAACAAGGCCTGCTTGTGCGATGTCACAGTTTGCCTTCTGAGTTGCAATTTCATCCCCTGAAAGGACTCTGCTCCAAAGATTGACTTCTGTTACCTCACCCGGACCAAAGCTCTGTGCGCTATCAAAGCCCCCTCCGACGCTATCTTGATCTTGTCCAATGACAACTGTTCCGCCGGCTGGTATCTGATGATTTTTCTTCAAGTCTGTCCCAGAGCTTTGAAGTTGTCCATCAAGATAAAACTGCCAATAGTCTTTGGTGTTTTTCCAGGTAACACAAATGTGATGCCACATGGTATCATTAATTTTGACTCTGGTGTCCGTATTACTTAGAAAATAAACATAAACAATTAAAACTATGTTAGAAACTCTCGTTTCTTGACTGATTGTGGTCCAATTCAATGAGGCATCAAGATATATAAATATACATGTAGTCCTTTATATAGAATTGGAATGCATGTTGACAACGTCGTTTGAGCTGCTGGAATGGGAGATATATGACGATTTTTTAATCTCACTTAACTTTTTTAAATTCCATTGCTATTGATTTCATTCGAAAAGAGAGAGACTCCATCCTCTCGATTTCCAGCACGCCATAGCTTTTAATTTTGTCACTAACAATGATTTAATCACTAGACTCATTTAATTATCTATTTAAAGTCGCTTGGGAGCAAAAACTAGAGGACGTGATAGTTAACAATGCCAAATACCATCAGAAGCCTCGATAATACTCCGCTGGGAGCACTTTAGCCCATTGCGGGAACACGCATATTATTTTTTTGGGGTGAGCCAAGGAGCTGAAAAAAATTCATCTTCGCGTCCCTTTCTCACGTGTAATTCGCCATCCATTTCGGTATATTTTTACTTCTCCTCTATCTTATTCTATTGGGTTATTGTGTTGTGTTCTTGAGTGACAGACTTTATTCTTACAGTGCTTCACTCCACCCAGGAGTATTACGGCACATTGTCGGGGAAACCGAATGAAATGCTGAAATTGCAATAGACAAGCATCCAATCTAGGGGGAAGTATTAATACTCCTTCGAGTCGCTTTATTTTAAGAAAACCGGGATACGGTTTGGTTGGATGGGCCATTTGACTCCAATACAGACTTTATCTATCGTGTTTGTCATATCACTTACTCATAGAAAGAGTCTATAGAGATCCTAATTCCGGGGGAAAACAGACAAACGTAGAAAGCATTCCCAAAAGGTGCTCCAATAGTCGCATAACTGTAGAGGTACTGGTCACCAGTCAAATTTGTATCCTTCATTTTGACAAAAAGGCACATAGTAAACTCCGAGAGACTAGACAAGGTGGCGTTTCTTATGCCGGCGTAGCCCTTTTTGCTAGGCTGTCCAAAGACCATTCGGTAAGCTGTAGGAAACAACCGTATCAAGAAAAGCTGATCAAATTCAAAGAAATGCCCTTGAGCGCTCTGAGATGTCAAAGGTAGCTTGTGGCATTCTCATAAATAGGTGATCTCGTTTGAAGTTATTCTGACTTCTTAGGCCAAAAAAAACATTAAGATCATGAGAATAAAGGAAATGATCACCAACAAAAGAAGCTTTTGATCAGTAAACAAATTCTCCTTGTCAGCACCTTAGGAAATGTATAAAGAACATTATGGAGAATATTCATACTGATGTTATGATATAAAGAGTTAAAAAAAAATATATTGGATTAATGTAAGTATGTGAGCAACTACGCACTTGCCCCTCCCCTAACCCAACATTAACCTTAACTTGTTATCAGTTGACTGTTGTTGGGTTAGGGGATGGGTAGGAGCGCAGTTGCTCAGATACTGACATTGATCCAATAAGTTTACAGCGTCCTGTCGCTGACGATTATTAGTTGCGGAAAGTTTTTTTTGAGAAACCGTTATCAAAATAAAACATTGGCGTGGTCTGTCTTCAAGAATCTTAATTAATGTCTCATCTAAAACTCTCTAAAATATTGAATGGTCATCCGCATCTCCACGAGAGTCTTCCTAAATTGGAGAAGGAAGCTCTCAGAATATTCCATCAAAATACGAAACACGTCTTTACAAACCTGATGGACAAGGCAGGCCTTCAATCTTTTCACAATGCGTTCCGTGAAATCCTGGTGCACAGCTACAATTGTATCCGTGGAATTCATCTGTGCAAGTTCTGCAGGGATGGCTGTCACAAGTAACTTTTTGGGAGAATAGGATAACGTCAAGAATTTTCGCCAATACTACTTTGCCAAACGCTTTAAGCGACGTAACGTTAATGTTAAAAGAATGAAGGAAAATTGTGGACCCTTACATGAGAGGCGTGGGGCCGATTTGACTCCGCTGACGCGCAGTCATTTTTCCGCTATGCCATGTACAAAACGCTTTGTGATCGGTTATTTTTCAATAAATATCAATCTTAGATCTGCTGATTTGTTAACTTAAAAAAAAAGATGAAATGTTGGACATTTTGAGATTTATTTCATTTAAAAAAATTATACATACACACATAAATTTTGAATCCCCCATATCTTTTCCATTCTTGTCAGTTTTTCTATTTAACTTCTCTCTTAGAAAGCTTCGTTTTGCTTTGTTTCGTTTTTCTGATTTTGTTGATCTGTTTGTTTCCAATTCTCGGGGAAAAATGTTTTGCGTTGTTTTTGGCTTGACCGACAGAACTTTACCATCTTCATTCTACGGTTCAAAATTGTTCTTACCCAGCTCATCACAAGTTTCTCCGGTCCAAGGGGGCTTGCACTTACATGAATAAGTTTGTTTTTTCTCGTCATACACGCAAGCACCTCCATTTTTACAACTGTCGGTTATTTGGCAGCCCTGTCAAGAAGCAGTGACAGACAACACGTCGTAAAAAGCAGTTCAGAGCACGAATATGAATGTACCTTGGAATTATTACCAAGAAGTGCTCAGCTAGCTTTCTAAGTTTTTCTTGGACTCAATGATTCGAGCCCGATGTAAAATTTCGGACTAAAAATTAATTGCCGTATAAATGAAAATGTAATGGTCGATTTCTGCCGTTATTAAGCATGTCACAAAGAACAATGCATTTAAAATTATATAAAGAGGGTAAGTTTCTAAAGAAACTGAGGTGCTGCTTCTGTAGGAGAGTATAACATGCAGGGTAATACAATATTAACAACTGAGTAGATGACGTAACTTGGCCATCGAAAAGAGTTGAAAGCTGACGTTTCGAGCGTTAGCCCTTCGTCAGAGCGAAAGATGGAGGGCTAACGTCAGCTTTGAAACTCTTTACAGGGCATTTAAACTTTTATTTGTTCCTCTTGTTCAACTGAAAGATTCTAAAGACAACCGGAAAGTTAAATACTTTCTTTGAAACATTCATCCCTTCATCTAATGGGTCACCTCTGATCCATCCAATCACCTATCTACACATCTATCCATTTCATATCAGTATAGAAATGAAATTACAGAAGATCTCCATAATGCACTGATATCAGTTTCAAAAGGAAAATTGAGCTTGCCTTTCATTGAACAGCTGTTTCGATGCCGGAAGCCTAAAGTGCCAAAATTTATTATCTGTTTTGGCAGAACTTAGAAAAAAACAACCAAACAAACAAAAACAACCAACCCGTTCGCTTAACACGTCGCCGGCACAAATTAAAATTTTGTTAAACTAGATTCCTCAAGAAAAAACAGCTTCTGAGGCCTGCACAGTATATGTTACCTTCAGTCCGAAAGATTTTGTCATTAGAATTCAAAATGCTAGCACATAGGCTGAATAGTAGGCGATAAGACCATAGATTTTGTCAAACGCATTTTACACGCCAGAAAAATATTTTTTCAAGACTGACAGAAGCAAGTCAATGTCTTCTTTCTTCGGCTTATGCTGAAATTAATCAGTCTTTGCGGTTCTGATGGCTTTATTTTCTCCGTACTTTAATTCCTGAGCGAAATATTTAGCATGTTTCCAGAATTAAGAGATAAAAGCTGTGGTTCTGATCATGGTGAATGAAGTTTATGAACAGAAATATTTGTATAGATGATGATTCATATAAGCCGGCATTACCTTATTCAAGGCGAGGTTTGCCCTTCGTCTAAGAAATGGTGACTAATTTTTGTTCTCTTGTCTTTTCCTCGTTGTTTGTCAATTCATGCCATTATTCAAGGCATACATCCATTTCGCTTTCAAAAAAAAACCCAGCTCTGATTGAAACCTCACAACAGAAAAAAAAAAAAAAGGAAAGTTAGGTTTTTATTGCTCGCATTTCGACGGTATTAAGTTTGTGGCATACACGAAATCAAGGATTAAATTTTGTCTGATGCCAGCTGCTCGTAACTCAGAATGCTCAAGAATAATACAGAAATCTAGCGTAAATAATTTCTCTGTAAAGGAGATTCATTTGTCGAAAAACGAAAAAAAATTTTGAAGAGGGTAGCAGTCTTAAGAATGTATACTAATTTTCTATAACACACTTTGCCGTGAAGAGCACCTGTTGGCTAGTTAGCAGTACATCGAGCCTATCATCATTTTAGCGGCGATATCGCACACGGAATATGTTAGCACAACAATCGCTTTTTACTCATGATTTACGGTAATACTCGTGTTCTCCCAACACCTCGTACTAGTTATTAGGCTGGTAAATCGATAGAAAGTGCCGACTGGCGCTTTTATAAAATAGCTATGCTCTTGGTTTTCTTGTGCAAGAACAGTAATTTTTTCCAATCATATGCACCCATAATTTGAGGAAATTCAAGACATCTATTTTTCACATCGAAGTTAGGTTTTTGCTCAACTTCAATTATAGTGCTGTGGTCATGAATTTTCACTTTCCAGCCTTAAAATTCTAAAAATTGCTAAAAAGCAATGTGGCGCCAAAGACTTTAGCCCAAATGAGTCAATTAGCGATATGAAGACACACTGGTTAATTTCAAAGTTAAACGCCAATTAACAAATTAAATGTTTATTAAACTGCAGTTGCATCAACTTAATCTTGCGGAGCCCTTTAAAGCCAAATGAGGCATTTTAGGCTGTTCGTTACCTTAAGAGACATTGAGAAAGTGGCACCTTCCTCGAACTGCAAATACACGTTTTCTTTAACAACAGAGCCATCGTGCTTGTTTAGTTCGCAAGTTCCTTTGCCAGCAGACTTCGAAATATGAGGAGCAAGTTTGAAGTTTGTTGAAGTACACCAGGCGTTTTTCAAACAAGACTGACTGCACCAAATTTGACCAGGAGACTCAAACCGTTTTACCACAAAGCCTTTAAGCTGCTTATTTGTCAACGTTGTGAAGTATGCTGATCGAGAAACAGTGGATGACTCTATTGCGGTGATGAAAACTGCGTAGAGGAGCAACAATCCTCGAAAAAGAACAAATGAAGGAGCGTTTACAGGTTCCATCACCTCAACCTCCAATGTTTGTTGAAGGCTTCAGCCAAGAGTTTACACACGACCACTTACCACGATTTTTTCATCGGTCGATTTAGGTAGGGAAAATTTGCGGAGACGTTCGTTTATACTCGCCCACGCAACTAACGCTTTGCAATGTAAATTCATGCTTGATTGTCAGGCGGTGTGTGCACTCTGATTGCGTTGCATCATGGTCGTAAAATGAAAAATAAGTCATTTGCATCCCGTCGTGGTCGAGTGAATATCTCTGCTAGCAGCAAGATAGCGTGAATAAACGTGGAATTTGATGAAATTTCACTGTCTTTTGCAGTTCCTTCGAAAGTTAAAAAGTGTTTGCGGGCCTGTGCGACTCCTGTTATTCCTCCGTGACAAATTCGTTGTTAGGAGGCAATTGAAGACATTCAGAAAGAATCGAAACTGCAGTCTTGCCCGAGAATCTATTCGTTTGGCAGCAGTTTCACACACAGCTGATGGCTGTGTGAATAATATCAAATCCGCGAGTAATTTAACGGAGAATCGTCCCTTGACATGCAAATGCATTCCAAAGAGGCAGCGACCTTCTAATACACGAACTATTTTCCATGTCATACACTTAAGGGCGTGAATACGGAATTCGCGAAAGGAGAAGCCTTACACCTCCCAACACCAAATTCGTCACGCTCAACGTTTATTAAAAAACGTACAGAGTTTCAAATATGCTTAAAGAATATAGAATACCCAGAATAAGGTTTTGACAAACGTATCTTTAGAGTTATATTCTGCGGGAGAGACTGATACTTAAAAAAAAAATAGCGCGCACACATGAAAATAATACCTTTTGTAACGCAATCTCATCCAGCCTTTCCAAACCTCAAGAACATACAGATGGGGAAATGACACCTTAAAACTTACCCTTAATATCACATCGTAAACGGAATTCATTAAATTATATCCTAATAACAGCTAAGCTTTCAGGTTAGTAGATTCAAAAGCGCAAGCGAATGGCAGAAGTCGCTCTAGCAATCAACACCGTTTAACGATCGACTACCTTTTGCTTTATTCCGGCTTACCCGGTGTGTCGCCGTGCGCATTGTAGAGTTATTCATTGGTCAAGTGATTCCGTTAATGGCTCAAATTCAACTGTCCTTCATTTAATGATCAAGATAGTAGATTTACCATAAAACACTCGCGATAAGTTAATTTCCTTTTTAAATTTCCTTTCCTTTAAGCTGATTTCTTGTGCCCTTAAGAAGAAACAAGCACTCCCCGATTTCACGACATTTACACGCACCGTAAGGCTTTGCGCAATGTTTTTGAAAAAAAAAACTACCCATGCTTGCATATTTATTCCAAATTGCACGGTTGGTTATAAACTTATTACTTACCTATGATCATCACCTCGTGGTGGAAAAGCAAATCTATCCCATCAAATTGCTTGTCATCTTGCAGAAAACGTCCGAGACGTTTGTGCAAGTGTATGCAGTCTAATCGTGATTCATAGTAGCCCTGTACATTAGCAGCATTTTAATGTGTATTTTGAGTCAACTTGAAGAGAAAGGTATCTTGTTTCGTGATTACAGTACGAACGACGTTTCTTTTGACATTCGTGGTAATGAAGTCAGAAAACATTTACCAGCGAAACGCATTGTTGTATAGTATGAAGTTCGATCGTATTTAGAGTCATGCGAGAACATTCGCACCGTTTAGTGTCCATTGTAAATAACACTGTATGGAGATACTTCCTAAATATTTTCTATTAGGACTTAAAGAAGTCTAATGTTTTTGAACGTAAATAAAAAAAAAGTAACGTGTTGGATAATTGAATATTTCTTGTTGAATACACAGCTCCCTCATAATTTTAGTGAAGATAATCGAAACAATTGCTTTCCAAAGGTAAGGGGTCTCAGTAGGGTTAGCTGTTAGCCGTGAAACGGCGAAAAAATTAATTTTTAGGGATAAAAAGTGATAAATTTAACCATTAGTCGTAAAAAAAGTTAACCCCAAAAATTTTATCTTTTAATTGCAACGGAAAGAATCAATGCCCTGTAGAGACCCTCGAGTTAAATTTATCTTGTAACTTAAATAAACGTAGTAATAATTTATGACTTAAGAAGAATAATGCAATCTTATTGTTGATGGTGACTATACTATATGTTGGGTAAGTACGCAATCTAATCGTGAATAGAGTAATTCATAGTATCCCGCATGGAACAATTTTATAAGTACGCCGCAAAATTTCCACTGTAGGAAAAAAAATAAAACAAGAAACCCCCCCTTTCTTCTTGATAAAACGAAGGTGATTAATTTGGTTTTGGTTTTGTGGCACCCAGTTGAAATACGTATTTGTACTATCTATGTAACATTGGTATTGTGATTGATGTCGCAAATCTTATTAAAAATATTGTAAATAGTAAATAGTATGTAGAATATAAATGAACATATGAAATAAAAAAAACAAATTAAACATAAAACTTCAAGTTGGTTCTTCTTCAAACTTCATCAGTTGACCTCCTTTACGACAAAACATTACAACCGTGCCCTTTATTATGAACAAATCAAGTTTCAGCCAAATGTCGTCACCAGTTCCAACCCGTTAATATTATCTCAAATATTATTACGGTTGCACTTGCGGTTACTTAAAAACCATAGTCAATTACGATTACAATTGAAAAGAAATCCACAATGACAAATATTTAAAACCGAGGGAACAAACCTACAAGACAAAGGTACGTAGGAAGGTTTTGTGACTTAGACACAATGGATGGAAAACGGTGGAAATCAGAAGTAATGTTAATCCTTTAAAACTTGAACATAGGAATGACAACGATGACTCTCTTTTAAATGATTCTAAAAAAGAGAATTTTTTTTCTGAAAAACCCTATAAGATTTCATATCAGGGTGAGCGAAAGAATACGAAAACAATAAGGGAAAAATGGCATTCAAAACATAAATGCAACTGGGAAAACAGGTGAGTTTTTAATTGGGAATGCCTTGGCAACAAATAGTACTGATGTACTGGTGTTTATTTGGTGACAATTACTCGGTGTAAAGTCAACAGCGATATTTCCATCGGGATCCAATATAATCAGCAATAATGAGAACAAAATCAAAAGAGTTCAGGAGGCGATTGTATATGTTTTTTCTTGATAACTCTGGGAAATAAAAGCTCTCAGCCTCTCTAATTTGTTTGCCGAGCGCATTTCGCATTTTTCTCTCAAATAAGGGAAGAAGGGAAAATCCTCCTCGATTTTAGTCATAAGGGAGGAGATGATACAATTTCAGACCTGGTTGACGAGGAAGTAAGGGAGCACTTACATGAACGAGGATTGAGTATGAGTTTTTCAGGCTCCTCACGCCTTCCTCGGCCAATATGGCGGCTAAAATTAATGGCTTTTGTATAGTAAGACGGCAATATGCAAGATGAGATTTTTCAATGACCCAGCTCAACTCGCCTTGTTCTCTTTTCCCAGATTCTCCCTATGAAGCTTGAAAGAGAGTAGACGGTAGCCATCTCAAAATCTATTGAGAAGGGGTTTGTGGGGAATGGCGCCCAAAGATCATCCAAGTATTTTACACACATAACTGCTAGTTTCCAGAAGAAATTATTGTAACTAGCATTCACGTGAATCCTGCTCAAAATTTTGAAGCAAAAAAAAAAATACAACATTGTAGACCAGCAGGAAATTATCTCAACCACTGAAACTTCAAATACAAAGACGAGCACTGTAAAATATAATTTAAAGAAAAAACGCAAAGCAGAAAGAACTTGACCAATTTCCAGTCAACTAATCAGTCAGCGTTCGGCTAATAACGCTTATATCGTTTCCTGTGCGTTAAGAATATCTGGTACGCTACCCGTTAATGAAATATGAAAATTCCGAAAGTAACTTCGATTATCTGAAAATCGAACTATGATAATAATGTGCACAAACAGGAAGCACAAACCGTGTGAGTGAACATCGATCGCTTTGAAGGAAGAGACGAACACGAACAAGTTTTTAACACTTTGTTTCCATTAAATAGTTCATTCATATTACACAATATGAATTCTACTTAATATATACATGTTTCGCTCAGTTCATTTACCCTCCACTTTTTCGTTTCCTCCAACAAAGTTTAAGGCTGGGTTTTGAGATTTTCTTTAAAGGTTAAGTTAAGGGAAAATACTCTGGCGCAATATAACTCTGGAGGGGGGCATGCAACTATCCAAGATTTCACCTAAGGCAGAAATGTTTCGCCGCCTTCGATTGCCTCCTGCAACGAAATCAATGAGAAAGGGACACAACTTGTGTCTTGTGGTTCAGAGATCTTATTTCGGTGATTAAGATCATGATATCCGTGCAAACTTAGCTTAAACGTTTTTGTGACTAATAACTGAATGATACTCGCTACTTCAGCCCTGAACTTTGGCGTTTCATCAATAGTAACGAGCGACTAAAGAGCAACTTTCAAGGCTATCAAATCATAAATTGAAGGGTGCTATCTATCAAACACTCTACTGAACTGGCTAAAAGAGATGTCATCTGTGTAATAACAATTGTTGGACTCCACAATACGAGTGGTCAAAGCTATTTAACATGTATGTAGATATTGATCAGTGTTAAGGTGTTCCTTGTTCGAGGAAGCCGGGATCTCTTTCTATGATAAACAGTTCGTCGTAAACAAGATGCTGGTGTTGAAAATCCTATCACTTTTAAGGCTCGACTATTTTCACACCAGTAAAGGTTCCTTTAAATTGTCCCCACCAGAGAACAAGGCCTGCTTGTGCGATGTCACAGTTTGCCTTCTGAGTTGCAATTTCATCCCCTGAAAGGACTCTGCTCCAAAGATTGACTTCTGTTACCTCACCCGGACCAAAGCTCTGTGCGCTATCAAAGCCCCCTCCGACGCTATCTTGATCTTGTCCAATGACAACTGTTCCGCCGGCTGGTATCTGATGATTTTTCTTCAGGTCTGTTCCATTGCTTTGAAGTTGTCCATCCATATAAAACTGCCAGTAGCCTTCGGTGTTTTTCCAGGTAACACAAATGTGATGCCACATGGTATCAATAATTTTGTTTCTGGTGTCTGTTTCACTAAGAAAATGAACATTAACAATTAAAACTATGTTAGAAACTCTCGTTTCTTGACTGACTGCGGTCCAATTGTGGCATCAAGATATATATATATGTATATATATGCATATAGTGCTACATATAGAATAGGAATGCATGTTAACAATGTCGTGTGAGCTGCTGGAATGGGAGATAAATTAAGTTATTTTAATGTCACTTAACTTTTTTAAATTCCATTGCTATTTATTTCATTCGATCTCCAACACGCCATAGCTTTTAATTTTGTCACTAACAATGTTTTAATCACTAGACACATTTAATTATTTATTTAAAGTCGCTTGGGAGCAAAAACAAGAGAACGTGACTGTTAACAACGCCAAATACAATCAGAAGCCTCGATAATACTCCGCTGGGAGCACTTTAGCCCATTGCGGAAACAGGCATATCATTTTTTTGAAGCTGAGCCAAGGACCCTAAAAAAATTCATCTTCGCGCCCCTTTATCTCGCGTAATTCACCATTCATTCCGGTATATTTTTACTTCTCTTCCATCCTATTCTATTGTGTTATTGTGTTGTGTTCTTGGGCGACAGACGTTATTCTTACAGTGCTTCACTCCACCCAGGAGTATTACGGCACATTGTCGGGGAAACCGAATGAAATGCTGAAATTGCATTAGCATCCAATCCAGGGGGAAGTATTAATACTCCTACGAGTCGCTTTATTTTAAGAAAACCGGGATACGGTTTGGCTGGATGGCCCACTTGACTCGAGTACAGACTTTATCTATCGTGTTTGTCATATCACTTACTCTTTTCCCCAGGTGTCTATAGTGATCCTAATTCCTGGGTTAAACAGACAAACGTAGAAGGCATTCCCAGTACGTGCTCCAGTAGTCGCATAACTGTAGAGGCACTGTTCACCAGTCAAATTTGTGTCCTTCATTTTGACAAAAAGGCACATAGTAAATTCCGAGAGAATAGACGAGATGGCGTTTGTTATGCTGGCGTAGCTCTTTGTGCTAGGCTGTCCAAAGACCATTCGGTAAGCTGTAGGAAACAACAAAACACAATTTTCTTACCTCCAGCTTCACTGAAATGGCAAAGCAACTCTTAAATTGGATGAATCTCACTTCGAAATTTCCGGATTAATCTTGTTTCAGAAATTACTTTATATCTCATGTCCGTTACCGGATCACGTACGTAACTGATAAACACTAAGTGCAAAGGGTTCTGTCTGAAAAGAACAACTCTTTACGTAATAAATAGGCCAAAGAATTCGGAATGAGAGGATTATTCAGCCGGGAGGGGACATACAAAAGTAATTCTAACGGTTATTGCAACAGATACCCAGAGTAAAGATTGTCTTTGTTTTTTGAAAAATCTTGCTTTGGCTTCCGCATGGCTACCACGCACGCCAGAAAGAAAGATACAAGAAAAAGTATCTTGAGCGCTCTGAGATGTCAAAGGTAGCTTGTGGTGTTCGCTTAAATAGGTGAGCTCGTTTGAAGTTATTCTGACTTCTAAAGCCAAAAAAACCTTGAGGTATAAACTTTTCACACAATTTAAAATCCAATAGTTACTTTCTACTTCTTGAACTCTTCAAACCCCTAAGAGTGACTAGCACCTAATTTCTCCATACAACATCAGCGCTGAATCAAACATTACGGTCATGAGAATAAAGGAAATGATCACCAACAAAAGAAGCTTTTGATCGGTAAACAAACTCTCCTCGTCAGTCAGCACCTTAGGAAATGTATAGAGAACAGTATGGAGAATATGCATACTGATGTTATGGTGTGAAGAGTTAAAAAGCGATAGATTGGATCAATATAAGTATGCGAGCAACTGCACACTTACCCCTCCCCTAACCCAACATTAACCTTAACTTGTTATCAATTGACGATTGTTGGGTTAGGGGAGGGGTAGGAGCGCAGTTGTTCAGATACCGTTTACAGCTTCCTGTTGCTGATGATTATTAGTTAACGAAAATTTTTATGAGAAATCGTTATCAAAAAAAGAACATCGGCGTATTCTGTCTTCAAGAACCTTAATTAATGTTCCATCTAGAACTTTCTAAAATGTTGAATTGTCATCCACATCTCCACGAGAACTTCTCTTTGTAGAAGGAAGCTTGCGCTCTCAGAATATGTCATCAAAATACGATACACGTCTCTACAAACCTGATGAGCAAGACAGGCCTTCAATCTTTTCACACTGTGTCCCGTAAAATCCTGGTGCACAGCTGCAGTTATATTCGTTGACTTCGTCTGTGCAAGTTCCATTGTTTTTGCAGGGATGGCTGTCACAGGTAACTTTTTGCGATTACAAGACAACATTTCAAAAGAGTTGTTGTCAGTAAAAAGAAGCTACATCATATGGCGACTAACCTACCGATCTTCAAACCATATATGATTAAGGTGGTCTAGCTAATAACGCTTTTGAATCGAAGTAAATCTCTTAAAGCATGAGCGTTACAAAAGAAAAACAATGCGAAAACTTTTAAGGAAAAGATCTCATCAAAATAGCGTTCGAACGAAGTTTGTTTGCTTGTTTGCAGAAACCGTCTCGCTACATTTTTTCAATTGTCGCACATAAACGTAACAGGAAAACTGCTCTCAAGCTTTTCTCGACAGGCAGCACATTACAACTTCTTTCTACTTTACAAATTTGTTTCTTACACAGATCAGCACAAGTTTCTCCGGTCCAAGGGGGCTTGCATTCGCATGAATAAGTTTGCTTTTTCTCGTCATAAAAACACACACCACCATTTAAACAGGTGCTGGCTGCTAGTCGGCAATCCTAAATAGAAAGAGTAGCCGATGGAATAATGAGAAGAATATAAATAAACATAAATATGCTTCAAAATTATTTCACTTTCCTACTGACGGATTAAAAACAATTGGCTGGAAAATAGTCACGCTCTCAACTACGGTTTTTTTGTTATCTCCTAGATCCAGCTCCAACAACCGGGTGGGTATCAAGCCTACCCTATCGCCAAATTTAACGAAACAATTTATCTGTCCTTGCCAATTCTTCAACAAACTTCTGAAATATGATTTACAAGGTGCTAATGCGTTTATAGGCAAAAACAACGAAAAAAAAACACTGGCTGCCTAAAAGTTTTGCTTTTAACTACGCATTTAGTCAACATCTACAAGTACATGTATTGACTTCTGCCAAACGAAGTTATGGCATGTTATTTTATTAATGGTCTAGCTTCTATAAACTTCAGTTAAAAACTACTACATATTCAAACACAGTAACATGCGATTCGCTGCAACCCCAAGCTTTTACTTACGGTGGAGTTATTGCACTTTTTTTGTGATGCAAATGAGAAACAAACAAGAGCCCACCAGCCGTTTGGGGAAGGAATATAATTTCAAATATCTCGATCAAAACATGGTGTTTCTAAATTCCTACATTTGCTGGAAAAGGATTTCATTTAAAAGGGAATAAAAGAAAGTGTATGTGCCATTTCCAAAACTTGCTTCTGCTGGCAAGCATCAGTTCTAGTTTTTTGTTCTTTACAAAAATTTGCATAATTAGTGAATGGTTTCTTTAAGGTGCATAACATTTGCAGTTGATTTTACCTATTACCAAACGCCCGATAGAATATTTTTCTTCACCTCTTCTTGTTATTATTGTCCTTAGTTAGTTAAAGGAGAAGTATTTTTCCGTTTTCATGAAAAAGAACTTCTAACTTTCATGCTAAACCGGTAATCGATGAATGCTATCACCAAAGGTCTCAAATGTCGGCGGGGAAACAAAATATTTGTTTGGTGCAACCAGCTTGTTTTTGCGGCTCACGAACTGCATGAGGTAGGTGGATCTTTTCACAGGAAAGGGGGTTAACGAACAACTAAAACAAAGGGTTGAAAATTATGGGTATAGAAATAACGGTTATTCTTACTAGTTCTCTTTGGTCGTTATGCAGGTTGTGTGTCTGGTACTACAGCTCGGCGTAAAAATTCAGTTTTCAATCATCTTTGGATTTTAGGTTTTTTTTATTCATAATTTTTATTGAATTCCGGAGCTCTCCGAAAAAAAAGATCGCACTGAAGACCTCTGCCTAATTAAGGGTTTATTTTCCTGAAGTAAGGGAAGAGTTAAACTGTAAAAATGAAAACTTGCTTAATTACAAGACTTTTAAAAATAAACGAATTGGTGACTAACCTGCGGATGATTAAACTTGGTATCACTGAATACATTGAAAACGATCAAAACATTGCAATTATTTACCTTAATAAGTGTTGAGAAAATGACTTCCGCCTCGAACTGTAAATGTGCGTTTTCTTTGATAACGTCGTGCTTGTTTAGTTCACAAGTTCCTTTGCCATCAGACTTGGAAGTTTGAGGAGTAAGTTTGAAGTTTGTCGAAGTACACCAGGCGTTTTTCAAACAAGACTGACTGCACCAAATTTGACTGGTCGACTTAAACCGTTTCACGACAAAACCTTTAAGCCGCTTATTTGTCAACGTTGTTAAATATGTTGATCGAGAAAGGGCAGACGATTCTACTCCTGCGTGGAAAACTGCGCAGAGTAATATAACTCCTCGAAAGAAGACAAAGAGGGGAGTGTTTTCAAGTCCCATCGCGAAAAATGTCATTACAGAATAAGTCTGTTTACTGTCTTTGCCGATGTCTTTAAAGATGTACCCACGCAATCCGAATTTTGATTGGTCAACTTCAGCGTAATTTAGACAATTGTACTCGGATGCCTAACAGAAAAGATTATACATGACAACCAGCTGAATGACAGGCCGTTGTGGTTTGAAGTTTCAAATGCATTATGCACAGGTAACAACATGATTTCGAATTTAGTGTTGACAAGCTCGAGTAACTTTTTCAAAGACGGAAAAATTGCACGAGTCCCTAGGTCGAGTGTAATTTGTAGTCTGAAAAATGTATAAGTGCTTATTTGTACAAATTGCACGAGAAATCATTTTGTTACTTATTAATAATTTACAAAAAAAACGCATAACAGACAGTCAAAACGGACAAAACTTTTCATTTGAAATTTGCATTCGTGCTATAACTTTGCGCTCGTGTTACATGCAAAAATTCACTCGTTTTCGACCAATCGGACGCGCGTGACTTTTTGATGTATATTAATACATATTAAATTCAAAATGAAATGATTCAGTTGCGTGAATCACTAGAATTGTAAGGTCGAGTCTGGAAGCCTAAACAATACTAAATCATTTAAAGCTCTGACAAATTTTTGTTGGAACTATTTTCAAATTATCGACTGACATTAAAAATCGGCTTCATGAAAACCTGAATTATTCAGATTATTTACCTAGCGTCAAACATTTATGAGATAAAAAGCACGAAAATGCATGCTAAGATCAAATTCAAAGATAAATTCAAGATGAAATGATTCAGTTGCGTAAATCACTAGAATTGTCAGGTCAAGTCTGGAAGCCTAAACAATACTAAATCATTTAAAGCTCTGACAAATTTTGGTGGAAACTATTTTCAAATTATCGACTGACATTAAAAATCGGCTTCACGAAAACCTGAATTATTCAGATTATTTACCTAGCGTCAAACATTTATGAGATAAAAAGCACGAAAATGCATGCTAAGATCAAATTCAAAGATAAATTCAAAATGAAATGATTCAGTTGCGTGAATCACTAGAATTGTAAGGTCAAGTCTGGAAGCCTAAACAATACTAAATCATTTAAAGCTCTGACAAATTTTTGTTGGAACTATTTTCAAATTATCGACTGACATTACAAATCGGCTTCGCGAAAACCTGAATTATTCAGATTATTTACCTAACGTCAAACATTTATGAGATGCATGCTAAGATCAAAATTAGAGAAAGGACTTGCTTAAAGTGGGCTCGTATTCCATAGGCCACACCTGCCATGACAAATGCACCACTTTGATCGATTCTGAAATTGGTAGTTTTAAGGAATACGCCATACTTCGTAACAAGCAAACAAAAAGGAAACAGAATTTCTGACAATATGACATCTTCGAAACGGAAACTAGACAGGTGAATTCATCACCAAGCGCAACAAGCGCATACTACATAAATTCACGTCCCGCTTCTTGCGGTAAAATAGTAGTGAAAAGTTTATACATTGGGGCTTTTTTTTTTGGCTTAAGAAGTCAGAATAATTTCAAACGATCTCACCTATTTATGAGAACACCATAAGCTACCTTTGACATATCAGAGCGCTCAAGGCACTTTTTTTTTTGCATCTTTCTCTCTGGCGTGCGTACGAGAGAAAGATGCATGCATAAAGCGACTCGTAGGAGTATTAATACTTCCCCCCAGGATTGGATGCTAATCCATTGCAATTTCAGCATTTCATTCGCAAATACACAAGGAAATTTTTACAGTAACTTTATAACCATCCTTTGGTCTTTTAAAAGCTTGAAGTTCAGTAGATTGTGTCATATCGGTCATTATTAAAATTGTCTTTGTTTTGATGCTACTTTTCGACATAGGAAAAGTATGTCGGACAAAAATATTCACCAAAAAATAAATATTTTCCTTGGCAGCTTCAATAACGACAGGGGATTAAGTTTAAATGATAAAACAAAGGATTATGTTCACAGAAATACCGTAGGTCCAGTACATTCGTTACATGAGGTCACACAACTCGAGTAATATTCACGGTGAAAATTTGCATATTTGAGCGGTCGAACGAAAAAAGTCATTTCTCGAAAACTAAAATATATTTTCGCAAAAAAAACTACACCACAATTATTAGAACATATTGGTCAACAAAATATGAAAGTAGGAGAGAAAACTAATTTTGGGCGACTTGCCACAATATTTCAAATTTGTTCGATGGATGCTGACATCTTCTCTTAAATAGTTTTGACCACTCGTATTATAGAGTCCAACAATTGTTATTACACAGATGACAGCCCTTTTATCCAGTTCAGTAGAGTGTTTGATAGATAACACCCTTCAATTTATGATTTGATAGCCTTAAAGGTTGCTCTCTAGTCGCTCGTTACTGTTGATGAAACGCTAAAGTTCAGGACTGAAGTAGCGAGCATCATTCAGTTATTAGCCACGAAACGTTTAAGATAATTGTGCGCGAATGTCATGATCTCAATCACCAAAACAAGATCTCTGAACCACATGGCACAAGTTGTGTCCCTTTCTTATTAATTTCTATCGAAGGCGGCGAAAAAAGTGAGAATAAAAAACACTGCTGCCTTAAGTGAAATCTTGGATAGTTGATGTCTCCAGAGTTATATTGCGCCAGAGTATTTTCCCTTAACTTAACCTTTAAAGAAAAGCTCAAAACCCAGCCTTAAATTTTGTCAGAAAAAACGAAAAAGTGGAGGGTAAATGACCTGAGCGAAATATGTAAATATTAAGTAGAATATATATTGTGTAATATGACTGAACTATTTAATGAAAACAAGGTGTTAAAGAATTGTTCGTGTTCGTCTCTTCCTTCAAAGTGATCGATGTTCACTCTTACGTTGTATTCAACGAGGAATATTCATGATCAATTATCCAATACTTTACTATTTAAAATCCAACAGTTAGTTTCTACTTCTTTTACCATTTAACCCCTAAGAGTGACTAGCATCTAATTTCTCCCTACAATGTCAGCGCTGAATCAAACATCAAGGTCAGGAGAATAAAGGAAATGATCACCAATCAAAGAGGCTTTTGATCGGTAAACAAATTCTCTTTGTCAGCACCTTAGGAAATGTATAAAGAACAGCATGGAGAATGTGCATACTGATGTTATGGTGCAAAGAGTTAAAAGGTGATAGATTGGATTAATATAAGTATGTGAGCAACTACGCACTTACCCCTCCCCTGACCCAACATTAACCTTAACTTGTTATCAATTGACGATTGTTGGGTTAGGGGAGGGGTAGGAGCGCAGTTGCTCAGATACTGATATTGATCCAATAAATTTACAGCGTCCTGTCGCTGACGATTATTAGTTGTGGAAAGTTTTAATGAGAAACCGTAATCAAAATAAAACATTGGCGTGGCCTTTCTTCAAGAATCTTAATTAATGTCTCATCTAAAACTCTCTAAAATATTAATTGGTCATCCGCATCTCCACGAGAGTCCTCCTAAATTGGAGAAGGAAGCTCTCAGAATATGTCATCAAAATACGATACACTTCTCTACAAACCTGATGAACAAGACAGGCCTTCTTTTCACACTGCGTCCCGTGAAATCCTGGTGCACAGCTACAATTATATCCGTGGACTTCATCTGTGCAAGTTTCATTATTTTTGCAGGGATGGCTGTCACAAGTAACTTTTTGGGGGTATAAGATAACGTCAAGAATTTTCGTCAATATTATTTTGCTAAACGTCCTAAGTGACGTAACGTTAATGTTAAAAGAATGAAGAAAAACTGTGGACCCTTTTTGAATTTCCCATATCTTTTCCATTCTTGTCAGTGTTCTATTTAACCTTAAAAAGCTCCATTTTTCTTTGTTTCGTTTCTCTGACTTTTGTTGATTTGTTTGTTTCCAAGTCTCGGAGACAAATATTTTGCGTTGTTTTTGGCTTGACCGACAGAACTTTACCATCTTCATTCTACTGTTCAAAATTGTTCTTACCCAGCTTAGCACAAGTTTCTCCGGTCCAAGGAGGCTTGCACTTGCATGAATAAGTTTGTTTTTTCTCGTCGTACACGCAAGCGCCTCCATTTTTACAACTGTTGGTTATTTGGCAGCCCTAACAAGAAGCAGTAACAGACAATACGTCGTAAAAAACTGTTCAGAACACGAATATGAATGTACTTTGGAATTATTACCAAGAAGTGCTCAGCTAGCTTTCGAGCCCGATGTAAAATTTCGGATCAAAAATTAATTGCCGTATCAATGAAAATGTTATAGTCGATTTCTGCCGTTATTTAGCCTGTAACAAAGAATAATGCATTTAAAATTATATAAAGTGGGTAAGTTACTAAATAAACTGAGGTGCTGCTTCTGTGGGAGAGTATGACATGCAGGGTAATACAATATTAACAACTGAGTAGATGACGTAACTTGGCCACCGAAAAGATTTGAAAGCTGACGTTTCGAGCGTTAGCCCTTCGTCAGAGCGAAAGATGGAGGGCTAACGTCAGCTTTGAAACTCTTTACAGGGCATTTAAACTTTTATTTGTTCACCTTGGTTAACTAAAAATTCTAAAGACAACCGGAAAGTTAAGTATTTTCTTTGAAACATCCATTCCTTCATGTAATGGGTCACTTCTGATCCATCCAATCACCAATCTACAACTCTATCTATTTCATATCAGTAGAAATAAATGAAATGAAATTAGAGAAGATCTCCATAATGCACTGATATCAGTTTCAAAAGGAAAATTGAGCTCACCTTTCATTTAATAGCTGTTTCGATGCTGGAAGCCTAATGTGCCAAAATTTATCATCTGTTTTGGCAGAACTTAGAGAAAAAGACGAATAGAGCAAAAATAACAAACCCGTTCGCTTAACATGTCGCCTGCACAAATTACAATTTTGTTAAGTCATTTGCATCCCGTCGTGGTCGAGTGAATATCTCTGCTAGCAGCAAGATAGCGTGAATAAACGTGGAATTTGATGAAAATTCACTGTCTGTTGCAGTTCCTTCGAAAGTGAAAAAAATGTTTGCGGGCCTGTGCGACTCCTGTTATTCCTCCGTGACAAATTCGTTGTTAGGAGGCAATTGAAGACATTCAGAAAGAATCGAAACTGCAGTCTTGCCCGAGAATCTATTCGTTTGGCAGCAGTTTCACACACAGCTGATGGCTGTGTTAATAATATCAAATCCGCGAGAAATTTAACGGAGAATCGTTCCTTAACATGCAAATACATTCCAAACAGGCAGCGACCTTCTAATACACGAACTATTTTCCATGTCATACACTTAAGGGCGTGAATACGGAATTCGCAAAAGGAGAAGCCTTACACCTCCTAACACCAAATTCGTCACGCTCAACGTTTATTAAAAAACGTACAGAGTTTCAAATATGCTTAAAGAATATAGAATACCTAGAATAAGGTTTTGACAAACGTATCTTTGGAGTTATATTCTGCGGGAGAGACTGATACTTAAAAAAAAAAAAAATAGCGCACACACATGAAAATAATACCTTTTGTAACGCAATCTCATCCAGCTTTTCCAAACCTCAAGAACATACAGATGGGGAAATGACACCTTAAAACTAACCCTTAATATCACATCGTAAACGGAATTCATTAAGGGATATCCTAATAACAGCTAAGCTTTCAGGTTAGAAGATTCAAAAGCGCAAGCGAATGGCAGAAGTCGCTCTAGCAATCAACACCGTTTAACGATCGACTACCTTTTGCTTTCCGGCTTACCCGGTGTGTCGCCGTGCGCATTGTAGAGTTATTCATTGGTCAAGTGATTCCGTTAATAACTCAAATTCAACTGTCCTTCATTTAATGATCAAGATAGTAGATTTATCATAAAACACTCGCGATATGTTAATTTCCTTTTACTTAGGAAAGTAGATTTACAACACAATCGACTATATAATAGTAACGCTGTGTAACGCAACAATAAGCCTTTTCTCGGCCATAATCGGTCTCAAACACCCGCACTTAAAATGCGAGAAACGCATGTGCCGTTGGAGAGCATTTGAGAGCGTTTGGTCAGGGCTGTTAAAGAAGGATCAAAGCGGCCATCCAAATCTTTGAAAGGCTCCAAACTACGACGTACATCAAATTTGACCTTCTTGAAATCCGGTCTCAAATTACATACAAAAAAACAGTGATCGCGTTTGTCCTTGAGAACCATAGAATACGCGACAAATACGAACAAAAAATACTTTTACACATTCAGAATAAATCAAATTACATTGACCTATGGTGAACGGAAAAAGGAACGGCCTAACTTTTACGGAATGTTCAGTCAAAATCTGCCGAATTCTGCTGCTTTCACCGCCATATTGAAAATGAAGCTACCACAATGCAACGCAATCGGAGTGCGCACACCGCCTGCTTGATTGTCAATTATACAGTGTGGACTGACAAACATGCCGATTTCCAATTAACCAAAAAGTGTCGATTGGTCGAGAGAACATTAATTAAACTCCAACAGTACGGAAATTGAAATTGAGAATACAAAGTTGCACACTCCCAGAAATCTTTTAAGCTGATTTCTTGTGCCCTTAAGAAGAAACAAGCACTCCCCGATTTCACGACATTTACACGCACCGTAAGGGTTTGCGCAATGTTTTTGAAAAAAAAAAACTACTCATGCTTGCATATTTATTCCAAATTGCACGGTTGGTTATAAACTTATTACTTACCTATGATCATCACCTCGTGGTGGAAAAGCAAATCTTTCCCATCAAATTGCCTGTCATCTTGCAGAAAACGTCCGAGACGTTTGGGCAAGTGTATGCAGTCTAATCGTGATTCATAGTAGCCCTGTACATTAGCAGCATTTTAATGTGTATTTTGAGTCAACTTGAAGAGAAAGGTATCTTGTATCGTGATTACAGTACGAACGACGTTCGTTTTGACATTCGTGGTAATGAAGTCAGAAAACATTCACCAGCGAAACGCATTGTTGTATAGTATGAAGTTCGATCGTATTTAGAGTCATGCGAGAACATTCGCACCGTTTAGTGTCCATTGTAAATAACACTGTATGGAGATACTTCCTAAATATTTTCTATTAGGACTTAAAGATGTCTAATGTTTTGAACGTAAATAAAAAAAAAAGGAACGTGTTGGATAATTGAATATTTCTCGTTGAATACACAGCTCCCTCATAATTTTAGTGTAGATAATCGAAACAATTGCTTTCCAAAGGTAAGGGGTCTCAGTAGGGTTAGCTGTTAGCCGTGAAACGGCGAAAAAATTAATTTTTAGGGATAAAAAGTGATAAATTTAACCATTAGTCGTAAAAAAAGTTAACCCCAAAAATTTTATCTTTTAATTGCAGCGGAAAGAATCAATGCCCTGTAGAGACCCTCGAGTTAAATTTACCTTGTAACTTAAATAAACGTAGTAAGTATTTATGACTTAAGAAGAATAATGCAATCTTATTGTTGATGGTGACTATACTATACGTTGGGTAAGTACGCAATCTAATCGTGAATACAGTAATTCATAGTATCCCGCGTGGAACAATTTTATAAGTACGCCGCAAAATTTCCAATGTAAGAAAAAAATAAAACAAGAAACGCCCCCTTTCTTCTTGATAAAACGAAGGTGATTAATTTGGTTTTGTGGCACCCAGTTGAAATACGTATTTGTACTATCTATGTAACATTGGTATTGTGATTGATGTCGCAAATCTTATTAAAAATATTGTAAATAGTAAATAGTATGTAGAATATAAATGAACATATGAAATAAAAAAAACAAATTAAACATAAAACTTCACGTTGGTTCTTCTTCAAACTTCATCAATTGACCTCCTTTACGACAAAACATTACAACTACCTTTATTACGAACAAATCAAGTTTCAGCCAAATGTCGTCACCAGTTCCAACCCGTTAATATTATCTCAAATATTACGGTTACACTTGCGGTTAATTAAAAACCATAGTCAATTACGATTACAATTGAAAGAAATCCACAATGACAAATATTTAAAACCGAGGGAACAACCTACAAGACAAAGGTACGTAGGAAGGTTTTGTGACTTAGACACAATGGATGGAAAACGGTGGAAATCAGAAGTAATGTTAATCCTTTAAAACTTGAACACAGGAATGAAAACGATGACTCTCTTTTAAATGATTCTAAAAAAGAGAATTTTTTTCTGAAAAACCCTATCAGATTTTATATCAGGGTGAGCGAAAGAATATGAAAACAACAGGGGAAAAATGGCATTCAAAACATAAATGCAACTGGGAAAACAGGTGAGTTTTTAATTGGGAATGCCTCGGCAACACATAGTACTGATGTACTGGTGTTTATTTGGTGACAATTACTCGGTGTAAAGTCAACAGCTATATTTCCATCGGGATCCAATATAATCAGCAATAATGAGAACAAAATCAAAAGAGTTCAGGAGGGGATTGTATATGTTTTTTCTTGATAACTCTGGGAAATAAAAGCTCTCAGCCTCTCTAATTTGTTTGCCGAGTGCTTTTCGCATTTTTCTCTCAAATAAGGGAAGAAGGGAAAATCCTCCTCGATTTTAGTCATAAGGGAGGAGATGATATAATTTCAGACCTGGTTGACAAGGAAGTAAGGGAGCACTTACAAGAACGAGGATTGGGTATGAGTTTTTCAGGCTCTTCACGCCTTCCTCGGCCAATATGGCGGCTAAAATTAATGGCTTTTGTATAGTAAGACGGCAATATGCAAGATGAGATTTTTCAATGACCCAGCTCAACTCGCCTTGTTCTCTTTTCCCAGATTCTCCCTATGAAGCTTGAAAGAGAGTAGACGGTAGCCATCTCAAAATCTATTGAGAAGGGGTTTGTGGGGAATGGCGCCCAAAGATCATCCAAGTATTTTACACACATAACTGCTAGTTTCCAGAAGAAATTATTGTAACTCGCATTCACGTGGATCCTGCTCAAAATTTTGAAGCAAAAAAAAATACAACATTGTAGACCAGCAGGAAATTATCTCAACCACTGAAACTTCAAATACAAAGACGAGCACTGTAAAATATAATTTAAAGAAAAAACGCAAAGCAGAAAGAACTTGACCAATTTCCAGTCAACTAATCAGTCAGCGTTCGGCTAATAACGCTTATATCGTGTCCTGTGCGTTAAGAATATCTGGTACGCTACCCGTTTATGAAATATGAAAATTCCAAAAGTAACTTCGATTATCTGAAAATCGAACTATGATAATAATGTGCACAAACAGGAAGCACAAACCGTGTGAGTGAACATCGATCGCTTTGAAGGAAGAGACGAACACGAACAAGTTTTTAACACTTTGTTTTCATTAAATAGCTCAGTCATATTACACGATTTGAATTCTACTTAATATATACATGTTTCGCTCAGGTCATTTACCCTCCAATTTTTCGTTTCCTCCAACAAAGTTTAAGGCTGGGTTTTGAGATTTTCTTTAAAGGTTAAGTTAAGGGAAAATACTCTGGCGCAATATAACTCTGGAGGGGGGCATGCAACTATCCAAGATTTCACCTAAGGCAGAAATGTTTCGCCGCCTTCGATTGCCTCCTGCAACGAAATCAATGAGAAAGGGACACAACTTGTGTCTTGTGGTTCAGAGATCTTGTTTCGGTGATTAAGATCATGATATCCGTGCAAACTTAGCTTAAACGTTTTTGTGACTAATAACTGAATGATACTCGCTACTTCAGTCCTGAACTTTGGCGTTTCATCAATAGTAACGAGCGACTAAAGAGCAACTTTCAAGGCTATCAAATCATAAATTGAAGGGTGCTATCTATCAAACACTCTACTGAACTGGCTAAAAGAGATGTCATCTGTGTAATAACAATTGTTGGACTCCACAATACGAGTGGTCAAAGCTATTTAACATGTATGTAGATATTGATCAGTGTTAAGGTGTTCCTTGTTCGAGGAAGCCGGGATCTCTTTCTATGATAAACAGTTCGTCGTAAACAAGATGCTGGTGTTGAAAATCCTATCACTTTTAAGGCTCGACTATTTTCACACCAGTAAAGTTTCCTTTAAATTGTCCCCACCAGAGAACAAGGCCTGCTTGTGCGATGTCACAGTTTGCCTTCTGAGTTGCAATTTCATCCCCTGAAAGGACTCTGCTCCAAAGATTAACTTCTGTTACCTCACCCGGACCAAAGCTCTGTGCGCTATCAAAGCCCCCTCCGACGCTATCTTGATCTTGTCCAATGACAACTGTTCCGCCGGCTGGTATCTGATGATTTTTCTTCAGGTCTGTTCCATTGCTTTGAAGTTGTCCATCCATATAAAACTGCCAGTCGCCTTTGGTGTTTTCCCAGGTAACACAAATGTGATGCCACATGGTATCATTAATTTTGTTTCTGGTGTCTGTTTCACTAAGAAAATGAACATTAACAATTAAAACTATGTTAGAAACTCTCGTTTCTTGACTGACTGAGGTCCAATTGTGGCATCAAGATATATATATATGTATATATATACATATAGTGCTACATATAGAATAGAAATGCATGTTAGCAATGTCGTGTGAGCTGCTGGAATGGGAGATAAATTAAGTTATTTTAATGTCACTTAACTTTTTTAAATTCCATTGCTATTTATTTCATTCGATCTCCAACACGCCATGGCTTTTAGTTTTGTCACTAACAATGATTTAATCACTAGACACATTTAATTATTTATTTAAAGTCGCTTGGGAGCAAAAACAAGAGAACGTGACTGTTAACAACGCCAAATACAATCAGAAGCCTCGATAATACTCCGCTGGGAGCACTTTAGCCCATTGCGGAAACAGGCATATCATTTTTTTGAAGCTGAGCCAAAAAAATTCATCTTCGCGCCCCTTTATCGCGCGTAATTCACCATCCATTCCGGTATATTTTTACTTCTCCTCTATCTTATTCTATTGGGTTATTGTGTTGTGTTCTTGAGTGACAGACTTTATTCTTACAGTGCTTCACTCCACCCAGGAGTATTACGGCACATTGTCGGGGAAACCGAATGAAATGCTGAAATTGCAGTAGATAAGCATCCAATCTAGGGGAAAGTATTAATACTCCTTCGAGTCGCTTTATTTTAAGAAAACCGGGATACGGTTTGGTTGGATGGGCCATTTGACTCCAATACAGACTTTATCTATCGTGTTTGTCATATCACTTACTCATAGAAAGAGTCTATAGAGATCCTAATTCCGGGGGAAAACAGACAAACGTAGAAAGCATTCCCAAAAGGTGCTCCAATAGTCGCATAACTGTAGAGGTACTGGTAACCAGTCAAATTTGTATCCTTCATTTTGACAAAAAGGCACATAGTAAACTCCGAGAGACTAGACGAGGTGGCGTTTCTTATGCTGGCGTAGCTCTTTTTGCTAGGCTGTCCAAAGACCATTCGGTAAGCTGTAGGAAACAACCGTATCAAGAAAAGCTGATCAAATTCAAGGACAATGCCCTTGAGCGCTCTGAGATGTCAAAGGTAGCTTGTGGCGTTCTCATAAATAGGTGATCTCGTTTGAAGTTATTCTGACTTCTTAAGCCAAAAAAAGCCCCAAGGTATAAAATTTTCACACTATTTAAAATCCAACAGTTACTTTCTACTTCTTTTACCCTTTAACCCCTAGGAGTGACTAGCATCTAATTTCTCCCCACAATGTCAGCGCTGAATCAAACATAAGGTCAGGAGAATAAAGGAAATGATCACCAACAAAAGAAGCTTTTGAGCAGTAAACAAATTCTCCTTGTCAGCACCTTAGGAAATGTATAAAGAACATTATGGAGAATATTCATACTGATGTTATGATATAAAGAGTTAAAAAAAATATATTGGATTAATGTAAGTATGTGAGCAACTACGCACTTGCCCCTCCCCTAACCCAACATTAACCTTAACTTGTTATCAGTCGACTGTTGTTGGGTTAGGGGAGGGGTGAGTGCGTAGTTGCTCACATACTTATATTAATCCAATGTTAGCACATTGATCTAATAAGTTTACAGCGACCTGTCGCTGACGATTATTAGTTGCGGAAAGTTTTTTTTGAGAAACCGTTATCAAAATAAAACATTGGCGTGGTCTGTCTTCAAGAATCTTAATTAATGTCTCATCTAAAACTCTCTAAAATATTGAATGGTCATCCGCATCTCCACGAGAGTCCTCCTAAATTGGAGAAGGAAGCTCTCAGAATATTCCATCAAAATACGATACACGTCTTTACAAACCTGATGAACAAGGCAGGCCTTCAATCTTTTCACAATGCGTCCCGTGAAATCCTGGTGCACAGCTACAATAATATCCGTGGAATTCATCTGTGCAAGTTCCATTGTTTTTGCAGGGATGGCTGTCACAAGTAACTTTTTGGGAGAATAGGATAACGTCAAGAATTTTCGTCAATACTACTTTGCCAAACGCTTTAAGCGACGTAACGTTAATGTTGAAAGAATGAAGGAAAATTGTGGACCCTTACATGAAAGGCGTGGGGCCGATTTGACTCCGCTGACGCGCAGTCATTTTTCCGCTATGCCATGTACAAAACGCTTTGTGATCGGTTATTTTTCAATAAATATCAATCTTAGATCTGCTGATTTGTTAACTTAAAAAAAAGATGAAATGTTGGACATTTTGAGATTTATTTCATTTAAAAAAATTATACATACACACATAAATTTTGAATCCCCCATATCTTTTCCATTCTTGGCAGTTTTTCTATTTAACTTCTCTCTCAGAAAGCTCTGTTTTGCTTTGTTTCGTTTTTTTGATTTTGTTGATCTGTTTGTTTCCAAGTCTCGGGAAAAAATTTTTTGCGTTGTTTTTGGCTTGACCGACAGAACTTTACCATCTTCATTCTACGGTTAAAAGTTGTTCTTACCCAGCTCAGCACAAGTTTCTCCGGTCCAAGGCGGCTTGCACTTGCATGAATAAGTTTGTTTTTTCTCGTCATACACGCAAGCACCTCCATTTTTACAACTGTCGGTTATTTGGCAGCCCTATCAAGAAGCAGTAACAGACAATACGTCGTAAAAAGCTGTTCAGAACACGAATATGAATGTACCTTGGAATTATTACCAAGAAGTACTCAGCTAGCTTTCTAAGTTTTTCTTGGACTCAATGATTCGAGCCCGATGTAAAATTTCGGACCAAAAATTAATTGCCGTATAAATGAAAATGTAATGGTCGATGTCTGCCGTTATTAAGCCTGTCACAAAGAACAATGCATTTAAAATTATATAAAGAGGGTAAGTTTCTAAAAAAACTGAGGTGCTGCTTCTGTAGGAGAGTATAACATGCAGGGTAATACAATATTAACAACTGAGTAGATGACTTAACTTGGCCATCGAAAAGAGTTGAAAGCTGACGTTTCGAGCGTTAGCCCTTCGTCAGAGCGAAAGATGGAGGGCTAACGTCAGCTTTGAAACTCTTTACAGGGCATTTAAACTTTTATTTGTTCCTCTTGTTCAACTGAAAGATTCTAAAGACAACCGGAAAGTTAAATACTTTCTTTGAAACATTCATCCCTTCATCTAATGGGTCACCTCTGATCCATCCAATCACCTATCTACACATCTATCCATTTCATATCAGTATAGAAATGAAATTACAGAAGATCTCCATAATGCACTGATATCAGTTTCAAAAGGAAAATTGAGCTTGCCTTTCATTGGACAGCTGTTTCGATGCCGGAAGCCTAAAGTGCCAAAATTTATTATCTGTTTTGGCAGAACTTAGAAAAAAAACCAAACAAACAAAAACAACAAACCCGTTCGCTTAACACGTCGCCGGCACAAATTAAAATTTTGTTAAACTAAATTCCTCAAGAAAAAACAGCTTCTGAGGCCTGCACAGTATATGTTACCTCCAGTCCGAAAGATTTTGTCATTAGAATTCAAAATGCTAGCACATAGGCTGAATAGTAGGCGATAAGACCATAGATTTTGTCCAACGCATTTTACACGCCAGAAAAATATTTTTTCAAGACTGACAGAAGCAAGTCAATGTCTTCTTTCTTCGGCTTATGCTGAAATTAATCAGTCTTTGCGGTTCTGATGGCTTTATTTTCTCCGTGCTTTAATTCCTGAGCGAAATATTTAGCATGTTTCCAGAATTAAGAGATAAAAGCTGTGGTTCTGATCATGGAGAATGAAGTTTATGAACAGAAATATTTGTATAGATGATGATTCATATAAGCCGGCATTACCTTATTCAAGATGAGGTTTGCCCTTCGTCTAAGAAATGGTGACTAATTTTTGTTCTCTTGTCTTTTCCTCGTTGTTTGTCAATTCATGCCATTATTCAAGGCATACATCCATTTCGCTTTCAAAAAAAAAACCAGCTCTGATTGAAACCTCACAACAGAAAAAAAAAATGGAAAAATAGGTTTTTATTGCTCGCATTTCGACGGTATTAAGTTTGTGGCATACACGAAATCAAGGATTAAATTTTGTCTGATGCCAGCTGCTCGTAACTCAGAATGCTCAAGAATAATACAGAAATTTAGCGTAAATAATTTCTCTGTAAAGGAGATTCATTTGTCGAAAAACGAAAAAAAATTTTGAAGAGGGTAGCAGTCTTAAGAATGTATACTAATTTTCTATAACACACTTTGCCGTGAAGAGCACCTGTTGGCTAGTTAGCAATAAATCGAGCCTTTCATCATTTTAGCGACGATATCGCACACGGGATATGTTAGCACAACAATCGCTTTTTACTCATGATTTACAGTAATACTCGTGTTCTCCCAACACCTCATACTAGTTATTAGGCTGGTAAATCGATAGAAAGTGCCGACTGGCGCTTTTATAAAATAGCTATGCTCTTGGTTTTCTTGTGCAAGAACAGTAATTTTTTCCAATCATATGCAACCATAATTTGAGGAAATTCAAGACATCTATTTTTCACATCGAAGTTGGGTTTTTGCTCAACTTCAATTATAGTGCTGTGGTCATGAATTTTCACTTTCCAGCCTTAAAATTCTAAAAATTGCTAAAAAGCAATGTGGCGCCAAAGACTTTAGCCCAAATGAGTCAATTAGCGATACGAAGACACACTGGTTGATTTCAAAGTTAAACGCCAATTAAGAAATTAAATGTTTGTTAAACTGCAGTTGCATCAACTTAATCTTGCGGAGCCCTTAAAAGCCAAATGAGGCATTTTAGGCTGTTCGTTACCTTAAGAGACATTGAGAAAGTGGCACCTTCCTCGAACTGCAAATACACGTTTTCTTTAACAACAGAGCCATCGTGCTTGTTTAGTTCGCAAGTTCCTGTGCCATCAGACTTCGAAATATGAGGAGCAAGTTTGAAGTTTGTTGAAGTACACCAGGCGTTTTTCAAACAAGACTGACTGCACCAAATTTGACCAGGAGACTCAAACCGTTTTACCACAAAGCCTTTAAGCTGCTTATTTGTCAACGTTGTGAAGTATGCTGATCGAGAAACAGTGGATGACTCTATTGCGGTGATGAAAACTGCGTAGAGGAGCAACAATCCTTGAAAAAGAACAAATGGAGGAGCGTTTACAGGTTCCATCACCTCAACCTTCAATGTTTGTTGAAGGCTTCAGCCAAGAGTTTACACACGACCACTTACCACGATTTTTTCATCGGTCGATTTAGGTAGGGAAAATTTGCGGAGACGTTCGTTTATACTCGCCACGCGATTAACGCTTTGCAATGTAAATTCATGCTTGATTGCCAGGCGGTGTGTGCACTCTGATTGCGTTGCATCATGGTCGTAAAATGAAAAATAAGTCATTTGCATCCTGTCGTGGTCGAGTGAACATCTCTGGTAGCAGCAAGATAGCGTGAATAAACGTGGAATTTAATGAAAATTCACTGTCTGTTGCAGTTCCTTCGAAAGTTAAAAAGTGTTTGCGGGCCTGTGCGACTCCTGTTATTCCTCCGTGACAAATTCGTTGTTAGGAGGCAATTGAAGACATTCAGAAAGAATCGAAACTGCAGTCTTGCCTGATAATCTATTCGTTTGGCAGCAGTTTCACACATAGCTGATAGCTGTGTGAATAATATCAAATCCGCGAGAAATTTAACGGAGAATCGTTCCTTGACATGCAAATACATTCCAAACAGGCAGCGACCTTCTAATACACGAATTATTTTCCATGTCATACACTTAAGGGCGTGAATACGGAATTCGCGAAAGGAGAAGCCTTACACCTCCTAACCTCAAATTCGTCACGTTCAACGTTTATTAAAAAACGTACAGAGTTTCAAATATGCTTAAAGAATATAAAATACCTAGAATAAGGTTTTGACAAACGTATCTTTGGAGTTCTATTCTGCGGGAGAGACTGATACTTAAAAAAAAAAAAAAAGCGCGCTCACATGAAAATATTACCTTTTGTGACACAATCTCATCATCTTTTCTTAAAACTAACCCTTAACATCACATCGTAAATGGAATTCATTAAAGGATATCGTTATAACAGCTAAGCCCTTCAGGTTAGAAGATTTAAAAGTGCAAGCGAATGGCAGAAGTCGCTCTAGCAATCAACACCGTTTAACGATCGACTACCTTTTGCTTTATTCCGGCTTACCCGGTGTGTCGCCGTGCGCATTGTAGAGTTATTCATTGGTCAAGTGATTCCGTTAATGGCTCAAATTCAACTGTCCTTCATTTAATGATCAAGATAGTAGATTTACCATACAACACTCGCGATAAGTTAATTTCCTTTTACTTAGGAAAGTAGATTTACAACACAATTGATTATATAATAGTAACGCTGTGTAACGCAACAATAAGCCTTTTCTCGGCCATAATCGGTCTCAAACACCCGCACTTAAAATGCGAGAAGCGCATGTGCCGTTGGAGAGCATTTAAGAGCGTTTGGTCAGGGCTGTTAAAGAAGGATCAAAGCGGCCATCCAAATCTTTGAAAGGCTCCAAACTACGACGTACATCAAATTTGACCTTCTTGAAATCCGGTCTCAAATTACATACAAAAAAACAGTGATCGCGTTTGTCCTTGAGAACCATAGAATACGCGACAAATACGAACAAAAAACACTTTTACACATTCAGAATAAATCAAATTAGATTTACCTATGGTGAAAGGAAAAAGGAACGGCCTAACTTTTACGGAATGTTCAGTCAAAATCTGCCGAATTCTGCTGCTTTCACCGCCATATTGAAAATGAAGCTACCACAATGCAACTTAATCGGAGTGCGCACACCGCCTGCTTGATTGCCAATTCTACAGTGAGGAATGAAAAACATGCCGATTTTCAATTAACCAAAAAGTGTCGATTGGTCGAGAGAACATTAATTAAACTCCAACAAAGCGAAATTGGAATTAAGAATACAAGGTTGCACACTCCCAGAAATCTTTTAAGCTGATTTATTGTTCCCTTAAGAAGAAACAAGCACTCCTCGATTTCATGACGTTTACACGCATCGTAAGGGTTTGCGCAATGTTTTTGAAAAAAAAACTACCCATGCTTGCATACTTATTCCAAATTGCACGGTTGGTTATAAACTTATTACCTACCTAAGATCATCACCTCGTGGTGGAAAAGCAAACCTTTCCCATCAAATTGCCTGTCATCTTGCAGAAAACGTCCGAGACGTTTGGGCAAGTGTATGCAGTCTAATCGTGATTCATAGTAGCCCTGTGTATTAGCAGCATTTTAAAGTGTATTTTGAGTCAACTTGAAGAGAAAGGTATCTTGTATCGTGATTACAGCATGAACGACGTTTCTTTTGACATTCGTGGTAATGAAGTCAGAAAACATTTATCAGCGAAACGCATTGTTGTATAGTATGAAGTTCGATCGTATTTAGGGTCATGCGAGAACATTCGCACCGTTTAGTGTCCATTGTAAATAACACTGTATGGAGATACTTCCTAAATATTTTCTATTAGGACTTAAAGAAGTCTAATGTTTTTGAACGTAAATAAAAAAAAGTAACGTGTTTGATAATTGAATATTTCTCGTTGAATACACAGCTCCCTCATAATTTTAGTGTAGATAATCGAAACAATTGCTTTCCAAAGGTAAGGGGTCTCAGTAGGGTTAGCTGTTAGCCGTGAAACGGCGAAAAAATTAATTTTTAGGGATAAAAAGTGATAAATTTTACCATTAGTCGTAAAAAGAGTTAACCCCAAAAATTTTATCTTTTAATTGCAGCGGAAAGAATCAATGCCCTGTAGAGACCCTCGAGTTAAATTTACCTTGTAACTTAAATAAACGTAGGAAGTATTTATGACTTAAGAAGAATGATGCAACTTTATTGTTAATGGTGACTATGCTATGCGTTGGGTAAGTACGCAATCTAATCGTGAATAAAGTAATTCATAGTATCCCGCGTGGAACAATTTTATAAGTACGCCGCAAAATTTCCAATGTAAGAAAAAAATACAACAAGAACCCCCCCCCCTTTCTTCTTGATAAAACGAAGGTGATTAATTTGGTTTTGGTTTTGTGGCACCCAGTTGAAATACGTATTTGTACTATCTATGTAACATTGGTATTGTGATTGATGTCGCAAATCTTATTAAAAATATTGTAAATAGTAAATAGTATGTAGAATATAAATGAACATATGAAATAAAAAAAACAAATTAAACATAAAACTTCAAGTTGGTTCTTCTTCAAACTTCATCAATTGACCTCCTTTACGACAAAACATTATAACCGTGCCCTTTATTATGAACAAATCAAGTTTCAGCCAAATGTCGTCACCAGTTCCAACCCGTTAATATTATCTCAAATATTATTACGGTTGCACTTGCGGTTACTTAAAAACCATAGTCAATTACGATTACAATTGAAAAGAAATCCACAATGACAAATATTTAAAACCGAGGGAACAAACCTACAAGACAAAGGTACGTAGGAAGGTTTTGTGACTTAGACACAATGGATGGAAAACCGTGGAAATCAGAAGTAATGTTAATCCTTTAAAACTTGAACACAGGAATGACAACGATGACACTCTTTTAAATGATTCTAAAAAAGAGAATTTTTTTCTGAAAAATCCTATCAGATTTTATATCAGGGTGAGCGAAAGAATATGAAAACAAGAGGGGAAAAATGGCATTCAAAACATAAATGCAACTGGGAAAACAGGTGAGTTTTTAATTGGGAATGCCTTGGCAACACTAAAGTACTGATGTACTGGTGTTTATTTGGTGACAATTACTCGGTGTAAAGTCAACAGCTATATTTCCATCGGGATCCAATATAATCAGCAATAATGAGAACAAAATCAAAAGAGTTCAGGAGGGGATTGTATATGTTTTTTCTTGATAACTCTGGGAAATGAAAGCTCTCAGCCTCTCTAATTTGTTTGCCGAGCGCTTTTTGCATTTTTCTCTCAAATAAGGGAAGAAGGGAAAATCCTCCTCGATTTTAGTCATAAGGGAGGAGATGATACAATTTCAGACCTGGTTGACAAGGAAGTAAGGGAGCACTTACAAGAACGAGGATTGGGTATGAGTTTTTCAGGCTCTTCACGCCTTCCTCGGCCAATATGGCGGCTAAAATTAATGGCTTTTGTATAGTAAGACGGCAATATGCAAGATGAGATTTTTCAATGATTCAGCTCAACTCGCCTTGTTCTCTTTTCCCAGATTCTCCCTATGAAGCTTGAAAGAGAGTAGACGGTAGCCATCTCGAAATCTATTGAGAAGGGGTTTGTGGGGAATGGCGCCCAGAGATCATCCAAGTATTTTACACACATAACTGCTAGTTTCCAGAAGAAATTATTGTAACTAGCATTCACGTGAATCCTGCTCAAAATTTTGAAGCAAAAATACAACATTGTAGACCAGCAGGAAATTATCTCAACCACTGAAACTTCAAATACAAAGACGAGCACTGTAAAATATAATTTAAAGAAAAAACGCAAAGCAGAAAGAACTTGACCAATTTCCAGCTAAACAATCAGTCAGCGTTCGGCTAATAACGCTTATATCGTGTCCTGCGCGTTAAGAATATCTGGTACGCTACCCGTTAATGAAATATGATAATTCCAAAAGTAACTTCGATTATCTGAAAATCGAACTATGATAATAATGTGCACAAACAGGAAGCACAAACCGTGTGAGTGAACATCGATCGCTTTGAAGGAAGAGACGAACACGAACAAGTTTTTAACACTTTGTTTCCATTAAATAGTTCAGTCATATTACACAATATGAATTCTACTTAATATATACATGTTTCGCTCAGTTCATTTACCCTCCACTTTTTCGTTTCCTCCAACAAAATTTAAGGCTGGGTTTTGAGCTTTTCTTTAAAGGTTAAGTTAAGGGAAAATACTCTGGCGCAATATAACTCTGGAGGGGGGCATGCAACTATCCAAGATTTCACCTAAGGCAGAAATGTTTCGCCGCCTTCGATTGCCTCGTGCAACGAAATTAATGAGAAAGGGACACAACTTGTGTCTTGTGGTTCAGAGATCTTTTTTCGGTGATTAAGATCATGATATCCGTGCAAACTTAGCTTAAACGTTTTCGTGACTAATAACTGAATGATACTCACTACTTCAGTCCTGAACTTTGGCGTTTCATCAATAGTAACGAGCGACTAAAGTGCAACCTTCAAGGCTATCAAATCATAAATTGAAGGGTGCTATCTATCAAACACTCTACTGAAATGGGTAAAAGGGCTGTCATCTGTGTAATAACAATTGTTGGACTCCACAATACGAGTGGTCAAAGCTATTTAACATGTATGTAGATATTGATCAGTGTTTCGGTGTTCCTTGTTCGAGGAAGCCGGGATCTCTTTCTATGATAAACAGTTCGTCGTAAACAAGATGCTGGTGTTGAAAATCCTATCACTTTTAAGGCTCGACTATTTTCACACCAGTAACGTTTCCTTTAAATTGTCCCCACCAGAGAACAAGGCCTGCTTGTGCGATGTCACAGTTTGCCTTCTGATTTGCAATTTCATCCCCTGAAAGGACTCTGCTCCAAAGATTGACTTCTGTTACCTCACCCGGACCAAAGCTCTCTGCGCTATCAAAGCCCCCTCCGACGCTATCTTGATCTTGTCCAATGACAACTGTTCCGCCGGCTGGTATCTGATGATTTTTCTTCAGGTCTGTTCCATTGCTTTGAAGTTGTCCATCCATATAAAACTGCCAGTCGCCTTTGGTTTTTTCCCAGGTAACACAAATGTGATGCCACATGGTATCATCAATTTTGACTCTGGTGTCCGTACTACCAAGAAAATGAACATAAACAATTAAAACTATGTTAGAAACTCTCGTTTCTTGACTGACCGGTCCAATTGTGGCATCAAGATATATATGTGTATATATATACATATAGTGCTACATATAGAATAGGAATGAATGTTAACAATGTCGTGTGAGCTGCTGGAATGGGAGATGAATTAAGTTATTTTAATGTCACTTAACTTTTTTAAATTCCATTGCTATTTATTTCATTCGATCTCCAACACGCCATAGCTTTTAATTTTATCACTAACAATTACTTAATCACTAGACATATTTAATTCTTTATTTAAAGTCGCTTGGGAGCAAAAACAAGAGAACGTAATTGTTAACAACGCCAAATACAATCAGAAGCCTCGATAATACTCCGCTGGGAGCACTTTAGCCCATTGCGGAAACAGGCATATCATTTTTTTGAAGCTGAGCGAAGGACCCTAAAAAAATTCATCTTCGCGCCCCTTTATCGCGCGTAATTCACCATTCATTCCGGTATATTTTTACTTCTCTTCTATCCTATTCTATTGTGTTATTGTGTTGTGTTCTTGAGCGACAGACGTTATTCTTACAGTGCTTCACTCCACCCAGGAGTATTACGGCACATTGTCGGGGAAACCGAATGAAATGCTGAAATTGCATTAGCATCCAATCCAGGGGGAAGTATTAATACTCCTACGGGTCGCTTTATTTTAAGAAAATCGGGATACGGTTTGGCTGGATGGCCCACTTGACTCGAGTACAGACTTTATCTATCGTGTTTGTCATATCACTTACTCTTTTCCCCAGGTGTCTATAGAGATCTTAATTCCTGGGTAAAACAGACAAACGTAGAAGGCATTCCCACCAGGTGCTCCAATAGTCGCATAACTGTAGAGGCACTGTTCACCATTCAAAATTGTATCCTTCATTTTGACAAAAAGGCACATAGTAAATTCCGAGAGACTTGACGAGGTGGCGTTTGTTATGCTGGCGTAACTCTTTATGTTAGGCTGTCCAAAGACCATTCGGTAAGCTGTAGGAAACAACAAAACACAATCTTCTTTACTCCAGTTTCACTGAAATGACAAAGCAACTCTTAAATTGGATGAATCTCACTGCGAAATTTCCGGATTAGTCTTGTTTCAGAAATTATTTTATATCTCATGTCCGCTACCGGATCACGTACGTAACTGATAAACACTAAGTGCAAAGGGTTCTGTCTAAAAAGAACAACTCTTTACGAAATAAATAGGCCAGAGAATTCGGGATGAGAGGATTATTCAGCAGATGGGGACATACAAAAGTAATCCTAACGGTTATTGCAACAGATACCCAGAGTAAAGATTGTCTTTTTTTTTGGCTTCCGCATGGCTACCACGCACGCCAGAAAGAAAGATACAAGAAAAAGTATCTTGAGCGCTCTGAGATGTCAAAGGTAGCTTGTGGTGTTCTCCTAAATAGGTGAGCTCGTTTGAAATTATTCTGACTTCTAAAAAAAAAAAAACCTTATATAAACTAAGGTATAAACTTTTCACACAATTTAAAATCCAATAGTTACTTTCTACTTCTTGAACTCTTTAACCCCTAAGAGTGATTAGCATCTAATTTCTCCATACAATATCAGCGCTGAATCAAACATTAAGGTCATGAGAATAAAGGAAATGATCACCAACCAAAGAAGCTTTTGATCGGTAAACAAACTCGCCTCGTCAGCACCTTAGGAAATGTATACAGAACAGTATGGAGAATATGCATACTGATGTTATGATATAAAGAGTTAAAAAGCGATAGATTGGATCAATATAAGTATGCGAGCAACTGCACACTTACCCCTCCCCTAACCCAACATTAACCTTAACTTGTTATCAATTGACGATTGTTGGGTTAGGGCAGGGGTAGGAGCGCAGTTGTTCAGATACCGTTTACAGCTTCCTGTTGCTGATGATTATTAGTTAACGAAAATTTTTATGAGAAATCGTTATCAAAATAAAACATCGGCGTATTCTGTCTTCCAGAACCTTAATAAATGTTCCATCTAGAACTTTCTAAAATGTTAAATTGTCATTCACATCTCCACGAGAACCTCTCTTTGTAGAAGGAAGCTTGCGCTCTCAGAATATGTCATCAAAATGCGATACACGTCTCTACAAACCTGATGAGCAAGACAGGCCTTCAATCTTTTCACACTGTGTCCCGTAAAATCCTGGTGCACAGCTGCAGTTATATTCGTTGACTTCTGTGCAAGTTCCATGGTTTTTGCAGGGATGGCTGTCACAGGTAACTTTTTGCGATTACAAGACAACATTTCAAAAGAGTTGTTGTCAGTAAAAAGAAGCTACGTCATATGGCGACTGACCTACCGATCTTCAAACCATATATGATTAAGGTGGTCTAGCTAATAACGCTTTTGAATCGAAGTAAATCTCTTAAAGCATGAGCGTTACAAAAGAAAAACAATGCGAAAACTTTTAAGGAGAAGATCTCATCAAAATAGCGTTCGAACGAAGTTTGTTTGCTTGTTTGCAGAAAACCGTCTCGCTACATTTTTTCAATTGACGCACATAAACGTAACAGGAAAACTGCTCTCAAGCTTTTCTCGACAGGCAGCACATTACAACTTCTTTCTACTCTACAAATTTGTTTCTTACACAGATCAGCACAAGTTTCTCCGGTCCAAGGGGGCTTGCATTCGCATGAATAAGTTTGCTTTTTCTCGTCATAAAAACACACACCACCATTTAAACAGGTGCTGGCTGCTAGTCGGCAATCCTAAATAGAAAGAGTAGCCGATGGAATAATGAGAAGAATATAAATCAACATAAATATGCTTCAAAATTATTTCACTTCCCTACTGACGGATTAAAAAAAGTTGGCTGGAAAATAGTCACGCTCTCAACTACGGTTTTTTTGTTATCTCCGAGATCCAGCTCCAACAACCGGGTGGGTATCAAGCCTACCCTATCGCCAAATTTAACGAAACAATTTATCTGTCCTTGCCAATTCTTCAATAAACTTCTGAAATATGATTTACAAGGTGGTAATGCGTTTATAGGCAAAAACAACGAAAAAAAAAACACTGGCTGCCTAAAAAGTTTGCTTTTAGCTACGCATTTAGTCAACATCTACAAGTACATGTATTGACTTCTGCCAAACGAAGTCAAGGCATGTTATTTTATTAATGGTCTAGCTTCTATAAACTTCAGTTAAAAACTATTACATATTCAAACACAGTAACATGAGATTCGAAGCAACCTCAAGCTTTTACTAATGGTGGAGTCACTGCACTTTTTTTTGTGATGCAAATGAGAAACAAATATGAACCCATCAGCCATAATGGCGGGGGATGGCATATAATTTCAAATATCTCGATCAAACAATGATGTTTCTAAATTCCTAGATTTGCTGGAAAAGGATTTCATTTAAAAGGGAATAAAAGAAAGTGTATGTGCCATTTCCAAAACTTGCTTCTGCTGGCAAGCATCAGTTCTAGTTTTTTGTTCTTTACAAAAATTTGCATAATTAGTGAATGGTTTCTTTAAGGTGCATAACATTTGCAGTTGATTTTACCTATCACCAAACGCCCGATGGAATATTTTTCTTCATCTCTTCTTGTTATTATTGTCCTTAGTTAGTTAAAGGAGAAGTATTTTTCCGTTTTCATGAAAAAGAACTTCTAACTTTCATGCTAAACCGGTAATCGATGAATGCTATCACCAAAGGTCTCAAACGTCGGCGGGGAAACAAAATATTTGTTTGGTGCAGCCAGCTTGTTTTTGCGGCTCACGAACTGCATGAGGTGGGTGGATCTTTTCGCAGAAAAGGGGGTTAACGAACAACTAAAACAAAGGGTTTAAAATTATGGGTATAGAAATAACAACGATTATTCTTACTAGTTCTCTTTGGTCGTTATGCAGGTTGTGTGTCTGGTACTACAGCTAGGCGTAAAAAATTCAGTTTTCAAAAAGACAAAACAAGCAAAAACAACAAACCCGTTCGCTTAACATGTCGCCTGCACAAATTACAATTTTGTTAAACTACATTCCTCTAGAAAAAACCGCTTCTGAGTCCTGCACAGTATTTGTCAATTCAATTGTTTGTCAATTCATGCCATTATTCGAGGCATACATCCATTTCGCTTTAAAAAAAAAACAGCTCTGATTAAAACCTCAAAACAGAAAAAAAAAGTGGAAAGGTAGGTTTTTATTGCTTGCATTTCGACTGTATTAAGATCGTGGCATACTCGAAATCAAGGATTAAATTTTGTCTGATGCCAGCTGCTCGTAACTCAGAATACTCAAGAATAATATAGAAATCTAGCGTAAATAATTTCTCTGTAAAGGAGATTCATTGTTGCAAATCAAAAAAAAAAAAAAGCGTTGAGAAGGGTAGTAGTCTTAAAAATGTATGCTAATTTTTTCTAACACACTTTGCCGTGAAGAGCACCTGTTGGCTATTTAGCAATAAATCGATCCTTTTATCATTTTAGCGACGATATCGCACACGGAATATGTTAGCACAACAATCCCTTTTGACTCATGATTTACAGTAATACTCGTGTTCTCCCAATACCTCATACTAGTTATTAGGCTGGTAAATCGATAGAAAGTGCCGACTAGCGCGTTTATAAAATAGCTATGCTCTTGGTTTTCTTGTGCAATAACAGTAATTTTTTCCAATCATATACACCCATAATTTGAGGAAGTTCAAGACATCTATTTTTCACATCGAAGTTAGGTTTTTGCTCAACTTCAATTATAATGCTGTGGTCATGAATTTCACTTTCCAGCCTTAAAATTTTAAAAACTGCTAAAGAGAAATGTGGCACTGAGGACTTTAGTTCAAATGAGTCAATTAGCGATATAAAGACACACTAGTTAATTTCAAAATTGATCTCCAATTAACAATTTAAATGTTAATTAAACTGCAGTTGCATGAACTTAATCTTGCGGAGCCCCTTAAGCCAAATGAGGCATTTTAGGTTGTTCCTTACCTTTAGAGGCATTGAGAAAGTGGCACCTTCCTCCAACTGCAAATGCATGTTTTCTTTAACAACAGAGCCATCGTGCTTGTTTAGTTCGCAAGTTCCTTTGCCATCAGACTTCGAAATATGAGGAGCAAGTTTGAAGTTTGTTGAAGTACACCAGGCGTTTTTCAAACAAGACTGACTGCACCAAATTTGACCAGGAGACTCAAACCGTTTTACCACAAAGCCTTTAAGCTGCTTATTTGTCAACGTTGTGAAGTATGCTGATCGAGAAACAGTGGAAGACTCTAATGCGGTGATGAAAACTGCGTAGAGGAGCAACAATCCTCGAAAAAGAACAAATGGAGGAGCGTTTACAGGTTCCATCACCTCAACCTTCAATGTTTGTTGAAGGCTTCAGCCAAGAGTTTACACACGACCACTAACCACGATTATTTCATCGGTCGATTTACATAGGGAAAATTTGCGGAGACGTTCGTTTATACTCGCCCACGCAATTAACGCTTTGCAATGTAAATTCATGCTTGATTGCCAGGTGGTGTGTGCACTCTGATTGCGTTGCATCATGGTCGTAAAATGAAAAATAAGTCATTTGCATCCTGTCGTGGTCAGTGAATATCTCTGGTAGCAGCAAGATAGCGTGAATAAACGTGGAATTTGATGAAAATTCACTGTCTGTTGTAGTTCCTTCGAAAGTTAAAAAGTGTTTGCGGGCCTGTGCGACTCCTGTTATTCCTCCGTGACAAATTCGTTGTTAGGAGGCAATTGAAGACATTCAGAAAGAATCGAAACTGCAGTCTTGCCCGAGAATCTATTCGTTTGGCAGCAGTTTCACACACAGCTGATGGCTGTGTGAATAATATCAAATCCGCGAGTAATTTAACGGAGAATCGTCCCTTGACATGCAAATGCATTCCAAAGAGGCAGCGACCTTCTAATACACGAATTATTTTTCCATGTCATACACTTAAGGGCGTGAATACGGAATTCGCGAAAGGAGAAGCCTTACACCTCCCAACACCAAATTCGTCACGCTTAACGTTTATTAAAAAAAAACGTACAGAGTTTCAAATGTGCTTAAAGAATATAGAATACCTAGAATAAGGTTTTGAAAAACTTATCTTTAGAGTTATATTCTGCGGGAGAGACTGATACTTAAAAAAAAAAAAAAATAGCGCATACACATGAAAATAATACCTTTTGTAACGTAATCTCATCCGGCCTTTCCAAACCTCAAGAACATACAGATGGGGAAATGACACCTTAAAACTAACCCTTAATATCACATCGTAAACGGAATTCATTAAAGGATATCCTAATAACAGCTAAGCTTTCAGGTTAGAAGATTCAAAAGCGCAAGCGAATGGCAGAAGTCGCTCTAGCAATCAACACCGTTTAACGATCGACTACCTTTTGCTTTCCGGCTCACCCGGTGTGTCACCGTGCGCATTGTAGAGTTATTCATTGGTCAAGTGATTCCGTTAATGGCTCAAAGTCAACTGTCGTTCATTTAATGATCAAGATAGTAGATTTACCATAAAACACTCGCGATAAGTTAATTTCCTTTTACTTAGGAAAGTCGATTTACAACACAATTGACTATATAATAGTAACGCTGTGTAACGCAACAATAAGCCTTTTCTCGGCCATAATCGGTTTCAAACACCCACACTTAAAATGCGAGAAACACATGTACCGTTGGAGAGCGTTTGAGAGCATTTAGTCAGAGCTGTTAAGGAAGGATCAAAGCAGCCATCCAAATCTTTGAAAGGCTCCAAACTACGACGTACATCAAATTTGACCTTCTTGAAATCCGGTCTCAAATTACAGTGATCGCGTTTGTCTTTGAGAACCATAGAATACGCCACAAATACGAGCAAAAAATACTTTTACACATTCAGAATAAATCAAATTACATTGACCTATGGTGAAAGGAAAAAGGAACGGCCTAACTTTTACGGAATGTTCAGTCAAAATCTGCCGAATTCTGCTGCTTTCTCCGCCATATTGAAAATGAAGCTACCACAATGCAACGCAATCGGAGTGCGCACCCCGCCTGCTTGATTGTCAATTATACAGTGTGGAATGACAAACATGCCGATTTCCAATTAACCAAAAAGTGTCGATTGGTCGAGAGAACATTAATTAAACTCCAACAGTACGGAAATTGAAATTGAGAATACAAAGTTGCACACTCCCAGAAATCTTTTAAGCTGATTTCTTGTGCCCTTAAGAAGAAACAAGCCCTCCCCGATTTCACGACATTTACACGCACCGTAAGGGTTTGCGCAATGTTTTTGAAAAAAAACTACCCATGCTTGCATACTTATTCCAAATTGCACGGTTGGTTATAAACTTATTACTTACCAATGATCATCACCTCGTGGTGGAAAAGCAAATCTATCCCATCAAATTGCCTGTCATCTTGCAGAAAACGTCCGAGACGTTTGGGCAAGTGTATGCAGCCTAATCGTGATTCATAGTAGCCCTGTACATTAGCAGCATTTTAATGTGTATTTTGAGTCAACTTGAAGAGAAAGGTATCTTGTATCGTGATTACAGTATGAACGACGCTTCTTTTGACATTCGTGGTAATGAAGTCAGAAAACATTTACCAGCGAAACGCATTGTTGTATAGTATGAAGTTCGATCGTATTTAGAGTCATGCGAGAACATTCGCACCGTTTAGTGTCCATTGTAAATAACACTGTATGGAGATACTTCCTAAATATTTTCTATTAGGACTTAAAGAAGTCTAATGTTTTTGAACGTAAATAAAAAAAAGTAACGTGTTGGATAATTGAATATTTCTCGTTGAATACACAGCTCCCTCATAATTTTAGTGTAGATAATCGAAACAACTGCTTTCCAAAGGTAAGGGGTCTCAGTAGGGTTAGCTGTTAGCCGTGAAACGGCGAAAAAATTAATTTTTAGGGATAAAAAGTGATAAATTTAATCATTAGTCGTAAAAAGAGTTAACCCCAAAAATTTTATCTTTTAATTGCAGCGGAAAGAATCAATGCCCTGTAGAGACCCTCGAGTTAAATTTACCTTGTAACTTAAATAAACGTAGTAAGTATTATGACTTAAGAAGAATAATGCAATCTTATTGTTGATGGTGACTATACTATATGTTGGGTAAGTACGCAATCTAATCGTGAATAGAGTAATTCATAGTATCCCGCGTGAAACAATTTTATAAGTACGCCGCAAAATTTCCAATGTAAGAAAAAAATACAACAAGAAACCCCCCCTTTCTTCTTGATAAAACGAAGGTGATTAATTTGGTTTTGGTTTTGTGGCACCCAGTTGAAATACGTATTTGTACTATCTATGTAACATTGGTATTGTGATTGATGTCGCAAATCTTACTAAAAATATTGTAAATAGTAATTAGTATGTAGAATATAAATGAACGAATGAATTAAAAAAAATAAATTAAACATAAAAGTTGGTTGTTCTTCAAACTTCATCAATTGACCTCCTTTACGACAACACATTACAACCGTGCCCTTTATTATGAACAAATCAAGTTTCAGCCAAATGTCGTCACCAGTTCCAACCCGTTAATATTATCTCAAATATTATTACGGTTGCACTTGCGGTTACATAAAAACCATAGTCAATTACGATTGCAATTGAAAAGAAATCCGCAATGACAAATATTTAAAACCGAGGGAACAAACCTACAAGGCAAAGGTACGTAGGAAGGTTTTGTGACTTAGACACAATGGATGGAAAACGGTGGAAATCAGAAGTAATGTTAATCCTTTAAAACTTGAACACAGGAATGACAACGATGACACTCTTTTAAATGATTCTAAAAAAGAGAATTTTTTCCTGAAAAACCCTATCAGATTTTATATCAGGGTGAGCGAAAGAATACGAAAACAATAGGGGAAAAATGGCATTCAAAACATAAATGCAACTGGGAAAACAGGTGAGTTTTTAATTGGGAATGCCTCGGCAACACATAGTACTGATGTACTGGTGTTTATTTGGTGACAATTACTCGGTGTAAAGTCAACAGCTATATTTCCACCGGGATCCAATATAATCAGCAATAATGAGAACAAAATCAAAAGAGTTCAGGAGGGGATTGTATATGTTTTTTCTTGATAACTCTGGGAAATGAAAGCTCTCAGCCTCTCTAATTTGTTTGCCGAGCGCTTTTCGCATTTTTCTCTCAAATAAGGGAAGAAGGGAAAATCCTCCTCGATTTTAGTCATAAGGGAGGAGATGATACAATTTCAGACCTGGTTGACAAGGAGGTATGGGAGCACTTACAAGAACGAGGATTGGGTATGAGTTTTTCAGGCTCTTCACGCCTTCCTCGGCCAATATGGCGGCTAAAATTAATGGCTTTTGTATAGTAAGACGGCAATATGCAAGATGAGATTTTTCAATGACCCAGCTCAACTCGCCTTGTTCTCTTTTCCCAGATTCTCCCTATGAAGCTTGAAAGAGAGTAGACGGTAGCCATCTCAAAATCTATTGAGAAGGGGTTTGTGGGGAATGGCACCCAAAGATCATCCAAGTATTTTACACACATAACTGCTAGTTTCCAGAAGAAATTATTGTAACTAGCATTCATGTGAATCCTGCTCAAAATTTTGAAGCAAAAAAAAAAAAAATACAAAGTTGTAGACCAGCAGTAAATTATCTCAACCACTGAAACTTCAAATACAAAGACGAGCACTGTAAAATATAATTTAAAGAAAAAACGCAAAGCAGAAAGAACTTGACCAATTTCCAGTCAATTAATCAGTCAGCGTTCGGCTAATAACGCTTATATCGTGTCCTGTGCGTTAAGAATATCTGGTACGCTACCCGTTAATGAAATATGAAAATTCCAAAAGTAACTTCGATTATCTGAAAATCAAACTATGATAATAATGTGCACAAACAGGAAGCACAAACCGTGTGAGTGAACATCGATCGCTTTGAAGGAAGAGACGAACACGAACAAGTTTTTAACACTTTGTTTCCATTAAATAGTTCAGTCATATTACACAATATGAATTCTACTTAATATATACATGTTTCGCTTAGTTCATTTACCCTCCACTTTTTCGTTTCCTCCAACAAAATTTAAGGCTTGGTTTTGAGCTTTTCTTTAAAGGTTAAGTTAAGAGAAAATACTCTGGCGCAATATAACTCTGGAGGGGGGCATGCAACTATCCAAGATTTTACCTAAGGCATAAATGTTTCGCCGCCTTCGATTGCCTCGTGCAACGAAATCAATGAGAAAGGGACACAACTTGTGTCTTGTGGTTCAGAGATCTTGTTTTGGTGATTAAGATCATGATATCCGTGCAAACTTAGCTTAAACGTTTTCGTGACTAATAACTGAATGATACTCACTACTTCAGTCCTGAACTTTGTCGTTTCATCAATAGTAACGAGCGACTAAAGAGCAACCTTCAAGGCAATCAAATCATAAATTGAAGGGTGCTATCTAACAAACACTCTACTGAACTGGGTAAAAGGGCTGTCATCTATGTAATAACAATTGTTGGACTCCACAATACGAGTGGTCAAAGCTATTTAACATGTATGTAGATATTGATTAGTGTTTAGGTGTTCCTTGTTCGAGGAAGCCGGGATCTCTTTCTATGATAAACAGTTCGTCGTAAACAAGATGCTGGTGTTGAAAATCCTATTACTTTTAAGGCTCGACTATTTTCACACCAGTAAAGTTTCCTTTAAATTGTCCCCACCAGAGAACAAGGCCTGCTTGTGCGATGTCACAGTTTGCCTTCTGATTTGCAATTTCATCCCCTGAGAGGACTCTGCTCCAAAGATTGACTTCTGTTACCTCACCCGGACCAAAGCTCTGTGTGCTATCAAAGCCCCCTCCGACGCTATCTTGATCTTGTCCAATGACAACTGTTCCGCCGGATGGTATCTGATGATTTGTCTTCAGGTCTGTTCCATTGCTTTGAAGTTGTCCATCCATATAAAACTGCCAATTACCTTTGGTGTTTTCCCAGGTAACACAAATGTGATGCCACATGGTATCATTAATTTTGTTTCTGGTGTCTGTTTCACTAAGAAAATGAACATAAACAATTAAAACTATGTTAGAAACTCTCGTTTCTTGACTGACTGCGGTCCAATTGTGGCATCAAGATATATATATATATATGTATATATGTATATATATACATATAGTGCTACATATAGAATAGGAATGCATGTTAACAATGTCGTGTGAGCTGCTGGAATGGGAGATAAATTAAGTTATTTTAATGTCACTTAACTTTTTTAAATTCCATTGCTATTTATTTCATTCGATCTCCAACACGCCATAGCTTTTAATTTTGTCACTAACAATGATTTAATCACTAGACACATTTAATTATTTATTTAAAGTCGCTTGGGAGCAAAAACAAGAGAACGTGATTGTTAACAACGCCAAATGCAATCAGAAGCCTCGATAATACTCCGCTGGGAGCACTTTAGCCCATTGCGGAAACAGGCATATCATTTTTTTGAAGCTGAGCCAAGGACCCTAAAAAAATTCATCTTCGCGCCCCTTTATCGCGCGTAATTCACCATTCATTCCGGTATATTTTTACTTCTCTTCCATCCTATTCTATTGTGTTGTTGTGTTGTGTTCTTGGGCGACAGACGTTATTCTTACAGTGCTTCACTCCACCCAGGAGTATTACGGCACATTGTCGGGGAAACCGAATGAAATGCTGAAATTGCATTAGCATCCAATCCAGTGGGAAGTATTAATACTCCTACGAGTCGCTTTATTTTAAGAAAACCGGGATACGGTTTGGCTGGATGGCCCACTTGACTCGAGTACAGACTTTATCTATCGTGTTTGTCATATCACTTACTCATCCCCCGCGGCTATGGCGATCCTAATTCCTGGGTTAAACAGACGAACGTAGAAGGCATTCCCAATAGGTGCTCCAGTAGTCGCATAACTGTAGAGGAACTGTTCACCATTCAAAATTGTATCCTTCATTTTGACAAAAAGGCACATAGTAAATTCCGAGAGACTAGACGAGGTGGCGTTTGTTATGCTGGCGTAACTCTTGTTGGTAGGCTGTCCAAAGACCATTCGGTAAGCTGTAGGAAACAACAAAACACAATCTTCTTTACTCCAGTTTCACTGAAATGACAAAGCAACTCTTAAATTGGATGAATCTCACTGCGAAATTTCCGGATTAGTCTTGTTTCAGAAATTATTTTATATCTCATGTCCGCTACCGGATCACGTACGTAACTGATAAACACTAAGTGCAAAGGGTTCTGTGTAAAAAAACAACTCTTTACGAAATAAATGGGCCAGAGAATTCCGAATGAGAGGATTATTCAGCCGGGAGGAGACATACAAAAGTAATCCTAACGGTTATTGCAACAGATACCCAGAGTAAAGATTGTCTTTGTTTTTTGAAAAATCTTGCTTTGGCTTCCGCATGGCTACCACGCACGCCAGAAAAAAAGATACAAGAAAAAGTACCTTGAGCGCTCTGAGATGTCAAAGGTAGCTTGTGGTGTTCTCCTAAATAGGTGAGCTCGTTTGAAGTTATTCTGACTTCTAAAACCAAAAAAACCTCGAGGTATAAACTTTTCACACAATTTAAAATCCAATAGTTACTTTCTACTTATTGAACTCTTTAACCCCTAAGAGTGACTAGCACCTAATTTCTCCATACAACATCAGCGATGAATCAAACATTAAGGTCATGAGAATAAAGGAAATGATCACCAACAAAAGAAGCTTTTGATCGGTAAACAAACTCTCCTCGTCAGTCAGCACCTTAGGAAATGTATAGAGAACAGTATGGAGAATATGCATACTGATGTTATGGTGTAAAGAGTTAAAAAGTGATAGATTGGATCAATATAAGTATGCGAGCAACTGCACACTTACCCTTCCCCTAACCCAACATTAACCTTAACTTGTTATCAATTGACGATTGTTGGGTTAGGGGAGGGGTAGGAGCGCAGTTGTTCAGATACCGTTTACAGCTTCCTGTTGCTGATGATTATTAGTTAACGAAAATTTTTATGAGAAATCGTTATCAAAATAAAACATCGGCGTATTCTGTCTTCAAGAACCTTAATTAATGTTCCATCTAGAACTTTCTAAAATGTTGAATTGTCATCCACATCTCCACGAGAACTTCTCTTTGTAGAAGGAAGCTTGCGCTCTCAGAATATGTCATCAAAATGCGATACACGTCTCTACAAACCTGATGAGCAAGACAGGCCTTCAATCTTTTCACACTGTGTCCCGTAAAATCCTGGTGCACATCTGCAGTTATATTCGTTGACTTCTGTGCAAGTTCCATGGTTTTTGCAGGGATGGCTGTCACAGGTAACTTTTTGCGATTACAAGACAACATTTCAAAAGAGTTGTTGTCAGTAAAAAGAAGCTACGTCATATGGCGACTGACCTACCGATCTTCAAACCATATATGATTAAGGTGGTCTAGCTAATAACGCTTTTGAATCGAAGTAAATCTCTTAAAGCATGAGCGTTACAAAAGAAAAACAATGCGAAAACTTTTAAGGAGAAGATCTCATCAAAATAGCGTTCGAACGAAGTTTGTTTGCTTGTTTGCAGAAAACCGTCTCGCTACATTTTTTCAATTGTCGCACATAAACGTAACAGGAAAACTGCTCTCAAGCTTTTCTCGACAGGCAGCACATTACAACTTCTTTCTACTCTACAAATTTGTTTCTTACACAGATCAGCACAAGTTTCTCCGGTCCAAGGGGGCTTGCATTCGCATGAATAAGTTTGCTTTTTCTCGTCATAAAAACACACACCACCATTTAAACAGGTGCTGGCTGCTAGTCGGCAATCCTAAATAGAAAGAGTAGCCGATGGAATAATGAGAAGAATATAAATCAACATAAATATGCTGCAAAATTATTTCACTTTCCTACTGACAGATTAAAAACAATTGGCTGGAAAATAGTCACGCTCTCAACTACGGTTTTTTTGTTATCTCCTAGATCCAGCTCCAACAACCGGGTGGGTATCAAGCCTACCCTATCGCCAAATTTAACGAAACAATTTATCTGTCCTTGCCAATTCTTCAACAAACTTCTGAAATATGATTTACAAGGTGGTAATGTGTTTATAGGCAAAAACAACGAAAACGAAAAAACACTGGCTGCCTAAAAAGTTTTGCTTTTAACTACGCATTTAGTCAACATCTACAAGTACATGTATTGACTTCTGCCAAACAAAGTCAAGGCATGTTATTTTATTAATGATCTAGCTTCTATAAACTTCAGTTAAAAACTACTATATATTCAAACACAGTAATATGCGATTTAAATTACTACATTTGCTGGAAAAGGATTTCATTTAAAAGGGAATAAAAGAAAGTGCATGTGCCATTCCCAAGACTTGCTTCTGCTGGCAAGCATCAGTTCTAGTTTTCTGTTCTTTACAAACATTTGCATAATTAGTGAATGGTTTCTTTAAGGTGCATAACATTTGCAGTTGATTTTACCTATCACCAAACGCCCGATGGAATATTTTTCTTCATCTCTTCTTGTTATTATTGTCCTTAGTTAGTTAAAGGAGAAGTATTTTTCTGTTTTCATGAAAAAGAACTTCTAACTTTCATGCTAAACCGGTAATCGATGAATGCTATCACGAAAGGTCTCAAACGTCGGCGGGGAAACAAAATATTTGTTTGGTGCAACCAGCTTGTTTTTGCGGCTCACGAACTGCATGATGGTGGGTGGATCTTTTCGCAGAAAAGGAGGTTAACGGGCAACTAAAACAAAGGGTTGAAAATTATTCCGGGTATAGAAATAACAACGGTTATTCTTACTAGTTCTCTTTGGTCGTTATGCAGGTTGTGTGTCTGGTACTACAGCTCGGCGTAAAAATTCAGTTTTCAATCATCTTTGGATTTTAGTTTTTTTATTCATAATTTTTATTGAATTCTGGAACTCTCCGAAAAAAAAGATCGCACTGAAGACCTCTGCCTAATTAAGGGTTTATTTTCCTGAAGTAAGGGAAGAGTTAAACTGTAAAAATGAAAACTTGCCTAATTACAAGACTTTTCAAAATAAACGAATTGGTGACTAACCTGCAGATGATTAAACTTGGTATCGCTGAATACACTGAAAACGATCAAAACATTGCAATTATTTACCTTAATAAGTGTTGAGAAAATGACTTCCGCCTCAACCTGTAAATGTGCGTTTTCTTTGATAACGTCGTGCTTGTTTAGTTCACAAGTTCCTTTGCCACCAGACTTGGAAGTTTGAGGAGTAAGTTTGAAGTTTGTTGAAGTACACCAGGCGTTTTTCAAACAAGACTGACTACACCAAATTTGACTGGTCGACTTAAACCGTTTCACGAAAAAACCTTTAAGCCGCTTATTTGTCAACGTTGTGAAATATGTTGATCGAGAAAGGGCAGACGATTCTACTCCTGCGTGGAAAACTGCGCAGAGTAATATAACTCCTCGAAAGAAGACAAAGAGGGAAGTGTTTTCAAGTCCCATCGCGAAAATTGTCATCACAGAATAAGTCTGTTTACTGTCTTTCCCGATGTCCTTAAAGATGTACCCCACGCAATCCGAATCTTGATTGGTCAACTTCAGCGTAATTTAGAAAAGAAAAGATTATACATGATAACCAGTTGAATGACAGGCCGCATAACAGAAAGTCAAAATGCACAAAACTTTGCATTTGAAATTTGCATTCGTGCTATAACTTTGCGCTCGTGTTACATGAAAAATACACTCGTTTTCGACCAATCGGACGCACGTGACTTTTTGATGTATATTAATACATATTAAATTCAAAATGAAATGATTCAATTGCGTGAATCACTAGAATTGTAAAGTCAAGTCTGGAAGCCTAAACAACACTAAATCATTTAAAGCTCTGACAAACTTTTGTTGGAACTATTTTCAAATTATCGACTGACATTACAAATCGGCTTCATGAAAACCTGAATATTAATATGATCATCCAATTATTCAAATTATTTACCTGGCGAGATCAAAATTAGAGAAAGGACTTGCTTAAAGTGAGCTCGTATTCCATAGGCCACACCTCCCATGACAAATACACCACTTTGATCGACACTGAAATTGGTAGTTTTGAGGAATACGCTACACTTCGTAACAAGCAAACAAAAAGAAAACAAAATATCTAACAATATGCCATCTTCTAAACGGAAACTAGACAGGTGAATTCATCATCATGCGGTAAAATAGTAAAGTATTGGATAATTGATCATGAATATTTCTCGTTGAATACACAGCTGCCTCATAATTTTAGTGCAAATAATGCAAAAAAATTGCTATCCAAAGGTAGGGGGTCTCAACTGTCAGTCGTGAAAGAATAGAACTTGGCCGGGGGCGATAAAGACGCTTTTAAAGTTGAGAAAATTAAAAGGTGGCGGTATCAAGGATCTGTCAATGGGAAACAGAAGCATATAACTTAAGTTATATGCTAAGTTATATGCCTGCGTGAAAAATGATTAACTTGGTAAAAAAACAGCGCTAAAGAGGCCTTTTTTGATGCATTTGAATGTTTCCTGGCCATCATTTTCGTTAGGGACCTTAGTAGCTCTCAGCCTCTCTAATTTGTTTCCCAAGCGCTTTTCGCATTTTTCTCTCTAAAAATAAGAAAAAAAGAAAATCCTCCTGGATTTCAGTCACAAGGGAGGGGAAAGTACATTTTTTAGACCTGGTCGACAAGGAAGTAAGGGAGCACTTACAAGAACGAGAACTGGGTATGAGTTTTTCAGGCTCCTCACGCCTTCCTCGGCCAATATGGCGGCTAAAATTTATGTCTTTTGTAAAGTAGGACGGCCATGTCCAATGACTTAGGTCAACTCGTCTTGTTCCCTTTTTCCCAGGTTCTCCCTATGAAGCTTAAAAGAGAGTGGACGGTAGCCATCTCGAAACCTACTGAGAACGAGTTTGTGGGGAATGGTGCCCAAGGATCATCCAAGTATTTTACACACATAACTGCTCGTTTCCAGGAGAACTTCTAGTAACTAGCATCCACGTCACGTTCTTGCTCAAAATTTTGAAGCCAAAAAAATACAACATCAACATGTAGATCGGCAGGAAATTATTGCAACCACTGAAACTTCAAATACAAAGAAGAGCTCTGTAAAATTATAATTTAAAGAAAAAAACCCAAAGCAGAAAGAACTCGACCAATTTCCAGCCAACTAATTAGTCAGAGTTCGGCTAATAACGCTTGTATCGTGTTCTGTGCGTTAAGAATATCCGGTACGCTACCCGTTAATGAAGTGTAAAAATTCCAAAAGTAACTTTGATTATCTGAACATCGAACTATTATAGTAGTGTGTACAAACAGGAAGTACAAGCCGTAAGAGTGAACATCGATCGCTTTGAAGGAAGAGACGAACACGAACAGGTCTTATGACGCTTTGTTTTCATTAAATAGTTCAGTCATATTACACAATATAAATTCTACTTGATATTTACATATTTCGCTCAGTTCACAAAATTTAAGGCTGGGTTTTGAGCTTCTCTTTAAAGGTTAAGTTAAGGGAAAATACTCTGGCGCAATATGACTCTGGAGGGGGGAATGCGACTATCCAAGATTTCACCCAAAGCAGAAATTTTTTTTATCCTCTCTTTTTCCGCCGCCTTGGATTGCCTCGTGCAACAAAATCAACGAGAAAGGGACACAACTTGTGTCCTGTGGTTCAGAGATCTTGTTTTGGTGATTAAGATCATGATATTCGTGAAAACTTAGCTTAGACGTTTTTTGACTAATAACTGAATGATACTCGCTATTTCAGTCCTGAACTTTGGCGTTTTATCACAGTAACGAGCGACTACACAGCAACCTTAAGGTTATCAAATCATAAACAGAAGAGCGCAATCTATCAAACACTCTACTGAACAGGTTAAAAGGGCTATCATCTGTGTAATAACAATTGTTGGACTCCACAATACGAGTGGTCAAAGCTATTTAACAGGTATGTAGATATTGATCAGTGTTTAGGCGTTCCTTGTTCGAGGAAACCGGGATCTCTTTCTATGATAGACAGTTCGTCGTAAACAAGATGCTGGTGTTGAAAATCCTATCACTTTTAAGGCTCGACTATTTTCACACCAGTAAAGTTTCCTTTAAATTGTCCCCACCAGAGAACAAGGCCTGCTTGTACGATGTCACAGTTTGCCTTCTGAGTTGCAATTTCATCCCCTGAAAGGACTCTGCTCCAAAGATTGACTTCTATTACCTCACCCGGCCCAAAGCTCTGTGTGATATGAAAGCCCCCTCCGACTTTATCTTGCTCTTGTCCAATGACAACTGTTCCGCTGGCTGGTATCTGATGATTTTTTTTCAAGTCAGTTCCAGAGATTTGAAGTTGTCCATCCAGATAAAGCTGCCAGTAGCCTTTGGTGTTTTCCCAGGTAACGCAAATGTGATGCCACGTGGTATCCTTAATTTTGACTCTGGCGTCTTTATCACTTAGAAAATGAACATAAACAATTAAAACTATGTTAGAAACTCGTTTCTTGACTGATTGCGGTCCAATTCAATGTGGCATCAGGATTGGTTGTTCACCCTTATTTGAACTGTTTCAACTTTCTGGGCCTCATCAGTGCAATGCTAATGTTAGGAAGGAGGTGTAAGCATTTAGCTACCCCGAATGATTCCACAATTGTGGTATCATCCAACCCATGTCAGAGGACTTGTAAGAATGCACAATAGCGAGACATGACTCCTCCTAAATAGAGTGCTCAATTTGGACATAAAATAAATAAATGACACTCTTGATATCTCCCATTCCAGCAGCTCACACGACGTTGTAAACATGCATTCCAATTCTATATGTAGCACTATATGCATGTTTACAACGTCGTGTGAGCTGCTATATATATATTAAGAGTGTCATTTATTTATTTCATCCGAAAAGAGAAAGACTCCGTTTTTGCGGGAATTCACTGTGCAATTTTTCTTGCTCACGGAAATTCTCAAACTCCATACACTCAAAATTCAACACGTCATAGCACTTAATTTTGTCATTAACAATGATTTAACCACTAGACTCATTTAATTATTTATTTTTAAGTCGCTTGGGAACAAAACCAAGTTAACGTGGTTGCTAACCATGCCAAAACCATCAGAAGCCTCGCTAATACTCCGCTGGGAGCACTTCAGCCCATTGCGGGAACAGGCATATTATTTTTTTAACGTGAGCCAAGGTAAGTGTGAATCTCGCGTGAAGGAAGGAGCTCAAAGAATTCATCTTCACTTCCCTATCTCGCGCGTAATTCGCCGTTCATTCCAGTATATTTTTAGTTCTCCTCTATCTTGTTCTATTGCGTTATTGTGTTTTTTTCTTGGGCGACAGACTTTATTCTCACAGTGCTTCACTCCAGCCAGGAGTATTACGGCACACTGTCGGGGAAACCGAATGAAATGCTGAAATTGCAATAGATAAGCATCCCATCCAGGGGAAAGCATTAATACTCCTACTGGTCGCTTTATTTTAAAAAAACCGGGATACGGTTTGGTTGGATGGGCCATTTGACTCGAGTACAGACTATTTCTATCGTGTTTGTCACATCACTTACTCAATTCTCGTGGCGTCTATAGAGATCCTAATTCCTGGGTCAAACAGACAAACGTAGAAGGCATTCCCACCAGGTGCTCCAATAGTCGCATAACTGTAGAGGCACTGTTCATCTTTCAAATTTGTATCCTTCATTTTGACAAAAAGGCACATAGTAAATTCCGAGAGACTAGACGAGATGGCGTTTGTTATGCTGGCGTAACTCTTTATGCTAGGCTGTCCAAAGACCATTCCGTAAGCTGTAGGAAACAACAAAACACAATCTTCTTTACTCCAGTTTCACTGAAATGTCAAAGCAACTCTTAAATTGGATGAATCTCACTGCGAAATTTCCGGATTAATCTTGTTTCAGAAATTACTTTATATCTCATGTCCGCTACCGGATCACGTACGTAACTGATAAACACTAAGTGCAAAGGGTTCTGTCTAAAAAGAACAACTCTTTACGAAATAAATAGGCCAGAGAATTCGGAATGAGAGGATTATTCAGCCCGGAGGGGACATACAAAAGTAATCCTAACGGTTATTGCGACAGATACCCAGAGTAAAGATTGTCTTTGTTTTTTGAAAAATCTTGCTTTGGCTTCCGCATGGCTAGCACGCACGCCAGAAAGAAAGATACAAGAAAAAGTACCTTGAGCGCTCTGAGATGTCAAAGGTAGCTTGTGGTGTTCTCCTAAATAGGTGAGCTCGTTTGAAGTTATTCTGACTTCTAAAACCAAAAAAACCTCGAGGTATAAACTTTTCACACAATTTAAAATCCAATAGTTACTTTCTACTTCTTGAACTCTTTAACCCCTAAGAGTGACTAGCACCTAATTTCTCCATACAACATCAGCGATGAATCAAACATTAAGGTCATGAGAATAAAGGAAATGATCACCAACAAAAGAAGCTTTTGATCGGTAAACAAACTCTCCTCGTCAGTCAGCACCTTAGGAAATGTATAGAGAACAGTATGGAGAATATGCATACTGATGTTATGGTGTGAAGAGTTAAAAAGCGATAGATTGGATTAATAGAAGTATGTGAGCAATTGCGCACTTACCCCTCCCCCAACATTAACCTTAACTTGTTATCAATTGACGATTGTTGGGTTTGGGGAGGGGTAGGAGCGCAGTTGTTCAGATACCGTTTACAGCTTCCTGTTGCTGATGATTATTAGTTAACGAAAATTTTTATGAGAAATCGTTATCAAAATAAAACATCGGCGTATTCTGTCTTCAAGAACCTTAATTAATGTTCCATCTAGAACTTTCTAAAATGTTGAATTGTCATCCACATCTCCACGAGAACTTCTCTTTGTAGAAGGAAGCTTGCGCTCTCAGAATATGTCATCAAAATACGATACACGTCTCTACAAACCTGATGAGCAAGACAGGCCTTCAATCTTTTCACACTGTGTCCTGTAAAATCCTGGTGCACAGCTGCAGTTATATTCGTTGACTTCGTCTGTGCAAGTTCCATTGTTTTTGCAGGGATGGCTGTCACAGGTAACTTTTTGCGATTACAAGACAACATTTCAAAAGAGTTGTTGTCAGTAAAAAGAAGCTACGTCATATGGCGACTGACCTACCGATCTTCAAACCATATATGATTAAGGTGGTCTAGCTAATAACGCTGAATCGAATTAAATCTCTTAAAGCATGAGCGTTACAAAAGAAAAACAATGCGAAAACTTTTAAGGAAAAGATCTCATTAAAATAGCGTTCGAACGAAGTTTGTTTGCTTGTTTGCAGAAAACCGTCTCGCTACATTTTTTCAATTGTCGCACATAAACGTAACAGGAAAACTGCTCTCAAGCTTTTCTCGACAGGCAGCACTTTACAACTTCTTTCTAATTTACAAATTTGTTTCTTACACAGATCAGCACAAGTTTCTCCGGTCCAAGGGGGCTTGCATTCGCATGAATAAGTTTGCTTTTTCTCGTCATAAAAACACACACCACCATTTAAACAGGTGCTGGCTGCTAGTCGGCAATCCTAAATAGAAAGAGTAGCCGATGGAATAATGAGAAGAATATAAATCAACATAAATATGCTTCAAAATTATTTCACTTTCCTACTGACGGATTAAAAACAATTGGCTGGAAAATAGTCACGCTCTCAACTACGGTTTTTTTGTTATCTCCTAGATCCAGCTCCAACAACCGGGTGGGTATCAAGCCTACCCTATCGCCAAATTTAACGAAACAATTTATCTGTCCTTGCCAATTCTTCAACAAACTTCTGAAATATGATTTACAAGGTGGTAATGCGTTTATAGGCAAAAACAACGGAAAAAAAACACTGGCTGCCTAAAAGTTTTGCTTTTAACTACGCATTTAGTCAACATCTACAAGTACATGTATTGACTTCTGCCAAACGAAGTCAAGGCATGTTATTTTATTAATGCTCTAGCTTCTATAAACTTCAGTTAAAAACTACTATATATTCAAACACAGTAACATGCGATTCGCTGCAACCCCAAGCTTTTACTTACGGTGGAGTTATTGCACTTTTTTTGTGATGCAAATGAGAAACAAACAAGAGCCCACCAGCCGTTTGGGGATGGCATATAATTTCAAATATCTCATCAAAACATGGTGTTTCTAAATTCCTACATTTGCTGGGAAAGGATTTCATTTAAAAGGGAATAAAAGAAAGTGTATGTGCCATTTCCAAAACTTGCTTCTGCTGGCAAGCATCAGTTCTAGTTTTTTGTTCTTTACAAAAATTTGCATAATTAGTGAATGGTTTCTTTAAGGTGCATAACATTTGCAGTTGATTTTATTATCTCTTCTTGTTATTATTATCCTTAGTTAGTTAAAGGAGAAGTATTTTTCCGTTTTCATGAAAAAGAACTTCTAACTTTCATGCTAAACCGGTAATCGATGAATGCTATCACGAAAGGTCTCAAACGTCGGCGGGGAAACAAAATATTTGTTTGGTGCAACCAGCTTGTTTTTACGGCTCACGAACTGCATGAGGTGGGTGGATCTTTTCACAGAAAAGGGGGTTAACGAACAACTAAAACAAAGGGTTGAAAATTATTCCGGGTATAGAAATAACAACGGTTATTCTTACTAGTTCTCTTTGGTCGTTATGCAGGTTGTGTGTCTGGTACTACAGCTCGGCGTAAAAATTCAGTTTTCAATCATCTTTGGATTTTAGTTTTTTTTATTCATAATTTTATTGAATTCTGGAGCTCTCCGAAAAAAAGATCGCACTGAAGACCTCTGCCTAATTAAGGGTTTATTTTCCTGAAGTAAGGGATCGCTGAATACATTGAAAACGATCAAAACATAGCAATTATTTACCTTAATAAGTGTTGAGAAAATGACTTCCGCCTCGAACTGTAAATGTGCGTTTTCTTTGATAACGTCGTGCTTGTTTAGTTCACAAGTTCCTTTGCCATCAGACTTGGAAGTTTGAGGAGTAAGTATGAAGTTTGTTGAAGTACACCAGGCGTTTTTCAAACAAGACTGACTACACCAAATTTGACTGGTCGACTTAAACCGTTTCACGACAAAACCTTTAAGCCGCTTATTTGTCAACGTTGTGAAATATGTTGATCGAGAAAGGGCAGACGATTCTACTCCTGCGTGGAAAACTGCGCAGAGTAATATAACTCCTCGAAAGAAGACAATTGTCTTTAAAGATGTACCCACGCAATCCGAATTTTGATTGGTCAACTTCAGCGTAATTTAGACAATTGTACTCGGATGCCTAACAGAAAAGATTATACATGACAACCAGCTGAATGACAGGCCGTTGTGGTTTGAATTTTCAAATGCATTATGCACAGGTAACAACATGATTTCGAATTTAGTGTTGATAAGCTCGAGTAACTTTTTCAAAGACGGAAAAATTGCACGAATCCCTAGGTCGAGTGTAATTTGTAGTCTGAAAAATGTATAAGTGCTTATTTGTACAAATTGCACGAGAAATCATTTTGTTACTTATTAATAATTTACATAAAAAACGCATAAGAGACAGTCAAAACGGACAAAACTTTGCATTTGAAATTTGCATTCGTGCTATAACTTTGCGCTCGTGTTACATGAAAAAATACACTCGTTTTTTACCAATCGGACGCGCGTGACTTTTTGATGTATATTAATACATATTAAATTCAAAATGAAATGATTCAGTTGCGTGAATCACTAGAATTGTAAGGTGAAGTCTGGAAGCCTAAACAATACTAAATCATTTAAAGCTCTGACAAATTTTTGTTGGAACTATTTTCAAATTATCGACTGAAATTAAAAATCGGCTTCATGAAAACCTGAATTATTCAGATTATTTACCTAGCGTCAAACGTTTATGAGTTAAAGCTCTGACAAATTTTTGTTGGAACTATTTTCAAATTATCGACTGACATTAAAAATCGGCTTCGCGAAAACCTGAATTATTCAGATTATTTACCTAGCGTCAAACGTTTATGAGATAACAAGCACGAAAATGCATGCTAAGATGAAAATTAGAGAAAGGACTTGCTTAAAGTGAGCTCGTATTCCATAGGCCACACCTGCCATGACAAATGCAACACTTTGATCGACACTGAAATTGGTCATTTTAAGGAATACGCCACACTTCGTAACAAGCAAACAAAAAGAAAACAGAATTTCTGACAATATGACATCTTCTAGACGGAAACTAGACAGGTGAATTCATCATCATGCGGTAAAATAGTAAAGTATTGGATAATTGATCATGAATATTCCTCGTTGAATACAACGTAAGAGTGAACATCGATCACTTTGAAGGAAGAGACGAAAACGAACAATTCTTTAACACTTTGTTTTCATTAAATAGTTCAGTCATATTACACAATATATATTCTACTTAATATTTACATATTTCGCTCAGGTCATTTACCCTCCACTTTTTCGTTTTTTCTGACAAAATTTAAGGCTGGGTTTTGAGCTTTTCTCTAAAGGTTAAGTTAAGGGAAAATACTCTGGCGCAATATAACTCTGGAGACATCAACTATCCAAGATTTCACTTAAGGCAGCGGTGTTTTTTATCCTCACTTTTTTCGCCGCCTTCGATAGAAATCGATAAGAAAGGGACACAACTTGTGCCATGTGGTTCAGAGATCTTGTTTTGGTGATTGAGATCATGACATTCGCGCACAATTATCTTAAACGTTTCGTGGCTAATAACTGAATGATGCTCGCTACTTCAGTCCTGAACTTTGGCGTTTCATCAACAGTAACGAGCGACTAGAGAGCAACCTTTAAGGCTATCAAATCATAAATTGAAGGGTGCTATCTATCAAACACTCTACTGAACTGGATAAAAGGGCTGTCATCTGTGTAATAACAATTGTTGGACTCTATAATACGAGTGGTCAAAACTATTTAAGAGAAGATGTCAGCATCCATCGAACAAATTTGAAATATTGTGGCAAGTCGCCCAAAATTAGTTTTCTCTCCTACATTCATATTTTGTTGACCAATATGTTCTAATAATTGTGGTGTAGTTTTTTTTGCGAAAATATATTTTAGTTTTCGAGAAATGACTTTTTTCGTTCGACCGCTCAAATATGCAAATTTTCACCGTGAATATTACCCGAGTTGTGTGACCTCATGTAACGAATGTACTGGACCTACGGTATTTCTGTGAACATAACCCTTTGTTTTATCATTTAAACTTAATCCCCTGTCGTTATTGAAGCTGCCAAGGAAAAAATTTATTTTTTGGTGAATATTTTTGTCCGACATACTTTTCCTATGTCGAAAAGTAGCATCAAAAGAGGGTCTGGATGGGGTTTAGTGTCAAGTGTTATTTGGCCGTTTTTTTTTAATGTTTAGTGTTAAAATGGGTAAAATTTTAATGTTAAGCGTTTAAAAAAAGTTTAGTGTTAAGTGTTAAAAGGTATTAGAACAGCGATTTCACTCAATAAAGGTCAATAAAAGTTTTACAGAGAAAGCAATAATATTAGAAAAAAGGACTAAGATTTGTTCAAACTTAGCTCTTATGATAAAGGCGTGCAAACTAGAAACAAAAGGAGAAGAGTCTGCGCAGAACTAACCGAACTGGTCAGCATGCATACTTTGTACTCATGCGCATAAGTTCTGTAGGTGAGATGGTTTGAAATTATTCTGACTTCTTAAGCCAAAAAAAAAAGCCCTAAGGTATAAACTTTTCACTACTATTTAAAATCCAACAGTTACTTTCTACTTCTTTTACCCTTTAACCCCTAAGAGTGACTAGCATCTAATTTCTCCCTACAATGTCAGCGCTGAATCAAACATCAAGGTCAGGAGGATAAAGGAAATGATCACCAATCAAAGAGGCTTTTGATCGGTAAACAAATTCTCTTTGTCAGCACCTTAGGAAATGTATAAAGAACAGCATGGAGAATATGCATACTGATGTTATGGTGCAAAGAGTTAAAAGGTGATAGATTGGATTAATATAAGTATGTGAGCAACTACGCACCTACCCCTCCCCTAACCCAGCATTAACCTTAACTTGTTATCAATTGACGATTGTTGGGTTAGGGGAGGGGTAGGAGCGCAGTTGCTCAGATACTGACATTGATCCAATAAGTTTACAGCGTCCTGTCGCTGACGATTATTAGTTGCGGAAAGTTTTTATGAGAAACCGTAATCGAAATAAAACATTGGCGTGGTCTTTCTTCAAGAATCTTAATTAATGTCTCATCTAAAACTCTCTAAAATATTAATTGGTCATCCGCATCTCCACAAGAGTCCTCCTAAATTGGAGAAGGAGGCTCTCAGAATATGTCATCAAAATACGATACACTTCTCTACAAACCTGATGAACAAGACAGGCCTTCAATCTTTTCACACTGCGTCCCGTGAAATCCTGGTGCACAGCTACAATTATATCCGTGGACTTCATCTGTGCAAGTTCCATTGTTTTTGCAGGGATGGCTGTCACAAGTAACTTTTTGGGGGTATAAGATAACGTCAAGAATTTTCGTCAGTATTATTTTGCTAAACGTCCTAAGCGACGTAACGTTAATGCTAAAAGAATGAAGAAAAACTGTGGACCCTTTTTGAATTTCCCATATCTTTTCCATTCTTGTCAGTGTTCTATTTAACCTCTCCATTAAAAAGCTCCATTTTTCTTTGTTTCGTTTCTCTGATTTTTGTTGATTTGTTTGTTTCCAAGTCTCGGAGACAAATATTTTGCGTTGTTTTTGGCTTGACCGACAGAACTTTACCATCTTCATTCTACTGTTCAAAATTGTTCTTACCCAGCTTAGCACAAGTTTCTCCGGTCCAAGGCGGCTTGCACTTGCATGAATAAGTTTGTTTTTTCTCGTCGTACACGCAAGCACCTCCATTTTTACAACTGTTGGCTATTTGGCAGCCCTAACAAGAAGCAGTAACAGACAATACGTCGTAAAAAACTGTTCAGAACACGAATATGAATGTACTTTGGAATTATTACCAAGAAGTGCTCAGCTAGCTTTCGAGCCCGATGTAAAATTTCGGACCAAAAATTAATTGCCGTATAACCCCAAAAATTTTATCTTTTAATTGCAACGGAAAGAAATTAATCGCTCGACGTAAAATGACTAAAATTTTTAACTGTTAACCGTAAGAATCAATGCCCTGTAGAGACCCTCAAGTTAAATTTACCTTGTAACTTAAGTAAACATAGTTATTATTTATGACTTAAGAAGAATAATGCAACCTTATTGTTAATAGCGACTGTACCATATATTGGGTAAGTACGCAATCTAATCGTGAATAGAGTAATTCATAGTATCCCGCGTGTAACAATTTTATAAGTACGCCGCAAAATTTCCAATGTAAGAAAAAAAAATACAACAAAACCCCCCCTTTCTTCTTGATAACACGAAGGTGATTAATTTGGTTTTGGTTTTGCGGCACCCAGTTGAAATACGTATTTGTATTATTTATGTAACATTGGTATTGTGATTGATGTCGCAAATCTTATTAAAAATATTGTAAATAGTAAATAGTATGTAGAATATAAATGAACATATGAAATTAAAAAAAATAAATTAAACATAAAACTTTACGTTGGTTCTTCTTCAAACTTTATCAATCAACATCCTTTACGCAGCACATTACAACTACCTTTATTATGAACAAATCAACTTTCAGCTGAATGTCGTTATCAGTTCCAACCCGTTGATATTATTTCAAATATTACTTTGGTTGCACTTGCGGTTACTTAAAAACATAATCAATTACGATTACAAATGAAAAGAAATCCACAATGACAAATATTTAAAATCGAGGGAACAAACCTACAAGACAAAGGTACGTAGGAAGGTTTTGTGACTTAGACACAATATATGGAAAACGGTGGAAATCAAAAGTAATGTTAATCCTTTACAACTTAAACACGAATGGCAAAAAATCAACGATGACTCTCTTTTAAATGATCCTAAAAATAGAGAATTTTTTACTCAGTTACATGCTTGTGTGAAAATTGATTAGCTAAATATAACAATGGCCTTCAAGGTGCGTTTTTTGATGCATTTGAATATTTCCTGGCCGTCACTTCCGTTAGGGACCTTAGTAGCTCTCAGCCTCTCTGGTTTGTTTCCCGAGCGCTTTTCGCATTTTTCTCTCTAAAAATAAAAAAAAGAAGAAAAATCCTCCTCGGTTTTAGTCATAAGGGAGCAGATGACACAATTTCAGACCTGGTTGACGAGAAACTAAGGGAGCACTTACAAGAACAAGAACTAAGTATGAGTTTTCAGGCTCCTCACGCCTTCCTCGGCCAATATGGCGGCAAAAATTTATGTCTTTTGTAAAGTAGGACGGCCGTGTCCAAGATGAGATTTTCCAATGACCCAGCTCAACTTGCCTTGTTCCCTTTTTCCCAGGTTCTCCCTATGAAGCTCAAAAGAGAGTGGGCGGCAGCCATCTCGAAACCTATTGGGAAGGAGTTTGTGGGGAATGGCGCCCAAAGATCATCCAAGTATTATACTCACATAATTGCTCGTTTCTAGGAGAACTTATAGTAACTAGCATCCACGTGAATCCTGCTCAAAATTTTGAAGCCAAAAAAATGCAACATTGTAGACCAGCAGGAAATTATTGCAGCCATTGAAACTTCAAATACAAAGACGAGCACTGTATAATATAATTTAAAGAAAAACGCAATGCAGAAAGAACTTGACCAATTTCCAGCCAACTAATCAGTCAGCGTTTGGCCACTAACGCTTATGTCGTGTCCTGTGCGTTAAGAATATCCGGTACGCTATTCATTAACTAAGTATGAAAATTCCAAAAGTAACTTTGATTATCTGAAAATTGAACTATGATAGTAATGTGCACAAACAGGAAGCGCAAACCGTGTGAGTGAACATCGATCGCTTTGAAAGAAGAGATGAACACAAACAGGTCTTATGACGCTTTGTTTTCATTAAATAGTTCAGTCATATTACACAATATTAATTCTACTTAATATATACGTGCTTCGCTCAGTTCATTTACCCGCCACTTTTTCGTTTCCTCCAACAAAATTTAAGGCTGGGTTTTGAGCTTTTCTTTAAAGGTTAAGTTAAGGGAAAATACTCTGGCACAATGTAACTCTGGAGGGGGGCATGCAACTATCCAAGATTTCACCTAAGGCAGAAATGTTTTTCATCCTCTCTTTTTCGGCCGCCTTCGATTGCGTCGTACAACGAAATCAATGAGAAAGGGACACAACTTGTGTCCTGTGGTTCAGAGATCTTGTTTTGGTGATTAACATCATGATATTCGTGCAAGCTTAGCTTAAACGTTTCCGTGACTTATAACTGAATGATACTCGCTACTTCAGTCCTGAACTTTGGCGTTTTATCAACAGTAGCGAGCGACTACGGAGCAACCTTAAGGCTATCAAATCATAAATACAAGGGTGCAATCTATCAAACAGTCTACTGAACTGGGTAAAAGGGCTGTCATCTGTGTAATATCAATAATAATACGAGTGGTCAAAGCTATTTAACATGTACGTAGATATTGATCAGTGTTTCAGGTGTTCCTTCCTCGAGGAAGCCGGGATCTCCTTCTGTGATAAACAGTTCGTCGTAAACAAGATGGTGGTGTTCAAAATCCTATCACTTTTAGGGCTCGACTAATACCACACTAGTAACGTTTCCTTTGAACTGTAACCACCAGAGAACAAGGCCTGCTTTTACGATGTCACAGTTTGCCGTCTGAGCTGCAATTTCATCCCCCGAAAGGACCCTGCTCCAAAGATTGACTTCAGTTACCTCACCCGGCCCAAAACTATCTTTGATTTCAAAGCCCCCTCCGACTTTATCTTGGTCTTGTCCAATGACAACTGTTCCGCTAGCTGGTATCTGATGATTTTTTTTGAAGTCAGTTCCAGAGCTTTTAAGTTGTCCATCCAGATTAAGCTGCCAGTCACCTTTGGTGTTTTTCCAGGCAACACAAACGTGATGCCACATGGTATCATTAATTTTGACTCCGCTGTCTATATCACTTAGAAAATGAACATAACAATTAAAACTATGTTAGAAACTCGTTTCTTGATTGATTGCGGTGATATTCAATGTGGCATCAAGATTGGTTGTTCACCTTTATTTGTACTGTTTCGGCCTTCTGGGCCTCATCACTGCTATGAACTATACATATATATATATATATATATATATATATATGTATATATATATATATATATATACATACATATACATAGTGCTACATATAGAATTGGAATGCGTGTTGACAACGTTGTGTGAGCTGCTGGAATGGGAGATATATTTTAAGAGCGTCACTTATTTATTTTATTCGAAAAAGAGAAAGACTCCGTTTTTGCGGGAATTCACTGTGCATTTTTTCTTGCTCACGGAAATTCTCGAACTCCATGCACTCAATTTTCAACACGCCATGGCACTTAATTTTTTCACAATGATTAAACCACTAGACTCGTTTAATTATTTATTTTTAAGTCGCTTGGGAACAAAAACAAGAGAACGTGGCTGTTAACAATGCCAAGTACCATCGTAAGCCTCGATAATACTCCGCTGGGAGCACTTTAACCTATTGCGGGAACAGGCATATTATTTTTTTGAGGTGAGCCACGGTAAGTGTGAATCTCGCGAGAAGCTCAAAAAATTCATGTTCATGTCCCTTTCTCGCGCGTAATTCGCCATTCATTCCGGTATATTTTACTTCTCTTCTATCTTGTTCTATTGCGTTATTGTGTTGTGTTCTTGGGTGAAAGAGTTTATTCTCGCAGTGCTTCACTCCACCCAGGAGTATTACGGCACATTGTCGGGGAAACCGAATAAAATGCTGAGATTGCAATAGATTAGCATCCCATACAGGGGGGAGTATTAACACTCCTACGAGTCGCTTTATTCTAAGAAAACCGGTATACGGTTTGGCTGGATGGGCCACTTGACTCGAGTACAGACTATTTCTATTGTGTTTGTCATATCACTTACTCGTTTCCCAAGGTGTCTATAGAAATCCTAATTCCTGGGGAAAGCAGACAAACGTAGAAGGCATTCCCAGAAAGTGCTCCAGTAGTTGCATAACTGTAGAGGCACTGTTCATTACTCAAATTTGTATCCTTCATTTTGGCAAAAAGGCACATAGTAAATTCCGTGAGACTAGACGAGGTGGCGTTTGTTATGCTGGCGTAACTCTTGTTGGTAGGCTGTCCAAAGACCATTCGGTAAGCTGTAGGAAACAACAAAACACAATTTTCTTAACTCCAGTTTCACTGAAATAGAAAAGCAACTCTTAAATTGGATGCATCTTACGGCGAAATTTCCGGATTAATCTTGTTTCAGGGATGACTTTCTATTTCATGTCTGCTACCGGATCACGTACGTAATTAATAAACATTAAGTGCAAAGGGTTCTGTCTAAAAGAAAAACTCTTTACGAAATAAATAGGCCAGAGATTTCCGAATGAGAGGATTTAGCCTGGAGGGGACATACAAAAATAATCCTTACGGTTGTTGCAACAGATACATAGAGTTAAGATTGTCTTTGTTTTCGAAAAATCTTGCCTTGGCTTCCGCATGGCTACCACACACGCCAGAGAGAAAGATACAAATATATACCTTGAGCGCTCTGAGATGTCAAAGGTAGCTTGTAGTGTTCACCTATAGATGGGTGAGCTTGTTTGAAATTATTCTGACTTCTTAAGCGAATAAACGACGTATAAACTTTTCACTACTATTTAAAATCCAACAGTTACTTTCTACTTCTTTTGCCCTTTAACCCCTAAGAGTGACTAGCATCTAATTTCTCCCTACAATGTCAGCGCTGAATCAAACATTAAGGTCATGAGAATAAAGGAAATGATCACCAACAAAAGAAGCTTTTGATCGGTAAATAAATTCTCCTCGTCAGCACCTTAGGAAATGTATAAAGAACAGTATGGAGAATATGCATACTGATGTTAAAGTGTAAAGAGTTAAAAGGCGATAGATTGGATCAATATAAGTAAAAACCGTGCACCTACCCCTCCCCTAACCCAACATTAACCTTAACATGTTATCAATTGACGATTGTTTGGTTAGGGGAGGGGTAGGAGCGCAGTTCAGATACTGATATTGATCCAATAAGTTTACAGCGTCCTGTCGCTGACGATTATCAGTTGTAGAAAGTTTTTATGAGAAACCGTAATCAAAATAAAACATTGGCGTGGTCTGTCTTCAAGAATCTTAATTTATGTCTCATCTAAAACTCTCTAAAATGTTGAATGGTCATCCCCATCTCCACAGGAACTTCTCTTTGGAAAATGAAGCTTGTGCTCTCAGAATACGTCATCAAAATACGATACACTTCTCTACAAACCTGATGAACAAGACAGGCCTTCAATCTTTTCACAATGCGTCCCGTAAAATCCTGGTGCACAGCTACAGTTATATCCATTGAGTTCGTCTGTGCAAGTTCCATTGTTTTTGCAGGGATGGCTGTCACAGGTAACTTTTTGCGAATACAAGACAACATTTCAAAAGAGTTGTTGTCAATAAAAAGATGTTACATCATAGAGCGACTGACCTACCAATCTTCAAACCACATATAATTAAGTTGGTCTGGCTCATAAAGCTTTTGAATCGAAGTAAATCTCCTTAAGCATGTGCGTTACACAAGCAAAACAATGTCAAATTTTTTAAGGAAAAGATCTCATCAAAATAGCGTTCGAACGAAGTTTGTTTGCTTGTTTGCAGAAAACCGTCTCGCTACATTCTTTCAATTGTCGCACATAAACGCAACAGGAAAACTGCTCTGAAGCTTTTCTCGACAGGCAATTCATTACAACTTCATTCTAATTTACAAATTTGTTTCTTACACAGATCAGCACAAGTTTCTCCGGTCCAAGGGGGCTTGCATTCGCATGAATAAGTTTGCTTTTTCTCGTCATAAAAACACACACCACCATTTAAACAGGTGCTGGCTGCTAGTCGGCAATCCTAAATAGAAAGAGTAGCCGATGGAATAATGAGAAGAATATAAATAAATACACATGAATATGCTTCAAAATTGTTTCACTTTCCTTCTGATGGATAAAAACAATTGGCTGGAAAATAGTCACGCTCTCAACTACGGTTTTTTTGTTATCTCCTAGATCCAGCTCCAACAACCGGGTGGGTATCAAGCCTACCCTATCGCCAAATTTAACGAAACAATTTATCTGTCCTTGCCAATTCTTCAACAAACTTCTAAAAAAAATTTACAAGGTGGTAATGCGTTTATAGGCAAAAACAACGGAAAAAAAACACTGGCTGCCTAAAAGTTTTGCTTTTAACTACGCATTTAGTCAACATCTACAAGTACATGTATTGACTTCTGCCAAACGAAATCAAGGCATGTCATTTTATTAATGGTCTAGCTTCTATAAACTTCAGTTAAAAACTACTACATATTCAAACACAATAACATGCGATTCACTGCAACCCCAAGCTTTTACTTACGGTGGAGTTATTGCACTTTTTTGTGATGCAAATGAGAAACAAACAAGAGCCCACCAGCCGTTTGGGGACGGCATATAATTTCAAATATCTCGATCAAAACATGGTGTTTCTAAATTACTACATTTGCTGGAAAAGGATTTCATTTAAAAGGGAATAAAAGAAAGTGTATGTGCCATTTCCAAAACTTGCTTCTGCTGGCAAGCATCAGTTCTAGTTTTTTTGTTCTTTACAAAAATTTGCATAATTAGTGAATGGTTTCTTTAAGGTGCATAACATTTGCAGTTGATTTTACCTATCACCAAACGCCCGCTGGAATATTTTTCTTCATCTCTTCTTGTTATTATTGTCCTTAGTTAGTTAAATGAGAAGTATTTTTCCGTTTTCATGAAAAAGAACTTCTAACTTTCATGCTAAACCGGTAATCGATGAATGCTATCACCAAAGGTCTCAAACGTCGGCGGGGAAACAAAATATTTGTTTGGTGCAACCAGCTTGTTTTTGCGGCTCACGAACTGCATGAGGTGGGTGGATCTTTTCACAGAAAAGGGGGTTAACGAACAACTAAAACAAAGGGTTGAAAATTATTCCGGGTATAGAAATAACAACGGTTATTCTTACTAGTTCTCTTTGGTCGTTATGCAGGTTGTGTGTCTGGTACTACAGCTCGGCGTAAAAATTCAGTTTTCAATCATCTTTGGATTTTAGTTTTTTTATTCATAATTTTATTGAATTCTGGAGCTCTCCGAAAAAAGAGATCGCACTGAAGACCTCTGCCTAATTAAGGGTTTATTTTCCTGAAGTAAGGGAAGAGTTAAACTGTAAAAATGAAAACTTGCTTAATTACAAGACTTTTAAAAATAAACGAATTGGTGACTAACCTGCAGATGATTAAACTCGGTATCACTGAATACATTGAAAACGATCAAAATATTGCAATTATTTACCTTAATAAGTGTTGAGAAAATGACTTCCGCCTCGAACTGTAAATGTGCGTTTTCTTTGATAACGTCGTGCTTGTTTAGTTCACAAGTTCCTTTGCCATCAGACTTGGAAGTTTGAGGAGTAAGTATGAAGTTTGTTGAAGTACACCAGGCGTTTTTCAAACAAGACTGACTACACCAAATTTGACTGGTCGACTTAAACCGTTTCACGACAAAACCTTTAAGCCGCTTATTTGTCAACGTTGTGAAATATGTTGATCGAGAAAGGGCAGACGATTCTACTCCTGCGTGGAAAACTGCGCAGAGTAATATAACTCCTCGAAAGAAGACAAAGAGGGAAGTGTTTTCAAGTCCCATCGCGAAAATTGTCATTACAGAATAAGTCTGTTTACTGTCTTCCCCGATGTCTTTAAAGATGTACCCCACGCAATCCGAATCTTGATTGGTCAACTTCAGCGTAATTTAGGCAATAAAACTCGGATGCCTAACAGAAAAGATTATACATGATAACCAGCTGAATGACAGGCCGCATAACAGAAAGTCAAAATGGACAAAACTTTGCATTTGAAATTTGCATTCGTGCTATAACTTTGCGCTCGTGTTACATGAAAAATACACTCGTTTTCGACCAATCGGACGCACGTGACTTTTTGATGTATATTAATACATATTAAATTCAAAATGAAATGATTCAGTCGCGTGAATCACTAGAATTGTAAAGTCAAGTCTGGAAGCCTAAACAACACCAAATCATTTAAAGCTCTGACAAATTTTTCTTGGAACTATTTTCAAATTATCGACTGACATTACAAATCGGCTTCATGAAAACCTGAATATTAATATGATCATCCAATTATTCAAATTATTTACCTGGCGAGATCAAAATTAGAGAAGGGACTTGCTTAAAGTGAGCTCGTATTCCATAGGCCACACCTCCCATGACAAATGCACCACTTTAACCGACACTGAAATTGGTAATTTTAAGGAATACACCACACTTCGTGACAAGCAAACAAAAAGAAAACAGAATTTCTGACAATATGCCATCTTCTAAACGGAAACTAGACACGTGAATTCATCATCATGCGGTAAAATGGTAAAGTATTGGATAATTGATCATGAATATTTCTCGTTGAATACACAGCTCCCTCAAAATTTTAGTGCAAATAATGTAAAAAAATTGCTATCCCAAGGTAGGGGGTCTCAACTGTCAGTGAAAGAATAGAACTAATAATAAGTTATATGCCTGCGTGAAAAATGATTACATTGTTAAAACAACAGCGCTAAAGAAGCCTTTTTGATGCATTTGAATGTTTCCAGGCCATCATTTTCGTTAGGGACCTTAGTAGCTCTCAGCCTCTCTAATTTGTTTCCCAAGCGCTTTTCGCATTTTTCTCTCTAAAAATAAGAAAAAAAGAAAATCCTCCTCGATTTTAGTCACAAGGGAGGAGATGATACATTTTTTAGACCTGGTCGACAAGGAAGTAAGGGAGCACTTACAAGAACGAGAACTGGGTATGAGTTTTTCATGCTCCTCACGCCTTCCTCGGCCAATATGGCGGCTAAAATTTATGTCTTTTGTAAAGTAGGACGGCCATGTCCAATGACTTAGGTCAACTCGTCTTGTTCCCTTTTTCCCAGGTTCTCCCTATGAAGCTTAAAAGAGAGTGGACGGTAGCCATCTCGAAACCTACTGAGAAGGGGTTTGTGGGGAATGGTGCCCAAGGATCATCCAAGCATTTTACACACATAACTGCTCGTTTCCAGGAGAACTTATAGTAACTAGCATCCACGTCACGTTCTTGATCAAAATTTTGAAGCCAAAAAAATACAACATTGTAGATCGGCAGGAAATTATTGCAACCACTGAAACTTCAAATACAAAGAAGAGCTCTGTAAAATTATAATTTAAAGAAAAAACGCAAAGCAGAAAGAACTCGAGCAATTTCCAGCCAACTAATTAGTCAGAGTTCGGCTAATAACGCTTATATCGTGTTCTGTGCGTTAAGAATATCCGGTACGCTATCCGTTAATGAAGTGTAAATATTCCAAAAGTAACTTTGATTATCTGAACATCGAACTATTATAGTAGTGTGTACAAACAGGAAGCACAAGCCGTAAGAGTGAACATCGATCGCTTTGAAGGAAGAGACGAACACGAACAGGTCTTATGACGCTTTGTTTTCATTAAATAGTTCAGTCATATTACACAATATAAATTCTACTTTATATTTACATATTTCGCTCAGTTCATTTACCCTCCACTTTTTCGTTTCCTCCAACAAAATTTAAGGCTGGGTTTTGAGCTTCTCTTTAAAGGTTAAGTTAAGGGAAAATACTCTGGCGCAATATGACTCTGGAGGGGGGAATGCGACTATCCAAGATTTCACCCAAAGCAGCAATTTTTTATCCTCTCTTTTTCCTCCGCCTTCGATTGCCTCGTGCAACAAAATCAACGAGAAAGGGACACAACTTGTGTCCTGTGGTTCAGAGATCTTGTTTTGGTGATTAAGATCATGATGTTCGTGAAAACTTAGCTTAGACATTTTGTGACTAATAACTGAATGATACTCGCTACTTCGGTCCTGAACTTTGGCGGTTTATCACAGTAACGAGCGACTACACAGCAACCTTAAGGTTATTAAATCATAAACAGAAGAGCACAATCTATCAAACACTCTACTGAACAGGGTAAAAGGGCTATCATCTGTGTAATAACAATTGTTGGACTCCATAATACGAGTGGCCAAAGCTATTTAGCATGTATGTGGATACTGATCAGTGTTTAGGTGTTCCTTGATCGAGGAAGGATCTCCTTCTGTGATAAACATTTCGTCGTAAACAAGATGGGGGTAATGAAAATCCTATCACTTTTAAGGCTCGACTATTTTCACACCAGTAACGTTTCCTTTAAATTGTCCCCACCAGAGAACAAGGCCTGCTTGTGCGATGTCACAGTTTGCCTTCTGAGTTGCAATTTCATCCCCTGAAAGGACTCTGCTCCAAAGATTGACTTCTGTTACCTCACCCGGCCCAAAGCTATCTTCGATACCAAAGCCCCCTCCTACTTTATCTTGGTCTTGTCCAATGACAACTGTTCCGCCGGCTGGTATCTGATGATCTTTTTTCAAGTCTGTTCCAGAGATTTGAAGTTGTCCATCCAGATAAAGCTGCCAGTAGCCTTTGGTGTTTTTCCAGGTAACGCAAATGTGATGCCACGTGGTATCATTAATTTTGACTCTGGCGTCTGTATCACTTAGAAAATGAACATAAACAATTAAAACTATGTTAGAAACTCGTTTCCTGACTGATTGCGGTCCAATTCAATGTGGCATCAGGATTGGTTGTTCACCCTTATTTGAGCTGTTTCGACTTTCTGGGCCTCATCAGTGCAATGCTAATGTTAGGAAGGAGGTGTAAGCATTTAGCTACCCCGAATGATACCACAATTGTGGTATCATCCAACCCATGTCAGAGGACTTGTGAGAATGCACAATGGCGAGACATGACTCCTCCTAAATAGAGTGCTCAATTTGGACATAAAATAAATAAATGACACTCTTGATATATCTCCCATTCCAGCAGCTCACACGACGTTGTAAACATGCATTCCAATTCTATATGTAGCACTATATGCATGTTTACAACGTCGTGTGAGCTGCTGGAATGGGAGATATATTACGAGTATCATTTATTTATTTTATTCGAAAAGAGAAAGACTCCGTTTTTGCGGGAATTCACTGTGCAATTTTTCTTGCTCACGGAAATTCTCAAACTCCATACACTCAACTTTCAACACGCCATAGCACTTAATTTTGTCATTAACAATGATTTAACCACTAGACTCGTTTAATTGTTTATTTTTAAGTCGCTTGGGAACAAAAACAAGTTAACTTTGTTGCTAACCACGCCAAAACCATCAGAAGCCTCGCTAATACTCCGCTGGGAGCACTTCAGCCCATTGCGGGAACAGGCATATTATTTTTTTAACGTGAGCCAAAGTAAGTGTGAATCTCGCGTGAAGGAAGGAGCTCAAAGAATTCATCTTCACTTCCCTATCTCGCGCGTAATTCGCCGTTCATTCCAGTATATTTTTAATTCTCCTCTATCTTGTTCTAGTGCGTTATTGTGTTGTGTTCTTGGGCGACAGACTTTATTCTTACAGTGCTTCACTCCACCCAGGAGTATTACGGCACACTGTCGGGGAAACCGAATGAAATGCTGAAATTGCAACAGATAAACATCCCATCCAAGGGGAAGTATTAATACTCCTACTGGTCGCTTTATTTAAAAAAAAATCGGTATACGGTTTGGTTGGATGGGCCATTTGACTTGAGTACATACTATTTCTATCGTGTTTGTCACATCACTTACTCATTTTCCGAGGCGTCTATAGAGATCCTAATTCCTGGGAAAAACAGACAAACGTAGAAGGCATTCCCATAACGTGCTCCAATAGTCGCATAACTGTAGAGGCACTGGCTACCAATCAAATTTGTATCCTTCATTTTGACAAAAAGGCACATAGTAAATTCCGAGAGACTAGACGAGGTGGCGTTTGTTATGCTGGCGTAACTCTTTATGCTAGGCTGTCCAAAGACCATTCGGTAAGCTGTAGGAAACAACAAAACACAATCTTCTTTACTCCAGTTTCACTGAAATGACAAAGCGACTCTTAAATTGGATGAATCTCACTGCGAAATTTCCGGATTAGTCTTGTTTCAGAAATTATTTTATATCTCATGTCCGCTACCGGATCACGTACGTAACTGATAAACACTAAGTGCAAAGGGTTCTGTGTAAAAAAACAACTCTTTACGAAATAAATAGGCCAGAGAATTCCGAATGAGAGGATTATTCAGCCAGGAGGGGACATACAAAAGTAATCCTAACGGTTATTGCAACAGATCCCCAGGGTAAAGATTGTCTTTGTTTTTTGAAAAATCTTGCTTTGGCTTCCACATGGCTACCACGCACACCAGAGAGAAAGATCCAAAAAAAAGTACCTTGAGCGCTCTGAGATGTCAAAGCTAGCTTGTCGTGTTCTCCTAAATAGGTGTCTGAGCTGGTTTGAAATTATTCTAACCGCTTGAGCGAAAAAAAAAAACCTATAAAAAGGTATAAACTTTTCACTACTATATAAAATCCAACAGTTACTTTCTACTTCTTTTGCCCTTTAACCCCTAAGAGTGACTAGCATATAATTTCTCCCTACAATGTCAGCGCTGAATCAAACATTAAGGTCAGGAGAATAAAGGAAATGATCACCAATCAAAGAGGCTTTTGATCAGTTAACAAATTCTCCTCGTCAGCACCTTAGGAAATGTATAAAGAGCAGTATGGAGAATATGGATACTGATGTTATGTTATGATGTAAAGAGTTAAAAAGCGATAGATTGGATTAATATAAGCATGTTAGCAACTGCGCAGTTACCCCTCCCCTGACCCAACATTAACCTTAAGTTGTTATCAATTGACGATTGTTGGGTCAGGGGAGGGGTAGGAGCGCAATTACTCAGATACTGACATTGATCCAATAAGTTTACAGCGTCCTGTCGCTGACGATTATTAGTTGCGGAAAGTTTTTATGGGAAACCGTTATCAAAATAAAACATTGGCGTGGTCTGTCTTCAAGAACCTTAATTAATGTCTCATCTAAAACTCTCTAAAATGTTGAATGGTCATCCCCATCTCCACGAAAAAGTAAAAAAAAGTAAAGCCTTTATACAGGCCCAAATGGCCCGTGGGGCCGGTGCTTAACTCAGGTTTCCTTAACATGAAGCGGCTAGGAGTATTGCTACTCCCCCCCGTATGGGATGCTAGTCCATCACAGGGTTACCCCCAGCACATTTGCTGGTACCATTTGTACACCTGGGTAAAGAGAAGCACTGTGAGAGTAAAGTGTCTTGCCTAAGAACACAACACAATGACCCCGGCCAGGGCTCGAACCCGGACCATTCGATACGGAGTCGAGCGCACTAACCATGAAGCCACCGCGCCTCCACGAGAGTCCTCTTAAATTGGAGAAGGAAGCTTGCGCTCTCAGAATATGTCATCAAAATACGATGCACGTCTCTACAAACCTGATGAACAAGACAGGCCTTCAATCTTTTCACACTGCGTCCCGTAAAATCCTGGTGCACAGCTGCAGTTATATTCATTGACTCCGTCTGTACAAGTTCCATTGTTTTTGCAGGGATGGCTGTCACAGGTAACTTTTTGGGAGTACAAGACAACATTTCAAAAGAGTTGTTGTCAATAAAAAGGAGTTACATCATAGAGCGACTGAACTAACGATCTCCAAACCATATATAATTAAGTTGGTCTAGCTAATAACGCTTTTGAATCGAAGTAAATCTCTTAAAGCATGTGCGTCACAAAAGCAAGACAATGCAAAATTAAAATTTTTAAGGAAAATATCTGATCAAAATAGCGTTCGAACGAGGTTTGTTTGCTGGTTTGCAGAAGCTGTCTCGCTAAACTTTTTTGTCACACATAAATTCAACAGGAAAACTGCTCTCAAGCTTTTCTCGACAGGTACACATTACAGCTTCATTCTACTTTACGAAGTTGTTTCTTACACAGATCAGCACAAGTTTCTCCGGTCCAAGGGGGCTTGCATTCGCATGAATAAGTTTGCTTTTTCTTGTCATAAAAATACACACCACCATTTAAACAGGTACTGGCTGCCAGTCGGCAATCCTAAATAGAAAGAGTAGCCGATGGAATAATGAGAAGAATATAAATGAACATAAATATGCTGCAAAATTATTTCACTTTCCTACTGATGGATAACAACAATTCGCTGGAAAATAGTCACGCTCTCACCTACGGCGTTTTTTCTATCTCCTACATCCAGCTCTAACAACCGGGTAGGTATCAAGCCAACCCTATCGCCAAATTGAACTAAACAATTTATCTGTCCTCAGCAATTGTTCAACAAACTTCCAGAACATGATTTACAAAGTGGTAATGCTTAGGCAAAATCACTGGGGTAAACGTTTATTGACACTAACAACGAAAAAAAACACTTAACTATTATTATTAGCATTTCAAAGTGCTACGGAAATTTGATTGTTTAGTCTTTGAAATACTGTTCATCAAGAATCTCAAGCCTAATTTAAATATCCAGACGGAATCCATACGTGCCAAACTTTTTGTTTAATTACTGTTTAGCCAATGTCGAAACGTCGTCGTTTTTTAGCAATCTTAAAATGTTTTTCAGAAATGTTTTATCGCAATCATTTAGTCAAATGTTTTTCTAAATCACTTCTTCTTTGTATCAAAAAAACACTGGCTGCCTAAAGATTTTGTTTTTAACTATGCATTTAGTCAACATCTACAAGTACATGTATTGGCAGAATTTCAAACGAATTCAAGGTGTTATTTTATTAATGGTCTAGCTTCTATAAACTTTAGTTCAAAACTATTACATATTCAAAGACAGTAATACGCGATTCGCAACAACCCCAAGCTTACTTACGGTGGAATTACTGCACTTTTTTGTAATGCAAATGGAAAAAAAAGCCGGCAGCCATTAACGGCTGCGGTCGGCATATAATTTCAAATATCTCGATCAAACAATGATGTTTCTAAATTCCTACATTTGCTGAAAAACGAGTTCATATAAAAGGGAATAAAAGAAAGCGTATGCACCATTTCCAAAACTTGCTTCTGTTGGCAAGCATCAGTTCTAGTTTTATGTTATTTACAAAAATTTGCACAATTAGTTAATGGTTTTCTTTCAAGTGCATACATTTGCATAGAAATTGGTGATTTTACCAATTACTAAACGCCCAATGAAATATATTTTTTTTGTTTCTCTTTTTTATAATTGTCCTTGTTTAGTTAAAGGAGAAGCATCTTTTTCCGTTTTCGTGAAAAAAAAACTTCTAACCCTCATGCTAAACTGGTTATCGATGAATGCTATCATGAAAGGTCTCAAAAGTCGGCGGCGTAACAAAAGTTTGTTTGTTGCCTCCAGCTTTTGTTTCTATGGCTCACGAACTGCATGATGGGGGATGGATCTTTTCACAGAAAAGAGGGCTAACGGACAACTAAAAATAAGGGTTGAAAATTATGGGTATACAAAAAACAACGGTTATTCTTTCTAGTGCTCTTTGGTCGTTATACAGGTTGCGTGTCTATAATTTTATTAATTCTGGAGCTCTCCGAAAAAGAAGGATAGCACTAAAGACCTTAGCCTAATTAAGGGGATTTTTCCTGAAGTAAGGAAGGAGTAAAACTGTGGAAATGAAAACTTGCTTGATTACAAGACTTAAAATATACGAATTTGATGATTAAACTTGGAATTGCTGAATACATTGAAAATGATCCAAACCCTGCAATTATTTACCTTGATAAGTGTTGAGAAAATGGCTCCCGCCTCGAACTGTAAATGTGCATTTTCTTTGATAACGTCGTGCTTGTTTAGTTCACAAGTTCCTTTGCCATCAGACTTGGAAGTTGAGGAGCAGGTTTGAAGTTTGTTGAAGTACACCAGGCGTTTTTCAAACAAGACTGACTACACCAAACTAAACTAGGGGACTCAAACCGTTTAACAACGAAACCTCTAAGCTGCTTATTTGTCAACGTTGTGAAATACGCTGATCGAGAAAGAGCAGACGATTCTACTCCTGCGTGGAAAACCGCGCAGAGTAATATAACTCCTCGAAAGAAGACAAAGAGGAGAGTGTTTTCAAGTCCCATCGCGAAAAATGTCATCACATAATGAGTGTTTACTGTCTTTCCCGATGTCCTTAGGGATGTACCCCACGAAATCCGAATTTTGATTGGCCAACTTCAGCGTAATTTAGGCAATAATACTCGGATGCCTAACAGAAAGGAGTATACATGATAACCAGCTGAATGACAGTGTGGTTTAAAGTTTCAAATGCATTATGCACAGGTAATAACATGATTTCGAGCAAAATTTTGTGTTGATAAGCACGAGTAAATTTTCAAAGTCGACAAAATTGCATGAGCCCCTTGGTCGAGTGCGATTTGTAGTCTGGAAAATTTATAAGTGCTTATTTACACCGAAGTGCACGAGAAATCATTTTGTTGCTAATAATTAACATGAAAAACTTATCACAGAAAGTCAAAACGGACAAAACTTTGCAGCGCGTGCATGCTATTTGTAATTTGCACTCGTGCTACAACTTTGCACTCGTATTAGTATAGGTAATCACATGATTTCGAGTGCAATTTGGAATAAATAAGCACGAGTAAATTTTTTCAAAGACTAATAAAATTGCACGAGCCCGTAGGGTGTGTGCAATTTGTGGTCTTTGAAAAATTTAACGAGTGCTTATCTATTCCAAATTGCACGAGAAAAATCATGTGATTACGTATTAATAACATACATGAAAAAAGTACGAGATAGCTTAACATAATTATGCAGAAGCAGAGCGTGCCTATCAAATGAAAAAATAATTTATTCAAACCTGTGCATTCGGTAAAAACAACCGCGCACGATCAAAACAGTAATAAACAATAATATTCACACCTTTAAGGCGCAAAAAGGTTCAAAGTCCGGATAAACGGTTCAAGGAATTGTTCAGTCTGTATCACTTTTGATGGAATGGAATCGTCTCGAAATCGTCGTTTGCGAGGCTTAACCATGTTTGTTTTTGATTTCGGCGTAAAATCGCTCGAGCAAAGTGTTAAGCTGGGTCGGCTCGTAATTTTGATTTCCCTGGCAATTCCAACTCTAAACACCACTTTTCCCAAATCAATAACCAAAAAGCAGTGTTTCTACAGTATTTTCGTTGTTCGAGCTTTTTTTTCAGCTGCTGTATTGACAGACAGTCCGACAGAAAAACAGGAGTGGAGCCCCGTAAGGCAGTTTTGACGCTATATCATTTACTGGCAACTCCTGCAGTCGACCTGCTCCCGAACGTACTGGCCCTGCCTTTCCTTCGGACTCTACCAACAAGACCGAGAGGGGGATTCTGGGAATTGGGCAAACCAGTATCTCCATATCAACCGCCCAGGCAAGCGCATGGAGAGGCAACTTCAGCATGCCCTACGGCTTCGCCAGGCATGGGAACAAATCGGGGAGTGGCAGTTACCGGTTCTAAGTCATGGCTTGATTGGCATAGAGCCAGACGCCAGGGGCCATTCCTGACAGTGGGAGGGGCTTTTTAGCCCCATTGGATAGCTACCGCCCGCTTAAACTGGGCAGCCCTCAGTCAATAAGGTGCTTTTCCGCCACTGCCCGTCTGTCTTGCTGGGGTGAGCAGGACTTAAGTCTGGAAACAGTCTGACAAGTGGGCTGCGACTTATTCACCTAAGAATCAAGGATCTATTAGAAGAAGACCAGCTCTTACACTTGGGAGTTGGAACGTCCGAACGATGCTGACCGGACTTAGCGAGGACATACGCGACATTAATGGGGCACGCAAAACAGCTGTCATCAGCAGAGAATTGGTTAGGCTCAAAGTTGATATCGCTGCTTTACAGGAAACGCGCATAGCTGGTTGCGGAAGCCTAACGGAAAAGGAATACACATTTTTCTGGCAGGGTAGAGATGAAGATGAGCCTAGAGTACGTGGAGTTGGTTTTGCTGTTAGCAACAAGCTAGTACAGATGGTGGAACCAGGCTCAACCAAGTCTGAGCGCATCATGCACATAAAACTCAATACCGATCTAGGTCTCACCAACTTGTTTTCTGTCTACGCTCCAACCCTGATTTCGAGTACCGATGCTATCAAACATATCCCAAACAACGAAGTGCTGATTCTCCTCGGCGATTTCAACGCTAGAGTGGGCAACGATCAAGGCTCCTGGCCTGATTGCCTTGGTCACTTTGGTGTTGGCAAATGCAATGGTCAACGCCTTCTGGAGCTTTGCACCTATCATCACCTCTGTATTACAAACACATTCTTTGGCGTGAAGCTGCACCATAGGTTCTCGTGGATGCACCCCAGATCTAAAAACTGGCACCAAGTCGACCTCATCATCTCAAGACGGGAACACCTTAATAACATTCGTACTACAAGGGCATACCACAGTGCTGATTGTGACTCTGATCACTCCCTTGTCTGCACGAAGATCCAGTTACGTCCAAAGAAGTTCCATCGCGTCAAACAATCTGCTACACTTCGCATTAATGCTCCTGCCACCGCCATCCCTGAAAATGTCTCTATTTTCAACGACATCCTGAGCTCGAAACTCGGAGACTGCCTGGAGCTTAACACAGAGGACCACTGGAGCCATATCAAGGACACCACCCTTGCTGCAGCATTAAAGGCCTTTGGCAAGAATGTACGCAAAAGCCAGGATTGGTTCAATGCAAACATCGCGACTCTTCAGCCGCTCATCGAAGCAAAGAGGAATGCCCTGCAGAACTACCAGCGTAATCCATCATCTAGCTCTTCGGAAGCACTTCGGGAGGCCAGGCGTCGTGCGAATGTGAAATGTAAGATCTGTGCTAACAACTTTTGGATGAATCTCTGTGCTGAAATCCAGTCAGCTGCTGACACTGGAAATTCTAGGGGCATGTTTGAGGGTATCAAGAAGGCGATTGGACCTATACAGTCCAAGTCCTCACCACTCAAAACATCAATTGGTGAAATCATTACTGATAAATCAAGACTGATGGAGTGCTGGGTGGAATAGTATAGCGAGCTCTATAGTAGATCGAGCTCTGTCTTACCCTCTGTCCTTGACTGCATTGAAAGGCTTCCCATCATGTTTGAACTAGATGAGCCCCCCACCAAGGAAGATCTCTCAAAGGTAATCAGTCACATATCGTCTGGAAAGGCCCCTGGGCTTGATGGTATCCCGGCTGAAGTCTTCAAATGCAGTGGAAACCAACTGCTCGACAATCTCCACCAGCTACTCTGCAAATGCTGGGAAGAGGGATACGTTCCCCAGAAGATGAGGGATTCTATTCTCTCAACCCTATACAAGAACAAAGGAGACCGCAGTGATCGTAACAATTACCGTGGCATCTCACTTCTGTGCATTACTGGAAAGCTGTTTGCCCGAGTAGCATTATACCGCCTTCAAAAGATTGCTGAAAGGGTGTACCCTGAATCCCAGTGTGGTTTCCGCTCTAATCGGTCGACTGTGGACATGATTTTATCTTTGAGACAGCTCCAGGAGAAGTGCAAAGAGCAACAACAGCCACTCTACATTGCATTCATCGACTTGACAAAGGCGTTTGACCTTGTTAGTAGAGACGGCCTTTTCAAGATTCTGCCCTTACTTGGCTGTCCTCCTAAACTCCTGAGCTTCATCAAATCGTTCCATGATGGGTCTCGGGGTACAGTGCAGTATGACGGAAACAGGTCTGAGGCATTCGATATAAACAGCGGCGTAAAACAAGGATGTGTGCTAGCCCCAACTTTCTTCAACATCTTCTTTCCAGTTCTTCTGAATCATGCTTTCAAGTCCTTTGAAGAAGGCATCCTGATACGATCTCGTTCTGATGGTAAACTCTTTAACCCTGCGCGCCTTAGAGCCAAGACCAAAGTGCACAAGGTAGCCATCCGTGACCTTCTCTTTGCCGATGATATTGCCCTCGTTGCTCACAGCGCTGAAAAACTCCAACTCCTCCTCAATCAGTTTTCTGACGCATGTGAGGCCTTCAGACTTATAATCAGCCTGAAGAAGACGAAAGTCATGTGCCAGGACAATGTAGCCACGCCTGCCGTAACAATCAAAGATTACACCTTGGAAGCCGTCACACAGTTTACCTATCTCGGCTCCACCACCTCCAACAACAACTGCCTTGAAGTGGAGATTGGAAAGAGAATTGGCAAGGCTGCAACCAACATGGCTAAGCTGTCTTCCCGTGTCTGGGAGAACAAGAAGCTAACTACCCAAACTAAAGTTGCAGTGTATCGTGCCTGCATCGTGAGCACCTTATTGTTTGGTAGCGAGTCTTGGACTACCTACGCTAGTCAGGAGAAGCGCTTGAACATCTTCCATATGAGATGTCTTCGCCGCATCCTCTCCATCTCATGGACAGATAAGGTCTCTTACAATGAGGTACTAGCAAGAGCCAATATCCCCTCGATGTTCACCCTGCTAAGACAGCGCAGATTGAGGTGGCTCGGTCATGTGTACCGGATGGAGGATGGGCGAATCCCTAAGGATCTGCTGTATGGCGAGTTGGAATCCGGTTCGAGGCCTATTGACAGACCTAAGCTGCGTTTCAAGGACGTATGCAAGCGAGATATGCTCGCCACTGGCCTGCCAACAGATAACTGGGAGCTACATGCTGCAGATCGGAGTGATTGGAGGTCTGTGTGCAGCCACGAGAGAAAGTGTTTGTCGCAATTGCTCTATTCATGGACATGGTCCGACGACTGCCTACTACTACTATTAATACATGAAAAAATGCACTCGTTTTCGGCCAATCAGACGCGCGTGACTTTTTAATGTATATTTATACATATCAAATTCAAAATGAAATGATTCACTCACTAGAATTGTAAAGTCAAGTGTGGAAGCCTAAACAACACTAAATCATTTAAAGCTTCGACAAATTTTTGTTGGAACTCTTTTCAAATTAATGACGGACACTGTACAAATCGGCTTCATTAAAACCTGAATATTAATATGATCATCCACTTATCCAAATTATCTACTTAACGTCAAACGTTTATGAGATAAAAAGCGCGAAAATGTTTGCTAAGATCAAAATTAGAGAAAGGACTTGCTTAAAGTGAGCTCGTATTCCATAGGCCACACCTCCCATGACAAATGCACCACTTTGACCGACACTGAAATTGGTAATTTTAAGGAATACGCCACACTTCGTGACAAGCAAACCAAAAAGGCAGAATTTCTGACAATATGCCATCTTCTAGACGGAAACTAGACAGATAAATTCACGTCCCGCTTCTTGCGGTAAAATAGTAACGTATTGGATAATTGAATATTTTTTGTTGAATACACAGCTCCCTCATAATTTTGGCGTAAATAATGTCAAAAATTGCTTTCCAAAGGTAGGAGATCTTAATTAGCCGTAAAACGTTGAAAAAAAGTAATTGTTAGGGGTAAAAAGTGATAAATTTAACCATTTGATCGTAAAAATAAGTTAACCGAAAATTTCATCTTTTAATTGAAACAGTAGGAAATAAAGTGTTTGACGTAAAATGGCCAAACTTTTAACCGTTAGCCGTAAGAATCATCGCCTCATGGAGACCCTCAAGTTAAACTTACCTTGTAACTTAAATTAATGTAGTAAGCATCCATGATTTAAGAAGAATAATGAAATGTTATCTACAGTGGTGACTCTACTATATGTTGAGTAAGTACGCAATCTGATCGTGAATAGCGTCATTGACAGTATCCCGCGTGTAACAATGTTATAAATACGCCACAAAGAAAAAAATTTCCAATGTAAGAGAAACATACAATAAGATACCCCACTTTCTTCTTGATAAACTAAGGGGATTAATTTGGTTTTGGTTTTGCGACACTCGATTGAAATACGTATTTGTACTATCTATGTAACATTGGTATTGTGATTGATGTCGCAAATCTTACTAAAAATATTGTAGATAGTAAATAGTATGTAGAATATAAATGAACGAATGAAATAAAAAAACAAATTAAACATAAAAGTTGGTTCTTCTTCAAACTTCATCAATTGACCTCCTTTACGGCAAAACATTACAACCGTGCCCTTTATTATGAACAAATCAAGTTTCAGCCAAATGTCGTCACCAGTTCCAACCCGTTAATATTATCTCAAATATTATTACGGTTGCACTTGCGGTTACTTAAAAACCATAATCAATTACGATTACAATTGAAAAGAAATCCACAATGACAAATATTTAAAACCGAGGGAACAAAATTTACAAGACAAAGGTATGTAGGAAGGTTTTGTGACTGAGACACAATGGATGGAAATCATTAACAAAATTTAAGGCTGGGTTTTGAGCTTTTCTTTAAAGGTTAAGTTAAGGGAAAATACTCCGGTGCAATATAACTCTAGAGGGGGGCATGCGACTTTCCAAGATTTCACCCAAGGAAACAATGTTTTTTACCTTCTCCCTTTTTTCGCCGCCTTCGATTGCCTCGTGCAAAGAAATAAATAAGAAAGGGATACAAATTGTGTCATGTGGTTCAGAGATCCTGTTTTGGTGATTAAGATCATGATATTCGTGCAAAATTGCTTAAATGCTTCGTGACTAATAATTAAATTATACTCGCTACCTCAGTCCTGAACGAGCGACTACAGAGCAACTACAGAGCAACCTTAAGGTTATCAAATCATAAATAGAAGGGCGCAATCTATGATATACTCTACTGAACTGGGTAAAAGGGCAATCATCTGTGTAATAACAATTGTTGGACTTCACAATACGAGTGGTAAAAGCTATTTAACATGTATGTAGATATTGATCAGTGTTTAGGTGTTCCTTGCTCGAGGAAGGATCTCTTTCTGTGATAAAGAGTTTGTCGTAAACCAAATGGTGGTGTTACAAATCCTATCACTTTTAAGGCTCGACTATTTTCACACCAGTAACGTTTCCTTTGAACTGTCCCCACGAGAGAACGAGGCCTGCTTGTGCGATGTCACAATTTGCCTTCTGAGCTGCAATTTCATCCCCCGAAAGGACCCTACTCCAAAGATTGACTTCTGTTACCTCACCCGGCCCAAAGCTATCTCCGATATCAAAGTCCCCTCCGACTTTATCTTGGTCTTGTCCAATGACAACTGTTCCGCCGGCTGGTATCTGATGACTTTTCTTCAAGTCAGTTCCAGAGCTTTGAAGTTGTCCATCCAGATAAAACTGCCAGTCGCCTTTGGTGTTATTCCAGGTAACACAAATGTGATGCCACATGGTATCATTAATTTTGACTCTGGCGTCTGTATCACTTACAAAATGAACATAAACAATTAAGACTGTTAGAAACTCTCGGTTTTTGACTGATTGCGGTCCAGTTCAATGTGACATCAAGATTGGTTGTTCACCTATATTTGATACACTAGTTGACTCCCCCTCCAACGAGTTACAGGTAACTCAGGTAACTGCTGGCAGGCCGTATGTACATGAGTTTCATGTACACACACATATATATATATATATATATTCCTATATGTGAGCTGCTGGAATGGGAGATATATCAGGATATTTTAATGTTACTTAACTTTTTAAAATTCCATTACCATTTATTTTATTCGAAAAGAGAAGGCTCCGTTTTTGCGGGAATTCACTGTGCATTTTTTCTTGCTCACGGAAATTCTCAAACTCCATGTATTCGATTTTCGACACGCCATAGCACTTAATTTTGTCATTAACAATGATTAAATCACTAGGCTCGTTTAATTATTTATTTTAAGTCGCTTGGGAACAAAAACAAGAGAACGTGGTTGTTAACAACCATGTTCTCTTGTTTTTGTTCGCAAGTGTTGTTATTGCCAAATACCATCAGAAGCCTCGATAATACTCCGCTGGGAGCACTTTAGCCCATTGCGGGAACAGGCAAATTATTTTTTTTGAGGTGAGCCAAGGTAAGCGTGATTCACGCGCGAAAGGAAGGAGCTCAAAAAAATTCATCTTCGCGTCCCTTTCTCGCGCGTAATTCGCCATTCATTCTGGTATATTTTTAGTTCTCTTCTATCTTATTCTATTGGGTTATTGTGTTGTGTTCTTGGGCGACAGACTTTATTCTCAAAGTGCTTCACTCCACCCAGAAGTATTACGGCACACTGTCGGGGAAACCGAATGAAATACTGAAATTGCAATAGATAAGCATCCAATCCAGGGGGAAGTGTTAAAACTCCTACGAGACGCTTTATTTTAAGAAAACCGGGATACGGTCGGGCTGGATGGGCCATTTGACTCGAGTACAGACTTTATTTATCGCGTTTGTCATATCACTTACTTATCTCCCGGGGCGTGTATAGAAATCCTAATTCCTGGGGAAAACAGGCAAACGTAGAAGGCATTCCCATAAGGTGCTCCAATAGTCGCATAACTGTAGAGGCACTGGTCACTACTGAAACTTGTATCCTTCATTTTGACAAAAAGGCACATAGTAAATTCCGAGAGACTAGACGAGGTGGCGTTTGTTATGCTGGCGTAACTCTTTATGCTAGGCTGTCCAAAGACCATTCGGTAAGCTGTAGGAAACAACAAAACACAATCTTCTTTACTCCAGTTTCCTTGAAATGGCAAAGCAACTCTTAAATTGGATGAATCTTACTGCGAAATTTCCGGATTAATCTTGTTTCAGTAATTACTTTTTATCTCATGTCCGCTACCAGATCACGTACGTAACCGATAAACAGATACCCAGAGTAAAGATTGTCTTTGTTTTTTGAAAAATCTTGCTTTGGCTTCCGCACGGCTACCACGCACGCCAGAGAGAAAGATACAAAAAAAAGTACCTTGAGCGCTCTGAGATGTCAAAGGTAGCTTGTGGTGTTTACCTAAATAGGTCAGCTCGTTTGAAAGTATTCTGACCGCTTAAGAAAAAAAAACCCCGAGGTATAAACTTTTCACACAATTTAAAATCCAACAGTCACTTTCTACTTCTTGAACTCTTTAACCCCGACGAGTGACTAGCATCTAATTTCTCCCTAAAATAACAGCGCTGAATCAAACATTAAGGTCATGAGAATAAAGGAAATGATCACCAAAAACAGACGCTTTTGATCGCTAAATAAACTCTCCTCGTCAGCACCTTTGGAAATGTATAACGAACAGTATGGAGAATAAGCCTACTGTTGTTAGGATGTAAAGGGATAAAAAGCGATAGATTGGTAATCCAATCTATCGCATACTTATTAATATAAGTATGTGAGCGACTGCGCACCAACCCCTCCCTTAACCCAACATTAACCTTAACTTGTTATCAATTGACGATTGTTGGGTTAGGGGAGGGGTAGGAGCGTAGCTTCTCAGATACTGATATTGATCGAATGGGTTTACAGCGTCCTGACGCTGACGATTATCAATTGTGGAAAGTTTTTATGAGAAACCGTAATCAAAATAAAACATTGGCGTGGTTTGTCTTCAAGAATCTTAATTAATGTCCCATCCAAAACTTTGTAAAATGTTGAAAGGTCATCCCCATCTCCACGAGAACTTCTCTTTGTAGAAGGAAGCTTGCGCTCTCAGATTATGTCATCAAAATACGATACACCTCTCTACAAACCTGATGAACAAGATAGGCCTTCAATCTTTTCACACTGTGTCCCGTAAAATCCTGGTGCACAGCTGCAGTTATATTCATTGACTCCGACTGTACAAGTTCCATTGTTTTTGCAGGGATGGCTGTCACAGTCAACTTTTTGCGATTACAAGACAACATTTCAAAAGAGTTGTTATTAGTAAAAAGGAGCTACATCATATGGCGACTGACCAACCGATCTTCAAACCATATATGATTAAGTTGGTCTAGCTAATAACGCTTTTGAATCGAAGTAAATCTCTTAAAGCATGTGCGTTACAAAAGCAAGACAATGCAAAATAGCGTTCGAATGAAGTTTGTTTGCTCGTTTGCAGAAAACTGTCACGCTAAATTTTTTCAGTTGTCGCATAAATGCAACAGGAAAACTGCTCTAAAGCTTTTCTCGACAGGCAATACATTACAACTTCATTCTACTTTACAAAGTAGTTTCTTACACAGATCAGCACAAGTTTCTCCGGTCCAAGGGGGCTTGCATTCACATGAATAAGTTCGCTTTTTCTTGTCATAAAAACACACACTACCATTTAAACAGGTGCTGGCTGGTAGTCGGCAATCCTAAAGAGAAAGAGTAGCCGATGGAATAATGAGAAGAATATACATAAACATAAATATGCTGCAAAATTATTTCACTTTCCTACTGATGGATAAAAATAATTCGCTGGAAAATAGTCACGCTCTCAAGTACAGTGTTTTTGTTATCTCCTAGATCCAGCTCAAACAACCGAGTAGGTATCAAGCCTACCCACCGTCAAATTGAACTAAACAATTTATCTGTCCTCACCAATTCTTCAACAAACTTCTAAAACATGATTTACAAAGTCGCAATGTTCAGACAAAACCATTGGGGTAAACTGGCTGCCTAAAAATTTTGTTTTTAACTATGCATTTAGTCAACATCTACAAGTACATGTATTGGCAGAATTCAAACGAAGCCAAGGTATGTTATTTATTAATGGTCTAGCTTCTATAAACTTTAGTTCAAAACTATTACATATTCAAAGACAGTAATATGAGATTCGCAACAACCTCAAGCTTTTACTAATGGTGGAGTCACTGCACTTTTTTTTGTGATGCAAATGAGAAACAAACATGAACCCATCAGCCATAATGGATGGGGACGGCATATAATTTCAAATATCTCGATCAAACAATGATGTTTCTAAATTCCTATATTTGCTGGAAAAGGATTTCATTTAAAAGGGAATAAAAGAAAGCGTATGTGCCATTTCCAAAACTTGCTTCTGCTGGCAAGCATCAGTTCGAGTTTTATGTTCTTTACAAATATTTGCATAATCATTTAATGGTTTTCTTTAAGGTGCATAACATTTGCAGTTGATCACCAAACGCCCCATGAAATATTTTTCCTTTATCTCTCTTTTTTATTATTGTCCTTAGTTAGTTAAAGGAGAAGTATTTTTTTGTTTTAATGAAAAAGAACTTCAAACCTTCATGTTAAACCGGTAATCGATGAATGCTATCACGATAGTTCTCAAACGTCGGCGGGGAAACAAAATATTTGTTTGGTGCCACCAGCTTGTTTTTACGGCTCACGAACTGCGTGAGAGTGGGTGGATCTTTTCACAAAAAAGGGGGTTAACGGACAACTAAAACTGAGGGTTGAAAATTATGGGTATAGAAATATCAACGATTATTCTTTCTAGTTCTCTTTGGTCGTTTACAGGTTGTGTCTGGTACCACAACTCCGCGTAGAAATTCAGTTTTCAATCATCTTTGAATTTTAGTTAATTGAATTATAATTTTATTAAATTCTGGAGCTCTCCGAAAAAAAAGATTGCACTGAAGACCTCAGCCTAATTAAGGGGATTTTTCCCGAATAGAGGAAAGGGTTAAACTGTGAAATTACAAGACTTAAAAATTAACGAATCGATTAAACTTGGTATCGCGAATACATTGAAAACGATCCAAATCCTGCAATTATCTACCTTAATAAGTGTTGAGAAAATGGCTCCCGCCTCGAACTGTAAATGTGCGTTTTCTTTGATAACGTCGTGCTTGTTTAGTTCACAAGTTCCTTTGCCATCAGACTTGGAAGTTTGAGGAGCAGGTTTGAAGTTTGTTGAAGTACACCAGGCGTTTTTCAAACATGACTGACCACACCAAATTTGACTGATCGACTTAAACCGTTTCACGACAAAACCTTTAAGCTGCTTATTTGTCAACGTTGTGAAATATGTTGATCGAGAAAGGGCAGACGATTCTACTCCTGCGTGGAAAATTGTGCAGAGTAATATAACTCCTCGAAAGAAGGGAGTGTTTTTAAGTCCCATCGCGAAAAGTGTCATTACAGAATAAGTCTGTTTACTGTCTTTCCCGATGTCTTTAAAGATGTACCCCACGCAATCCGAATTTTGATTGGTCAACTTCAGCGTAATTTAGGCAATAATGGATGGATCGGATGCCTAACAGAAAAGATTATACATGATAACCAGCTGAATGACAGGCCGGTGTGGTTTGAAGTTTCAAATGCATCATGCACAGGTAACAACATGATTTCGAGCGAAATTTGGTGTTGATAAGCACGAGTAAATTTTTCAAAGACGACAAAATTGCACGAGCCCCTAGGTCGAGTGCAGTTTGTAGTCCGAGAAATGCATAAGTGCTTATTTAAACCAAATTTCACGAGAAATCATTTTGTTACTTATTAATAATTTACATGAAAACGCATAACAGAAAGTCAAAACGGACAAAACTTTGCATTTGAAATTTGCATTCGTGCTTTAACTTTGCACTCGTGTTACATGAAAAAATACACTCATTTTGGGCCAATCAGACGCGCGTGACTTTTTGATGTGTATTAATACATATCAACTTCAAAATGAAATGATTCCTTCGCGTGAATCACTAGAATAGTAAAGTCAAGTCTGGAAGCCTAAACAACACTAAATCGTTTAAAGCTTTGACAAATTTTTGTTGGAACTATTTTTAAATTGACTGACATTACAAATCGGCTTCATGAAAACCTGAATTATATTAATATGATCATCCTCCTATCCAAATTATTTACCTATTGTCAAACGTTTATGAGATAAAAAGCCTGTCATCTTGCAGAAAACTTCCGAGACGTATGGGCAAGTGTATGCAGTCTAATCGTGATTCATAGTAGCCCTGTGCATTAGCAGCATTTTAATGTGTATTTTAAGTGAACTTGAAGAGAAAGGATTCTTTCCCTAAACTTCAGTTTTTTTTCTTTTTTGTTTCATACAACTAAGTATAATTCTTCTTTCCTTCCCATATTGCTGCACATATTGCTGCATTTTTTTGTTTTTGCAAAATAAAGAGCCCTTTCGTATTTTTGTCCGCCGTTATGGTACTCTTACGAGCGAAAGGTAAACCTGGGAATTTCAAACACTGAATTTTCTTTTTTTTAGCAGAGAACTCACAAAAATAAATATGTCCTTGTCCAATGTCCGTTGAATTTTCAATTGAATTTAACTCATTTAAGTGTGACAGAAATGCGATTGCTGACGATCATTATTTTACTGGTTCATGTGAGTTTGTGATTATTGTTACATGGTAGAAAAGACGTATCGGTATATGTAGTTGACATTAGACACTGATAATTTATCAGGCTGAGTATTGACCCTCTCATTATGGAACAATTTGGGGAAGAGAGAGAAATAGGAAAAACACGGAAAAAGGAAAAACAAAGTCTGGCTTCCAAAAACGGATATGAAAGTATGAATCGGAGGCCCTGGATAAAAATTCTCGAGGAATTTTACGCAACTGTTCTTACAAAAGACGGGGAAGACTACAAGCTTGATGGCTTTCATGAAATGGTTACTACTGTCGAATGATACCTAACAGAGATAGAATACAAACGTTCAATTATTCTCGAAGAGGTTGTAGAAGTTTGAAACGAATTCTTGACGAAAAAGCCCGACATTTTTGCGTGTATATTATTACTAGTAATAACATGATTATCATATTTTTAATAGACTACAAATTTCACCCGCCCTACAGGCTAGTTCGGTTAAAAAATTTATGCCTGCTGATTTATCCCAGATTGCACTGAAAATCATGCCATTACCTATACAAATTCTTTAATTCAGTTGATCCCTAAATTACGACGGTTTTGCGAATTTCGTAAGGATGCATTTCACGACACCACATTGTACGTGTATGTCTATTTGTGTATACGCACCAAATATATGTCTTCGATCAATGAGGTCCAACATCAGTCTGTTTTTGTGGAAAATTTTAATTCTGAGCTCAGCTTGGTTTCGAGGGTCCGTTTTATGTAATAATTACTGGTGAGCAAATAAGCGCGGGATAATGGTCATCACTCTGTCACGGAAAAGCAAATCTTTCCCCTCATGATATTAGACGTTCTTTACATGCTTTTAAAAGTACATTAGAGACCAAACTTAACAACAGGCTAACGAGCTATACGAGTGATTTCTCAAAACAGGATAGGATATCTACATGCTGCCAAAATTGTGTTGTTGACTAATGTCAACGAATCCTCTCTGTGCGAGGCGGAAACGAATTTCATTTATATCGCTGACTACCCATATACAAAGCTTTAGTACAATGGCAAGGTATTTTGGCTAAGAATAAGACCTATACTCCTAACTCGAGACGCACCGTCATTTTGAAGGGTGAAATGAAAAAGTGTGGGCGACCTCACTCGGCTCTCAAAGTAAAACCAAAAAACCAGTTCAATTGAAAATGAGTTAGGCATGAAAGGAAGATGTACATGCCTCTCACAAGAATGTCGACAAGCAGTTTTTGCCTTGTCTTGATGGGTTACTCTTAAAGACTTAAAGTGCTCGAAAGTTTGTGATGAATACTCTTCGATAATTGCTTTCTTTTTTGATCAACTTCACATGGCTACAAAAATATAGATGACTATTTTTTTGTAGTAGTTTCGCACATAAGCCATGATAGGTGATCTTTTACCAAGTTAGTATGAATCTGCTCGTTAGAGAAAACCTGCTGCGTTTATAAATAAGACACACTTAACATGGTTGATCAAAGGTACTCACTAACAGTACCAAGTAAAAAATAAATGGGAAAAGCAGTACTAAGACAGCTGAGACTGAAAGCAGCGACGTAAATAAGGACTGATAAGAATTGGATGAAATATCAAATTTCTTTCTCAAATTTGCGTCATAAAACCAGCTGCGCTCACTGGATAACCGTGAGCACATTGCAGTCATTACGCTCAAGTAGCCAAGGGTCTTTATAATTTTAGCTTGGGTTTTACGCATTTCGTTTCGTCGCATGGTTTGATTGCCAAAATCTGAGGTTTGCAAATTGGGAGGTGAAAACATTAGGAGGATACGTTCTTCAAGAACACGATGTTAAAGAAATAAATTTAACCATGGGAAATGAGCCAACGGTGACTGTTGATACGAGAGCCTTCTAGAAAGTTCATGTGTACGTGTCAGTGAACATTGGCCCACCCGACACAGACGGTGCCAACTGAGTGATTCTGACCATATCCAACATCCTTATGATCTTAAACCAAAAGTGGAGTCTCTCTACTGGGCTACTACGGTGCGAAATAAGAGTTCTAGCACAATATTCTCCTGACCGCTTCGATTTTATTTGGGTAAATACTGCTTAGAAACTTTGTTAATAGACCTCTTCTATTCCTTTAGAATTCATGTTCCAGCTACTCTTGTCTTCATGGTGTAACTTGACTATCTGCATGGGTTTACAGACAAGAGATACATTTGCCTATGTCGAGTTGGTTAAACGGGTGAAAATTGTGAAAAAGGTAACAAATTTGTTTGTTTTGATGACTAACAATCAATAAATGCAATGAAAAAACCTGATGCTGTGAGACAAATCATCAAACGTTTCATTTATCTACAAAAGCACGTAGGACAACAACACTTTCTACAACGATAATATCTTTAACTCGATGGTATACCAATGAGGTGGGAAGAACGACATTAACCCACGAAAATCGTGCGTTGTGGACTTTGAAAAAAAACGAAAATCTGCTGATGGTAATGACATGACGTATTTTTACTTGTTGACCTTTAAGCCAAAAGTAAGCGTGACTATAATTATTTGTTGCGGTAAATTTCAATAAAGTGTATCCAGGGATATGTTTCCGTGGCATTTTTTATGATACTCACTTACACTCGAAAGTGAAGGCACTTTGAGAGTTTAGATGGCTGAATCGATATCTTTCTCATACAAAAAATTTCTCATACAACTTTACCGACTTCTCACTCTGTTTCACTTCTTTTCACATATTTATCAAAGTCTTGCAGTGGCTTTAAGGACAAAAAGTGGAATCTGTCCGATTGTCCCTGATGGAGAACGAGGATTGCTACCTTACACGTCACCTGTGACATGAGTGACAAAGGCGAAGTTGGCGTGACTGTCATAAGTCACGACAGCGAGAACAGGACATTGGTGGACGGATATGAAGCCGGGGAATCCTACTCTCGCAACATACCGCTTTATGAACTTTTCATAAAAACATTTTAAACTGTTGATCTTAGTTTACAGATATGAGTTAAGCTAACTACCCAAACTAAAGTTGCTGTGTATCGTGCCTGCATCGTGAGCACCTTATTGTTTGGTAGCGAGTCTTGGACTACCTACGCTAGTCAGGAGAAGCGCTTGAACATCTTCCATATGAGATGTCTTCGTCGCATTCTCTCCATCTCATGGACAGATAAGGTCTCTAACAATGAGGTACTTGCAAGAGCCAATATCCCCTCGATGTTCACCCTGCTAAGACAGCGCAGATTGAGGTGGCTCGGTCATGTGTACCGGATGGAGGATGGGCGAATCCCTAAGGATCTGCTGTATGGCGAGTTGGAATCCGGTTCGAGGCCTATTGGCAGACCTAAGCTGCGTTTCAAGGACGTATGCAAGAGAGATATGCTCGCCACTGGCCTGCCAACAGATAACTGGGAGCTACATGCTGCAGATCGGAGTGATTGGAGGTCTGTGTGCAGTCTGGCTCTCCAGGCGGGAGAGGAAAGGCTGAAAGCTGAAGCCGATGAAAGAAGAGCTAAGGGAAGAGCAGCAAAGAACAAAGCAACATGTGTTCCAGTGGCATGTGTCTTTGTGTGCAGTGGATGCGGCCGTGTCTGCCGTATTAAAATTGGGCTTTTTAGCCACGAGAGAAAGTGTTTGTTGCAATTGCGCTAGTCATGGACATGGTCCGACGACTGTCTACTACTACTATTAATACATGAAAAAATGCACTCGTTTTCGGCCAATCAGACGCGTGTGACTTTTTAATGTATATTTATACATATCAAATTCAAAATGAAATGATTCACTCACGTGAATCACTAGAATTGTAAAGTCAAGTGTGGAAGCCTAAACAACACTAAATCATTTAAAGCTTCGACAAATTTTTGTTGGAACTCTTTTCAAATTAATGACGGACACTGTACAAATCGGCTTCATGAAAACCTTAATATTAATATGATCATCCACTTCTCCAAATTATCTACTTAACGTCAAACGTTAAACGGGCTTGCTTAAAGTGGGCTCGTATTCCATAGGCCACACCTCCCATGACAAATGCACCACTTTGACCGACACTGAAATTGGTCATTTTAAGGAATACGCCACACTTCGTAACAAGCAAACCAAAAAGGCAGAATTTCTGACAATATGCCATCTTCTAGACGGAAACTAGACAGATAAATTGACGTCCCGCTTCTTGCGGTAAAATAGTAACGTATTGGATAATTGAATATTTTTTGTTGAATACACAGCTCCCTCATAATTTTGGCGTAAATAATGTCAAAAATTGCTTTCCAAAGGTAGGAGATCTTAATTAGCCGTAAAACGTTGAAAAAAAGTAATTGTTAGGGGTAAAAAGTGATAAATTTAACCATTTGATCGTAAAAATAAGTGAACCAAAAATTTCATCTTTTAATTGAAACAGTAGGAAATGAAGTGTTTGACGTAAAATGGCCAAACTTTTAACCGTTAGCCGTAAGAATCATCGCCTCATGGAGACCCTCAAGTTAAACTTACCTTGTAACTTAAATAAATGTAGTAAGCATCCATGATTTAAGAAGAATGATGCAATGTTATCTACAGTGGTGACTCTACTATATGTTGAGTAAGTACGCAATCTGATCGTGAATAACTTCATTGACAGTATCCCTCGTGTAACAATGTTATAAGTACGCCACAACGAAAAAATTTCCAATGTAAGATAAACATACAATAAGATACCCCACTTTCTTCTTGATAAACTAAGGGGATTAATTTGGTTTTGGTTTTGCGACACTCGATTGAAATACGTATTTGTACTATCTATGTAACATTGGTATTGTGATTGATGTCGCAAATCTTACTAAAAATATTGTAGATAGTAAATAGTATGTAGAATATAAATGAACGAATGAAATAAAAAAATTAATTAAAACATAAAAGTTGGTTCTTCTTCAAACTTCATCAATTGACCTCCTTTACGACAACACATTACAACTACCTTTATTATGAACAAATTGAGTTTCAGCCAAATGTCGTCACCAGTTCCAACCCGTTAATAGTATCTCAAATATTATTACGGTTGCACTTACGGTTACTTAAAACCATAATCAATTACGATTACAATTGAAAAGAAATCCACCATGACAAATATTTAAAACCGAGGGAACAAAACTTACAAGACAAAGGTACGTAGGAAGGTTTTGTGACTTAGACACAATGGATGGAAATCATTAACAAAATTCAAGGCTGGGTTTTGAGCTCTTCTTTAAAGGTTAAGTTAAGGGAAAATACTCCTGTGCAATATAACTCTAGAGGGGGGCATGCCACTATCCGAGATTTCACCCAAGGAAGCAATGTTTTTTACCCTCTCTTTTTTCTCCGCCTTCGATTGCCTCGTGCAACGAAATCACTAAGAAAGAGATACAAATTGTGTCATGTGGTTCAGAGATCGTGTTTTGGTGATTATGATCATGATATTCGTGCAAACTTAGCTTAAATGCTTCGTGACTAATAACTGAATGATACTCGCTACTTCAGTCCTGAACTTTGGCGTTTCATCAACAGTAACGAGCGACTAGAGAGCAACCTTAAGGTTATCAAATCATAAATAGAAGGGCGCAATCTATGAAACACTCTACTGAACTGGATAAAAGAGCTGTCATCTGTGTAATAACAATTGTTGGACTCCACAATACGAGTGGTAAAAGCTATTTAACATGTATGTAGATATTGATCAGTGTTAGGTGTTCCTTGCTCGAGGAAGGATCTCTTTCTGTTATAAAGAGTTTGTCGCAAACAAGATGGTGGTGTTAAAAATCCTATCACTTTTAAGGCTCGACTATTTTCACACCAGTAACTTTTCCTTTGAACTGTCCCCACGAGAGAACGAGGCCTGCTTGTGCGATGTCACAATTTGCCTTCTGAGCTGCAGTTTCATCCCCAGAAAGAACCCTACTCCAAAGATTGACTTCTGTTACCTCACCCGGCCCAAAGCTGTCTTCGATATCAAAGCCCCCTCCGACTTTATCTTGGTCTTGTCCAATGACAACTGTTCCGCCGGCTGGTATCTGATGATTTTTCTTCAAGCCAGTTCCAGAGCTTTGAAGTTGTCCATCCAGATAAAACTGCCAGTCGCCTTTGGTATTTTTCCAGGTAACACAAATGTGATGCCACATGGTATCATTTATTTTGACTCTGGCGTCTGTATCACTTACAAAATGAACATAAACAATTAAAACTATATTAGAAACTCTCAGTTTTTGACTGATTGCGGTCCAATTCAATGTGACATCAAGATTGGTTGTTCACCTATATTTGATACACTAGTTGACTCCTCCTCCAACGAGCTACAGGTAACTGCTGGCAGGCCGTATGTGCATGAGTTTCATGTGTGTATATATATATATATGTGTGTGTGTGTATATATATATACATATATTCCTACATGTGAGCTGCTGGAATGGGAGATATATTAGGATATTTTAATGTCACTTAACTTTTTTAAATTCCATTGCCATTTATTTTATTCGAAAAGAGAAGGCTCCGTTTTTGTGGGAATTCACTGTGCATTTTTTCTTGCTCACGGAAATTCTCAAGCTCCATGTATTCGATTCATCGGTCAAGCTGCCAAAACCCATTTAAAAAAATCCTCGTGCTTCAAAAACGAGCCCTTCGTTTGATGTACTTTTCTGAACCTAGAGCCCATGCTGTGCCTTTATTTATTTCCTCGAAAATTCTACCCCTACAAATGTTATATGCTGAAAAAGTATCTTCTATAATGTTTGACGTTTCCTGCATGAATGCTCCGTCTAACATCTGTGATTTCTTCACTAAAGCTAATTCAAAGCACAGGCATGAGACCAGGTTTTCTTCGTCTGGAAATTATTATGTTCAAACTTCAAGACTGAATCTAAATCAAGATTCTTTTTCCAGGTTTGGAGCTAAACTTTGGAACGCAATTCCTAACGAATTTCGTCAACTCTCCAAAGGAGCTTTTAAGAAAAATTTTCATGACTTTTTGCTCTCGATAATGGAAGCAGAGGACGATTATGTTGAAGTGCCCATTCTCCTACAAAAAATGGCAAATTCTGCATCCTCGACTCAATGTATATAATTGATAGTTCTGTTAGTAGTAAATTTGATTGTAATATCATTCTGTAAGACTATATATTTTGTAACTTTAGCTTGTTTATCCAGATAGTTTATTTAGTTACTTTACAATTATTATATTATCTGTTATGACTGCTGTAACCTTTCCTCTCCGCCTGCCTCGTCTAGCTTTTGCTATTTGCGGGTGGAGATGGCAAAATGATTTGCATGAAATAAAGTATAGTGTGTAGATTTTCAACACCCCATAGCACTAAATTTTGTCATTAACAATGATTAAATCACTAGACTCGTTTAATTGTTTATTTTAGGTCGCTTGGGAACAAAAACAACAGAACGTGGTTGTTAACAACCATGTTCTCTTGTTTTTGTTCTCAAGTGTTGTTGGGATATTAATACTCCAACGAGTCGCTTTATTTTAAGAAGACTAGGATACGGTTAGGCTGGATGGACCATTTGATTCGAGTACAGAATTTTCTTTATCGTGTTTGTCATATCACTTACTCATCTCCCGAGGCGTGTATAGAAATCCTAATTCCTGGGGAAAACAGACAAACGTAGAAGGCATTCCCAAAAGGTGCTCCAGTAGTCGCATAACTGTAGAGGCACTGGCCACTACTGAAATTGGTATCCTTCATTCTGACAAAAAGGCACATAGTAAATTCCGAGACACTAGACGAGGTGGCGTTTGTTATGCTGGCGTAATTCTTTGTGCTAGGTTGTCCAAAGACCATTCGGTAAGCTGTAGGAAACAACAAAACACAATCTTCTTTACTCCAGTTTCCTTGAAATGGCAAAGCAACTCTTAAATTGAATGAATCTTACTGCGAAATTTCCAGATTAATCTTTTTTCAGAAATTATTTTATATCTCAAGTCCGCTAACGGATCACGTACGTAAGTGATAAACACTAAGTGCAAAGGGTTCTGTGTAAAAGAACAACTCTTTACGAAATAAATAGGCTAGAGATTTCCGAATGAGAGGATTATTCAGCCGGGAGGGGACATACAAAAACAATCCTGTTCTTGCAACAAATACATAGAGTAAAGATTGTCTTTGTCTTTTGAAATACCTTGCTTTGGCTTTCGCATGGCTACCACACACGCCAGAGAGAAAGATGCAAAAAAATATAGCTTGAGCGCTCTGAGATATCAAATGTAGCTTGTGGTGTTCACCTAAATAGGTCAGCTCGTTCGAAAGTATTCTGACCGCTTAAGCAAAAAAAACCCTGAGGTAAAAACTTTTCACACTATTTAAAATCCAACAGTTACTTTCTACTTCTTTTATCCTTTAACCCCAATGAGTGACCAGTATCTAATTTCTCTCTACAATATCAGCGCTGAATCGCACATTAACTTCATGAGAATAAAGGAAATGATCACCAACAAAAGAAGCTTTTGATCGGTAAACAAACTCTCCTGGTCAGCACCTTGGGAAATGTATAAAGAACAGCATGGAGAATAAGCCTACTGATGTTATGGTGTAAAGAGTTAAAAAGCGATAGATTGGATTAATATAAGTATGTGAGCAACTACGCACTTACCCCTCCCCTAACCCAACATTAACCTTAACCTGTTATCAGTTGACTGTTGTTGGGTTAGGGGAGGGGTAGGAGCACAGTTGCTCAGATACTGACATTGATCCAATAAGTTTACAGCGTCCTGTCGCTGACGATTATTAGTTGTGGAAAGTTTTTATGAGAAACCGTAATTACAATAAAACATTGGCGTGATCTGTCTTCAAGAACCTTAATTAATGTCTCATCTAAAACTCTCTAAAATGTTGAATGGTCATCCCCATCTCCACGAGAGTCCTCTTAAAATGGAGAAGGAAGCTTGCGCTCTCAGAATATGTCATCAAAATACGATATACCTCTCTACAAACCTGATGAACAAGACAGGCCTTCAATCTTTTCACACTGTGTCCCGTAAAATCCTGGTGCACAGCTGCAGTTATATTCATTGACTCCGTCTGTACAAGTTCCATTGTTTTTACAGGGATGGCTGTCACAGTCAACTTTTTGCGATTACAAGACAACATTTCAAAAGAGTTGTTATCAGTAAAAAGAAGCTACATCATATGGCGACTGACCTGACGATCTTCAAACCATATATGATTAAGTTGGTCTAGCTAATAACGCTTTTGAATCTAAGTAAATCTCTTAAAGCATGTGCGTTACAAAAGCAAGACAATGCAAAAATTTTAAGGAAAAGATCTGAGCAAAATAGCGTTCGAACGAAGTTTGTTTGCTTGTTTGCAGAAAATTGTCTCGCTAAATTTTTTCAGTTGTCGCATAAATGCAACAGGAAAACTGCTCTGAAGCTTTTCTCGACAGGCAATACATTACAACTTCATTCTCCTTTACAAAGTAGTTTCTTACACAGATCAGCACAAGTTTCTCCGGTCCAAGGGGGCTTGCATTCACATGAATAAGTTTGCCTTTTCTTGTCATAAAAACACACACCACCATTTAAACAGGTGCGAGCTGCTAGACGGCAATCCTAGATAGAAAGAGTAGCCGATGGAATAATGAGAAGAATATAAATAAACATAAATATGCTGCAAAATTATTTCACTTTCCTACTGATGGATAAAAACAATTTGCTGGAGAATAGTCACACTCTCAAGTACAGTGTTTTTGTTATCTCCTAGATCCAGCTCCAACAACTGGGTAGGTATCAAGCCTACCCATTGCCAAATTTAACTAAACAATTTATCCGTCCTCGCCAATTCGTCAACAAACTTCTAAAACATGATTTACAAAGTCGTAATGCTCAGATAAAATCATTGGGGTAAACGTTTATTGACAATAACAACGAAAAAAAACACACTGGCTGCCTAAAAATTTTGTTTTTAACTATGCATTTAGTCAACATTTACAAGTATATGTATTGGCAGAATTTCAAACGAAGTCAAGGTGTGTAGAAGAAGACTGAAGAAGAAGACTTTATTTATTGAGGATAGCACGTGATAGTGCACAAACACTAATAAACTTGTGGTCCTCCTAATTACAATAAATATATAAATACAATAGAATCATTAATAGAATGAAATATAAATAGAAAATTAGCTAAAACAAGTAAGAATATATAAAACTACTATCAAAAAAATTTACGGATTAAAATGAGCTAAGCATGATTGGTCCTTATAGTAATATTTAAATACGTTGTCTTTAAAGGCCTTAAGTGTATTAGACTTTTTTAATTCAGGCTTTAACTGATTCCATAATTTTATGGCAGAAACTAGAAAAGTTTTCCCTCCTTCTCTAGCCCTTTTAAACTTAGGTAATAAAAAGTTGTATTTACAAAATCTAGTGTTGCGTGAATGTACTGAACTTAACAATCTTAAGCTATCATTAAGATAATTAGGTACACAATAATTAATCCTTTTAAATAGTATTGAACATTTAGCCATCTTAGTAGAGTCATAAAATGGTGAACTACGTGGTTCAGCATCTAATAAAACCCTAGCAGCTCTCTTTTGTAGCCTAAGTATTCTTAAAAGAGATTCATTAGAGCAAAGTGACTGCAATGCAACATTGGCATAATCAAATAATGGCTTAATTAAACTATTATAAAATAAAAGTCTTTGGTTAAATGGTAAACAAAGTTTGATCTTATTCAAAATTCCAATTCTTTGTGAAATTTTTTTACACAGTCTGTCAACATAAGTGTTCATTGATAAATCGTGGTCAATGTCTATACCAAGAAGTTTAGCTGAGGGTACTTGTTCCAATGATACACCATTCATAGTTTTAAGAGATAAATTATAACCATCTGGTAGTTTCTTCCCAAGGCGTTTGCCTGTGACCAGTAGTGTTTTAGTCTTTTTTTCATTGAGAGGAAGTTTATTGGTGTGCGTCCAGCATTCAATTTCCTTCAAAGAAGCAGCTAGTGAATCTTGTAGAGAATCAACCGCTGAGATATCTGCCGATAATGTCAGTGTGGTGTCATCAGCATAGAGATCCAGGTCAGCACCATTAACATGTAGAGGCAAATCATTGATATAAATGACAAAAAGTAAAGGGCCAAGGATACTACCCTGTGGAACACCATGCCTCACAAGAGTAGAGTCAGATGTCACATTATCAATAGCAATAAATTGATGTCTATCAGTCAAGTATGAACTAAACCATTTACTTGCAACTGGAGTTAAACCATAGGCATTCAGCTTTTGCAAAAGAATTTCACGGTCAACCATATCAAAAGCTTTCCTGTAATCAACTAAAAGAAGACCGCTGACTTGATCATTGTCTAGATTAAATAACAAATTGTCTATGACTCGTATAAGAGCAGTGTCTGTTCCATGGTGTTTCCGAAAACCTGACTGTAAAGGGTACAATAGATTGTTTTCACATAAGTAATTATAGAGATGATCGTGTATATGACGTTCCAGAATCTTTGACAAAACAGGTAATATCGAAATGGGTCGATAATTGTCAGGATCCTCACGGTCCCCAGATTTAAACAACGGAATGACTTTCGCTATCTTCCAACAATCAGGGAATACACCAGAATTAATTGAAATATTCAAGATTTGAGTAATTGAATAAGCAATAGCTGGTCCTGCTATTTTCAGATATCTTGCACTTATCTTGTCAATACCCATAGCTTTGTTTGTTTTAAGTCCTAACAGAGCACCCAGCACAAAATCTTTGGTAACAGGAGGAATATTGAAAAGAACATCCGGATCTTTTCTTGAACAAACAAAGTTTTCAACCTTTGAATTGCAATAAGGTACATTAGGTAGTAGATTCCTCAGTGAATCAGCAATTGAAGTGAAGTGATCATTAAACTTTTCGGCCAAAACAACATTTGGCGTCTCAACTGATTTTGATACATCGCCCATTAGTGATTTTATGGTTTTCCACATCTTTTAGAGTTTCCCTTGTTGTTGTTGAAACAGGTATTATAGTATTTATATTTCGCACTGCGAATCATGTTTACAACTTTATTCCTCGCGATTTTGAAGCAGTTCCAATCCGTGACACAACGACTTTGCCTTGCTTTTACGTAGTAAAGAATCCTTTTCTGCGAAGCGCTTGTAAAATATTCACAGTCATCCATGGAGCTTGATTTTGTTTGGCTACTTTCTTTACTCGCCACGGACAGTGGGCATCCAAGATGTTAATGAAGAGACCCATCCATGCATTTAAGATATCAGTTAAATCGTCAAAGACAAATGCAGTATTCAAGGAACTTCTTTGAGGTCGGAAACGAAGGCGGATTTGTCAAAATGCTTCGTATTACGATATTTAATCGTTAAAGATTTATTTTGACGCTTGGCGTTATCCTCATATAAACGAACTCCAAATACAGGCAAATGATCTGACAGCCCATTGTTTTTGACGACAATAGACTTAATTCTTTCAGGAAAATTTGACAATACAAAGTCAAGACAGGTTCCGCTTGATGGTCGAGTAACTTCAGTAATGAGCTGTTTGAAATTCATGTTAGAAAAGGCACGTCCCAAGGGATGTTTCTTGTACGCCGGAGAAATAAAATTAATGTTGATATCGCCAGTAATGATGGTTTCCAAATCCAATAGATAAACTAATTCTAACATATTCTCGATGGCCTCATCCTCTGACAAATTAGTTGAAGGAGGTCTGTAAATGCCGGCGAATAAAATGGGACGGTTAGACTTGAATGGAAAGACTTCCAACCACAATGCTTCTATATTATTATTATGCTCAATGTCGACTCTCCTTCGATGTTTCAGATCGTCATTCACAT